CTGGCACTTATTAGCTTTAAAATTGTAACCATATTCAAAAAAGGCTTTCACATCATTCAGTCCGGCATACTGTCCGCTCTACCGATGGACCTCAACTACAAATCCGACACATGTTAACTTTAATTATTCTCTTATCTCGTCCGGCTACATATCCGCTGTTCGATGGCTCTCTATTCCCATCTTATACACCCAATGGTTACATTTGCTGAGACGCGACTGATCAATGTATTGTCCGATGACATGTCCGCTGAGCGATGGCACTCCATTAGCCTCGCGTTTCACTAACCTACGCTCCTGTTACTACCCTCGGACGCATGTCCGCCCGTCGATGTCACTCACTTACACAGCCTAGCCATCCTCCTGGTGCATTCTTATAGTCGGATGTTCAGTGGCTTGGCCTCCACTACCCGTCCGCCGGGCTCTCCGCCCATCCGAAGGTACACGACACTGGGCCGACAGTCCGCTCGAGCGACAAATATCATCTCGCTCAAATCCGCTGACACGATGACACTCATCCGGGTCCTACTCCATGATGTGGTCTTGCTGCTTCCTCCCTTGCGGCCTGGGCTGCGCGTTCGCGTTCTTCTTGTTCGCGTCGAAGCCTGTTGGCCTCTTCGATCTGGCGTTGTGCGTTACGGCGGTGCCTAGAGTGTCCTCCGCCCATGTCGTAGCCTTATAGAGGGTGTCTCGAGAGGATCGGAGGGACGTAGAGCGCGGACATGTCTTTTAACCCTGTGGCGGCGGCGTCACATTCCGCAACGGAACGTTAAGTTATCGGAGCCAACGTGCGTTCTCAATAATAGTCGGCGTACCCTTTGCAATGATGGCGATGATAAGGCAAGGTTGCAGGAATCACAGAAGACCTTCAAATTAAGCGCGTACTCTGTGGACGATGTAATAAGCCGCCCACCCTTAGCCCATCCATATGTCGTTATTTCCATTCATTGTCTTAGAAGTCACTCGTCGGACATGAATTTGAGTTCTGTGGGTGGCTTTCCATGTAGGGTCGTTTCTCATCCCCTGGGCTATGTTATTTCCGGATCTCATTTAGTATACTCCAGCACAGGTACCCTTTGTTAATCGCAGTGGTAGGCAACTTTGAGTCACCGCTATTTTACATGAATCCAGTGATAGAGAGACTTTTGGCTTGTTTTCGACACGTCAGACAGCTCTGACTTCAGTGAGAGATTATGGAACACACGTTCCTCCGTGAGTGCTCACTGCGGTAACTACTTATGGATGACGCCCATATCGCTGAGCAAATTGCAGCGCAGGAAGTTTATCATACTGTGAGTCTCAGCGCTTATGTTCTCTCCCTATCCTCCTATCATAGCCTCACTCACATGTTACCTCGACCTATCGTCTCCTCCATCCCTTTCGTTAACTTCTCAGAGCCCGCCTCCAATCATATCCGCGGGACCTCTTGAGGAGGCTGTCACACATTGTGTCTATACCACACTTGAGATCAATTACAAGGTGTTTTTTTTCATCGTCTATCTGAGTGGGAAACGTCGCATGCTGCAACATTGATTACGGAGAATGGCATAGCTGTGTTCCTGCTGTACGATCTTCGTGATTTCATATTGAAAACTGAGGCTCGTCCGTCAATTATGTTCAAAAAGACGCCAGGTTCTCTTTTGAATGTGGCCATGAGGCCATCCAATTTCCGTTAGCTTCTGTAGGCGCTCGCACAGCAAGCACACGCTGGTTCTTATTCTAAACTGGATGAGCGAACCAATTCCAGCTTGCGGCGCCGTGAGCTTTCATAATAAGCGCCTTTCTATTCATACAGAGTTCTGACTCAAAACTTCCCCCCATCCGAGTCGTTGGGCAAGGGCATCTTATACCTCTGCGTTTTACACGTACGGAAACTGCCTGAACAAGGAATTTCAAGCGTTCCTGATCGCTTCCTGTGTGATATAGCGGGGTGAAGACAGATGTAAGGTAGACGACCGGGCCTTGCCTGCGTTAAGTTGTCGTTACATCCAGGAGAGAAAGGACGTCGGCAATTGCCGAGTCGGAGCGAGCCACGACATGTCGCGTCCCCGCACCTTCCGACCCGGCGTGCCACTTTCCACTAGGTTATATGCATCATCCACCATGTATCACGAAGCAAAGCCAGCAAACAGCAAGTCGGCGGCAAGGTTCGAGAGTGTGAGGTTCAGGACTCTACATGGCTACACTCCTTGGCACCGGTATGACCCAACTTTCGCTCTTTTCGCCAGCCTCCACGCGAGGCGGTGGGTGAGTCCAAGTAGGCCTCGTCAACCCCTGCCCATGTCTCTCCGCCCGTCTCATGTCAGTCATTCTGCGGCGAACCCTCGTCAAAACCCTACAGAGGCAAACTGGCCAGCGACTGTCAAGCCATAGATTATAAACTAAACAAACACGGAAGTTGGAAAGCATCGTATCTCGTGCGTTCGCGTAACAGACCTCGGTAGCTGGTCCACTAAGCCCCCGCCCCCGCACCTCTGCGTCTCTGTGCGTTCTCCGTCAAGTCTCTCAGGAACTCCTTCTCGTCCAAAGCCCTCTTCGATACCTTTGCCGAAATCGACCCCTTGATCGCACTGAGCATCGTAGAGTTCGAGAGGATGTATACTCTCTGATCAGGCAGATCCGCCGCTCTCAAGTTCTCCCGCACGGTCTTCCTTGTCGCGGCGACGAAGTGGTTCCGGGCTGTGGCCTCGAGCTTCTCTCTACTCCTCTCGTCCTGCTGGTCGTCATCGCTATCGTACCCCATTTCCTTCATCACGTTCCTGACATGCATGTCTGCCTTGGAGCGCACGATGTAGCATGGGATGTGGAACAGGCGCGCGTTGCGGAGGATGGCGATGTCCGTCATGGTGAATCGGTTGCCGAAAAGAACGATTAGAGCATCAAAGACGTAGAGGCCCTGGTCGTTGAAGTACTGCCAATCGCGGACCTGCAGCGTCCCCGCACCAGGCACGTCGTACCAAACGACGTGGGTGGCTGGGTTCGCGTCAGGAAAGCGGGTGATCTGCAGGGTCGTCTCCGCGATTCCGGTGGAAGCTGCCTCTGCATCGCGGTTGCGTAGGCCTCGGAAGGCGTTAATAAGCGATGACTTGCCGCTTCCCGCGATTCCGGTGACTGCGAAGTGGTAGTGGCCCTCGCGATGCCCAATACGACGCTTGGCTCCTTCGATGTCCGCCGCGGAGGGCATGACGACAGGCTGAACACCCTCGCGAAGTTGACGTTCAGCTTCCGTCTTCGCGGCAACAGCGTGGTTGGTCTGTTCCGTCGACGCCCTAGCCGCAGCCTCAGCGGCCCGCTGCGCCTCAGCTGCTCTCCTCTTCTCGTCCGCCGTAATCACATGCTGCCTCTGCGTCTCCTGCTGTGCCGACTCTGCTGCCCTCCTCGCTTCTTCTCTCAGCTGGTTTTCCCTGCGTTGCGCTTCCTGGCGCTGTGAGGCTGCCGCATGATGCGCATTGGCGCGGATTTGCTCCGCTTCCCTTCTTGCACGTTCTGCTTCTGCCTTAAAAGCTTGCATGGCTGCCTTTTGTGTGAGTTTCTCTGCATTTGTTTCAGGCGATGAGCTAGACTCACGTCGACGCCTGACTTTGTCTTCGATATCGGATAAGCGTACAGACAGTGTGTCTCAACAGGAAACAATTGTCCGTGCAGTGGGTTTCTAGCAGATGTATCAAAATGGTCGAAGGCTGGGATGTACGCGAACGTGTCTTTTAAGCCCGGAGACAGCGCCAAATGTAACCCACAACAAAATGTTGGCCATCTGGGGTCGGCACATTCTGTCTAAATACGCGTCAGTATCCCCTTTACAACACTGCCGATAACGAAGGAAGGTTCCCAGGAAGTGAAGAAGACCTTCGCAATAAGCGCTTAAGTTGTGACTGCTGCAAGAGCCCGCTCACCCTCAGCCCAACTGCATGTTGCTGACATTCATTGATGGGATTCCAGAGGATCTATGGATCATGGATAGATCTGGTACGTCCTCGCGGCGGAGGTGCGTATCTCATAGCGCTCATCTTTGCGGCTAAGGCCTGATACGGATCTAATCTCACTAAGTACAGGATACAGCTGACGCTGCATAGAAAGTTCCGATGCGTATCATGGCAGGCCTTGTCACTCACCGCCTGTCCAATCCCATTGGATGCATTGGTCATGGATCCATGCTTGCAGACAGGGAGACAAGCTTGGATTACTTGAAAAACGCTATCGCTATATCACACTAATGTCTTTGACAGAGGTATGAGAATCGCTATAGTATCGACTCGAAATTTGCATATTGACAGTTTCACGGCATTAATGCTATACAATATGGAACAAGAACGGTCAGTACGGTTTGTTAGTCTATACGACTCATTCGGCTACTGCACCCAACGCTGGCTCAATGACTAATCTTCCTTCGCCTCCTCTGCGTCGCTTGGCGTCTCCCGACAATTCGTCAAGAAGTGCTTTCTCGTCTACCATTTTCTTCGACGCTTTGGCGGAGATCGATCCTTTCACGGCGCCAAGGATTGTCGAGTTGGAGACGATGTACACGCGCTGGTCGGGTAAGTCCGCTCTGCGCAAGTTCTCGCCGACGGTGTGTCTCGTCGCGGCGATGAAGTGCTCCCGAGCCTCCCGTTCAAGCTTCTCCAGGCTGCTCGCGTCCTGTTCTTCGTCGTCGTCGCTATCGTAGCCCATCTCCTTCATGACGTTTCGTACGTGGGTATCCGCCTTCGAACGCACAATATAGCAGGGTATCCCGAAGAGCCGAGCGTTGCGAAGAATGGCAACATCTGTCGCCGTAAACCTGTTGTCGACGAGGACGATGAGCGCATCGAAGACATAGAGCCCCTGGTCGTGGAAATATTGCCAGTCCTTGATCTGCAAGGTGCCTGCTCCAGGAATGTCGAACCAGACGACAGGATTTTCCGGGTTGGCGTCAGGGAAACGGGCGAGGTGTAGCGTCGTTTCCGCGATGCCTGTCGCAGCTGCATCAGCGTCGCGATTGCGCAAGCCACGTAAGGCGTTGACCAGTGAAGATTTCCCGCTCCCAGCGATGCCGGTGACGGCGAAGTGAAGCTTTCCCTCCTGATATCCGACCCTCCGTTTCGCCTCCTCTAGATCGGCTGTGGAGGGCATGATTACGGGCTGAATTCCCTCCCGAAGGTGGCGCTCCGCCTCTTCCTTCGCCGCGAGTGCGCGGCTACTCTCTTCTTCGGCAGCCAGAGCGGCGGCTTCAGCGACGCGCTGGGCCTCCACGGCACGTCTATTCTCCGCCGCCGCAATCTCCTGCTGGCGTTGAGCCTCTTGCTGCGCTTCTTCGGCCGCCTTCCTCGCTTCCTCCCTCAGCTCAGCCTCCCGCCTCTCTGCCTCCTGGCGACCCATCTCCGCCGCTTCCTCAGCTGAGAGCCGCGCCTCCTCAGCTTCTGCTTTAATGCGTTCAGCGTCTTCCTGCGCCGCCTTCATGGAGTCCTCCGCCCTCTGCGCTCTGTCTGCATCCATCCTTGCCTGGTTTTCCAATCTCTTGGCCTTTTCGTGCGCTTCTCGTGCGGCGCGATCGCGCTGTTCAAGCTCGTGTCGATATCTTTCTGCCTCTCTGATTGCGTGGTGCGTCGCACTGTGGTCAGGGACTGATGCTGAAGCACCCATAAAGCGGAAGAAAAAGATACGAGCGGATGAAGGCGAGGTGCCGCACAAGAAAGTTTATAACGTCGGGCGGCTTTAGAGATTGACCACAGAGTGAGCTTTGTAAGAAGCCAGACACGTTTTTGGTGGCTGTAGAATTTTCAGTAAGCACTCTTAGACGCATGAATTTTTTTATCAAAGAAGTGTCTAGCTACAAGACAGGACTCTTCTTTTCCTGATAGGGTCCTATTCGCCTGCACCTTTTCAATTGTGCGTTTTCAGGCGCTGACCTAACACAGCTTGACTTGTGAGTATACGAACATCCTTTCCCTTAAGAATGTTCTGATATGTGATGAAATACTTTAATAGGAAGTAAGAGCGCCGACTTGGTGCTAATCTTGCTGTGGTTGAGTAAAGGGGCGAGTGTTTCTCTCGCAATCGGCGCCACTCACTGAAGTTGAGCGCGATTTGGCACTTGGAACCTCTTGCAGCACGATCAATCACCTCCATTTCCTACGCCGTCGTGATATCATGCATCGCGCCGTTGATCTCTCAGCGCTTCACCGCTGATACTTGAAGCTTGACGTTAGATGCGACCTTGATCGTAGTGATCTTCTACCATCCAATTTCTCTCTGCGACCATGTCGGAGCCTAAAGTCATCCTCATCGTAAGTCGGCAGTTACATATACCATCGATTCTGTGTTCATTCGCCTTTCTCTGCATTTTTTCGCTGCTTATCACCCACCTAGGCTGGCGTATCATCTGCAATGCAATGTATTTATTAGTAAATTTTACCGTAAGGCAGTGTACTAGAGTGTAGTCTTGAAGCGCTCAAGGTGCTCGAGGACAAAAAAACACGCCTAGTGAGCATCAGGATTTTGACACGTGCATTAACCGCACTTTCCTGACTTTGCCAGAGTGAACCTACTTTCCCAAAAATTGAAACCACAATTCTGCTATATTTGGGATTCAAATTGGTTTGAAAGACTCATAGCTTACTCTTCATAACGAGAATTGCAGCTTAAATGCCACTGATACGGTGTTCTAGCCAAATATTCTCTAGTAAAGAGCCGAAAATACCGAAAAAATAGGTTCATCTCGGCAAAGTCAGGATAATGCCGGTAAAGCGGCTTGTCATTTTCCTGATGTCATTACACAGGATGAGAAGCAAGAACCCCCTTCTCGAATGATAGTACATCAACATCATAAGTGACCCTTAACCTGGCTTCGTCTCAGAAGAGGCTCATGGGTGCGTTCCATAGCACAGATGGCTTGTGGGTGGCACAATCCCTGGAAAGAGAGGTTGGTGGCGAAAGGGATACTCATCTTTCTCACGGTTGAGTAGGTAGGCTCGGCCTAGGTCGGAGTAATGCTGTGCAATCGGCCCTAGATCGGCCGATCTACCTTTTCCCCCGCACCTTGGATCAGTAGTGCAAGGCTGCGTATGGACGGAACAAGAAGTCAAGGGATACGCTGATGAGTGAAAGGCAAAGAGTCATACCGGAGAACTACTAAGTAGCGCAATCCCGTAAATAATGTACGCAAACCGGCATACGCCACTGAACCCAATACTACCCATCATCATCGGGATGAACACTGTCGACTGTGCAATATTTCTATAGGCAATCCGCCTATGACATGCTATGTGCCTGAAGAGTATCCGGTGTTCAAGGTAGCTTACCGAAGACGCGTGGCTAAGGAACGAGCGCCAAAAACAAGATCATCTCCAGCCTTTAGGAAGATTCACTCTCTGAGCCGAAGAAACCGAGACACATCCCTTGACTCGGCGGCCAGGCATGGTATTGCACCAAAAGCACATGCGGGCTCTGCTCAACGCGTGGAGGTGCTCAGGTTAGCGTTGCCGCATTTAGCGAACTGGCTGGAACCAAGTCAATGAAACTTGTACTTGCACTTACTATCAGTCCAGATAACACACCTCGGCGCTGTGTAGAGGCTAAAAACCACGAAGACTAACATTCAGTTGGTCGGGATCGTCGCAAGAAAGGGTATTTCAAGGAGCCGATTTGAGCTGGTTTCTCGAACCGCGGCAACACTAGCTCAGGTTGGGATGGAGACTCGTCTGATAGGTCTGAAGCCAGGGTCGTGCTTGGATGAGCCAAAACCGTAAGCATCTCACACAAGGGCTGTCAATCCTTCTTACTTATAAACGGTGAAACATGGGTACGTTGCCGACGCGACCGACGGTGGCGGACGTCCACGTCGCGTTCCTGATGCACGAAAAGCAAGTTGTCGACGTAATTCTCGAAACGTCACCGGCCAGAAGATCACCGACGACTTGGCAGGCCATCGTGAGTAATTTAGCTTGACGACAGGTCTGACCAAATTCACTGTCAACAGGTTACAGAAGCATATTTCCTTAGGGCCACCGAACAATGGCGATGACCCATGCTAGAGTTAGCTGGCAAAATGCAGGGTCCGAGGAGGAAATGGCAGGACGTTTCCAAGCCCGTCTACATCGCTGAACATCAAATACAGTCCTGGGCTTGGGTTGACATGCATATGAAGACCACACGTAGCCGTCAATGCTGAGAAAGCCTCGCATCGCGAGGATTTGCAGACGCGCATGCATCCAAGAAACTACGGAAGAATGCCCGAGCCTTGCAAGAAATGTTCTCGAAAAAGGCCATTAACAATTTGACATTGCTGAGGACAGCGTGTCAGAACGCGTACAAAAAGCATGAAGATACCAAAGTACGTCAGAGACGCAGGGGGGTCTAAAAAGAAGAACAGAAACTTCAGTCGAACAGGATATACGGGTAAACGGCTCTGGTGATACGGTATAGACAGTCTGGTCGCATCATGTCGACCTGTGGTATTGCGGATTATTGAGTATGCTTCGAGTATGCTCGCGGGGGAATAAACGGTGTTGGAGTATGTATATGCGTCTCATGAAGGGCGGATAGGCGCGTCTGAGGACCTTAGCATGGCTATACAAGCGTGGTTCAGCAAATGTATTGGGCGCAATACATGGCACCTAAACGGGAAGCAGAAGAGTGGAGACTCACGAAGATTCCGAATGGTTTTGAAGGACTTGGTTGCCCATGCAGTTTCCAGCGCCTCTTTCAGGTCGTGGTTCGCGCTCACCAGGTCCCTCGCAAGCGGGAGGTACACGTATCTGTGGTCAAGCTTCCCTGCGGAGTAGTGCACGATCCAGGTGAGGAGAGTGGCGGCGCCCTCGAGGTCGAGTGGGAGAGATAGCTGGAGCTGGAGCACGTCCTTGTCGAGCGCCGCGTGGTCCGCGTCGCTGAGGTCGTCGGAGAGCGCGATAGTGGAGAAGCGCGCGAGGATGGTGGACGTCTTCTGGCGGACGTGTGGGCGGCCGAACGAGTTCGAGGAGGGTGACGCGCTGGCAGGCGAGCGAGGGCGCTTAGACTTGGATGGCGTGACGAACTTGAACGGCTCAGCGGTGTCGACGCAGCTCATCGTCGCGTCGCAGTCCATGGCGGCCGAGTCGACCACCATGGTCATGGATGAGGCTGTAGCTGTTAAGGTCGTCTACCACGATGCTGTTTCAGAGAGGTGTGGGGTCAACTTACTCGGTGTTATCCCAAGCATTTGATGTGGTTGACTTTTGACAGGTGTCTTGTGCAGCTCGACGGGCACGTTGGGCGGAGGTAAAAAAGGTCCACAGCCTGGACTAACCTAGAATAGACGCTCGCCGCCGGTCTACTGGCCTAGCAACTTCCGTCGATGACGATAACGTTATCCTGCCTATTATCGTCAGTGCATTGCCTCGTTTACGATGCCGGAATGTCTATCAGGCTGTTCAACGCTCGATGTTTACCTCCGGGAGGGTTTCCGAGTCTCCCACTGGTTTGCCTATCGAGATATATCTGTCCAGTTACTCACTTGCTATCAGCTAGCCTTTGCATCTTCGCGGGCCGTCACGGGCTTCCCTAACATCCAGGCTGCGATTACGAGAGGGTGGTCCTTTGATGGTTGGAAGGTACAAATGGTTCACAAGGTGCGTAACCCCAATATGCTCTTTACGTTACACTCGGACCTTCGGCCCCCTCTGCTCAATACAACCCGGGAACGAGTTTCCACCTCGCCTTCTCAGCCCACCTGTCCCACTGCACACCAAATTTCTTCCTCAGACCTTCGTCCTCCACCCTGCACCGACTAATCATTACTCCGACAGCCAACAGCGAGAAGACGATCCACAGCGTGCTTAGGCCGATCGAAATCCATACCAGACGACCGGTCTTCTCCACCGTCCACGCCCACGGACCATACGCTATACAGCATCCCGCTAGGAGAACAATGCCTCCCGTGTACGAGGGGTGACGCACCCAGGCGTACGGACCATCCGTGATGAGCGTGTGGTCCCTTTGAATCGCAAACTCGAATGTGAACATACAACCCATCGTCCTGTAGCACCACTTTCGAATGGAGACGCCGGCCAGCACGACTCCCATGCCAGCTAGCAGGTATTCAGTCCGGGTATGAGGAATGTACGGCGCTATCTCGCAGGATGCTGATAAGCTTGGCGGGGCAAGCATGTTCAGCGTCGTGCACTCCGCCGACAGGTCGAGTAACGCAGGGAGGATCCATATCCACTATGTAAGTACGCGATGAGTCATGATCGCAGTGTCTCGGTCAGGCCCATCTATACATCACAGATGTACACGGCCAACACTCACCTGCACGAGGAAGTACAGCAGGTTGTGGGACCACGTCTCTATCCATGTCACCTTGGGGCGGTCGGCAGTCTTGGGCACCACATGGGGTGGCTTTAGGGCGGCATACATCGTCGCGACCATCGCGAACACGATGGAGACCTTGAAGGCGGACATTGTACTCGGTGATGTTCGGTGAGTGCACTTCCGGATGGTCTTTCTGGCGACGCTGGCACGATGGGCCCCGCTCCTTTATGTCTTTCTCTCCACTAGATCGTGAACTTGATAGTGGCGCTTTGGTCTGCTTGAGTTAGGCTAGCATGTCGGGGCGGCGCCGCCCCACTGCACCGAGACTGTCAAAAACACGTACCAGAAGGCGCCACTAGCGCTGAAATGCTGGCCATTCACTCGATTTTGTTCTTCGCATTGTGCATGCACCCGCCCACAACCTACCGGTCGACCGGGTGCCCGAAATGATGTAAACGATGAGGTGACTTGAAGAATGTACCTTGTCGCTTTTTCAATTAGATCATATTTATCGACCATCTTACTCTGACTGCTGGTCCGAATATATGCCGTCCCGAGAACATGCCCTGCCTTCACAGACTACAGTGATAGGAGTGATAGGGGAGAGGTGCATTATAACCGTATTTAAAAGGAAAGCCCCTAACCTGCGAGAAGGTGATCCCATCAATCTGCTTCCGCGAACGCGACGAGAGTTCTGATGCAGTGTATCGCTGTGTGTCCTCGTACTCCTATCTACGCCTATTCCGCAACATTCAATAATCGGACGTTTTGTCATCGAAAAGGTCAGATGAACACTTCGAAACGGAAGTTTGCTTGCTGAATATATTATGGGCGCTATCAAAGTGCCATGCGGGATCGTCGGTCGTGATAAGCGCTCCGTCTGCGTTGACGGGGCGTACCTTGAATTCAATGCATGTACGTCTCCGCAATCGACTTGCTTGCAGCGCTCGCCGCTCGGAGATTATCGCATAGCCTGCGAATATTTTGAACGCATCGAAAGTTTAACACACACCGTTCGTGATCCATCGCTCTTATCGTCTGAAACACAACGCGACTGCACCGCGGATCAAGGTCGCACACACCACGCCATCATAAGGTCTGCGATGTATCGTACGTTCCAGTGCCGATGTCGCGGTCAAGGAAGAAAAGTGGCACGGATATGAGACATTTTGGCTTGAGGAGTTGTTGATCTGCAAGGTACCCGCCTCAAGCAACGTTCGAGGACGTGCGGACTCGACGATCACGGCAAGCCTGACAAGGTCTGACGTTTGATGAATTGAAGTTGACATGACATCTGTGTGATCGCGGAAGGTAGAGTTCTAGACCGACGGAAATCTTTCCGGGTTCAAAAGGGTGCAAACGACTGGATACACAAAGTACCATATGCATCCGATCTCAAGCCGTGCCTTGTCAATGTTACCGTGCCAAGCGCGTGTTCCTCGCAGTAGGATATTAAATGTTCACAGACGCGTTATCTCATCCTCCGCAGTTGTCTGTTTCTCGCAACGTGCATGTGGGATTGTCAAGTTAAGTAAGCGAGGGCGCTCCGAGTCAGACTTTCTCTTTCACGGCCATGGCTGACAAAGATCAGCGCAGCCAAAATGCATAGACAGCTGTCAGTATGGGCGCGACGAGAGCGCGATGTAGGTGCGCCAGTTGTGCGCCAGTAATTCATCCAGCGTCAGCCACAAACTGCCACAAAGCGCTCGCGATCCTTCGCGATCAAGCACGACTAGTCCGCCGACAGCCATCGTCACTGTTCCATCTGATGGCGAGCAACGTCGGCGTATATGTTACTCCGAATACCCGAGGGGCCGATCGATGATCAGCGTGATGCCGCGGAGTTACCCAACGAACGTGCCCGGTCTCTGGAACTTGTAGCTGGACCATCCCTTCACTGCACACTGTTTGTTGGACTTTAACTGATCCCCCCTAACCATCGCGTGTTCAACGTCGACTCCTGGCTCTTGCTGACATCGCCAAATTCGTTGACAAGGAAACTTTGAATCAAACTGAATCCATCTTTGCAGGGTGGATCGTATGGTGAGTACCTGAGACGCTCTTTCGTCGAGTTGTTACGGTAAGGCTGCCCAGGTGCTGAAATCTGATCAGTACGATTGACATATTCCCGCCTTGTTGAACTTGAGCATATCCTCGTTGCAATCTGATTTTTTCCCTTGCGATCAGTCTCTCCGATGAGTTACAATGGGAATGTTGGCTCTTCACAGTCGCCGCAACATTATCAATACTTATTACCAACATTCCCTCGATACAATGTTTGATATTCAGTGCTCGATATGTCATCTGCGGGGTGACGTATTAGTCAAGGCACGCTGACTGAAATGATCAGCTAACAGACGCGCATGTAAGGTATGTCAGTGATTCCTGAGAAAGGGTGACAGGCGGCGCTAAACCGCCGTTAGGAGCGCCAGATATGTAAGGAAGATGACAGTTGTGAGTACGGTTGACTTGGATGTGTTGAAGGATGGACAACAACAACCTGGGTGTAGCCGTCCGGCAGGATCACAGACATGATTGACGCGTTCAATGGAGCGATATTATATTCTAGCAGACATAATGCTTGGCGGCGACGCAAGACTACAGCTTTGAGGTTTGCAGGTCCCTTCACCTTGCACTGGAGTCACCGCATACCAGCTGCGGCGCATTAATCTGAAGTAGGAACTGCCAAAAAGGCTCCTTGCCCAAAAGGAACAGTGCTGTATAATGGTCGTGGAAACCCGATACTCACGCAGCGAGGCTTCTTGGCATTTCCTTCCGCCCGTCACCCACTTGCTTCCGAACCTGAACCTGAAACTTCGATGGTCGGCCATGCTGGTCAGTCACGCCGAATAACACGATTTGAATCGTATGTGATGCGAGCCGTCCACCCGAGATTGACCTGCGATCAGCGCCTTTTACACTGCCCTCTAGAACTGAGCGATGTGTGCTCGTCGCCTGGGTAAATATAGAAGATCACATCGAGGCGTCTTCTCGTCTAACCTTCTGCCCACTCTCTTTCATCATCTCACCCCCGGCCGCGATGGCTTCTGAACTGTCTCTGACGCTGTCGATACCTCAGCTTCTCCAATTCAGAGTTTGCCTCGGACTCACAGACGGACCTCCTAGTCTCCATCTCGACACATCACAGCCGTCGCTGAGTGCACCAACCGCAGACTACTCTGGCGTCGATGTCAAGATCGAGACGCATATCGTCAACGGCCAACGAACACTGCGAGTCTTCGCTGCAGAGAAGCCGGGCCAACAGCAGTCCGCGAAGCCATCCTCGCTTCCTCCCGCAACGAGCACCTTCTATAACCATGACTTGTACTCATCACAACCGAACGTGGGTGAGCAGTCTGCGGCACCATCGCCTCAGATGTCATCACAGGCATTGCCAGGTAAGTTAGGTTTCCGTGTGTCTCGGAGCGTTGCTCATGCTATTGATAGTATCGTACGATTTCCCTATACAAGACACCTTCATGAACGACATGAGTGAGTTTCACATCGACCTTGCGATACCGCCGGTGTAGGCATCTGACGTTACTCGCCTCATAGGCTCAATGTCCTACTCTAACCCCGCGAGTTTCTCGGCTGTCCTAGGATCGACGGACAGCACGTTCTTCCAGGACTTCATGCAATCTCAGGCTGAGCACGGTGAGTTGTTTGACTCACTCCATCTGAACCTCATCCTGACTCGTCGCAGACCAACGGATAATTTCCATACCTTCCTATGATACGCATGAACAACTCGAGCAGTGTACTCGGGCACCACCCCCATCCGAAGCCACCACACCCGCCGTGTCTCGTTCAGCCACCCCTACACCCACACTTGAAAAGCAATCAACGGGCGCGGAGCAAGCAGTCTCGCGCAAACGCCCTCGCCGTTTCCCATGCCTGGACCCGTCTTGTCCCCGCCGTTTCGCCAGCAAGGTGAATCCTGTGCTTCTTACCGCCCATTTCCTTGTTACTTATCACGTCGCCGCAGTACACACTCAACCTTCACATGACGACGCACCGTCAGAGCCCGCGGGTGCGCTATCCGTGCGAGATGGGCTGCGCAGAAACGTTCTCCCGCCAGCACGACCGCCTCCGCCACGAGGTGTCAAAACATGGCCGCGTCTGCGAGTGGCTGTGCAACCGATGCCGCCATGTCTTCTCGACTCAGGGCACGCGAGATAAGCACCGGTGCGCTGAGGTGAATCTCTCATCTCCAGACTCCAATTCTTCGGGGAGCTAGTGGGACGGCGGGGTATGGATGAACCGCGGAGCGGTTTTCTCTGGGACGTTAGACAACAGACGGTTTTTTCCCGTCATAGACGCCGCTGACACGCAGGACGACGTCAGTGTCGGTGCTCATACATTGGACTCTCATTGACATCCGGTGAATCACATCAAAAAGAAGCTTTCATACGCGGGTACTGTATAGCACAGTACTTCCGATTTCTTCTCATCTTACATGCAAGCTACTACCATGGGACGCTCTATGCACTAGGATACTTATCTGATACGTATGGTCGGACCACACATGCTACTTGACTCTGTATTGTAATGTAATGGCAGGAATTGTGCTGGTATCTTTTTTTTTATCTTTGTTTTGGGTGGGCGTTTGATTTTGGGCTTGGGCGCTCTGGTATTAATTTCCGCGCTCTCTGCATTAACTTCTCGTGTTTTCTACTTCCGCTTTTTACCCCGACAGTACAGTTACTGTATTCGGACCAGAAGTTGAGGGTCCGATCCGCGCGCCTGTCAACGGACGGCCACAGCGCTCATGTCGTCTCAATAAACATATGAAATCTTCTCTCTCTAATCCCTGGCTCTTGACCACATAGGGGACAACTTATCTGTACTCTACAAAAACCTTCCTCTGAGATCTAGAGATAAGGCTCTAACTCACACATTGAACATGACACTGCTGGCTGTTAACCGTTCTCACCCGATCACTGAGGATGATTGAGTGATTGCCATATAATACTTGCAAGATATTTGCCCTCACATCTGCGGTTTGCATTCAGCGAGAACTTGTTTTGCTTCGCATTAGAGGTACACTGGTGTTTTTTAAGCTATAGCGGAGCCTAGCACGGTGAATGAAATTTGTTTCTTCACTTCCGATTGACCTATGTCTCGTTTGATCCAGAACCCACGTTTAGTACCTAGATTAGCACGATTTACGAAACTTGCAGGCATTTTAATATGTTCAGGAAATTGGGTTCCTCCAAGTTTTCGGTGCATATGTCCTTTGTGTGTCATTATTGATGAAATACGCTCGTTGTGTGGATAATCTTATGACGGTAATAGGAATCAATCGTGCACACATGACAGAATGTAGGATGTTTCGAGCTTCACAGCTCTTCAGTGGCCCTCAGATATACGACGGTCTCGGGGCTAATGCTGTTTGATGGAGTCCCTGCACAGCCACATAACCGGCGGGGCTGAGTGAGCCCGATGACTTTGACAGGACTCATTGCCCTCGGCAGCCCCGACGTCAAACAATGCCTGGTCGTTTCTTGTGCTCGACGTACGCATCAGCCAATTCGTAACTACTCTTTATCGTCAGTTCTCTATCCTCAATGCTACCGCACTACGCCGTGTGCTAACTAGCGTCGCCAGCTCACCACGGAAATAGCGCTCAAATTACACCTGTCAACCACACTCACCGTTGTAGCCGGCCCCTCCTCCCATGTCGACATCCTCAGCAGCAAGCCTGAAGCGTGGAGAGGCGTGCACATCGTGCCGGTGCGAAGCATCGCTCTAACTTAGGTTGACAGCCGTCTGACCGTTCGGTCCTGTTCGACCGCCCTTCGTGTGACAACAGACGACGCAAAGTGGTGCGCAACGCGTTTCAACATGACCTCTTCGGTATCCTTTCTAACGGGGTGGCTTCAGAAATGCAGTGGTGCACGACCTGTTTGCAATCAATGTATGCGTCTCGGTATACAGGTGGACTGCGAATACAAGAGTTACGCCCGCATGTCGCACACCGAAGCCCTGGAGCTCGAAGTCCAGCGCCTCCAGGCTCGCCTCGAAGAAGTCTCTGCGCATACACCCAGTGCTTCCACCGATATATCGTCCTTCGCAAACTCCCCAGCCGACCACAGCACCCCCAGCATGACCGAAAGCTCAGCCGAGAAGGAGATGACGTCGCCACCCGCTGCTGGTCCGTGCGAGGTTGATTCGTGGTGGGAAGGAGACAGGCCGGCCCAGGTACATATCCAGCAGGCGTGCGTCCGCTTCATTCTTCTATGCCATGCTTCCAGATTAATTTCGTAGCATTCATGACTTCGAGCCGCATGCCCACTGGCTTGGGTACTTCCTCGACCCCGCAGAGGAGTTCCGTTCCCCCGATAGCCCGGAAAAGACCCTGTTCTGGAACACCTTTATGCTTTGGGCCGTTCACCTCTCTCGCGACGTCAAGCATACGGTTCACGAACCCGCCATACGCAAACTCGTGCATGGCCAGCTGAATGATGCCGTCGCCAAGCTGACCCCCGCTAACTTCCTTTACGCCCTCCAAGCCGAAGTCATTCTCGCATATTACTGTATACGCAACGCTTACTGGCAGCAGGCTCGCTACCACGCGAGCGCAGCGGCGACCCTTGCTCTGGACCATCAGCTTCATGAGCCCCCACGCTGTAGCACCCCCCTTACCGAGCTTCAGTATCAAGGCCGCCCCTATCTTGAGCTGAAGGATCATCTCAATCCCGAAGCCCGCCGAAAAGCCTTCTACTACGTTTGTTTCCTGGACAAGACCCTGTCGGTGGTCACGGGAAATAGATCCATGCTGACATTGGAGGTATGCATATCATTATTGCCGCGATTAATCTTGCTTGTTGACTGGAGCGTCGTCTAGGATACATCTTGGCTCCTCGCAGAGCAACGTGAAGAATCGCAGCCAGGTGATGTCTTTGCTTTGGGCGCATGCGTAGCAATAGCTTTCCACCATGCTTCCACTCTTTGTACGAAGGACAACACAGACATAGGTATGAGTTCGCCTTCCGCGATATTTGTCAGCTAGCTTATTGTGCTGTGCAGATGCCGTGCAAGATCATGACCGGGTATCAAGCTCTTTGTTAGTCAAGGTAGACAATCTGCGAACCGGCGAGCTACCCATAGCCGATGCCCGGTTCTATCTTATCTACAAGATGTTGCTGCTCCTCACTCGGATCTATCTCCGATTACCTTTTGAAGATAGTAACCCTTCTGCACGATCGGAAGTGGTCGACCTACTGGCGGAGTTCTGCCATACAGCATCGGAGGTCGACATGCCGTCACTCAAAATCTTCAACCCGGTGATGAGTGTGAGTGATTCGGCATCATCAATGGGGCGGACCGTCTAACCTAAGGTAGAACTTCTGGGTCGCGACCTGTTATCTCATCCGCAAAGAATTGCAGTGCGAAGAGAATCACGGACGTTCGCTGTCGGCGAGATCGAAGTTGGTTGAAGGGCTTGATTATCTATTACATTCACTCATGGCGCTGAGTCCGGAGGTGCCACTGAAAAGTAAGTCCCGACGGTGCCCTCAAAACATAATGCAGCTGACGCGAGCGGCGGAACAGGCTACCGCGAGAAGCTCGAGGCTATCATGCCCATGCTTTGAGGCGATATCTCTTTGTCCCCAATGCTGTGTTTTGTACCTATGTTAATTTGCATCATTAATGACTCATCCAGCCTACCACGAGTTGGATAGCTCTCGACCCAGTTGAGCCACGCCTCGGCCTCTATTAATGCCTCCCGCGAGGGTGTAAGATCGGTGTATGGCATCTTCCGGGATAGGTTTGTGGTGCCGCAGTAATCCTCATCACGTGATTATCTGCCGCTCCTCCCGAAACGTACACTCACTCCAAAGGCTAGCTTACAGGATCGACGGATGTATCGCTCGCTCCTCACCGCGGTACCGTCGGGACGAAGATAGTTGCGATGATCCAATTTCAGGTACAGTCCTCCGGAAACCTGTGCTAGTCCGCTTAGCCTCGGTCCACGCTGCGCGGTGCGGAGCGGATAGGCCTATGGAATTGCACCACCGTCGGAAGACAAGCTCTATCCTTGCCTCAGACTTCATGTCATATCCCTTAGAACTCCATCGCGAGAGCCAGAAGCCGAGCGGGGCAGTGCACAATGTGTGGTGCGTGGTCTGACTTTCCGAGAATCACCACACTTATATACACCTCGACCTCCGTGGCCGGGCTCCTCTCTTTTTCTACGCTTCCCCCGAGACTCATGATAGCAGTCACTGATGCAACAGTCCAACCCAAGTAACTCGTCTTCGTCCTCGCCGCTGCAATGGGGGATGGCATGTTCGGCTTGCCGGTACGCATTCTTTGGTGATGATTATCATAACACATCTATTGACCCTTGTATAGGCGTCGGAAAGTGGTAAGTGCACTTGAATGGTGAAAATAAAGGGTGCTGACTGGGAAACGTGGCATGTTAGAGGTGCGATGGTGGTCAGCCGGTCTGTGGGAGGTGCAGCAGGAACGGTCGGGCTACGGAATGCCACTACGGAGACATCGATTCACGACTAACTGGTCACGTCCTCCGACGCGAAGTAACCCAACTACGCGCGCGGGTCCGCGAGCTCGAACGCTCGAGCAGCAGCGTTATGCTGCAGAGCCCCTATAGCCATCCCTCCGGGTCTGCATCTCAGCCTGAGATGCGTGGTAGTGCAGACCCACCATCAGACGGGGGCGCGTCCGTGTCGTCGCCTTCGACTAATTTCCTTTCCCCCACACGTAGGTCCCTCCGTACGAGGGTCATGGTTCGTGCGTCCCTTACATCTGGTTTTAGAGATTACTTCGCATGACTCGTCCGACTCAGGCGAAGGTTTCAGGCACTCACAAGGTCCGGCGATGTCCTCAACGCATCTAGCTCCTCCTAGTAAGTACCATGAACGCGACAAATCCGTTCACCTCGCTGACGATGATATGCAGATATCACAGCCCATAGCTCGTCTGGCTCGAGAGAAGGGTCGGCACGGTCGCACGAAGCGCAAAGCGATAGTGGGGAAGAGCTGTCGATCGCGTGAGCATCTCTCGTCTTTTGGGTACGCACATACTTACTTTGAGGGAGGCAGATGGACCACGTTCCAGGCATACGCCACTAGCGTAGGCTGGTTTTTAAACGTGGAACGGTTCCGAGAGAAAACGGTTCACCAAACTCTCACCGGCCACTCTTCGCGCGCCCTGGGTGCCTTAGTTACGCTTTGGAGCAGGGTTCTCTCAAGTGACGTAATCCATGACTCTGAGGATGGGCTACTTCATCGCGCACAAGACCACCTCACACGCGCATCTCCAGACGTCGACTCCAGCGCATTCGTTCATATCCTGCAGGCGGAGATCCTCCTGTCGTACTACTTCCTCACTAGGGCTCGGCCCGTCGACGCACGGTGTCACAGTTCCATCGCTGTCTCGCTAGTTTGCGCGTTTTCTCTCGACCGTCAAGGCGCTGAAGCCTCGAACGCACTGTTCGGCGTACTCGGAGATGGCCGTAGGACTTTGCAGCATACCGACGATGTGGTCGAGCTGGGCGAACGCGTGCACGCATTCTGGGCCGTGTTCGCGCTAGAGAGCTCTATCTCCGCCCTTCTCGGCGTTCCGTCCGGTCTACCGGCGTTCGAGAGTCGGATCTCGACGCCGTGGCCGCTCGAGCATGCGGACTATGAACATGTAAGTTTTGTTCTATCTTTACAATCGTCGGCGTTATGATCGTCTTTTCTATATCTAAAGTGACAGTTGCAGGGTACCCCGATTATCGGCTCGTCGAACACGGATGTCTTTTCCATGTTCTCGCAGGAGCAAGCGCCCACCAGGCTTACTCTGGAGGCAAAGGCCGCGGCGCTCTTCCAGGCATCGACTGCGCTGAGCATGGATGACCAAGGAGGTGAGTGCCATGTGCGTCTTCGTCTTTTAAGGGCCTTGTCAAATAGTCATCGCACCTACCACAGGAAGCGGCATACCCGTGGATGCCAACTACTGGGCCCGCTGCCGGACGCTCGACAACCTCATCGACAACTTCCTACTTCGCTTTTCTTCAATCAAATCTTCCCCCGAGCACCATGGTTCCTTTCGTACTGTGTTGACGTCGTTTGTTCTTGCGCACGCCGCGCGTTTAAGATTGCACCACACGTTCCACTATAACTACCCCATGTCGCTGCAAAAGTGGGACGACTCGGTGAAGGAGGTTGCGGGCGTTTTGGGAGTGTCACAGCTACCGAGTCCTCTTGTCATAGTAAGCAACTCTGCTTCTTAATCGTATTGAGAGACCATTTTAACGTATTCTCTAGCACGTCTTTGCGTCCGTCTGCAGCATGCTCCAGTCAGAAGTTACATGGTCCCAACAGGGCACCCTCCACACCCCCGCTCCAGATCCAGCATCAGTCGGCGTGGGCGAAGCGGCGCCCGTTCCGAGACACATCACGCTCGCTATTCTCTTACGAAGCATGCTGGAGAGCGGACTCTCCTCCGCTTCCCCTGTCTTCACTGGTAAGCAACCCCGGCGGCTCGGCTCTTTGGTGCCTTTGCGCCTCGGATGTTTTATAGATTACTAACTACTGCGCCGCACAGGCTTGAAGGACAAATTGGAGCGCCTGCAGGCGCAGTTTATCTCCTGATTTTCTTTTTCTATCATATCATTACGCATGCGTACACGGACCGGGTTTCGCTAGTACTTTTTGATCTTCCACATACACGTTCTTTCAAGGTGTGTCTCCTTACTGCTTGTAAACGTACCGGGAACTTACCGGACCGGTCGCAGTATTGCATTGGATTTGTAGCGCATAGAGAACACTGTTATTTGCTTTCGCTTCTTTCTGATTTTGTTTTGGGATGCTTTGACTCTTGCTTTTCTGTTTGCACTTGATTCCCTTCTCAGTTTCCTTTAGTCAAGTGGGACGTACACGCTTCCCAGTACTCGAACTATCCTTGAACCAATGATACGTATAGTCATGTCTTATATACTCTAATTCTATAATCGTAGCTAGCTTTGGAGCTCATAGACGAGAATGTTCTTGCTGATAAAATCCGCTCGGGTTTTTAGGACAAGAGGCAGAGCCGGGTAAAGTAAGCGCCGATGTGTGCTGTGTGCTGACTAAGGTATTAGGGGCGTGCGTCACTGCAGCTCGAGGTTGACCTGAACGCGTATTGTGAGTCGTGCAACAATGCTTCCCTTCCTCACAGAAACAACCAAAGCTCGCCGTGAAATCAACCTTGGAGGCTCGTCGACAGCGACTTCGCATACGTCCATCGTCGACCAGGCTCGTGCACGACGCAACGAACGCGAAGCGCTCCGGAAGCGCACCGATAGCGCTGTTGCCATCCAGTCATGGTGGAGAGGCAATCTTGCAGCTCGACATGTGCGGCTGCAGATGCGCGATGTCTTTCAGGCGGATGTAGTTGGAATCAACGGGATGCGATGTCTGGTGTTGTGCAAGGATGAGGAGATGCTGAGGGCCTGGTCGACGACCGTGAACAACAAGGGACCGGGTGAGTTTGTGCTTGCTAGCCCAGCGAAAACGCATTGACATCTTCAAAGAGGCGCTTTTTGGCCTTGCAAAAGGAGAAGACGGACAACGGTGGCTTGTGCTCATACGGCAGATCACTATTCTGCTATTGCACTCGGTTGCTCGGAACCCTCGGTGCGTCTGTCCTATGTCAACGATACAAACCCTTCTCATCATCAAACACTCCAGGTCCGAGAGCACGGTGATGCATTTGAACGTTATAAACTCCCTTCTGGATGGTTCGACGGCGGCGTCGTTCCTAGGATTGGACCAAGCCCGAGAAGTCACCGAGGATATAACATCGTACGTTCTCGGTCGAGACCTGCTAAAGTCGATAGGGCAAGCCATAACATCCATCGTGAGCACCGATAAAAGCTAGTACATGTTGCTGTACTGAAAACTCCTTAGCCCGCTGAATCGCGTACGCATCCCGCCTTACCCATCTTGGTCAAGCTGGTGCCTCTTCCTCTCGACACCCTTCAAAGCGCCTCAAAACAGCCGCATCCACTTCTCCCTCGCTATCTACACGACCTCATAACATGTATTCTCAGCATTCCACTCTTGCCTAATCGCATACCTATCACGTCGCTTTCGTCGCTCTCATCACGTCTCCCACTTGCATCCCTGCATCTTGCATCATGCTTCGATCCAACTTCGCCTACAACGCTCAACTTAGACGTCAAGCCTGACTTACGACCCCATCTGCTTGCTAATCTTCTCACTTTCACATCTCCTCGATACGCATCACTTCCCACACCAGCGCTCACCGCTTACCTTCGGCTAATTGGTTCCCTCGCTTGCATTCTTGACGCAGAGAACGCACCATCACAAGATATAGTTGTCCGTAGGATAGACGAAGATGACATGGACGTATCACCATCGCCCCATTCCCAGCTCCCACCCACCAAGATGAACGTGCTAGATAGCAAGACACTCAAACGCATAGCTTCCCTGCACTCCGCCAACCACCTTACCTCCCTCCTACGCACTACCCAGAATGCGCTAAATCGGACCAACGAACCGTTGCACGCCCTCACGCTGCTTCTCCTCGCTATAATCCGGGCATTCCCAAGCCAAAGAGGAAGAGTACTAAACAGCGTCCTGGTTTGGGGAGGTGGCGGGATGATACGGGAAATATGGCGAGCATGGGTGAGGAGCGCGAAGATCGGAAACGGTGAAGGGAGAGAAGTCTATGGTGGGTTTCAACTTTACGGAAGTCCTTGGATTATGGCAGTTTCAACTTACGCATATATGCACACTCAGATTCATCCAATGCATCGCACTGGCCGCCCCTCTTGCTGCTCACTGAGCTCTACACCCAGAGTCTCCTTACCATGGGCGACGACGAGTTCTTTGCCCAAGGCCGAGGTGGTCCATCCGCCTCCACGTCTGCCTCCGCCTCAGGTCGCGCCACTGCCCCACTTCTGACGCTTGACGAGCTAGTCGCGTTCTCGCGGCGGCTGTTCAACATCGCGTTCGTACTGTACTGGCGGGACGACGTTTTTGCCGGATCTTCCTCTGGCCCTGGGTCCGGCGTTGGTGCTGGAATTGCCAAGAGCGGGGAATTCAGTGGTTTCGGCTCTTCGTCTTCCAACGGCAGTAGTGGAAGTAGTTCTGGGGCAGCCGCGGCCGTGCCTAACGGTTCGGCTGGAAGTGGGAGAGTGCCACTTGTGGATTCACCTCTTCCGGGGTTGGGAGGGATTACGTGGGAGAACGCGAGGGAGAGTGTCACGACGTGTTTGAGGGCGGTTTGCGAGAGAGAGTACGTATTCCTTCTCCGTGGTTGAACTGGACAGGCCGTTGACGCAGCATTTAGCTCGCGGAAGCCGTTCATGCCTGCGGACCAGTGGCACGTGAGCGCGCATATAGACATGGAGTCCTTTGTGGACGCAGCTATGTACGTCCATTACCCATCAGTATCGCCATGGATCTCCACTGACGATCTCCCAGCTTTGAAGCTGAACAGCTCTCATCCGAAGAAGACGCCCCTATAACACAACGTCAGCTAACCAAGCGGCAAATCGCGCACCTTAGTCCACGTTTGCAGATCCTGCATAACATGCCGTTCGCAATCCCATTCGACACGCGCGTGCGCATCTTCCGGTGCTTCGTGTACAACGATATGCGCACGCGTGCTAACCGGCGGGATGGATCCGGTGCGTTCGGGATGAACGGCCGCTGGATGGGCGGACCGAGGGGAAGAACGGAGGTGGCGATCCGCCGCGGGCACATCTCACAGGATGGGTTTGATAGGCTCGGCGAGATGGATCTGCGGGAGCCAGTGTCGATCACGTTTATTGATCAGTTTGGAAACGAAGAGTGAGTGATGCTTTTTCCTGGACTGTAAGGGTTTGCACTAACGAACGAACCCGATTGAATGGATGGAATAATATAGGGCTGGCATCGACGGAGGCGGCGTCTTCAAGGAGTTCTTCACGTCGCTCTGCAAGGAGGTTTTTGACACGGATCGTGGATTGTGGCTTGCGAACAAGAAGAACGAGCTTTATCCTAATCCGATATCCTATGCCACCGAGTGTGAGCCTTTTCTCCCTAGAGTGTTATCATTCAGCGTATTGATGCGAAGACACCCTGATAGCCCACAGCTTGAACTGGTATCGGTTTATTGGGCGTATTATTGCGAAGGCGCTGTATGAGGGAATTCTAGTTGAAGTTGCGTTTGCTGGTTTCTTCCTCGCCAAGGTACGATTAAGACGTTTCGTCGTTTACAAGACCTTCTCTGACATGAAGTTCGGTGTAGTGGCTTGGCAAGCAAAGTTTGTTGGACGACTTGGCGTCACTTGATCCCGACTTGCATCAAGGGCTCATTTTCCTGAAGAACTACAACGGCGACGTAGGAGACTTGTCGCTCAACTTCACCATCGCTATTGACGGTACGTACTCACCGTCTCAAATCGTCTCATTTTTGACAATGGCTACCAGAGTTTGGGGCGAACAAGACTATCGATCTGATCCCGAACGGGAGTAACGTGGCTGTTACGAAGGAGAACAGGCTGCAATACATATACCTCGTGTCGCACTATCGTCTGAGTCGGCAGATCCGATTGCAGAGCGACGCCTTCTTTGAGGGTCTGTCGGAAATCATCGATGACAAGTGGCTCAAGTGCGTTGTGATTACCGTCCAATGGCCTAAGTTCGCTGAACGTCGTTGACATTTAACAGGATGTTCAATCAACAAGAACTACAGATTCTCCTCGGCGGAGTGAACGCACCCATCGATCTGCAAGACCTCCGCGCGAACACGCAGTACGGCGGATTGTATGATGATCATGCGTCGACGATCGAGGCTTTCTGGAAAGTTCTTGAGTCGTTCAACCAGGAGCAGAGACGGGCATTCCTGCGCTTCGTTACGAGCTGTAGTCGGCCGCCGTTGCTGTAGGCCTTGATCCTCTCACCATTTATCCCAACGTCTGACGCCTGGTTTCTTAGCGGTTTTAAGGAGCTTAGGCCACAATTTGCCATACGAGACTCTTCGAATGATCAGAATTGGCTTCCGACGGCGAGCACATGTGTTAACCTACTGAAGGTAAGCTGTGTCTGTATTTGATCATAAAGAGTTCGTTTGCTCATTGTATATTCGCAGCTTCCGCGCTATGAGTCTGAGAGCGTGCTGCGCGATAAACTACTGCAGGCTATCTACTCGGGCGCAGGATTCGACTTGTCTTGAGCGATCCATCGCTAGACAACTCTATATTACATTTGTTTTTAGACTGAGGTTCTGTATTATCTGTAATGCTTAACTTTGCCGTACATGGCGAGCACGCGATACATTAGCTGTATATACAGGAATAAATTGTTACCAGTTGGAACAAAAGGGTCAAGCCATTCACAGTCACTGTGGACGCCCAGACTTGACATTCGTAACGTGGGAGGGGATTCATAACCATATGCTGAATGTCACTTTTGGTTATATTGGATCAGAATACGGAAGTCATCAGAATACGGAAGTGCCCTCATTCGTTCGGAGGTGCACTCTTCAGGCTTCAGGCCTCGTGATAATGCGAGCTCATGAATTTTTTTTAGCTGCAATCACAACACAAAATCGTGCGTTGCACCGACATATAAATAATATACAGGGTACACACAAGGTAGCAAACACCCAGGGAGTTAATCCCGTATACGAGTACTCGACTTGTGCGTTATAATACGTAAATAACTTACAATAAATTAAGGACTATCTATGTAGGTCCGTTGTTATGCTAGGAGACAATAACATTAACAATGTAGCGTAACGGTAAGTTACTGGGTATGCGTTTAAGGCGTTATCATTCACGGAAAGGTCGTGGTGAGGCGTTCGCGGACATCTCCACGTGGTTGTCAATATACACATTGTCGCAGAACAACTAGGTTTACTCACTTTTAACGGGATAGGCGCTTTCGGCAGTCTTCACCGCCGATGCGAAGACGATAACCGTCTGTTCCAATTGACGCTTAAAGAATACATCTTCCGTCCGGAACATCTCGTTAACGAGGACGCGCCCGGTATGGCTCCAGAGATTCTACAGACACTTCATTGAGGCGTTCACAACTAATAGGCGGATATCGACGCTCACCTCAAGACAGGGGTTTAAAGGCTGCAACAAGACCATGTCGATACCGTTGATAATGTTAGCAACTGCCAGAACTGAGGCGGCCGCTTCGGCGTAAGAGGCGGGGTCATGAGTCAGCAGGTGGAGCTGTATGTTGGCGATGTGCAACAGGGATGCGATGGTGATGTATTCTCGCAACGTCAGTAAGCTGAGCTTCATGGACTCAGCGACGGCAAGGTAAGACTTGATGATCGTCTTTAAATATCGAACGGAGACTGGATAGAATGTATCAATTAACGACTTAGGTGGGAATAGTTGTCGTCTTACCTGGTTGGGAGTCGAGGTTTCCCAAGTGGTTGTAGGCTCGCGCGATTGTTGCGACTTGGCACATGACGACGGATGATTGAGTGATAAACCCAAGGTTCCCGAGGATATCGACTTGCGGCGTATCGGAGATGAGCCAACTCGTGTCCTGAATATCGATGAGCGCCGAATAATTAGTGAACAAATATATATTGAAAGTTGGTTTCCTTACTCCTGAAGGCAAAAGCGACGGTATGCTCAACATGTACGACAGGGAGCTATCAAGCAGACAAGCGTTCAAAAAAGCTCTGGTGCAGATCTGCTGGTCCAAGTGCGTTGACAGCTCCCGATATGTTTCTACGGGACACGATAACACAGGGGTAGACGTATACGGTGACATTGAGCGTCCTCGATGTAGGTTCAAGTCGACGACTAAGGAAATGGCAGCGTTGGAGTGGTATCGCGCCTCGAACCATCGTGCGTTGCGTATAAAGTAGTAGGCGAGACAGAGCTCCGCCTGGAGAATGTAGAGCAGGCTGTCAGGAGTGATCCGATGGGCGAGATTAGAAAGCTGCTGCTTAGCGCGTCGGAGCAAAGCGGGCTCTTGGGTGAGCGGCTCGTCAGGGTAGGTCATATGCACAGCCCATAGCACGACAATGGTGGAAAGCATAGCCTTTGATGGATGAGTTGGGTCGTACGTCGATACGTCGAGCTCTTGGCAGATGTCGACGAAAAACCCAAATTCGCTGGCGCAGGGAGCCACAATCTCAACACTAGTTTGCCACTTTCACGTTAGTATATGATGCTAATGGTCATGAAATCCGAAAACGCACGATTGCCGAATACTTTCGGAAGGGAGTAAACCGTGCTCCAATTCGATTTTCGGCGCTGGAGAGCTCCTGGTCTGGAGGTAGGCCATGCCCAGCGTAATATCGCTCCAGTCGAGCTCGGGTACCTTCGGTGCGGAGTTTGGGGAGCTACCGTTGAAGCCGATTGAAGGTGATGGGTTGCGAGAGCCGTCGACGTAGCCAATTGACGGAGAAAGGTCGCGCGATACGCTGACGAAGCCAACAGACGGAGACGGGTTTCTCGAGGCAGCGTAAGGATCCGCTAGCGGAATGGTTCCCTCGGCGGCCTCCGGGTCGTCTCGGCTCTCGAGTTCGCGTATCCGAGCACGAAGGCTCACAATCTCTTGTTCGAGCGCCTGCGTATGGGTTAGTCGGGGCGGATCAGTGTACTCGCATTCATCGGCCAGGCCAAGTCGCGAGCACTGGTCGCAAATGGGTCGGATACCGTTGCATCGCTGTCAAAGGGAAAGTGGTGAGTCGAACAGAAAATCTAGGAGCTTATAGCGGATGAATTGTATTTACCACTTTTCGTCTCCTGAAAGAAGCACCATTTCACGTATTCAGATCTACTTCGTGAAGAATTTTCCCATGCAACACCGAACGCACCGACAGGGTAGACACGCGGTTCCTCGTCGCAAAGTCGAAGTCGACATGCTGTTCTAGAAGGATGGATGGTATTGAACTACGCGGATCCGGATCTTGCTCAAAAAACCCTGGCACAAATCAGGCACCTACTTATAGTTCTGGCATTGGAAGGTAACACCAACCACCGGAGCAGGATCACGTCAAATGATCGGGCTGTGTGCTCTGAAATGACCCTGTGACACAGCGTTCTCCACATCTAGTCACATTTCTGATGATTCACGTTAGTGAACTTGGTGGAAAACATGCAGACTTCATGTCTCGAGCCGTCATATAAGCTTAACAGCCACGTTGGTTATCACCAACTCAATGATATCGGGGTCATTTGGCGAGATCGTGAGGCTTTCGGGTATTACAGACCGGCTGCAGGTCACGAGCGGAAACCGGAGGTCAAGCAGTGCAGTACGCCGTACAGCAACGAAAAGGGGTTTAGAGATCCTTTGTCGCGTCACGAACGCGCTCTGGCAGATTGTCTGTGTGAAACATATAGTCATAACGCCACGTTGCGCCTGACGATGAAGCATAGAATGCAATAGCCTTGAGCAACCACCCCGCAGTGGCTGGTTCATGAGTCGCTGGAACCATGCGCACCATCAGGGGAACATAGCAAACGGCTTCCGGATGCAGATTACAGGCAATGGTCCACAGCGGTCTTTGGAGCGTCGGATCCTAGGACGCCAATCATCAGATGATGGAGGAGAGGTAACCTGTGCCTTGGGATGGGCATGTGCATCGTCAGGAGTCTAACAGGCAGACTCGAACAGAAATCAAGACGCGTCGTCAGTGGAGATATGTACAGGAACTCAACTGGAGAAGTGCCGGCGGATCACTCCATGCGATCGGCGAGTTGATGTTCCTGAATCCACTTGGCCCAACAGGGCCCAACCGTGTTGAAGCTGTCCGCTGCATGCCTGCAACAAGCACGTAACGTGTTCGTGACTGTCGCGTGAAGTCGCGAAGAAATGACAGCGAAAATAAACGAGAACCCATCATACGCCTACAATCCGGAACATGCGATCAGATTTGACTTCACATAGAAGTACTAGGCATGACAAGGCACTCTGTGGCTGCGCAAAATTGTAGAGATGACTTGGGGATGATGCTCGCTTGACGAGACCTTCCTCTGCCGCGGTAGATCTAAAGGAGAGAAGTTAGCAACGCTTGAATTCCGAATTCATAGTGATCTTGGAATGAATCGGTGGGTGTGATACCAGATGATAACCTTTCTCCGGCCAACCAAGACAGCGCTCGGGAAAACCTTTTGTGTTTCACCACTGGGAGTTCGGTGGTCCAAAAAGCTATGGTATTTCATGATGCGTGTATCGGAAAGGAAAAAGAAAACTTGCGCACAGTTGAGGATGGAGATAAGACAAAAAGGCCGTCTGCAGGCCTGGATGACAATGCGGATGATTCGCGGCAAGCCTTTGTCGCTGTCTTCCCGGAGAATGGCCGTAACTTCTGGGAAATTACGTCAAAATTTCTTACACAAATAGGTGAAGGAGTGGCGTACGATGCTCTACGATGCTCCTGATGAACTGTCGCATGTATGCCAGCGTGTGCCTGGGCGCCAGTTTGCCACAGCGCTCTGATTCGGAATCGGCGGAAGTCCGTCAGTGCCAATATGGAGTATCAATGCGCCCGCTTTAGTCGAATGCACTGAAACTTCATGTATGAGTTTGGCGAAATCTTAGGTAAAGATAAGGTAGCCACAGCTCGCTATGCAGAGCGTTGCGATTACCACTGCACCAGGAAATGCTCTCAATTCTGTCGGTCGCGTTGGTGCGTCGTGGGAGGGCGTCGTCTACATTCGAGGAGCAAGTTGACCAGTGCAAGGCCCAACAAGGTATGACCAGTGCTTGCCAACATTTCAAAACACTACGTTCATACACTACCAGGAAAAAACAGTTTAGCCTTGCAAGGAGGTATGATCCTTACAGCACATATTCGAGGTTCGGCGGATGCCTCGCGGGTGAAGTCGTCGAATAAACATGAAGTAAACAATCGCCAGGTCAGTGATCGTCGATTTTGCTCACCAACACATTTCTCTTGAAGGCTCGGAGCATGAACACTGCATCTGTTGACATCTAGGTACGAGGTGCGGCTACTATGACAGCGAAGTGCGGGGAAGTGATGTGACCAGCTCGAGGTCCCATAATGATTAGTGAAAGCTGGCGAAGTGTATTTGCCCAAGAACGTCTGCACCCGCTCAAATGGCTGTGGTCTGCTGTGATCTGCCGGCAAGCAGCCGCGGGGCCAGTTGATGCGACTGTTCAGCCAGCCATGCTCTAGTGCGGCTTCATCGCAGCCCGGAGTATTATACGACTGGCAAAAACCAAGCGAGAAACGGAGTGCGACAGGTATCAAATGTCCGGGAACCGGACTGAAACGTAGGCGGTGGATATCTCCTCGAAATCCTAGCATAGCGTTGTCCGATTTTGATGCGACCAGGAGTTAAGTTCGCTACTCTCCTACGTGTTTGGACCAGGAATAGGAGAGCTATCTCAAGCGTGATAGGAAAACGCCGAACTCAAACACATGAGATGGTGGTGGTATCGAACAAAATTCTCGGAAAATGTATGCGCCAGAAGCGCAGTGTGGTTTTGGTGAATTAGCCCCTATGATCTCCGGGCAGGACCGGCAGCACGCGTCCTGATCCACTCTCCGAAGTCGTTCGCTCAGTGTCACCGCTCATTCACTTGAGGACCATGCAGCACACACAACAACTCTATGCGAAGTAACGCTCAATCACTTACAGGAAAACAGGACTACATTCAGGTACTAGTGACACGGAAACAGCCAAGTACTTCTTAGCTGCCAGAGCACTTGACCCGCCGAGACTAGAGCACCGAATGGTTTTCTGCGACAAAGACTCTCACACCATTGGCGCTGAACTAACTCTGCACATGGTTGGGGAAGGGAGAGGATGAAGCAAAACAGACGCGATTATCAGGCTCATCTCGCATTGAAACAACGTCGACAGATCCAGGCATCATCTACACCTCCCCACTTCTCTGCCGCGATCTAACTCAGGTATCCTCATCGCCGAGCCCGCCTTCAGGCAGCGACATTGATGGGCGAGCAGCCCAAGCTGATGAGGCCATTCTGCGAACCCCAGGTACGTAAGCTACCGCCAATCGAACTGTCTGTCGTACTGTGACGGAGCACTCACGTAGTTGTTGTTGTCGCAGCACAAAGGCTCCTGGGTGCATGTCGCGCCCTGACCGGTACCGATTACGGTGATGGGGTTGCACTGCACGCCGATCTGGCCCGAGATTCCGTTCAGGAGGTCGCCGAGGCCGAGCTGGCCGAGAGGGCCCTGGGCGTCGTGAGCCTGTTTGCGAACACGAGCACGTTGTCAGTTCGCGAGTGTTTTGGAGGGGCTGTAGGGGTAAGGACGTACAGAGAGGGCGTTGTCGCAGCAGGACAGCGTGCCGGTGGCGCACTGGCCATTCCCGTCGCGTAGGGTGAGGTTGCTGGGCATCGCGGCAGCGACGGTAGCACAGACGACGGCGAAGAGGGCGGAGGTGGTGTGCATGGTGATATACGAATGAGTGGTAAGGCTGAGGAAGCGGGATGAAGACTTGGATTTGTTGGAGGCGATTTTATACGTTGTGAGTGCGCCACTTTCTACTTCTTAATGTCTTGAGAAGTCTTCTTTGCCTAAGTTCTGTCTCACTTCAAGACTTCGACATGGTCCGGTATCGCTTCTCGTATTTCGCTTTTGCAATAAAGCCAAGTTCGTGCTCTTGCGCAGGACACAACGATCGTGAAAGTCTGGTTGGATTACTCGCAGCTTGGAACACGGTGATTCTTGTCGGTATTCCTTCTCTTACTCTACAGGTGATTGCTTCAAGGATGAACTCACATACGCACGCCAGATCCGAGTTTACTGACATTCATGAAACGCTCTAGTCATCGAAGCACCCTATTCTGTACCTTCACCTGCTCGCTTACCTCGGTTTCTGTCTCACTTTAGTACCGCTGCGGAATTTTCAGGACGTGCGCGCTCCAATTTTCACGACAAGTTCAGCCATAAATCTGACAACACGACGCCGGTTCTGAGCAGAAACCGTGTGTTCGACTCCGTTCGCTGCTTTTGTCTGCATGTTTCTCTCCATTGGCTTCGTAACGCCCGCTTCGCGTCAGAGAAGGCCAGATGTCTTATAAATTTCAAGCCGAAGCCGGTTACCGGGAGAAGTCAATATTCACAACGTCATCAGCAATTCAAAGCGAGCTGACGAACCATCGCCTCGCCCGGAAATTGGATATGAAATTTTCACAAAGTGAATACACTAGAATTCTCTGTCGCAGACCTCTCCGTACCTCCACCACCAAACCTCCGATCCGAACGAACAAGGTAGAACCATGTAGAACGAGACAGAACCCGAAACTCCGATTCCGATTCCGAGTCCGATTCCGAGCCACCCGACGGTCGACGTCATAGGTAATCATCGGTCTCCGCTGCGAGTCATCGGGGGCGTTTCTGCTCCGAGTCGACGACATTTGACCCTATCTTACATGTTTACGCCCGTCGATCCCAGTCACTGTTACGAGATCCTCCTCGACGCGGCTCGAGATCTGGACACCTGGAGCCGGCGGTAGGCGGGGGAAGGCTTACTAACGCCTTGGTCGCGTTGTATAATGCGTTGGTAATAGGACGGTGGGCAACTACGGGAACAGGGTAGTAGAATTAAAGAATAGCACACTGCAGTAGCACTGCGTGCTACTATCCGCACGCTTGACTAAGTCTGAGAAGTGCATTGGCGTATTGGATTTTAAAGCCTGCACGCTCTGTATAATCAACGATCAAGGCTTACTCAAACGAAGAAAGCAGATATAATGCCCATGGCCTTTTCATAAACTGGTAAGTACAAGAGACGCTAACTAATTAAAGTAGCGTGAGATAGCGAGCTATGGAGACATGATTGCAGTGCGAGAGATAGAGCGAAAGCGATTATAATGTATAAGCGGACAGACATAAGACAAGAAACGGTCGAGATGAAGAAGAAAAGAGATGCGAGAAGTTGCCACTAACGACAGAAGAAGACATACTCCTAATGAACGAAAGCGCCACTCCGACGGGTGGGTATCAATATAAAACAAGGGGGGAATCGTGAAAGGGTGAAGACGATCAACGTCTATAGCGTAACGGAGAACTTGAGCTTGCCGTCCTCAACCTCGCACTTGACGTGCTCCATATTGTCGACGATATAGTGCGCGCCGGCGTTCTCAATCCTGCTCCGCTCGTGGCTCGTGCAGACAGCGATGACGGTCGCACCGGAGGCCACACCAGCCTTAATACCCGAGGGTGAGTCCTCGAAGACGACGCAGCGCTTGGCGTCGTAGCCGAGCTCCTTAGCGGCGAGCAGGAAGGGGTCGGGGAACGGCTTGCCGTTCTTGAGGCGCTTGTCGTCGGCAGTGATAGTCACGGGCGGGGGTGTAATGCCAACGCGTGTCATGCAACCGTATGCTAGAGGCAAGGAATGAATATTGCTGCGGATGTGGAGAAAGAAAGAAGAGACGAACCATATGTCTTAGCCCCAGAGGTGGCAACGGCGTAGCGGCCCTTGGGGATGGAATCCATCATCTTCTTGACGCCAGGCAAAATCTGGACAGCGCGGTCGACAGCGCAGGCCTCGACTTGCCATGCCTTGAGAGTCCTCTGCTTCTCCTTGAGAAGCTCCTCCTCAGAGCGAAGGTCCTGCTCCTCTTCCTCTTCGATCGAGTCGTCGGCAATGGTGACACGCTCCTCGCGCTGGGGCATAGCGGACATCGAGAGCATATTGTTCAGGCGGGTTCCGAAGGACGGGCGACGGCCACCGGCGAAGGAGTTGGCGCGAGAAGAGGGAGCAGACGAAGAGGGGGTCAGGGAGAGGTCGGGGGTCTGGGAGCCAGAGATGGGCGTGTAGGTCATGGGTGTGTCGATGGGAGTGTTAACGAGGGAGCCAGGACCGTGGCTGTTGTACGCATCGGCGAAGAACAGGATGCTCTCTTCGAAATCCTGCACGGCGGCGTCCATCTCGTGAGACTTGATATGGGGCTTAAACTGGGCGAGATTGTCGACGGCGCGCTTGCCGTGGGTGGCGGCGATCACGTATTCGCGGTCCTGGCCAATGTCGTCGGCGACCTTGCCCCAGGCGGCCTCGACTGCAGAGATAGAGTCGGTAAGAGTGCCATCCTGTCAACACACTTGGGGAGTTAGACTTGGCGGACGAGAGTATGAAAAAACACACCATGTCAAAGAGGACGGCATCGGCGGTGAAGGTCTTGGTGTTGGAAGACATGGTTAAGGGGTGTAGGGAAAAGTTTGTGCGAGTAGAAGAAAGGGGCAGTGAAGAGGTGCGAGAGGAAATGTTCTCGAGTGTTGCTCCGGTGTAGCTGGAGGATGCTGAAGAATGTGGCACGAAACGGCCATCCTTATATACTGTTGTGGCCTCTCGATGCTTACGTCAACGAGCGAGTTGAGATACGAGGCAGAAAATTTGAGGCAGTGGAGCATCGCGAGGATGCGCAGGGACGAAAGCGGAACGGGCGCGATGAAACCGAATGAGTGACACCGGAGGAAGCGGTGACGACGGCGGACAATCCGCTCCAACGGTATCAGCCCGCCCGCTTGCCTCTTTTGGACCACCACCCACAAGTCTCGACAGATCGCCCTCCTGGAGGCCAAGATAGGAAGGTGCGATGGGCACCCTCTACAAATTCACTATTAAAATCGCAATCAGTGCTCCACTCCATCTCCTGCCGCATCCTCGGCCCATGCGCAGGCATCTGGCAATTCTTCTTCCGTCCGACCATGGCGCATGCAAATGTCCGAGCAATCTACAAGCCGAGCACGCTGTGAGCCTTTGAACGCCGGCACCGACCCAAAGCGCTCTATCCCGCTCTCACCCTCTAATCGGGGGTGCAAGACGCTTGCGTCGTCTTCCAGCAAAAACTAAGCCGTTCTTCCAAATCGGTCAATTTCTTATTACCGTCCTTGGCAGCTGCTGGCAGGATGCGGTGCATCTTCGTGAAAGCCAATCTCGATTCGCTCGCGAGGGATCTCCGTCCTGCCCTCAATCACACACAACGTCACGACACTGGTTGACACTGGTGGAGCTGACACCCGTGCCTTGCAAAGCTCTTGTTTCTGGTTGGCTCTTTTCTTATCTCGCCTCCCCGTTATCTTGCGCTCCTCCCCTCCCGCTCCTCCTGACAATGTTCTCCTCCTCAGTATGCCAGCTTAGACCCATTTAGAGCCCCACTCGCTTTTTTTGTTGAACGTTACTCTTTGTTCGCCCGGGTATGAACCGCGTACACCTATAGTGCCAGCATCCATGTACCTGAGCAGCGTTTCACCCATTCGTACCCTCGAAACTATCTTTCTGCCCTAATCATCACGCGCTCCACAAAAGCACGCTCTTTCGTCGTATGGAACAGACGATGCTTGAGCTGGGCATGCCTTCCCGATCAATTGACGTCCTCAAAAGTATCTCGTATACAGCCCATGAACCTATTTCAAACCATCTGATGACGGCATGCGGCTCGGAATTGCAACCCCGTCCCGAGGCAGCGGTTGCTAGCCGAAGCCTGCTAATAATTTGCCATGGCATTCATTGTTTATGGCAACTCGTCCCAATTCGTCACCTTCCCATTCGAGCGATCCCGCCCACGCGCGCGGCGGCGCGCCTTTTCATTTGGCAGGTGATTCCAATCACCCCCTCGAAAAAGTCGCGCACGCACGCACGTCGCACGACTCCCACCATCGCGCTCCACAGACGGCATCTTCTTCATCTCTTTATCTCTATGGTCTGATGTTCGCAACCTTGTCTATCGTGACTGTTCGAATTCGTCCGCACCCTTTTGGGTCTGTCTGTCTCCTCGCCACCCCGTTTCAACCCATTCGGAAAGCCGCACATGGATATGGCAACCCACAGCACCTCCCAACAACCGTCTCGAAACGCTCTCAGCGTCAGACCATTCCATACGCGTCGGCTCTGGGGGTGCGTGATCAGTACGAGCGTCTTTCGTTATCTCTCGTTATGGGCAGAAACGTCCTTCCGGTTGCCCGACCGTTTTGCAAGTGCGGTAAGTGCGGGTAAGGCGTGCTCTTCGCTATCGTATGTCGGTGGAAACGTGCTTCCAACCCTCCACCTTCGCGAAGGGTGAGGGCCCCACAGCTCTTCCGTAAAGGACACCCGCGCATGTTCACCCCCGGTGGGCCCATGGCCATATGAAGGATGTGGCGAAGCTGGAAGGGGCTGAGGAGGCAACAATGGGTGGAGCGTGTGCGAGCGCGTGCTGTTGGCGCGTCGATGTGCGTGCGATAAGCCTTTCATCCGCTGGGGTTCATTCACAGATATGAAGGCATGTTCTTTCGAATTCTTCGCGAATACTCGGGCAGCACATCTCCGTTGGCACACCCTGTTGCTGCACACCCGTTGTTCGCTTTCGCTTGCTCGCTCGTTCGTTTATTCATTCATTCATTCGTATGCCTATCTATCAGTTTCGAATTCCACAGCGCCGGCTTCGGAGACGTAATGAGACACGAGTCATGCTATCTATCATATCATGACATACGGTAATGAAAGATTCGCCTCTATTGAACGCCAGTGACATCTCCGTCAGCGCGGAAAACGGGGCGGCCCCATCGTGGCATCGATTCTCCCGAGCTTCAGGCACAACGAGCGTCATCGCCCAAACATGCACAGCCCCCGCGCATGCCGCGGACCGCGACCTTGAAGTTAAGCTACGGAAGTTAGCGAGGCCAACTATGTCGACGCACGGCCGGTGCTCGTGAATCCTGCAATACCTATCTGGCGAGGACAGTTATGTCTGTGGAGACTCCAGAGAGCCTGTCGGGTTGCTTGAACGTTCCAGCTGTGGTACTGTAATTGGGGGCAGCTCGGGCCAATCTCGGGCCCCGGCTTTATGCGCTACGTCGATACACCATTGACACGGCGTACCATGCCCGCGGTAAGCTATCTCATGCACATCGCGCCGCGCTTCCCTATGACATACGCAACTACCATAGAAGTGAAGCGCTGATACACTCGCATTCATTCGGCTGAGCGGCATATGATATCAACAGCACACTGAGCACGGGAAGGAGGTTCAAAGAACCCGAGCTGCGATGACGACAGGTCAAACGTGGCTGGTTGCGGGTGCGCGTCGAACCCGATAGGACGCTGAGCCCGTAGGTAAAACGCAGCAGGGTACACACCCCTCACGCGAGCGCTTATGCGCCTTCTGATTCCGACAGGTGCAGCATCGAGGTGGCCCCACCGCGAGAACAAAAACGCTGTGCGATATAGCTAATGCCATCGCGAGCAGAAATGGCTCTAGCTCCACTTTGGCTTATCGCACAATACAAGCACATCGACGAAAGATGATCAAAAGGCGAAAGCACAGTGGCTGATTAGCTGCCGTGCCACTTGCTCGCCACAGCCCGCCGCCGCCACCCTCATATCGAAAGAGGGTACCGCACTCGTCGGTGTTACACCGACGTGTCGGCGCATCATGATACGCAAGGTTCATTGTTGTGAAAGCCCTGTTTCCCGTCCTCGAGGACAGCGTATCGAAGATAGCGTATTTAGCTCAACGGCGAACAAAAGGAGATGTGATGCGACAGAAATGTGCGCTTCTGATCGGGAAGGCTTTGAACTTCTTTTGGTGGGACGTACGAAAGACAAACATGTTTCGCAACAAGACTGGCCACAACCGACCCTCTTTTACTCGACAACAGAAAACACCGCGTTTGTGCCTGAAACTCGTGTCGTTGTCAGCCCGCAATCACAAAGAATCAGAGTGACATCTTGGGGGGGCCTGTGACAAAAGGCTATGTGCGCCCCGTCGAACAAGGGTGTTTCATTTCCGGTTCACAGGCCGCACCCTTGACACGGCGAATGGGGGGCAGGAGGAGCGAGTGGTTCTGATTAATGGCAAATGATTAAGCGGAATGGAGTGCACAGCGGCTCGAGGCTCCAAAAGCGCAAGTAAGTACATCATGACATTGGGTGCGACATCGGGCGGAACGGTGCTGTCCATACATGCCACGACAGCAGACGACAGCATGGCTTTGTCCGTTATGCCCGCTGGGACGGGTCAGAGGCACGAACACATACAATGAACAAGAAATAACGACGTCACCGCTTGATCAGGGCATGATGGCCCCGATAGCACGGCGCATCACACAAGTCGAGTATGCCTCGTTCTAGTTCGCCCTTCGCGAGCCTTCGCGTTAGCAAGTGTGCTCGCTGATGGCTGTCGGTCGGCTCACCACCAGAAGCATCCACCACACATGCCACCCTGCGTCGAGAGCCAACTTTGCTGGGTACTGCTGAAGGCCAAGCTGTAGAGCTGGAAGCGTTCGATAGCGTTCGAGAGGATTCGAGGCGTATCACGAATGTCGAGATGAAACTCGTGCGTTCGTTCGTCGGGGCTTCAAGGTCTCCGCTCTCTCGTCTATTCCAGAACTATACAATATGCTCGGGTAAACAATGTCGGATCGCGGAGTGCGAGGAGCGTCGCCCGTCCTGCGCCCACTCCATCGGAGTCACCTTCGGAGTGAAATGATATGTTTCAGCCGAGGATAATTGCATTTATGTTTTGAAAAGGAGGAGTTTGCAATACGAGGTCGGCGTCGGGGAGCCAGCGACTCCGAGTCGGAAAGTGTATTTCGGAAAGCAGGAGTGGCGGATGACGAATGCAGTGGTTATGGCGGTCTGGAAGGAGCTAGAGCTCGTAAGAACATAGTTCAGTAGCTTGTTTGGTTGAGCGACAACATGGAGACGAACCCAACACGCTAGCCAATCTTGCCCTCTTGTCCTCAAAGGCGAGCAGGATCATGCGACGGTAGCAAGCAGCGCTCCACTCTACTGAGCCACTTGAGATTGCACGGAAGCTCTAGCAACTCAGAAGAGTATTAGCTGCAACATCGGTAAATGGTGTTTGTCGCCAATGTGAGGAGGATGGATGAGTTGACGGTCGACGAGTCTGAGTAACGCACACGACGGTGGCATCTCGGTTTGCAGAAATTCACATGTCTAGATCTCTCCGGGACGTGGTACCCGATTTCCGGTGGCGCGGCCTCTATCACATGGACCACCACCGTGGCTGCGAACTGAGGAGGTTTGGCCACGCGCACACGCTTTCTTGCCTTTCTCGTTGACTTGTTCGAGTTTCTTAGGCTGTTGGAACGCTTGGGTCTACTGTAACTCTGGTCTACTCCCAGCGCTCCTTCGTTAGGCTACCGCGCATCATCAATATACCATTACCCTCGCGGACTCCTCGGGCACCGCTCGCGGCTCTAAAACGCACCCTCATTCTAGTGGAAAAGCTGGAAATCGCCGATGATGATCGCCGATATAACTCACAGCGCTCAAAACGTTTGAACTCTGAAGCTAATCTTGTTCGCTCTCGCTCTCGCGAACCCGACCTCGGGACCTTCGTTGATGCGACGCAGGAACGCCACGAACACCACACCAGTAGTCACCGGTCACGGTGGCGAATCAGGAGAACGGGCGAATCGCTAGCTTGCCAGACGACTCTTAACGCGGACGGGTCATGTCGCTGGCTTCGTGACCTGCTCTTGAAGGGCGGGTAGGGTCCGCATTTTCTTGCCTGAACTTTCCATGCCCTCCGTTCCATCTCTTGTCTGTCCACTTACTGATATACACGACTGTTCCTGAGCTGTAGATAGGATGCAGGTACACCATATCACGTTGGGCGTCCGAGGACGAAAGGTGTGTGTAACTCATGATCATGGCACGGAACAACCTGGGCCAGGGCAGCAGCGGTCTCCGACAACGCGGGAATGTCGTCTCGGCACCCTCCGTAGTGTGTAGTCCACACCCTACTACGACTACCGCAGATCTATCACGAACTGTCACAGGTATGCTCAGGTACAAATGCACGACGACTTGTTTAGCAACGCAATGACGGGATAATGTCGGTTTGAGCACATGCATGCTTAGGCGAGGTTGGTATAGGTTTCATCCTCAGAGTCACGCTACGACGAGGTAAGCACTTGTAATACGATTGAGACCAACATGTAGTACGCTTGTACTAATGTCAAAGGGGAGAAAGTGGTGCTATAACTCAACGGCATACCTCTACTCAGACTTCTACTCAGACTTCGGTCCCCGACGACTGTGAGCGTCTCCCAAGAAGGTCTCCAAGAAGTCCAGCTCGTCCAGGATTTTCTGCGATACCTGAGCGACAGACCCCTTGACCACGCTGCGCATCGTCATGGTCGACATGATATAGACCTTCTGGTCGGGCAATCCCGCTCTGCGCAGATTCTCCCTGACGTTCTTCTTCGTCTGACTTCGGAACTCATCTCTAGCATAACTCTCGAGCTCCTCCAGAACTCCTCCGCCTTCGACCGAGCTGGCGCCGTCCACCTTCATTTCATCAACCAGATTCCTGATATGCGAGTCTGCCTTTGAGCGAACGATGTAGCACGGGATACCGAACAAGCCCGCGTTCCGCAGGATCGCAATGTCCGCTTCCGTGAAGCGGTGGTCGATCAGCACAATGAGGGCATCGAAGACGTATAAGCCCTGCTTGTGAAAGTACTGATGGCCCGGCACCTGGAGCGTGCCCGCGCCCGGAACGTCGTACCACACGACGCGGTTTCGCGGGTTCGGGTCTGGATAGCGGCGAAGCTGCAGTGTCGCCTCGCTTACTCCTGTCGCAGCGGCGCCCTCCTGACGGTTGTGCAGTCCGCGCAGTGCGTTGATAAGAGAGGACTTGCCGCTCCCTGAGACGCCGGCTACTGCGAAATGGAAGAGGTGGTCGTCATATTCGACGCGGCGCTTAGCCTCTTCGACATCCTGAAGCGAGGGCATGATAACAGGCTGAATGAGAATTTCCTCGTAGGGGTGATGTTGGCCTTCCACAGCCCCGAGCGCACGAGTAGCATCTTCTGCCGTGCGATCCGCTGCCTGCAAGGTTGCTGATCGTTCTCTCGCGCCTTGGGATGTGCGTTCGGGCTCATCCTGTTGACGACGGAGCTTAATGACATCGAGTATACGGTTGAGCGTTGGACTCGAATGTAGAGGCGCGTGGCACATAGTTGCTATAGCGAAGTTGACGGCTACGAGGGCGACATTGATTGCTATAGCAGCTGGGAGAGGCACAAGAGCCTGAGGCGCAGGCTGAGAGGGAGCAGCACCCATGGAGAGCAGGAAAGAGCTCGTGGGCGTAGATGATCGTACAGGTGGTACTGGTGCAGCAGCAAATTTTTCTACAGCCATGCACGGATTGTCTGAAAGGAGCACTGATACTTTTGGAATGCACGGAACCATATCATGGTGACCTTCGTTGAAGCAGAAGCACGAAAGTATTCCTTTCGGAGATGCTTCTGAGATTTAAAAAAAGAAATAGCATAGGAAAGAAGACATGGTCCAAAACGACACGGCAGCTACAGCACTTAGCAAGAAGATTCGAAGCGACTTCTTGGAGACTTTAGCAAGCGGATTGTCGTGGTTCGGGGAGTCGTCGGTTAAGGGGTGCGAACTAACTTCCGCATGTGGATGCTCACTTTTGCTGGCAACAAAGGTCGCCCTCGGCGCACATTCCTCCGAGTCCATTACATGCTCGACGTCTGGTCCGTCCAAGCTATCATGATGTGATCATCATGCAATCTTCCGGAGTCAACAACGTAGTGGCAAACTGTAAACCTCCAGAGAAGGCTTCACTCATATGCCTCTTGCACCCAGCGGCAAGCTCGTACACAAATCCGACCACTTCCTGTAGCGTTACTAGGTGCTAGACCTACTCAAGCGCCGTACGATGTGCAGAGTCATATAGCGACTCGACGCCTTCTGTTACAAGGTCAATATAACTAACATCAACACGTCACGCAGACAAGCACAGCATTCTGTAGTAATGGCAAGTATATAAGACCATTCTCCACCTACCCCACGACATCAACACTCTGCTCCAAAGGTCGCATTGTCGTCCCCTCAGAAGCTCAAGATGAAAGTCCAACTTGCCGTCGCGTCTCTCGTCACTTTCGTTGCTGGGTCAATGGCAACATTGACTGTGAACACTCCGTGAGTGATTGGACGCTCACAGAAGTGTCACTCCCAGCGTTAATGTCGACTTTGATGGCAACGCAAATGCAGGACGAACCTTGTGCAATGCGAACCTGCCTTGATTACCTGGGAGGGTGGAGAAGGTCAGTTCGCTCTATCGCCCCTTCCCGTGCTCCCATCTCGCATGCTAATGGCTTAGCAGCTCCGTACTTCTTGGTTAGATTCTTACCTTTTCTACACACCTGACTCTGACTGACGTTACGCTACACCATGGCGTACACAGAAGTAAATTTTACAGTTCTTACCTTTTTCATTGTCACACTAATTTCGCCGGGAAGCATTGACTCTGTCGACGGCAAGACCCACGAGAACTACGACATCCCGTCGGGATCGGCCTACACATGGGTCGTCGACATTGCCGCAGGTGATTGCTCAAACTCTACCTTGTGAACCACGCTTTTGTTCCAAGAATGCTGAGAATATGATATTGTACGTAGGAACCTCCATCAAACTCGTACTCAAAGATAGTACCGGTGTGGTCTCTCAGTCTGCGGTCGTTGCTGTCCAAGCCGGAGCCGGTGAGTAATGCGCCGGCTTTTGTGACGTGAGATGACGTTTAATATCGCGCCTTAGACAATTCATGCTTGTAGCCAAATAAGACTGTATTCAACTACTGCATGTAAACGCGTACGTAACATAGGCTTATGTGGCACATCGCATACGTATGACCCAGCGGACGGCGCCGGCTCAGCTCTGGCGTCAATAGCGATTTGACGGTGGGGGACATCAGTCCTTCGACTTGAAAATATACCCGGTGAATGGATGCACAGAAGTGCAAAGCGATGCCTTCTAAGATACCTGAGGGCAGCGGAAATGGTTAGATCATGAGCATGAGTATCTCGCTTTTTGTTATCGCGTCGCCCCGAGCTTCAAAGCTTTCACGCAAAGTTTGTCAGCTCTGATAAAGAGGTCGAAGAGATCTACTGTGTATTGTTAGGGAAACTGTGCACTGGCCATTGAAGGTACACACCTGAAGATTTATGACGCGGTAGGTACGACGCGTTTACGCACGATCGCGTGCGTTAGCAGCTGCTTTGGTGAGAGACTCGTCGTACACCTGGGAATCTGGAACCGAGGGCCTTTGCTCTTGTAATCTTGGTATGTGGCGCTTGCAGAGTCGGCTGCGGCACCGTCGTAGCGACGTCCTACGGCGACCTTGCCGCGTTTCCGCACGAGCTTAATGCAAGCATGGTAATGCGAGAAAACACCGGAGAGAGAACTGTAGGAATCTTGAATAGCACATTCTTCCGAGCAGTAGATTGAGTCCTGGGCGGGAACTCGGCCGCAAAAACATGGTTCGCCGAGGTCGTGGATGAGGCTTTCGAGGTTCGTCACGGCTGCGCGTCCAACGCACGCGTTGTAGTGCGAGCGTTTGCCTGAGAGCGTGTTATCGGAGTCCTTGAGAGCGCATTTGTCTGAGCAGTAGATGGAGTCGTCGGCAGGATCTTTGCCGCAGAAGCAGGGGATGCTCTGTGCGTGAATGAAGTCTTCGAGATTTATCATGCTGGAGACGGATGATGGTGTAGCTGAGTATATAGGGATAAAGAATCGATTGCAAGGTGAATATGCCCTTCGATGATGAAGATCTCGAACATGCCATGGCAATTGATATAAGGACTAGGAAAGTCAAAGCGAGCGTAAGGTCAAGGTCCCATACTGGCAGGACTCGGAGGTAGCCAATATGTTGCTTAGGCCGGATAAGGGGGAGAGACAGGCAAGAAGTGCTTGTTGACACCGCCGCTTGTGCATAGCAAGGACACGTGAAGCGAAGTTTGTGAATAAGTCCCTGTTCAAAGCGGGAACTGCTGGCTATTGATTGAGGCGCTTAGACACAGGTCGCATGGACGATCAAAGGGAGTGCCAGAACACGAAAATAAAGTGAAGAAACCTCTATGGTAGCCGAAGGGCACCGTGTGCTACCATTTATAGAACAAGGGACGCTTGGGTGAGAAGAACGCTCTCCTGCGAACTCCTCAAAGACGCACTGGAAAGATGACCATGAGAGGGAGGGCAGAGAAACAGACGCCCATGACGCGGACGGGCATTTCGGGAGCTCATGGCGTGAGAATGACCTTCCAGATCGGAAAGCCTCCCATTTCGCTGAGAATCTTTAACTTGCGCTTATTGAATAGACCAGTCCATGTGTCTTCCACTTCGTGAGCTTTACTTTGAATTCCCGCCGACGGTGATAGCTGCTAACTTCGTCTGGAATCTGGCAGATCCCTAATCTTCTGAGTCCTATGCATCCTCACCATGCGCCAGTAACTTGGTTCCATCCTCATCAACAACAACGTCGAGAATTCAGTTGTCGCTAGTTTATACTTCTACGACAATGCTCACCGGCTGATATTTCTAGCGCCATAGAAGGGGAGCATACCTGCTACCAACTGTGGTCAGCGGCTGACGGATAGTCTCGATAAGTAAGTGGTGTCCAACGCTTCGAGCAATAAGAGAACTCCCGACGTTCTACTGCTTCTACGAAAACGCATTCAGGGAATTCAACTCACGGACGCACAAATCTGTTGATGGCATGCATCCTGTTGAGAGACAATGGTCAATCAGCTCTGTCGCTACGCCGACACAGGTTTGGGGCGCCTGTGATTTTATTTTCTCAATGAACTCAATGACGATTGATGCGAAATTCTGATATTCATGGTTGGATGCTGGAGCAGGGCGGAGGCGTGTCTTCTATATGACATCCCAGGCAGCCTTGTACTATCAGAGCCCTTTCTCTAGAAGATCTGATTGTCAGTGAGCGACGCAAGTACGGATAAATGACGTTGTACTGAATGAAACGACAGGCATGCAAATCTGTGGGCATGGGCCTCAACCACTTTAGACCATATCCAGCGCGAAGGTGACGAAGAATGGCTGAGTGGTGTCACATTGGATACATTGCTGTCGTACTATACATGAAGCACTGATGATGTACAAGACTAACCAGCTCGAAATCAGCTCCTCTAGTCGCGGTCGGGGGTGATGGGCTTCGCGTGCGGTTGCTTCTCCAACCACGCAGCTATCTTCATACCCCAGCCATACTCGTTGCTGTCCGATCCCTGTCGGCATTCACGTTCATCAGCACGACCTTGATTAGATGCATGAAGAGTTTCACTCACGAAGACATCGTACGGGAAGCCCAAGCTGAACGGAACGAGGCTCTCGAGCTCCTGAATATGCTCAGGCGTGAGCGTGATCTTGAGCGCATCGATGTTCGCCTGCAGGTGCTCGATCTTACGCCCTCCAATAATCGGGAATACGTGCGTCGTCTTCTGCATCACGTACGCGATCGCGACGGCCGTGACGTGCGGTGTGCCAACCTCCTTGCCGATGCGCTGAAGGGCGTTCGCGACCTTGCGCTCATCCTCGGAGCGCTCCCAGGTTCCGCCGAACATCTCGCGCCCCTTTTCACCGGTTTGGCGACGCTTTTCTTCTTCTTCGTCGGAGCGCAGGCGGCCGGCAGCGATAACGTTCCATGGGGCGAGAGCCATGCCTAGGGAAGGAGGAAGTCAGTGTGAGGATGGTATGCTGGACGGAGGAGAGGGAAGGCATACGTTCTTGGCGCGCCATAGGAATGATCTCGCGCTCGAAGTCGCGTGACATGACGTTCCATGCACCCTGGTAGATGATGAACTCGGACAAGCCGTGGTCACGGGCATACTGGTTCGCCTTGGAGACAATCCACGCAGGCGTGTCCGATACACCCTTCATACACATGTGTAAGAGCAACGTATATAGGAACGACGTAGAAGCCTTAGACTTACGAGATAGAGAACCTTGCCCTGTTTGACGAGGTTGTTGAGGCCGATCATAACCTCCTCAATCGAGGTGTCGTAGTCCCACCAGTGCACGTAGAGAATGTCGATGTACGACGTGCGCAGCTTGCGGAGACTGTCCTCAACGGACATGGCCATCGACTTGTAGTTGTTACCCGAGAAGAGTACCCGCTGGGTTGTCTTCCCGTCGCGGCTCACGTAGTTGGTCGTGTACTATACAGGTTAGGGACGTATTTACATCAGCCGGAAAACTCTCAAGGCCACTGAAGGCATGGATAAACCGTTACACACCTTGGTCGCGATGACCAGCTCGTTTCTGATCCCGCGCTTCTCCGCCCACTCGCCAGTGAACTCCTCGCTAGATTGGTCTTGATAGTTGTTCGCGGTGTCGATGAAGTTGCCACCGGCGTCGAAGAACGCGTCGAGGAGCTTGAACGAGGACTCCTTATTCATGCTGCCCATGCCGAATTGCTCCCACTTATCACCGATGCTCATCGCGCCAAGCTGGAGCGGTGAGACGTGCACAGCGGCCTTGGGCGAGAGTGCGCGGTATCGCGCGAGACGATTCTCGGGCTTGGGGGCAGGCGCGAATGCGGACATTGTTTTTTAGGCTGAGGTTGCGCTGACTGGGTAAGGTATTGAAGGTGAGGATGGGTACGAAACGAAGAGAACAAAGAGATCGTATTTATACGTCACTTGCCTCCTGAGTACGTATCTAATCGCGTGTACCCATATCATGGCTAGCTTCGTTGTATGTCTTCGCAGGCTTTGGGGCTGAATAAGCTAGAGAATCACCGAGAATCGGTGGTGAGGTGAGCAAAAGGCTAAAGGAGCAACGCGGCTAGGAGGGCATAATGAAACCGAGTCTTATACATTGATAGCCTCAGCCAGGGCCTTACGAGAAACCTAATGGTCAGCTTCAGCTTAAGTTAGTAGATGTCTGGGAGGATGGCGCTGGAGACCATAAGCAGATATGACGTTTACCTTTACATCCTTGATTGTGGTTGGGCGGAGGCGCTTGATGATTTCACAGATGACGTCCTCTCCAGATGGTAATGTTTTGGTTGTGTCATCCGACAAATGTCAAGGCTTTCCCAGTGTCTTGCGTATGTGCCGGCAGGAAAAGCGGCTTCAAGGAAAAGGCTATGATAGCCCGATGAGAACCTGGCTAAAATATAATCCCGGCTGTCGGATAAGAAAAAGCCGCAGGTCTACACTCCGAAGAGCCAATTGAGAACTTTTTGAAGACCCGACTGGATGGCACTCAACGATGACAATGAACCACACCACGACTAAAACAAAACTTTGACATGCTTACGACAACACTCTTGATATGATTTAAAAAACATTTTTACAATCAAGCAAATGAGCTGACATGGTACTGAAGCAAAATGTTTGTGGTACCAAATATGTAAGCAGTAAGCCACGGTATATACGTACCTCCCATGCTGCCAGTGCAAACAAACAATTCAAGTTAGTGCTCTTCACATCAAGGCGAGATGCTTGTTCTCCTAAACACTGCATATAGACAAGATGCACTTTGCCTGATTCTCACCAGCGTTTTATATATCATCTCTACCATGATTTTGCCGTGGCGGTATAGCACAATCTGCGTATCTTCGAAGTACCCTGTGAAGTTCGTGCCTTTCATTCGACAAACATCTCTCCTTCATCACCTTAATGCCGTTCCCAGTGCCTATGGTCTATTATTTGCACTAGCTTATATAAGTATCTAGACGAGTCTAGAGATGGGATAAATTTTACAACCATCTTCAGACCTGCATGCCTCCTAAGCTATCTCCCATCCTCCTCCCACCCCATGATTTTCCATCGCCACAGGAATACACTGGAACGTTTTCCGATACAAAACAATTGCAACTTATGACATGAGCTATGAAGATGGACGCCCGGTGAAGGATACCAAAGGCAGAGCGCGTTCGGTGAAGGGCGGGTACACATGTGAGTTACAGCATTGCTGATTTGTTACGTCCATGTGCATTTCCTAAACCCTGAAACTAAGCTGCTATTAACGACTATCATACGAGCAAGGTCACGGTAGGCTCTCAGGCAAACCAGGTTTCTGGTCAAGAGCATCCTCACGGCTCACCTCCGTCTTCTTCGGCTTGGGCATAGGCAAGCTGAGATAGCATGGCTTTGCCATGCGCTACATGTCCTCCTGTTCGCTTTGCAAGCTGCCTTGGTCGGTGTCAATCTTTTTCAACTGAAGCATCGTGTTATAAATGGGATCAACTTAAACAGTGCTCAGTGTGTCTCTACAGGCGTTTTACACAGTATTCACTCTGTCCAATATGTGTGTCACCCCACTTGACTAATATTGATGTTAGATATACTTCACAGTCCTTGTCACATTAACACAAAGACTCGGTCTGCTGCGTGTGCTCCATCGCCGACAGCACGTCACTACGCTCCCCGACGCTTCTTCGGCATGGTCCGGTCTCGGAAGCGCATTAACAGGACTGTGGTACAACGTTTACGCGCCCGCAAGCATCCTATCTTCCATCATCATCACTACCTAACTGGCCTGTGCTTTGGCATTTCACATCGTCAGCAGTAACATCATGTCGTTCGAGCCTTTCACTTAATCTATGATTGTGTCCATACCCTCACGTATAGCATGGCCGGCATCTCTTTGTAGAAATAAACAAAAAAACAGCACAGGCAGCACAAGCAGCAGCCAGATACAGTGGCAAAACATCGCTGGGCTCACGCTAGGCATTGACCAATTGTACATCTACACAAAACTGCTGGATTTACAACACGGTTTGAACGATCAATTTCTGTGATCAGAACTTGCTGCAATAACAGCTATCGCATAATCTCCAAACATATAGACGAGAGTGAAATAATATAGTGTATCTATACGGCATATTGCATATATGTGAACGAGTTGGTGGGTTCCATATTCGATGTCGAGCTTGCGAGCACGAGCATCCGTGAGAAGGGAGGGTTGTCGACCCACCACCTTGAAGATAGACCAGACAGGAAGCGAAGTACGGCTGGTAGCGAAGCAGTACCAGCAGAGGTGTCGCACATCGGTGGACTGAGCGATAGCAAGGGTATAACATCGCCTTTCTTGTCGCCACGAGTGATGTGTAAATATGGGAGGTATAAATCTTCACTTAATTATCAGATCTTTCAAGTTCTGTCAGCGCATATTCATATGACGAGGCACAAATGAATGAAGCAACTCACCTCGAGACTCAGGGGATGTCAATGGAAGAGACGCGTCTGCGCATGATCATGCCCATTAAACGCTGCTTTAGCGAAACTTTGTCCCGAGGAAGCGAGGCTTCAAATCGGGGGCCTTTGCTCTCGTAGCCGTTGTATATAGCACTTGAAGTCTCAGTCTCGTCACTGCTGATGCGGGTGATGTCTCCTGCCTCGATGCCGTCGTAGAGCTGCTTGAGTTCGGCACAGGCATGATAATGCGAGTGATTGGAATCTTGACGTGCGCACTCTACCGAGCAATAGATAGACTCCATGGCAGGAGCTTTCCCGCAGAAGCAGGGCATCTGGAGATAGTGGACAAAGGTTTCGAGACCCATCGCGGCTAAAGAAGAATGGTATGCGGCTGAGGAGCAGATTAGAGGAAGAGGACGTGAACTGAAGATGTACTTCGATGCTGAGTAGAGGGAGAGCCATAGCTGTAGATATAATGGCGAGCAAAGTCAAAGCAGGTGCAGGTTCAAAACGCCACGGGAAGGAGGCGAGGCGTCGCTTTGGCCGGGTAGGGATGTGAGAAGCAGCTTGACATAGCTAATCGTGCAAAACAAAGACATCTAAGGCAAAAGGCTGTCAAGAAGGCTTTGTGCAGCGGGGGCGCTTGGACCCAGGTCGCCGTCGCTGTGTCGTCAAAGAGGGTGCCAGAACGTGAGAATTCACTGGAAAAAGCGTGGCGTCAGTTGCATGCCCATGAAAATTTTCAGTGAAAAATGCAGTCGCATTGACGGTAAGGGTGCTGCCATACGACACCTAACGAGCCAGTCAGCGAGATGCTCGTCAAAGGGAGGACAGAGAAACAGCGGCGTTTCGCCGGAACTTCGGCTCGATCAACCATGGCACCCGTGAGAACTACCTTCCTGATCGGAAAGCCTCTTGTTCCGCTGAAAATCTAGTCTCCCCTAGGCAGACCACAAGGAAGATATAGTCGTTCTACTGAAAATCTTGTGCTCGCCGCCGGTGACAGCGACCAAAGTCCTCGAGCAGGCAAATCCCCACATCCCCTCCCCTCTGACCATGCGGAAGCAACTCGATCCCCGCATCCCCATTCTCATCAACAACAATGTCAAGAAGAACCATCGCTCGTTCATAGTTCTTGTTGGGGACAAGGGCAGGGACCAGGTCAGCTTGGAGTTGGTTATGGAGAGAGACTGCTGACGCCCTGGTTAGATTGTCAACCTCCACTTTTTGCTATCCCAAGCACGTGTATCTGCTAGACCCAATGTACTATGGTGTTACAAAAAGGAGCTCGGCTTCACGACGTAAGGCGCTCGCCTCGCTTCAGCTACACTCGGAGCTTACTGAGCTTCGTCTATGCGCAGTCACCGCAAGAAGCGCGAGGCCAAAATCAAAAGGGACGTCAAGCGGGGGATCAGGGAGGCAAACGATCAGGATCCATTTGAGATCTTTGTCACCGTCACGGACATCCGCTACACGTACGCATACATTTGTCTTTCTATGCTTGAGGCTAACGTGCGTTTCATAGGTACTATAAAGAGTCCCACAAAATCCTCGGAAACACGTATGGAATGTGTATCCTACAAGACTTCGAGGCTATCACGCCCAATCTGCTCGCACGAACGATAGAGACAGTGGAGGGAGGAGGGTTGGTCGTTTTGCTGCTCAAGACCATGACGTCCCTGCGTCAGCTATATACCATGACCATGGTACGCTCTCTTTCTCTCTTTCACCAGTCTCTTGTTTCCAGGATTCACGAAACGGGCTGTGTAGGATGTCCACTCTCGGTACCGCACCTCCTCGCACGACGCCATCGTCGCTCGCTTCAACGAGCGTTTCATCCTCTCCCTCGGCTCATGCACAGACTGCATCGTACTCGACGACGAATTGAACGTGCTCCCCATATCACGTGGGAAGGACATCACCCCCATCGAAGAGGAGCGCGGGAAGGGCAAGGCCGACTCAGAGCTCAAGGAGCTTAAGGAGTCGCTCGCGGACAGCAAACCTATCGGCGAGCTCGTCAAGCTCTCCAAGACGCTCGACCAGGCAAAGGCGATCCTGACGTTCGTGGAGGCCATCGCGGAGAAGACACTCTCGTCGACGGTCACGCTCACTGCCGCGCGTGGGCGGGGTAAGTCGGCGGCACTGGGTCTGGCCATCGCAGCGGCGCTCGCCCACGGATATTCGAATATCTTCGTGACGAGTCCGAGTCCGGAGAATCTGAAGACGTTGTTTGAGTTCATCTTCAAGGGTATGGACGCGCTGGGGTATGAGGAGCACCTGGATTACGATATTGCGCAGAGCACGAATCCGGACTTCAACAAGGCAATCGTGCGGGTTAACATATTCCGACAGCACCGACAGACCATTCAGGTACGTTCGCTGTTCATGTATGCTCTCCTTTCGCGCGGTTTACCTTGGCATGCAGTACATCCAACCTGAAGACGCCCATGTGTTGGGCCAGGCCGAGCTCGTCATCATCGACGAGGCGGCCGCCATCCCTCTTCCACTCGTGCGCAACCTCATCGGACCATACCTCGTGTTCATGGCATCCACAATCAACGGCTACGAAGGCACAGGTCGCTCACTCTCCCTTAAACTCATCCAACAACTGCGCGAGTCCACACGCCCATCACTCACCAAGGAGCCCAACACTGCTGAGACCGCAGCAGCGACCGGCTCCACATCCAAAAAGCCCGCGACGGAAGGCGCGACCGCCCGCGCGCGCACGTTGCGCGAGATCAAGCTCGAGACGCCCATCCGGTACGCGACAGGCGACAAGATCGAAAAGTGGCTCAACTCGCTGTTATGCCTCGACGCCACCATCGCGCCCAAGGCGAGCCTGCAGGGGTGCCCGCACCCGTCCGCGTGCGAGCTGTTCTACGTCTCGCGCGACACGCTGTTCAGCTTCCACCCCGCGAGCGAGGCCTTCCTCCAGCGGCTCATGGCGCTGTACGTCGCGTCACACTACAAGAACCAGCCGAACGACCTGCAGCTGCTCTCGGACGCGCCCGCGCACCACCTGTTCGTGCTGCTGCCCCCGATCAAGGACGACGAGACGCACCTGCCGGAGCCGCTCGTAGTGCTGCAGGTCGCGCTCGAGGGCAACATCAGCAAGGGCGCGATCATGGAGGGCCTCAGCCGCGGGATGCGCGCGGGCGGGGATATGATCGCGTGGCTGGTGGCGCAGCAGTTCCAGGAGAACCGGTTTGCGCAGCTGAGCGGGGCGAGGGTGGTGAGGATTGCGACGCACCCGGATTATTCGAATGTGTGTTGTTTGGTTTCTGTCTCTGCCGTCTGGGGGTTCACGCTGATGAATGGTAGATGGGGTACGGGAGCAAGGCGCTTAAGGCGCTCAATGCGTTCTATTCGGGAGAGTACTTTAGCTTGGACGAGAAGACGCGGAGGGAGCCGCAGTATCCGGACGCTGCTGCAGTTGACTCAGTGAGTGCACCGACCTTTCGTATGAGACTCATGGCTTACGCGAAGTTGCTAGAACATGGACCTGCTTACGGATCTCCCTCAAATACGCGCTGCGACGGCTATGCCACCGCTGCTGCAACGATTGTCAGAGCGCAAACCGGAGACGCTCGACTACTTGGGTGTGTCGTATGGGCTGACTCCGCAGCTTCTGAAGTAGGTGTTTTCGCATAAAGTTGGTTGCTCTCCATCTCTGACCTCCAATCTCCAGGTTCTGGAAGCGGGCCGGCTACGTCCCTCTGTACGTACGGCAAACGCAGAGCGAGCTAACAGGCGAGCACACATGCCTTATGGTCCGTGGGCTGAACAGCGCGTCGGAGGGTGAGCTGGATTGGATGAATGAGTTTGCCAAAGGTGCGTTCTCCTTTATTGTCACATAGCTTATCAACTCAATTATGAAACCAACACAGACTTCCGAAGACGCTTCCTCACACTCCTCTCTTTCGCCTTCCGCACTTTCAACGCCTCTACCGCCCTCTCCGTCATCGACGCCGCCTCCGCCCCCCTCGCTCCCTCCGACGCTTCCCCAAACCGTCTACTCGCCGCACCCGAACTGGGGATATTGATGTCCCCATTCGATCTCAAACGCCTCGAAGCCTACGCAAACAACACGCTCGACTACCACGTCGTCTTGGACCTCCTCCCCGCTGTCTGCTCGCTGTACTTCGAGCGCCGCCTCGGCGAGGACGTCAAGCTCAGCGCGGCGCAGTCCGCGATCCTCGTCGCGCTCGGCGCGCAGCGCAAGACGGTCGAGGAGGTCGAGAAGGAGCTCGGGTTGCCCGTTTCGCAGGCGCTCGCGCTGTTTGCGAAGACGGTTAGGAAGATCAGTAAAAAGCTGAATGATATTCAGAAGGAGGCGGTTGGTGCGGATATTCCTGTCGCTCCCACGACGTCTGCCTCTGGGCTAGCAACGTCGAGGGTGGACGGGAAGGAGGGTGATGCGACGGATTGGAAGCCAGTGCCGATGAGTGTGGCGGAGGAGCTGGACGAGGCTGGGGACGAGGCGACGCGGGCGCTGAAGGAGAAGCAGAGAGCGATGATCGATGCGCTAGATATGAGCAAGTGAGTTGCTCTTTCTGTTCCTGCCTTTACCTTCTCTTCTCTTTTCCCTCGTGGGGGCGGGAATGCGGCATCTTATGATGATCAGGGCATCGTTGACGTGATGTTGTCGTCTTTCCTTTTAGGTACGCGATCAACGACGCGAGCAAGGACTGGTCTAGCGCTGAAGCGCAGGTGGGGCGGATAGTGAAGGGCGCGGTGGGTGCGTCGGTTGTGAGCGTGAAGAGCGCTGCCGCTTCGGGTGGCCAGAAACGAAAAGCGGACGGCGATGGCGGGGACGGTGCTGGCGGTGGGGAGGGGAAGAAGGGCACGAGGAGGGGAAAAAAGACGAAGCGGTGACGATGGCGACGATATCTGGTATAGGGTTGTTGGTTAGTTCTCGGCTCCGTTTTCTCTTTAGGCTGTCTTACTGCTTTGTGCAATTGACGTTTTGGCATGCGTCTCTTGAACCATGGTACCTCTTTCTGGGAACTCATACGTTGGTCGGACACGAGGTGACACGCGCACTTTTCCGACGCCATTGTCTGTTCCCCGTCAGAGGACCAGGTGCTGCGCATGCATCCTATGATCGCGCACAACACAGTTGGACAGCGTCCTGGGTGCGCACGCCCACACCGACGACGAGAATGGGATAGGTTTGTACAGCAAGTACAGTGACAGTCCCGCGCAGTGGCGCACAACAAAGCATCCCACCCGAAATAGCATTCTGACAGCAGCCTGTCGTGTTCTCTGGTGGCGAATCCTAGGACAGGGCCATTGGGTACCGTCGTGAATTAGGCTATCTTGGGGATAAGGTTGCCCGGTATGGGACAGCGCCCTGACCTCGAGGTTGATTGATTCACCACGGGAGAATGCGAGATACTGGCTTCGGGCGCTTACGACGTGAGTATAAACGGTCGTGCATAGGCGAACTGGGAAGACAGGGGTTCCTTCCGCCGTTTCTTTCTTGCTTTTTGCTCCGTCCCCCGCCCCTTTGCGTTCTTCACAGGTTCATGAAGATTATCAAGAACCACAGCGAGGACATGTCATCTTCATCCAGTATGCGCACCCATGATGTGTATTTCATCCCCAGCGGGGACGTTGTCTTTTTGGTACGTCGGCAGTGCGACGCCACACCCGTGTCGAACGAGCTGCAGCAATCCGTTGACCATGTATCACAGGTGGAGAACAGAATGTTCAAGGTCCATAGCTACTTCTTCTCGCGCGAATCTGTCTACTTCTACAATCTGCTTCGAGGACAACCCTATAGAGATCCCATAGCGGGATTGCCACACATCTCGTACTTCAAGGTGGATACCGCTAGCGCAGCTGAGTTTACTCAGTTCCTCTGGGTGTTTTATGATCCGTACGTTCGACCTCGTTTCTTCCCACTCCCTCATGCTGTAACGCTCTGTACACTGACTCGACTTTCGTGGCGTCACAGAGCTTACAAACGCGAGACCACGGTCCCGCATTGGTCCGTGATTCTCAAGTTCGCAAAGTGTTGGGGCTTTGCAAATATCGAAGCGCTGGCCATTTACGAGCTTGAGAAACGGGACATCGAACCCATCGAGAAAATCTCCTTATACAACATCCATAACTTATCTTCTGGCATGCTTCTGCCATCCTATGTGGCCCTCGTCCGCCGTCAAGCGAGTCTTACAGCAGAGGAGGGAGAGAAGCTTGGCCTCGAAGTTGTTATCAAGGTCGGGCACATGCGTGAAGACGTGATGAAGATGTCCATCGAGAAAGGTAAGTGGGCAACGGAGGGTTCGACGCTCGAGGAGAGCGAAGTCGTGACGGTGATTAAACAAATTCTATCTCCGCCCGATGATACTGCGCACCGACCCGAGTTCCAACCTGCCAGGCAGTGTCAGGTAAGCTTCGCCGTTGTTTGTCAATTCACAAGTACTCATCATCCACAGTAGAGCTCGGCGGAAGGGTCCTGCCTGATCATATAACGATAAAGTTTACGAAGGACATATTTGTACCTTGATACCACATGCTCTTACGACCGACCACAATTGTACCACACTAAACTCGCTCGTGTATGATATGAATGACTACACCGTTCGATGCTACTACGTTGCTAGGATATAATAGATGATGCTACTCGCTGCTCAACTTGAGGATACAAAGCAAATTGCCGGCAATGTATGTTGTGAGCAAGCAGGCGGGTACTTCCCACTTGCACATTCATGTTCGCGTGTCGTGTTCAATGAACATCATTGGAGGAGATTTTAATTTAACAAATGTCATAGCGATGTGGTGCGCTTCTGGGCGCATGATCAAGTTTGCAAAGCAGAGAACCAAGGCCGGAGTTTGAGAACTATCACATATACTAACAACAAGTCCGCCCAACCAATTCCTATTCCCTCAAACTGTTGCGCAGACCTACGGTGTCCTTGCACTGTGTATCGTTCCAATCAAACCATGGCTGATCTCCCCTACAGAAGGCTGCTGCATCAAATGCTGGAGAGCACAGACAGTCATGTTTCGAATTCATCCACAACCAACACCCCACGCGGTAAGGATCGACCCAGGAAACGTCCTCATCCCATCGCAGGACAATTCACTTTCGTTCCTCCCATCGTGGTTTATTCAACTCCTCCGGAAGCTCTAGAGCCCAACGCCGTCGAACCGCTTTCAAGCTCCAAGAAGCGCAAGATCAGCCATTGCAACGCGTCGAAGGGCTCTCCTGCATCCCCAGCTCCTTTCCGGTGCTTTATTCCTCCAGTATCGCCGGGCTCCCCAGATCTGGAAGCCGAGCGTCAAAGACGCATTGATTATCCCTTAGATCCACAAACACCATCCACTGCCTCAAACAACACCCCTGCGATCACCTGCACTTCTTCTCCATCCATCAGTTTAGACCCGACGCCCCAAGACCCTAGCAATCTCATCTCTGCGCATTTACCGGGCCCAATCGGGCGTTTCAAGCATCTTTCCAAAGAGGAGAAGATGCAAGTTCTGAGCAGTTTATGTGTCATCGGCGGGATCAACCCTCTTGATATCCCGCCACCTCCGGTATCCGAGAAGGTTCCCTCTACCTCCACCTATCCCACCGGACTGCTCCAGGAGAAAAGTGAACTACTTTTCGTGGTTATACGCGCGGATATCAGCGGGGAAGTACCATCGCCAGAGATTTCAGAAGATATGCGCCCAGCTCAAGTTATCAGAGATGTGACTGACAGACTCATTTACATGGCGGGAGCGGAACAGCCAGAGAAGAGAATCCAGGAAGACTTCCAGCGCATACTTGCGGTCAGAGAAGAGATGGACCGCATATTCTATGAGGAATTTCAGTCCAATGTCGGTGAACCGCACTAAGAGGAACGATGGAAGGAGTTCGTGGCAAGTTGGCACTGAGCGGGTTTGAGTGATGATTGAATATCTGATTTGTAACTCGCACTATTGTTGTATTGATTTGATAGTTTTGTACTTGTTCAGCATCATTGTTCTAGCCTTCGAACTTCTTGAATATGACAGACGGTAATAGCACTAGTGTTCAATAAAACCCGCTTCTAGGTCTGGGGATATCGAGAATTCGCAGCTTACCTTTCATTTCCTGAAGCCATGTAATGTATCTCCATGCGTGAGCCCGAAGCGCATGGGCTGTTCTCTCCGAGGAAGAAGAGTCATCTGTTGTCACCGGTAGATCATCGTCGAAACCCTGAGCGCTCCTACGTAGCGCCAGCGATATTTTTGATATTGAAGCAGCCAACCAGCAGTGGCGCGGTAATATATCCTGAGTCTAAGTAGAGGACTAAAGACAGGAATGACTTGAAGGTTGCTTGAAGGCGCGGAGCAGCAAGGAGCGCGACTCAGAGGACTTCCAGAGTATGTCACGCGCAGCAGAGGAAGAGCCACAGCGGGTTCTGGTGGCCAAGGGGGATTCAATCGCTGCTTCTCGACGGAAAAGCTGGCAGCCAAGGAAGGGATCGGTTGTCTGCTAGACGGTGGTTTCATTCGCGTAGAAGGCCAAGCCTCATGACCGCCTCTGTTAATTGCGTTGAGTTAACAGCCCAGATATTGATGTGATACAGAGATCGGAGTAATAAAATGCAAGGGCCCGCCGACCGAGGAGGCAGACATTGGGCAGACAGAGGCGGATGGCAGACTCGATGAGGCGATGGCCGGCATTTTCCGAGAACCTCGGGCTCCTGTGTATTTTGTCTTACGCCCGCCACCACCCACAACCACAGTAGCCTTCTGCGCGGTCCTCAAATGATATCTTAGGCCGTCTCCCGCAGCTGTGGTCCTCATGACGTTACGCGATCGGAATTTTCCTGTGGTTGTGGGACTATCTCCACTGGACCTGCTTATCGCTGACTTTTGAACTGCATTCTCTCTTCTACCCCGGGCCATGTCGGGCGATCCAGAGGTCATCTTCGTCGTGGGTCTTCTCAGACACCCATGTTGACCCTTGGTGCTGATAGTTTATCTCAGACAGGCGCTTTGCCAACGAGAAGCTTGATGCTATGCAGAAGGGGCGCGAAGCAGGCCCACTGGACGGGTGGACGGATGCGCTTGATATGCAGTGGAGGCATGCGTAACGAAGATGTACGGGTGCTGGATAAGGGGTCGATGTGTCTGTCAACCTGCGTACGTTCCCTATTCTGCCTGCATCTTCAGAACGTCATTGAAATGATAGCGCCTTGAAGGTGTTACTACGGAGCCAGCACAAACCAAGTTCGCATGTCTTTCTTCCTTGGTGTACACATTGTCGACGTCGATCATGGTTGAAGCTTGAAGGATGGTATTATTGTCAAGCCCCTGTCTAGGACGGGCCGACCACCGAACCGACCGGCGGGACCAGAATGCCGGCAGCCTTAAAGTTGGGCCACAAAGCTTTTCCGGGGGTTGGGAATGAATCAGTGACGCAACAACGGGCGGACGGAAACTGACTAAACCTGGGTGTCGACATTGCCTGCCTCAGGAGATCCGCTGCATCCTGTCCATGCTTGCAAGCTAGGTCATGGCCAAACGAGATCTAACTTGCTTCTGCGAGAAATGGACATCCGCTCGCAGAGGCGCCAGGCACACGATCATGAATTCTCAGTCAAAATGGAAAGGGTTCTCACATTCATTTATATATAGCCGTGTGCTTCTTCGTCTGTTCCTGGTCTGACCAAGAATAGCGATCACTGATCAGAAGTTCAGGTGGAGACACAAGCGCTAAACCCGCAACGCCTCCGCAGTTCGTTCAACGCCAGTTCATCCTCGACTGTACGCTCTCGTATGGGCCACAGGCTGCCACAAGACCGCTAAAAAGCCATAGATTCAATATAAAGGTATCAATAGAAGACGCCAAGAGTTATATCGACTGGTCAGACGACGTCAATGATGGACCTTCGTGAATTCATGTGTCAATACACGCGTAAGTCAGTGCCAGTGGATCATAGTGTCCACGGATGTCACCAATGAATCCGGGGTGATGGATGGATCATGGCGTAGCACTTGTCTATGGTCCGTACATGACTCGGGACCTATCAGTCAAATTCAAGTTTTCTGCGGGCAGAGCGTAATGGCGCACAACGAAACTCGCATCTTAACCCAGGTCCCCAGGCACCTCCTTGAGCTTCAGGCGAGTACATGATGGAGTAGATGAGACTTGAACAGCTGCGAGTATGCCTACCAAAAGGCCGCGGCCTTCTCGACTTGAGACGTTCGTGGTGTAGTTGGAGGGGTAGTATTATCGTGTTAGGGTACGGGGTAGGAGCGGGAGGGCGATGGATTGCGATGATTGGTTCGGTAAGGCGCGTCCTTTGGATCAGCTGGTGTGAAATTGGGAAGAGCGCACCCCACAATTCTCGCTTACCCCGCGCGCTATGATTTACTCTATAAAGCCTTCCCTGCCCTCCCGCCTCCGTCACTTGTGGCTTGTCCTTTCCCCACAACGCGCTTACATCCCGCTTCTCCCTTGCGTCCTACGCCTACCTAGGGAAAGAACTAGATAGCGCTGCAGCCATGGCACCCAGGTTCATACGCAATCTCGTGCCCCAGCGCGAGGCCAAGGCCGGTAGTAGGACGCTTTGGCAGGCGCTCAAGACCGTCACGTTCGTTCAGTGGCTGCAGCTGTTCACAGGGTGCGTATCATCTCCCTTCGTGCCCCAGTGGTGTCTGGAGACATCGCATATCGCCCGTCATACGTACTGGAATCGATGCTTATCGCCGCGTCCACCAGATGGGTAGCATGGTCGTGCGATGCCATCGACTTCTTCAGCGTCTCCCTCACGGGTACACTACTCGACAAGCAGTTTGGCAAAGACAATACACAACTTGTGCGTCCCTTATTCCCCTGTCTGGCTTTTGCTGTGATGAAACACGACTTGATGCTAACGTTGCGTTCCAGACGACCGCCATAACACTTACCCTCCTCTTTCGGTCCATCGGAGCCGTACGTCCTCCTCGCACACTATTCTATTCTCCGCACTCACCGCATACCAACTCCATCGTTTGCCCCCGCATCCTTTATGGACCATTGCCCATTCTTCGCTCCTCGCTCGCCTCTTTCCCCATTGCGCACCTATCATGACTCAATAGGTCCTCTTCGGTGTCATGTCCGATCGCTTCGGCCGCAAATGGCCACTCGTCATCAACCTCTCCCTCGTCTCCGTCTTCTCGCTCGCGACCGGCTTCGTGCAGACCTTCAAACAGTTCCTCGCTGTGCGCGCTCTCTTCGGCGTCGCCATGGGCGGCATCTGGGGGCTCGCCGCTTCCACCGCTCTGGAAAACCTGCCTGTCGAGGTGCGCGGGCTTGCGTCTGGCCTTCTCCAAGAAGGATACGCCGTCGGGTACTTGTTTGCGGCTGTGGTAGATCTGTACTTGGTGCCGGAGACGGGAAACAACTGGCGTGCGCTGTTCTGGACGGGGAGCGGGATCAGTGCGTTCGCGGCCGTTCTGAGGGCGATCACGCCCGAGTCGGAGGTGTTCTTGCGGGCGAAGGCGATCGAGAAGGCGAAGGGGACGGATACGAGCAAGAAGACTAAGATCTTTGTGCACGAGACGAAGGAGATGCTGAAGCAGCATTGGAAGTTGTGTATATATGCAGTGCTGCTTATGACGGGTGAGTACTGTCCAGTCTTGTGAGAGCTGGTGGCTTGGCGGGCGGATACTGATAATGGGAAACAAAGGTTTCAACTTCCTGTCGCACGGATCTCAGGTGTGTTTGTGCTCCGTGATACTTACTCCTCAGCGGTTTCTGATTGCGCACCGATTCGATAGGACCTGTACCCGATCTACCTCGAAACGTCGAAAGGCATTGGCACGCGCGACGCAACAATTGCCACCATCATCGGGAACTGCGTATGTCTCATCTTACCCGTATTCATATATGCCCGTATACTGACGACGGCACGTACAGGGTGCTATCGTGTGCGTTACCCCGAGCCTCCTGGTCTGTTCCTTCCCCGGTGCTAATACACCCTGTCTCTTTTAGTGGAGGCGCTTTCGCTGGTTGGGGAAGCCAATATATCGGCCGTCGGCTGACCATCGTGTACGTGTACCGTTTCTGTTACCTTCCACTGCTCCCTCAAACTGATTGTTCGTATTGTCGATAGTATCTGCTGCGTCCTCGTCGGCGCGTTCATCCCGCTCTGGATCCTACCTTCGGGCTTCTCCGCACTCGCGGCGGGCGCATTCTGCATTCAGATCGGTGTGCAGGGCGCTTGGGGTGTCGTACGTCATCTCTTTGCAAAGTGTGGTGCGATAGGCCATGGATTTACTGACCGGCTCGCTCGTAGATCCCAATCTTCCTCGCTGAGATCTCCCCGCCTGCGTTCCGCGCGACGTTCCCGGGTGTCGCGTATCAGCTTGGAAACGTGCGTCTCGTCCCCTTCCGCTGTTTCCTTCTCGTGTAGTGCCGCTGACGCGATGGTGTCATGTGCAGATGGTCTCCTCGGCGTCGTCTCAGATTGAAGCACGCGGCGGCGACAACTTCACGCTGTCAAACGGCCAGCCGAACTACGCGCCCGTGCAGGGTATATTTATCGGTGTCGTCACGGCGTTTGTGCTGCTTATAACTATTGTTGGACCTGAGTGCGTCTTGTCTCCTTCTTTCTCCTTGATACCCATCTTCTTCCTCCGCTCTTTGATTTTCCGCTTCACTCTCTTTTCTGCGAGTTCGATTTGCTGATGTTACTGTAACGACAACAGAAAACACGCGGCACGCTTCGAGAAGCACAAGACGGCTTTCGAGGAGGGCGGAGCCGACGACGACGCTGTCTTGGAAGACGAATATGCCAGCGGCAGCGCGTCGGATCCTGAGCGCCGGCCGACGGAGGTAGAGGAGGTCCACGAGAAACGGAGTCAGGAGAGCCTGAGCACATGATGTGCCGCTTTCCCGTTCTCCTTCTCCTCTTGTTTGTTGTAGCGCAACGACCACGATGACCTCACATGATCTGTGCTCTATCTTTTTATTATTGCATTGCTTTATAGCTCACGAATTGTAATGGTTTGCATGTCGCATTGCGTCTTTACCCCGCTGTTGTTTTTGATTACATAAGATATATTACCCTTGAACTCTATCTAGCATCCGACACGAGATACTTTAACGCGCGCTGACGCTGTACGTGTATGGCTGCTTTGTTGTAATGGGCGCATACCCTACCATTTCAAAAGCGTTTGTTGTAGTGTTGATCCCAGAGAGAATTAATTCGCTTCAACAGTGAGACAGAGTGCAAGAAGGGAAAAGCCCAGTTGGCTGAGCCAAACTCGACTGCACAGCATAACTCCAACCCTTTTTGTGCTTGTGCTGAGGAATATCTCGTTAACTTTCCGCTTTAGACAGGACCTGCCTCGATTATAAGAGCGCTTGACTTCCCTCAACACTAATATTGGGTTAACGGAGTGCTGTTGTGGTTCACTTTGGACATAGTGGAGATTATGCTAGGCTTGAATTCAGAGTGAATGTTTGGTGAGTACGTAGCAATTGATAACTAATGGCACGAGGTGTCAAATCATTTAAGGAGTTTGAAGCGAAGAGATGGACGAAAAAGCCTGTTCGGATGCAAGTTCGGATGCATTGAAGGGGGAAGAGTACCGGCAAATGCCGAAGTAACTTCTTTCCGCTCTCCATGTTCGGGTTCCACCACTTGCTTGAGACATAACTTAGGCCATGATTCACATGCGAATGAAAAGCATGGACAACTACAGCACTCATCACTCATGTCTTTCGTTTTCGGGTGCGCGGGCGTCCTTCACGGATCAGCGAAACGAGGAAGAGCGATATATGGACTAAGGCTCTCGGCAGGTCATCAACAGCACGAGGGTATCTACAGTAAACACTTGAAGCGATGACTAGCTATCCTCTCTACTCCATCCTGCGAAGCGTCCGAAGGGCTTAGGCAGCGACGTTGACCGGGTTGCAGCCAAGGCTGATGAGACCGTTCTGCACGCACAAAACGTAAGTCATATAGTATCTCGCGCATCGTACGAAAAGCAGAACTCACATAGTTATCGTGATCGCAGCAGAGAGGCTCCTGGGTGCAGGTCGCGCCCTGGCCCGCGCCAATACCGGTGATGGGGTTGCACTGGACCCCAACCTGGCCCGCGATGCCGTTCAGGAGGTCGCCGAGCCCGAGCTGTCCGAGGGGAGCTTGGGCGTCGTGCGGCTGTTGGGATGCAAACCCACGGATGTCAGCGGCTCTCTAGGCATGGAAGATGAAGACATGGTGTGGACATACGGAAAGGGCGTTGTTGCAGCAGGAAAGCGTGCCGGTGGCGCACTGGCCGTTACCGTCACGAGAGTCGAGACGGGAGGGCTTGGCAGCGATGAGGACTGCAAAGGCGATGGCAGAGAGAACTGAGGCGTACATGATGATCTCGGTGATGATGGAGGCATTGAGGTTCGTCGAGCCTGACCTTTATATGCCGGATAGGACATGTCCTTCGGATGCGGTGAGTGTCTCACTGACGTTTGGGAAGTCTTCACTCAGCAATTTCTGTCTTGCTCAGATAGAACATCTCGGAAGAGGTCTGGCATCGGCTACGGCCGAGTTCGGTTTCATACTTACTTTCACTCACATCGCTCTCGGGTCCGCATTATCAAGGAATGTCGGTGGCACATATCCACTTTACTTGCCTTCTGTCTCTCTTTTCTTGCCGAGCACTGTTTCATCCTAGCCGAATTGTCAACAGAGTCGAGTGCCGAACTACAACGTCATGTCGTCTACGAAGCCAATGACGCTCCGCTCACAAGGGATTTTTCGACAGGTAGGTAATAGCAACGCTGGCTCCAAGACGCATAGATTGTGTGCAGTACATTCACGGCCGTCAGCTATACAGTACTCGGGAATAATCTGGTCTCATAATTTTGCGTCAGCCATAAAGTGAGACAGAAGACGTCTCTCCCGCAGTCACAGTCTCAGATGTACCCGGCCGATTAGTCCCAAAAGTGATGCAAGCGCCCAGGACAGCGGTGCCCTGGGAACGGTTTGATCTGACGAGGAAAAGACGCGAGTATCTATGTCAGCTTAAATTCACGGTTACAACAAGAATTGTAAGTGACACTCGAATAAAATATCATGATTAGTATGATAACTTCCGTCGACTATGCCGACTGAGGATGAGACGCTAGCAGGAGATAAAACAGCGTCAAGCGTGCCGATCACGACTTCCCATCCTTCCTCAGGTGCCTGCTAATCTTTGCAAGCTTGAGAAGTGAGCGAAGTGCCTGTCAGATCGCCGAGTCAGTCTCACTATTTGAAGGCGACAGAAAGGGACATACATTTGTGGGGTTTCTCTTCGCGGATTTCGCCGAGGGTTCCAGCTCTTCAGGATGTTCCAAAACTTCCGTCTCTTCTGCTGTCTCCGATTGTTCTGGCTTTCCTGCCTCGAGATGCTGATTTTCCTGCAGGTGTTTTCTCAAATCAGCGGGTACCGCTGGCCACTATAACAAACCAGCTCATGAGCAAAGCAGGCGTTGATAAGTGTTATGCTAGCGACTTACTTCCATGAACGACTCCTCATCGTCATCTCGTTCATGCGTTGTCGCTAGGGCTTGTTCTGGCGCTTCTGACTTCAGACGCTCCTTTTCCAGCATGTATTCTCTGAGTAGGGCGGGATCCGCTGGCCACTAAAATAGAAAGGCTGGTGAGCGACGTATCGCATAAGTTGTAATAGTATATTTGGTAGCTTACCTCCATAAACGACTCGTCATCGTTGTCGTCTTGTTGAAGGTGGGAGTCAGCAGGCATTGCGGGGGTACTTATGTGCGATCGCAGAGGCGAGGGTAGATACTGGCTAGCACGAAGTCGCAGCCAAGGTCGATAAGATCAGCGTCTCCGGAGATCCAAACGGCATTTATGAGTATTCAGTGAATTAGAACAAAGCGATAAATGAACAAGAGCAGTTGGTCCAAGCGACTGTCATTGCTCATGTAAGACCTAAGTGCTCGGTGCCTACAATTATGGCAGCTGGTGGGCGGAAGCGTCGAAGGGGCCAGGGCCAAGGTCAAAGCGCAGATACAAGGGCTCAACGCAGGAGCTAAGACGGTTAATGAGGTAGGCTGGGTTAACGTCAGCACAAGAGCAGTGTTTGGGATTCACATCCCGAATGACATTGGGACGGAAACCACTCGAGGATGAATTCATTGAGTTGGTCTACACACACAAAGATTCGTTCAGACAACACGAGAACTTCTAGCTTTCCTTGAGATGGGCTTTGTTGAGGATCTCTTCTTGGATACCAGTGCTCATCGTCGCGCAATGCTGGTGTTACTGTAAATCACGTGATGATGGAGCAGAGCGACGACAGCAAAGTTCCATTGCGATGAGAGGAAGCCTAAAGATGCTGATGACGGTTGGATGTATGGTAGGAAGGCAAAGCCGTAGATATTCCCGTCAGTTGTGAGGGTATAAAGGTTGGATGAAGTACGCACCACTGTTAAGCCCAACAACCATGCAACCTCTCGTTCTGTACGACATCCCTGGCGAGGTCCCAGACAAGTCTGGGTACTGGAGCCCTAACGCTGCCAAATGTCGGTGCGTCTTCATCTACCCTTCTCCCAGAATCGCAGGCCTGATGATGCCATGGCCTTGATCCAGATACGCGATCCGCTACAAACGCCTCCCGTACGAGACCCGCTGGGTAGCCTTTCCCGACATCGAGAGTACCATGCGCGCCCTCGGCGCCTCGCCAACGGGAAAGCGCAACGGGAAGGACGTGTACACCGTGCCGGTCTTGCAGGACCCCAACACGGGCGTGATTGTCTCCGACTCCTTCGCTATTGCAGAGTACGTCGACCGGGTCTACCCCACCATCCCCGATAGTGTGGAGCACCTCGAGCAGCGGGAAGCCAGGAAGGTGTTTGAAAGCGAGGGCGAAAAGGCACTAATAAAGGCGTTCGACGATGCATTGGGGATGGCGACGCGTGGTGCGCTGAGGTGGATGATGGTCTGCGCGAAGGAGGTCATGGTCGAGGAGGTGAAAGAGTGGTTCGTCACGATGCACGAGGAGAGGTTGGGAATGAAGTGGGAGGAGATCTCGCCCGCGGGTTCAGAACTGCGAAGGGAGCAGAAGGATGCGTTGAAGGCGGCGCTGGATGTGGTGGATGGGTGGTATAGACGCAGTGGCAATGGGAAATGGGTGCAGGGGGACAGGTTCTCATATGCAGACTGCTTGGTCGGTGCGTATATGTTTTGGTACAGCCGGGTGCTCGCCAAGGAGGATTGGGAGGAGGTCTCTGAATGGAACAGAGGACGATGGGCGAAGGTGTTGAAGGACGTTGAAGAGGTATGCGACGGCTCTTATTGATAACGTAGCGTCACCCTTGAGATGTAAACAAACGTGGTACATAATCTGACATAGTATACGAGGACATGCAGGACATCATGCACATCGTCGACTGGCGGCGGAAGGTGGTGAACGCTGGGACAAGTCGCGTTCGCACCTGTCGTCTCATACAATAGCCCCTGAGTATAGACCACTTTCGCCTTGCCATTACTTCAATCACTTACACTAGGACACGTTACTTATAAGCCTCTGGAGAATTCTCTAAACCAACACTACATTCCTCTGCAACGCCCCTCAAGACCCTTTCGGCGAACCCTCCATGCCACCCGCCTAGCATCTGCCAGTCCTCGGGCGACATCACCTTGTAAAACCAAAAGAAATGGCACGCCAGCGCAATATCCGCATACGAACACTAGTCGCCCGTCGCCCACTTTCCCTTGCTCTTGTTCATCCAGCCTTCCGCGACACCCAAACCTTGCTTCATCTTCTCGACGTGCTTCTGGCGCTCCTCGCCGGCCGAGATATCCGCGACGCTCTGTACGCCGAACCACGCTGTCCTGGTCTCCGTGACGTACGGCAAGCTCGCGTCGTTGAGAATGGATGGAGCGGTGGAGGCCAGCGCCATGCGTCGCCGAGGCTGTCCCAGTGCGCCTGTTGGAATGCAACAGCGAGCACGTTAGAGTTGTGCGGGAATAGGGTGTGCTCGGGATCAGGGTACGTCTCGTCGGCGATGGCGAGCGAATCGGTGACGAACCAATTTTGGTTGGGGTCGTAGATGACGGGCAGGGTGTACTTCAGGATGGCGTTTGGATCAGTGGAGGCGGGTGGGGCGCCGAGTTCCTCCATGCGCTTCGCGATGTTGGGGTACTCGATCCATTCGGTCTTGAATGGGACGCGTTTGAAAACGAGGCAGAGACTGTTAGCGTAAGCGGTCAGCTCTTTGCCAAAGCACTGGAAGTAGAAGACATATCGAGCCCTGGAAGCGGCAGGCGACCATGTACCCTTCTTGCTTGGGATGTCATAAAATGCGATGGGCTTGATGCTGGCATACTTAGAAGTCATGTTATGCCGTTGTATGCCGGAACTGGAGAGGCGAGATCCGGAGAGTACTGTCCTCTTTATATTAGTACACTCTCAAGGGTGGTTCACGAGAACGGCGCCACCGACAGCGACAGTTCGTTGATGCGGTTACCGCAGCGGCACCGGGGAGCGTGACTAGGTTCCGAAGCTGCCTGTCAATGTGAGTTTAACTGTGAGTTGCCAAGCCTGTCGAGCCGGAGGCACTTATACTTATTCAACCGCGACCAATGCTCAAGGTTGCGATATTTGACCCATTAATGTCGACTCGAGAGTGATATGATCGCAGGCAGACGCACTTGCACGTTAGGCTAAAAGCGACTTCGCGACTCAAAGCTGAGGCGTAGGTGCCAAAAAAAACCGTGCCAAGTTCAACAAAGGGCACAAAAGCTCGGAATGAGAGTGGATTTCACCGACGCCGATGATAGTGAGCAAAGTTGTAATATTGACGTTCATACTAATGAAGCAGAGGTATATCAGCTCAAGAAGCAGGAGTAGGAGGCGTCGTGTCCAGCTTGACATTACACTCGTTGGCCACGTCGATCACCACTTGTTCCCACTTCAGCCCATCTCCTCGCCATCCGTTGATCTTCTCCCAGTCGGTGGGGGGCATGACGCGCATATACCAGAAAAACTGAGCAGCGATCGCAATGTCCGCAAACGAGAACGTGTCGCCCATGATCCACTTCCCCTTGCTCTTCTTCATCCACCCTTCAAACAGGCCTAGCCCCTTCCTCATCACGTTCTCATGCTTCGTTCTCTGCTCCGACCCTGGAGAGGAGATATCGATAAGTTTATCGACCTTGAGCCATTCCGAACGTGTCTTGAGAAAATACTGTGCGCTTCGTGGGTTGAGCATACTCGGCACGTCGCACAGGACCCAATAATGGGCTCCGTCGATGCATGAGTCGAAGGCGTTCTCGAATCCAGCAGCGAGGACAACGCTGCCATGCGGGAAGAGTGGGCGCTCCGGGTCTGGGTATGTCTCTTCAAGGTATTCGGCGATTTTGAACGAGTCCGTGACGAAACGCGATTGGTTGGGGTCGTAGATGACAGGGAGGGTGTACTTGACCTGTCTGTTGGGGTCGGTAGTTACCGGGTCTGCGCCGAGCTGTTGCATCTTGGGTGCAATGTCAGGGTACTCGACCCATTCGGTGTTGAAGGGGAGACCTTTGTAGCCTAAGCAGAAGCTGTTGGCAGGGATCGATCTAAGCAGAGGATCGCATAGTGAAAGTGCAAGATCGGTACGTACTGAGTCTTAACGGTGTTGAGCGACCATGCGCCTCGTTGACTTGGGATGTCGTAGAGGGTTATAGGCTTCAAATCATTGTACAACGACATCGAAAGTGGCTGATAACGGGTTGAAGATGAGAGAGATACAGAGAAGTGTCGCTCATAGTGCTTGTTCGGTGCGCACTGCCGCCTACTCCGGAGGTTGTCAGGTTACCACTCTTAGATGCGCCGCTTCTCATGTGATCCCGCCAGACACGGTGTAATGTAAAGGTGAAGCACTTCCCGGTGGCGGTTTCATTCTCTAATCTTCACCTGGGCTCTCGTTGAACGCGCTGGAGAATGGACTGTTGGGAGCGTAGGTGGTTCAAAGCGTGGACAGGAATGGCACATCGCAGAATTTCGGGGGGTATGCGTTCGCGACTTCGCGGCCTTTGCCGCGCGGTGTTTTAATATCTGAGGCGTTCGCGGTGCCGGAAGCGGCACCGCATGCATCGGCTCCGCCCAGGGCTCCAACAGCTGCGATGCAGCTATGCTTCCTTGTTCTTTACCTTCAACCATGTTTTCAAAGATTCTCCATCTCTTTTCTCTCTGGAGGAACCGTCTACTGAATAGCAATGCTTCCCGAGGTTCTGTTTTGCTTTCCATCAAGACCTTTTTCAACTCTAAAGGCACCGTTGGAACTGTCTTTAACCAAAATTGCTTTGAACAGTTAACTCTTCTGTTCGGCGAACGTGAAAAGTTCGGAAAGCATGTGTCTTCCCCTCGATTGATTTCTGAACTCTTTTTCAGGTGCATATATTCTCTCGGTCCATCATGCTTTCCAGGAACCCGATCACCTACTCGTACTTGCAGATGTGCCAAACTATAGCTAGAGAAGTGCGGATCAAAGTTTGGATGACTCTTCCGGGGAAAATCTCCTGGTTTTATTCCTAGATCTTTCGCATCAAGTTAGCCTCTTCGCCCGAACATGAGCACCCGGACCAAGGCTCAAGCCAGCAACCGAAATGCCAGTCTTGCAAGAGTCGACTGCATTCCTTGACTGCCGCATATATCGCACGTTCCAGCAGGAGACGCCAGAGCGCATATATCAACGTTCAACATTGGACCACCATAGTCTTCCTTCTCCCCCACGCAATAGTATATCCTGTGTCGCCTCTACTATAGGATCATGCCTTCGAACTCGAATCCATCTCAAGAGCCAATTGCTATTGTTGGTATGTCCTTGAACGTACCAGGCGCGAACACCCCTCAAGATCTTTGGGACCTGCTTATGCGCGATGAAAATACGCTTCGTCACGTACGTTGGCCAAGCTTCTGTATCATCCTCGCGTTGACTACCTCCATATAACCAGATTCCACCCGGTCGCTTTGACGTATCGTCGTGTCCTACCCTCCAAGCGCGCACCGGCAACTTTTTAGACAACCCAGGAGCCTTCGACGCTCGCTTCTTTGGGATATCTCCCCGCGAGGCGCAGTCCATGGATCCACAGCAACGTCTGCTACTACATGCTGCATACGAGGCCTTGGAGAGCGCAGGCTGCCCTCCGTCCACAGATCCGGCAGGCGGCAAAAAGGCGTTCGACGGGGCTGCCTTCGGCTGCTTCATCGGTGCCGCAACGCACGATCATGCAGCGAACATGAGAGACAACGTGGATCTTCACTACGTCACGGGTACATCTTGAGTTCTCTGGCCACGTATACCTGTACATGCGCTAACGGACCTTAGGAACCCTTGGTGCATTCTTGAGCGGGCGAATCTCGCATGTATTGGGACTTGAAGGGCCTTCTATGGTCGTCGACACAGCGTGCTCCTCTTCTCTTGTGGCTATTCACCAGGCTTGTCGAGCACTCCAGTTCGGGGACTGTGATGCGGCTTTGGCGGGAGGCGTCAACGTCATCTCGAGTCCAGAGGTATTTTCTTTGACTTGGCTACATGCGCTCTTCATGATTGATTTTTGCGTTATAGTTGCAGTTGGGCCTCGATCGTGGCCACTTCCTTTCCCATTCTGGTCAATGTATGCCCTTCGACGCTTCCGCCTCTGGCTATTCCCGATCCGAGGGCTGCATCGTATTTGTCTTGAAGCGCCTTCCTGACGCGACCTCCAATCGCGACAACATTCTCGGCGTCATTCGTGCCGTTGCCGTCGGCCAAGGCTCCAGCAGTCACGCCATCGTCCATCCAAACTCCCAGGCTCAGGCATCGCTCCTCACCCGCGTGCTCGCTGCTGCAGGTCTGAACGCCGATGGCGTAGATGTTGTCGAAGCGCACGGAACCGGCACTCAAGCTGGCGACGTGGCCGAGATGGCCGCCATCAGGGCGGCGCTGGGAGATCCGAACCGGTCAAGCGCTCATCGCCTGCGTATAGGCTCCATCAAGGCTAACATCGGTCATCTCGAGGCTGCGTCCGGGGCGGTCGGGTTGGCGAAGCTGTTGCTTATGCTCAAGCATGACACTGTACCATCGCAGATCTCCCTTCGGACGTTGAACCCAAAAATCAGCCCGTTGGAGAACGATGGGATAGAGATCTTGAAGGAGGCGTCAACTTGGGAGAGGAATGCAGATCGAGATGATCGGCCACGCGTCGCGGTACTCAACAACTTCGGAGCCTCTGGGTCGATTGGTGCTCTTGTTCTCGAGGAACATGTTCCTCGTGCGTCTCAAGGCGTAGAGATGGCGTCGAACGCGGAGGGAGAGCACGTCGTGTTAGGGATTTCGGCCCGCGACGAACACGCTCTAGAGCTCTTGAGGGAACGTTGGCTTGCATATATCTCCTCTCCCGACTCTAGCGATCGGCGCTTTGTCGACATTGCATACACCGCCACCGCTCGCCGGCATCCTTACCCTTGCCGTATAGCCGTCTCTGCCACTTCAAATCGCGATGTCGTCGAGGCTCTGCGTTCCGCCGTGCCCCGTCGCGTGGAGGATTTGGAGGTCAAAGCCGTTTTTGTTTTCTCAGGTCAGGGAAGCAGCTATGCTGGTATGGGCTCTGTGATGTACGCACGCTCGGAAGTATTCAGGAGGACCATCGACGAGTGCGATGCTATCTTGCTCGCTCGAGGATTTTCTTCCATCCTCCCTTTCCTTCTGTCGCAGTCACATCGTCGCGCAGAGGGAGAACCCGATACGTCTCCAGACTGTTGTCAGACCGGGCTCGTCGCCTTCGAATACGCTCTTGCGCAGATATGGATTAGCTGGGGTGTCGTTCCCAGTGCCGTTCTTGGTCACAGGTAAACACGACGTTTATCGGCTTTCGCACATTATACTTACGATTTATGCCGTAGCCTCGGTGAATACGCTGCGCTAGCTGTATGCGACGTCATCAGCATTGGAGACGCGCTTACTCTCGTTGCAACACGGGCTCGCCTCATCGCCTCATCGTGCGAGCTCAACGTGACTGGGATGCTCGCCGTGAACGTTTCTGAAGAGGTCGTTCGGGACATGCTTTTGTCGTCCAGCCAGTACTCCCCGATCTCAATCGCTTGCGTCAACAGTCCTTTCGACTGCGTCCTATCCGGCCCCATGCTTCAGCTTCGCGCTTTTCGTGCCCAGCTCTCGGGTGAAGGACTCAGAAGCACCTTGCTGGACCTGCCTATCGGATACCACAGCAGCGCTATGGACCCTATTCAGCAGGCGTTCGAAGAAGCTACCAGTAGCTTGACGCTCCGACCTCCGCGCTATCCTCTGGCTTCTCCCGCGCTTGGTGCCCTTCTTGCTGGAGATGGGATGGGGTTCACTTCATCATATTTCTGGGACCATTGTCGTCGCCCCGTCCACTTTCACCACGCAGCCCAGGCCGTCGTCGCTTCTACCATCACCTCAGGACGCACGGCGTGGATCGAGATTGGACCTAGTTCATCGTGCCTGTCCATGATCGAAGCGACGCTTCCCGAGGGCACCAATCATGTCCTTCTCCCGACGATGCGTCGGAATCGCGATTCCATGGATACTCTCATGTCCTCGCTATCGCAGCTATACCTCTTGAACTCGCCCGTGAAGTGGCGTCGCGTCTTCGAAGATCTGGGCGACGCAAAGGTTGTCGAGGGCCCGACGTACCCATTCGAGTATCAGAACTTCTGGACGCCTTACAAACCTGCCGCATCGGTGACGCCTACCACGCTTCCTCAGGTCCAGGACCATCCTCTCCTTCGATCTTGCGTACAATCTAACGCGGACAAGACTGTGTTTGAAACGCCCCTGACAGAACTCGCTCCGTTTGTCGTTGGGCACAAGGTCGCTGGTTATCCGCTTTATCCCGCATCTACGTATATCGAACAGGCTCTAGAAGCGGTCGAAGCGTCTAGGGGCCATCAGGGAACCGGGGTTGCGAACGATGCGGTCGTCTTGCGTCATGTCCAGTTTCTCAAGCCGCTCGTTTACGCCGATATAGAAGCAGGTCACTCTTCAAGACTTGTTAGGACGCAGTTGGAAGGTGACACTGCGGCCTCGAACCTGTCAGTTTCGTCTGTCGCGCAGGTCACGGGCGAAGAAGTGGTGCACATGAGTCTCGAAGTCGTTTTCCGGCCCCTCAAAGAAACTACCGCGTTGTCCAAGGAGCTCTCTAGCATCAGGGCGAGCGCCGAGCAAGCAGGTGTCGAGTTCGAAGGGGACATTTTCTCGGCCCGGACCGTGTACGACGTTCTGTTTCCCCGTGTCGTCGAGTACGGCTCCGAGTATCGCAGCATTCGCGACATCCGTATCACCTCTGACGGGTTCCATGGCGCGGCGAACATTGTCCTACCAAGTTCCTGTCAAACGCCTCGCCTCGCTCGCCTCGCTTTCGTCGACGCTCTCCTTCACACTGCCGGATTTATTGCGAATCTTCAGGCTGACATCAAAGACGCTTACATCTGTTGCGAAGTGGGCTCAGTCGTCGTCCCCGTAGAATTGGATCGCTTGGCAGACCCCCATACCCTATACTGCTCAGGGTCTTGGGTTTCCTTTGAGAGTATCCTTGCCTTTGACGTATATGCGGTTCGATCGGATGCTCCAGGCTCGGTCGTGGCACATCTCAAAGCGGTCACGTTCCGACGCGTCGGGATCGAGAGTCTGAAACGTGGACTGGAGCTGGCTGCGAATCACCCGACGGGTGCTAAATCTCGCCCAAAGCTCTCTGCGAGTAGAACACATTCTTCTCCCGCAGACCTTGCTTCCTTTCCACACCGGCAACTCTATCTCAGAAGCAACTCCACAGAGTCTGATGGTTTACGCAGCGCCGCTTCCGAGTACGATCTTACTTCTATCTCCAGTGTCGGTTCCTCGCCGACGACTTTGGTCTTCGGCGAAGCGCTCTCCCCTCACTCAGAGCTACTCGCATTTTCTACGTCTGCGATCAAGGGAGTCATTGCCGATGTCTTGGGCCTTAGGGACGACGAGTTCTCGGACGACTCAGATTTCCAGGCTATAGGGCTCGACTCAATGAGCTCTATCGAGGCTACGCAGGCGCTGAAGCGGATGTTTGAATTGGAAATTCCACATGACGCGTTCTTTCGGTTCAGGTCTGTTCGCGAGCTCGCCAATCAGCTCTTGTATCTCCATGCCGGCCGCGATAATTCCAAACTATTGTCTCCTAGTAGGCTTGATGTTGGCGCGGAGGCTCGTAGTCCTTACGAGGGTGCAGTCGCCGTCAGGTCGACTCTTGTGCGCATTCAAGACGCCCACGGCAGCGACAGAGCACCTCTGATTCTCGTTCACGATGGAAGTGGACTCATCGGAAGCTACCGTCGCTTACCATCGCTAGGCAGGGATGTTTGGGCGATCTCCAATCCGCTATTTTCCACTCTTAGTTCGTGGTCCAGTCTGGAGGAGATGGCGGCGTCATACCTCACGCAAGTCAAGCGTGCGTTCGCAAGCTCGGTCATTCTCGGAGGTACGTGTAACTGTGAGCCGTTTTAACACCACTCCTGATTAGATGTCTAGGCTGGTCATTTGGTGGCGTCGTAGCATTTGAAATGGCCAGGCAGATGAATGTACACGACGATCTTGTCCGGGGCATCCTGCTTATTGACTCGCCTTGTCCAACTCACCATGTCCCTCTCTCGGAGTCCGTCATAGATTTCGTGGCCGCTCGTATTGCCGCTCCGGAGCTGACGTCATTTGTCAATGCACAGTTTCGTGCTAACTCCGGTTTGCTGGCACAATATACACCAGCCGCTTTGCAGTGTTCCACTGTGCCTCATATCATTCTTCACTCCTCGGATAGCTTCAATCCCAAAGATCTCAACGACATTTCTGCGTGGCTCAGCGATCGACCTGGCGGGTTACGTTCTGAAGTCGCTGGTTGGGAGTCGCTCTTGGGTGCTCCTGTGCGTTATGATTATGTTCCCGGAAATCACTTTGAAGCGTTCAGTCAGAACAATGTACGTGCCGTTGACTGCGTCCTGGTGTTTTGACGTTGGCGCTGACGGTTATCAGGTCGACGTAGTCGGAAGGCGGATTTCAATTATCTTGGAGATGGAAGGTATATAGTGAATGTTCTCTAGCGTACGATCTTGTGGACATCTTGATATCAAGAACGACTATCTTCTGATATAGGGTCTGCCTAGGAGAGACTAGTCCCCAGAGGCCATCGATCCCACTCATCACTATCTGATTCTACCTTTTGGCTCCATGTTATACGCTCACCTTGAAACAGTCTCTCCACACGCACTACCCATCAAGCAGCAGAGATCCGGGTGATAGCAGTCAGCGCGACTCGGAGTAATCATCTTCATACATTGATTCTGTTGTATTCGACTTATCTTACAATAATACGCCTTATGTGACCAGATGGGTCGAGCATCCGGATACAATGCCTAAAGTGACGAGCCTCGGGGCCATACCTACTTTCCAGATTGATCGGAACCTTCATGAGCAGCACACCGTCCCGGTTATCAATAACCCGCATGGTACCAAGTCATCCACTGTGACTAAAGAGCCATTTCCGCTTCACGCTCAGGGACCTGGCGGCGGCCTATTCATTCTCGACGGCGGAATAGTACCTGGACTTGCCGTATCTGGAGAGGACTCTTTTCCCGAACAAGTCGCGCGCTGGTGTCCACGCGTTTGACGCGGCTACTGGCAAGCACGTTGGTACGCAATTTCATAAGGGTGGATCAAAGCTAAGCTGCGCAACCATTCTCCGAGTATCGTTCTGGATATTCTTAATGCCAGCATGCAATCAGACAGAGTATTCCATTCCGGGGCATAGTAGGATACATTCCAGGTCCCTTTTCTCAGCACCGTCTGGCCGTTTGGTACTTAACGCCCGCCAAGTAATAACAATTGCAAGCTCATCTTCTCCGACGACCAACCACTTTATCCTTATGCAATCATACGACTTCGTCATTGTAGGAGGTGGAACCTCTGGTCTTGTACTCGCAAAGCGCCTGAGCGAGAAAGGATCCCATTCGGTCCTTGTATTGGAAGCAGGCCACAAGCCGCCCTCACACTTAATGAAGACAGTAAACATGACGGTATGTGAATTCGAAGCTATTTGATGTTTTCAACGAAACTAACAGCCACAAGGGTATGGCCGTCAAACTTGTTGAAAATAAAGATATCACACACCAGTATCCTACCCCGCCTCAAGCTACACTCGGAGGGGAGGCGTTCAGTCTCCCAACAGGTCGGGGCATTGGCGGATCTAGCAACATCAACTGGGCAATTTGGACACGAGGTGCTGCAATTGACTACGATCGCATCGCTGATATCACAGGTGATGTCTCATGGAAGTTTGATGCACTCTTGCCGTATTTCAAGAAGACAGAAACTTACCACTATCCGGCCAACACGAACCACACCATCAGATGCGAGCTGCACGGAGCCGAAGGGCCGGTTCACATCCAGCCGAAACACGCCATTCTTTGGGAATCTAAGTGGTCAAAGGATAGTTTGCAATCATATCAGGACGCCGGTTTGGAGTTTAGCGAAGATGTCAACGACGGGGACACATTGGGTATTGGACCGGTTGCAATAAGCCACTGTTTTCTGCATGGAGGCCGGCAGACTTCGCGTGCATATGTCGCAACGATACCAAAGAACCTTGATATCAGGGAGGGTGCACAAGTGGCGCGGGTTATTTTCGAGGGTCACAAAGCGATTGGAGCCGAAACCACTACGGGACAGATTTTCCGAGCTGAAAAAGAAGGTGAGCTGCGAGGTTCAAATTACTGCAACTGTGACTTATTATTTCTGTTAGTCATTCTTTGCGCTGGAGCAGTCCAGTCCCCTGCTATCCTTCAGAGATCAGGGATAGGGCCTCGACCTCTGTTAGAAAGCCTTGGAATCCCGGTAATCCATGACTTGCCCGGGGTTGGCGAAAATATGTGGGACCATTTTCAGGTGTTCCTTCGGTGGCGTCTTAAGGACGAGCACCGTGGAGACACAGTTGATGAGTTGTCAAACCCCGGGCGACTGAAAGCAGAGATAGACGCTTACGAGAAGGATGGAACTGGGATGCTATGTGGGGTACCGTATGAGTGGGGCATCTGGAAAAACTTTCGACACGAAATCGAGGAGGTGGTCAAGCGTGATGAGGTAAGCAGCCCAATCTCCCACGGTCGTAGTGCTTATTTCGATGCGAACCCATCCAGATGTTGTCGGAGAAAGCCCGCGCGCACCTCCTCTCTCCCAATATCCCTCATGCCCAATTTCTTCATCTTCATGGCTACGTACTGAACCCCAATCCCACTGATAATAAGGCATACTTCTCCATTCAGCCCATCGTCGCGACACCGACCTCGCGTGGCTCTGTTCGCATCGTCTCTCGCGATCCAACGCGGGATGCTGTTGTTGACCCTAATTGGCTCAGTACCGATACGGACAAAGCAGTTATTAAATATGCTGCGCTTTTTGCAGAGAAAGTAGCATCTGGCCCCGTATGGAGGGACAAAATCGATCAGGAGGTAGCACCACAGGAAGGAGTGAATGGGTTCAGCGACGAGCGCATCACGCTCAAGATCCGCAAGAACTGCCATACTGTATTCCATTATGTGCGCAAACTCTGCTTCCTTGCCGGTTAACATACTAACTAAATCACCGACACCCGTAGTGTGGTACTTGCGCCATGGCCGCGTCAGACTGCCAAGAAGTTCTCCCTGTCACAAACTCAAGTGGCGAGGTCTATGGCGTGAGCCAATTGCGTGTTGTCGGTAAGAGGCTGCTCCCACTGAATAAATATGAGCTCATCATGCTATGGGTATACTAGATACTAGTATTTTGCCTACGCCAATATCAGCTAACACCCAGGCCATCGCCTACGCACTGGCTGAGAAGATCGCTGACAACATCACGCAGAGATACGCGTCCTAGACGAAGTAGACTGCAATGCAATAGATTGAGTGAATGACCATGGTTGTAACTTAGGTAGTTCTGGAAACTGCATTGATTATCGTGATGAATGAATTATTCTAGTCCCATTGAGATCGTGTTTTAGCCTATCTGTTCTTCTGGGACGTATGTCCTAAACAAGCTTGTTTGCTTGGACGATTCGGGGAGGTAAGCAAGATAAGGTCGAGGTGCAAGCAAGCATATTTTGCGAAGTATCATGACACCTTGTGGGACGAGTCGTATACGGCTCCCAGCTTTCGAAGCATCCGCATCATGCATGTCAAAGGCGTTTTCCTGTATCACGAACAGTCGTGAATATCGTCCTCTCTAGCTCTGATGTACTGGAGCACCTGAGTTTCCGGAGTCAATTGATTAGCACCTGGGCTACCGTTTCATGTACATGAACATCATGTACTTGAACATCAAGCGGCGGTGGCGGGCGGGCGGGCGGGCGGGCGGGCGGCCCCACCCTCCCGTATTCTCCGTGTGCGTGTGAGTCTCGCTTGATTTGGCGCTGACTCCAAAACGCCGCCGCACCTATGGGGCAGGGCTCGCACGGTTTCCGTTGAAACAACCACGCTACTAGTATATCTTCTCGCATAAGCTTCCCTAGACCCCCCACTCAACGCACGTCTTTATCGAAGACACGGGCGGCAATAACTCTCGGGCCCGCCGAGCCTGCCAAAGATGCACACTCAAGTACATTGCCAGTCTGTATCGCAGCTTCTAATCGTGTAAGCTTACCCAACCACCAAACAGAGGGACTCAAAGATAACGAGGCTGCCAGAATTAGAAACAGCCACCGCCTCTGATCGACGGCGCTCCGTGCAGGAGAGCACACCCTCGCATGCGAGCTCAATGAGTACAATGGCGGCAGCCCGGGTTCCGCTGCGGTCATCTCCACCAAGGCGGACGCCATGTTCGTGCACGCACGTTATTAGCGACGAAAGCACTTCGGTCAATACCATCGCTACACGGACAGGACTATTGACGGAACGGACCGCCCAAGCAGGGTTCAGCGTTCCTCGCCTATGTATCTCTTAGTGTCGGCCCACCCCTCGAGCATTTTGGTGACAAGGCGGATCGCGAGTGCTATGAGTCGTGGAATAAGACTTATGAGTTGCGTCCGTTTACCTTTTGAGCTGTGTGTCCAGCAGCTAACGGCGTCTGTACCCACATCAGGTGCGCTCGCTTGACGAAGATTCTGACTCATCTCTGTGCCCACTGCGTCCAGTGTTGCTGTGGAGAAGTGCCATTCCTCTGGCTCCACGTCGTACATGTTCTAATGTCAACGCAACAGCTACGAAGCCCTCGAGTCACATGCACAACGTTCGCCTGCCCGTCCTATCTATACATAAACAAGCCTGCGCTATCGGGGTTCGGGTTCCTTCAGACATCAAAACAGGGGCATGAAGAAGGAGAGGTAGCGATCATTTGTTCGTATGTAGTTCCTTCTTCGCAGCGGACTCAGCTGACCCATCCCAGACGTTGAGGAAACTTTCGCTTCATACATACAGACACACCCGTGGGCATTGACTTGAGGCATGACTGTATACCTCATCAGCAAGCGCCTTTACACTTCAGCAGGTACGTTACTTCCGAAGCGGATTCACGTCGATGTCAACGACTAGAATATTGAGATCGCACTCGTCAGGCTGAGTTTACGATGGAGTGGTACGAACACGCTGTTTTCGAGGGCACGGCGAAATGAGGGTTCAATCCTGGCACGGGACGTATAGCGTCGTAGTGGGATGTCCGCTGATGTCCGATGTTCCTGTACTGGATCCAATGATCAAGTAGCCGAAGTTCGAAGGCAGTATTGGAGACGGAAGGTATACGAAAGCATAATCATACTTGCTAGCGCGATCTTCGCACATTTGATGTTGTCCAGACACTAAGAAACTTTCCGTTCAAATGGATGTTTCCTTGTACTCGGGGGCTATATATCCGAAGTAAGATATGTCCTTGTGTTGCCGCACTTGCTAAGTTACCAAACACGAGGGCGTACACCATCCTAACAGGTACTAGTGCGAGCAATTTCAATCTATCACCACCGGTCCAATTCAGGTTCACGCTCCCGTTCACTTAGCGCGGGGTATGGCAGGAGTCCGGAGGCGCGGGGTCGGCCATGGTAAATTGACACCGCCATGGGCTATATGACCAACGGCTTTCCATTACAGAGTGATGCTCCACTGTTGGTTTTTAATGTGAGCAGAATTTACGCATACAGCCGTCGGTTGAAGTATATCCGAGTGTTACAGCATTGTCCGATATCGGGACTTGGGGCTTCAAGGCATCTATGCCATAGCATCAATCTGGGGCTGCTCCACCTCGCCCTCGTCTTGCCCTCAAAGGGTGTTACCGGGAACCAGATGCAAGTGAATGACCGCTGGTTAAGATATAATCCAAGAATACCATATAAAATGCTTCAATATCCTGGAGCATTTATACATATGATAGCGTGGTCGACTGTTGTCCCAAACCAACCCCTCCCAAGCCCGTCGACTTTGCCAATTTCTATTGATCAATGCCCTCCGAAACAAAGTCTGCGCTCTTTCAGCCAATCCGAGTCGGAGAAGTCGTCGTTCAGCATCGTGTCGTCCTAGCGCCTCTCACTCGCGTCCGTGGGTACAACGATCACGTTCCTGGCCCCCTTGCCGCTTTATACTATGCACAGCGTGCTAGTGAGCCCGGAACTCTGCTTATCACCGAGGCAACGTTTATTAGTGGACCAGCGTCCGGATATCCCAACATCCCTGGCATCTATACCGATGCACAGATTGAAGGTTGGAAGGAGGTTTGTCGAGTCCAAATCTATCATGTCCGGTATATGTTTACAGAGTGGTGATTGTTTAGGTCACCAATGCTGTCCACGCCAAGCGCTCGTTCATCTACCTTCAAATTTGGGCTCTCGGTCGCGCAGCTATGCCACAGATTCTTGCAATGGAAGGACACGAGCTCGTTGGCGCTGCCAATATACCGCTGAAAGAGAACGCTCAACAGGGGCATGCGGATCCTCGCCCGGTGACCATCCCTGAGATCAAGGCGTACGTGCAAATGTTCGCCACTGCCGCCAAGAATGCTATCAAGGCCGGGTTTGATGGCGTCGAGGTTCACAGCGCAAACGGGTACCTTATCGACCAGTTTCTTCAAGACGTTAGTAATACCCGAGAGGACGCGTACGGAGGAAGCATTGAAAACCGTGCGAGGTTTGGCCTTGAGATCCTCGACGCGGTTATAGAAACTATTGGCGCATCAAAGACGGGCGTTCGAATAAGCCCATGGAGCGAATTTCGAGGTATATACATCGAGACCCTGACTACTTGGCCTATCTGATGATATTCTCTAGACATGAGAATGACGGATCCCGTTCCAACATTCTCCTATTATGTTACGGAGATTCGGAAACGTAACATTGCTTACTTGTCTGTCATTGAACCTGGAGTCGGTGGTGATGAAGTTGTTGAATCGACTAATGGTTCAAACGATTTCATTCGGAAGATATGGGGTGAGAGCCCCTACATCACTTCCGGAGGGTACACGAGGGAGCGTGCCCTGAAGACGGCTGAAGAGAGCAATGTGCTGATAGCGTTTGGGAGATCATATCTTGCAAATGTGAGTGAATTGACTATATTCGCGATGCTCACTAAATTGTTGCACCTTAGCCCGACCTCCCACGTCGTCTGCGAGAGAACCTCCCAATGACCCAAGCAACGAGATCTAAGTATTACCTAGTAGGAAATCACACCCCTGACGGGTACACAGATTGGGATTTTGCAGACTCTTTAGTTGAAGCGGTATAGTCACATACGAATTTGTGACTCATAGGTTTTGCATTAGAGAAAGTTGATAATTTTATACGGTTGAGGAAGAAGAGCATGTGTTGATAATCAACTCAGCAAATGTTGAGTGTAATGTTACTGAAGCGATTGAAGACTACGCCTAGCGTTATGTAGACGAGTAGCTATGGTAGCTGTCACAATGTAAGAAGATGAAGGGAATAGCTAGCGGGGGGACATCACGGTTAATTGGCTCGATAGCAAATTAGTGTGCCGCTAACACACTATAGCCCTTCTGACTCCCGAGAAGAGCAAATGAAGACAGCGAAGTGCGAGCATGCGACCCATTTCACACAAGGCTTAATCAAATGCAGCGACGCGAGTAATACGGTAAACAGCGGACAACAAATGAACTGTGAGAGGTACCACGACAATGTAACATTGATATGCTATGTAACCTTTTATTTAGTTTTCCTTACTGCGCGGGCTATCGTCTGAAGCGCTGAGCCTGCAAGGATCATCACCTAATATCACCGATCAATAATGACACCACCTAGCACACTAATAAAACACAACTAACCGCAGCAAACACAACTGGACGGTACCATTGATATGAGCCATGACTTTGAACCAACGCGCCTGCTATCGGAGGGCCTATGAGGGATGCAACTCCTGCAACTAGTGTTCCTAACCCAATTCTAACACTAGAGATTGGACCACATGAGCTCATCATGCGCATAACACGCGCAAAATACCAACCCAACTTCGCCCAAACTCTTACTGAAGCTGGCTGCTGCTGGGGTCGCGAGGGAGATGCCTAAATGTAGTGTCAGATGATGGTACTGAAGTACGACAACCTATGGCCTACTTGAACCAGAGAAGAATCCGTAGAGCAAAGTGAAAACAACTGCGCCCGCGACAGTTGTTGCTGCAAGCATCACAAATGTCAATGCACCTGTCAATGCTGTGCACACAATAAGGACTGGGGCATGTAAGTATTCCATAGACGTTTCAAGTATCCCTTCATGATCGTACCGTTTAGTACACCATACATGTCCGCAACAAAATTTGGGAGTATTCGGCCAAACAACGAAGCAGCATTCAAGATGGATATCTGATGGTGTCTGCATCAGATTGGTGCTTCGTCGAATGATTGCAATCATACAGTGTAAAATGATAAACTTGGAGAAAGACCGTGCATTTGAGTAAACAGCTGAATGTAAAATACTATAGATTTTGGTCATTGAATGTTTTAGTCCAATGGCGCCAGAATCTCACCTGGAACAAAAACACCAATGAACATACAGCCGCAGCTGTAAGTCCTTTTAGTATTGAATGACTGGTAGCAGTGACAGTAGGTACCCCAATGTGTTCAACCAATAAGGCACATCGCGCATGATGGCTCCAAAACCATCCTGCTCCAGCCCCGGCCGTTTACTAGACTTCGGCTTTGCTTTCATGATCACGTTTGCAAATGCTAATAGACCAATATCCATGAAAGCGGTCGCCCTAAACCGCTCATTCGAATTTACAAACCGGTTTAAAATGATAGTGTACCAACACCTCACTTACCTCACACCCCATGCAAAGCCAACTTTTCCATTGAAGAGGTTGTTAAGCATGATCGGGTATATGATTGCCCCCAAACATGACCCTAAAGAGGGTTTAGTAACATTTTACGCCACATAGACTATACATAATACCTGACATCACAATCCCCATGGCTAGGGAGCGCCTGCGAGTAAAGTAGTGGGAAACCACACTCAATGCTGGTGCAAACATAAACCCGCTTGCAATTCCAGTACCCATGGCTTGAGCTAAGAAGACTTGGTAATACTGTGATTGTTGGACGAGGGAGAGCATGAACGTCCTGTGGAAACATTTTAGGTCGTTGATTCTAAGGTACACCCAAAACTCACGAAAAGACAAATAGGAGACATCCAAACACTAGGCACTCGCGGAAGTGCCCTGTATCAAAGAGCTTTCCGGCAGGAAGACCGGTAAAAAACAAGAAGAATAATTGGGCAGAACCAATCCAGCTAATGTCGGATAATGAGTAGTTCGGTAATAGGGTTTGCTGAAGATATCTTAGCCTCTTGCTGCTAATAACAATGGCCTTTATTACTCACCGCATAGTAGTCCTGATACACGCCGAAAGACTGCGCCGTACCAAAGCTACAGAACGTAATAAAGAAACTATATGTGGGTCAGCATTTGCGTTCAATACAGGATGAGGATGCAGACCAGTGCTTACCCGCCTAATACTGTCAACCATCCGGTGAGTCCACCTTCAGGGGGCAGGTTTGGGCTCTCAACAGCCATTGTCTTCGTTGTGGTAGTGCTAACAGTATCCACCCCTTGTTTTGCGACTAACTCAATGTCGCTCGACGGCGGCTGAGAGATGATAGACATGATGAATAGTGTCCGGAATAATGGACGCTACACTTAAAGCATTGACCACCCACCCAGACAGAGCCTCATTTGTGGCCGGAAGGGCAAGTGCATTATCCATCTAGCGTAAGAAAAATGATGCCACGGACACGGGTCCGATCACATTGGAATGACAATAGTTCTCCCACAGAGCTGGGGTATTTGTCACCACAGACCTAGTATGTTCAGACACCGCGGTTTGACGAATCCAGCAAAACCTCATACAGAGACATGCCGACGTCGCAGCCATTGTTGAACGTTCAACTTGTAAATGAAGGTGCTAAATCTGCCAAAGTGGTTCAAATGCTCCACTGCGCAGCAACAGATTGATGAGAGTTACCAAAGCTGAACTAGCAGAACGTGATTAGAACATTTGTTCTCATTTGAAAGCTGGCACGGCAATGTCTAAACGGGTGCGGAAGAATCCTTCGCCTATCCAAATAAACGCCGACATCAACTGCGCCTTCTATGCCTACCGCAATCAAATTGTGATGAGATTGGGGCGTATATTCACAACTGCACGGTGAAACATCAAATCGCATGATATGTACAGCTTCCTCCACACCCACCCACCAAGAGTACATTGCTAATGGGTTTTGGCATGAGGAGCAACGGCGACTTAGGTTTTGAGAGATGTACGTCTTTTATCCTCGCTTACCGGCATCAACCTTTATCGAGATGCACCTCCGGCATGAATATTTTGTACCCCCCAAGACTAAGCGTTGAAACGATGTGCGATGAGCAAAATTGATGAGATTCTCACATGAGCCACTGACCTGGTACTGAGTAAGGTGTAGTCCTGTACGTATGTGTATGCCAAATGTTGCATTTCGTCTCGTTGAACAAGATCGCCCGCACAGGCGCTTGTATATGCCAATATACACCCATGGTAATAGCGCTGATTTCTCCTCAGCACGCAATACGAGCCATAATGAGCACACATGAAAATATCATCGCCCATAATATTGGGTGATCGACGGCATACTTTATACAATACATTTAACAGTTAGTTGACGATTGGAGAGGCGTGGACGACACAAGCTTAAGGTCTACAGAGTTGAAAACTGCCGGTGCGGTATGCATACCGATATACACCCATAAATCAGTTCACGCATACCAGTGAAACTATGTAGTAACCCGACTCCTGGAGTGTACTGCTTTGTACTGTGAGCTCCCAATATCAAGTTTTTATGCTCAGAAAACATTCTTCGGATACAAGATTAGCGAGTATAAACCCGTCCAGGAGAAAATCATTTCGAGTGACTAACCTCTATTTCTGAGTCTAGCTCGTGTTCAATCAACATCTGGCGCGTCTGGTATGAATGACAGAGCTTGAGAAAAAGTCGGGCGTTCAACATAGCTATGAGGGGAGCGGAGAATCTGGGTCACAGTCAGTTTACAGGACTGAACGGTTATGTTCCGATACTCACGTTATTCCAAATTCAGATGTGGTATCCTAGCATAAGGTAAGCGTCGTCTCAGAGATCTCGGAGGCAGTCATTGACTTACAGTCCCTGTGAAGACGAGAATTATATCAACAACTCTGAACGCTTCATAGCGTCGAAAATGTTAGTTTTGGTTTCTCTCATATGTTAGGGGCCGCACCAAAAATGACCTATTCATGGTGATATCATGAGAAGCACAACCGTAGGCGCTGAAGTATGTGCTCACTGTCATGAGCGGAACTCCATGTCCAGTCAGCATCTGAGTGAGAGGCTGATCCAGCGTTCGTGGGATGTCTGCAACATTGCACAAAGCAAGAATTAATGCATAAACCTCAAATGAAGCCTGGCTATATCATTAGCACCGTAGTATGGTCAGCTCCGTTGATTACATACCTGAGAAACATATACACCAGCAAAGTAGATACTGCCTTTGGATAAAATGCAAGCCTTCCAATATTGCTGCGTAGTCCATTGAACGTTGATACCTGACGTATATCAGTATATCGTATCCCGCATCTTTGATGATGATCCCACTCATGAACTTGCTGGCAGCTATCATAAATGAAACACCACTTAGGCACGCTAAAGATGATCCTAGAAGCAACAGACGCAAGACTCCGCGATTGCGATCCCAGATCATGAACACGCGGATCACGGTTAGCACTGATACAAAGCTACTCCTGAGTCACACCCTTTATATGGCTGAAGGACGCTCACTGTTGCCCGTGGTATCCACCACAAAATACCATACTATCTCCGCCCATAGAATGTTCTGACATCTAATAGTCATCAAATACTACGCAGAGTGGTAATATTGCCCTATTCTTACTGAAAAAAACTTCAAACTATATCAAGGATACGAAAATGATAGCACCTACCATTTGATCAGATAGTGTCGTCTGAGGAGCTCCGACTGCAAGGGGTTATTTGTTGTCTCGTAAATATCTGGTCAAAAACAGCTCACGAAGGATCAGGAAAGTCGAAAGAACGAGTATTCCGCATCTGTTGACAGCGTACGCCAGTTGTATGGAAATCGGCCACTGATTCCATACATGTTGAAGCTCGGTCTGAAAGGAAAACAGAGAATCGCAGATTGTCAAAGTTGTGGCAACAACTGAAAAGAAAGTTATTAATGACAAGCAAACCGGAGACGGGTGGTATCAACTTACTTGTATAGTATCGGAGTACAACCTCCCACTCCAGCCTAGACATCATTTCAGGTATTAATAAGGTCATTTGGACGGTGCGTTAGATCGTAGAATGGTAAAACGGCAGCGGTGTGTAGCTTGGTGCAGCTACGAGCATGTGGAGTAAATTTAAGCTGTCAGGAATATCGTGTATCCTATGCGCTGATGGGCTAGGTTTGATCATAGCTAGTTCAACAACAGGATTGGACGAATCAGACCCCAATCCTCTACGCTGTGGATAATTCCGCATCAAGCGTTTCAGGGTGAATGGTTTTCCCAAATGTGCCACTGGTGGCTGAGCGCTGGATAGAGAGGACACCGTCGACGGAACGAGATGCACGATAGGAAGATTGATGAGTCGTTGGGTAAAGTACCTTATCTGGGCCAAATCTGGGCTTGTTCATTTAGGAGTGGACCATACGTAGTATGTGATTCATGAGCCGGTTAGTATCCTTAGACTCCTTCATTCCAATTCATCAAGCTATGCTGCGGACTAACAATAGACTACGGAACCACAGATTCACTTTTCCGCTCTCAGCGCTTCCCACGACATTCCGGGACTTCACTGGATTCTAAATTCAGTATTTTTGACCGCTTGGTAGGACAACGCCCCACTCTTTCTCCCTGAATAAGCTGTCGAACTCCACGATTAATGCCTTCAATGGTTTAGCTCGCCTCACGGATTCAATGTATGTTTGCACCATGAAGCGTCACGGTACAAACATACATCAAAGTCATGGGTATAGTGGCGTGGCGAGATATTTTAGTGCTCTACACCGGGCCACTTCACTGTCTGTCAGTAAACAGGCCTCTGGCCATACGTGCGCCATGGCGCTCTCGGCTACCTTAGGCATTGTCAACCAATGACAAATTATCATGCCCATGACATCTACATTCCGAGCTGGCATCAGAAGGAACGGATGGTTATAGAAATAGCATTCAAGGGATAAGTTCACAGGTCGTTTAGGGCACTCAACGTTCAGGTTAGCCACAGACCTCCCATCACAGCTTATCATGACTAATCTAGGGCTTATGAGAAACAGTCGTTAGTTGTATGTCCGAATGTCAAGCGAGGGTCCTGATCACGGTATCTGAGGCTGTTGTCCGAACTTGAGGAAGGGAAGCCGACTCGCATTTCGAGCCTCTCGAATTAGCAGTCCGGCTTTCGGTCAAACCAGCAACGTACCACCTGGATGGGATATATTTGGCCAGCCACAATCACGCACACGGTAACCTAACTACTTGATCCAACCTTCAGAAAACATAGGAGGCCGCAGAGCGCGCGGTTTTCAGGCTGAGCTCCTCAAAGAGACAGCGACATAACATATCCAGGCGTCTTAAAAGGGCTAGGTTCCGTTCGCATCCTTGATCTTGCATGGAATACAGGATAAAGAAGCCAGCCACATTGGGTACAAATCGTAAACCCATGGCCGCTTTTCTCCCATCTGGAAGACCACCTGTGATGTCTTCCATGGCTCTCACCAAATTTCACACCCTCTTACATTGTTCTCTTGACGGTGTATCCATACTCTTTCTCTTCACAAAGTCCGACATCAAGACAATATTAGTGCCCGTGGTGCGTTTTGAGTGCTTTCCTTAAGCACATTACGCGATAGCTGACAATGCATAGACAGCATTTGCTGCGCTTTCTGCTCGTAGCATATCCTTTGGAGCGCACCTTCGTTCCACCCTTTGGATATGGCTACATCTGCTTCAATTCTGTATCGCAAACCAGGTCAGAAACCCAAAGGAGGACAGCATGAACAAGCCGTGGAGACCCATCGCGAGTGGACTTATATCTCAAGCAAACGCCCGTTCGCTTCGATGGGCGGTTTGCTTCATCTGTTTGGGATACTCTTATTTCTCCGGGACGCTCTTCATCAGCACGTCGCTATCATTGGCGATATTTCTGAATAATGATATGTCCATGGACTCTCATTGGCTGAGTAGAAACTTCTGGGTTGCATATGGATATGCGATGTTCAACGGCGGTGCTATGAAGGTAATCTGCTCTAGTAAGTAATCTGAAAGCTTAATCCGATACCCATGTCGCTGATGACACTACAGCATCTGAGTGTATACCCGAGAATAGATTCCTCCGAGCATGCATATTCGTCTCTAGTATTATATTCACCACAGTTCAAGCGCAAGATTTTCGAGACGCAGCTGGCGATATCGCAAGCGGAAGAAGCACCCTTCCAGTAGTTTGGCCGCTCGCAAGCAGACGCATAGAACTCGGGTTGATCACGCTTTGGTCTTCGATAATCTGTATCTTGTGGGATGTTAACGCCATTGTGGCTTCATTCCTTATAACGTTTGGAGCGCTCATTGGACTGCGTTTCTTGCTTCTTCGAAGCGCTCGCGATGACCAGCAGTCTTATTTACTCTACAATGTAAGTCGCTTTGTCGATAACCCGAGGGGCGCGTGCTGAGTTTTCTTAGTTCTGGCTTTGCGGAGCACAATTGGTTCTCTTGCGGAGTCCATTACGAAGTGACGTGGAAGATCCGATCAAGACACATACCACCTGGTTTTGAGATATTTAGAACCTTGTTTAATATTCCTTTCTCGATGATTTAGAGCCAGTGATTAATTGATTTCGTTCTTTGCACTAGTAGAAACCAACCATTTACGTTCGGCGCGGTGGAGAGCCACTCTCGCACCTCCGACCGAACTTCAAGTTGCACATGAACTGTTTCAGATATTTAAGCCATCCGTACCCCGACGACCTCGTGAACGAACCTTGAGAAATGAAAGTGCTGCATGATAACAGTGCTACTAGCTGGGTACTGATCTAGCTAATGCTTACCCCAACGTATAGGTCAAATATTCTTTCCTACCCGTGCCTCGTTATGGACGTGCATAAGTCCTACAAATGGTTGAGAGCGGCATGGACAGAATACTTTCGACGCCAGGGATGAAAATGATCGCTTGAAATTAGTCTATTATTAGTGAACTTGTTTGACGCTCGCGAAGTATACCCGGCGATCTCACGGCGATCTCGGCAACTATCTCCACGCGCAAGTCGGGCTGAATGAGGTGCTCTAACCAGGAATGAGGCTATGTCAGCACCTAGAGGTGGGGCAATGTAAGGGACACGCACCGGGAATATTGTGCCGCTCAAGATCGGGATGCCAGACTACACAATGGCGTCGTATTTCCTATAAACATGAATCTCATTAGTGCCTCACGTCGAAAGCCGACGAAAGAGCGCACATATCCGACATAGACACCATATTGTCGATCTTCTTGATCCCGAGCCAGTGCAGAGTGTCTAGAATAGCGCCTAGAACCGCATGACCTTGACACCGGAGATGAGCTCCGTCGACTTGAAGTACCTATCCACCGTGTCGCCGCACGTCTTGCGCTGGTTGTACAGGAGATACCTACAAACGCGAACGTTGAGTCATCCGGAAAGGGGCTACAGATGGGCGGAAGCGACAAACACTTGGTGACCTCGCTGATCGCACAGCCCTCCTTGCGGAATAAGATGCCGACGCCGCCGCACTGCGCGGTGCGGATGTGCTACTGCATCTTAAGATGTCCTTGTTCAGCTCATTCTGTATACCGGTGAGTCCGGGACAAATGGTAACCGAGTGAACGGCTGATATCAAGAGACCTACCGCGCATTCACCGTATCAAGAGATTATGCACTCCACTGATCCATGATATCATAGAGACTGTGTTGATATCCGCCGTGGCGATATCTAGAAGATGGCTGGAGATGGATAAGCCGGCAGAGGTACATTAAGTCAGCCCGCTACCCACCGAGTGGATCCACTACCGGAAGCTTATCAAGTGTCCGTCAGCGTTTTTGGATGCGCCGCCTGCCTTCGCATCTAAGTGGGAAAGTTGTAGAGTGGGTATCCGCAGGTTGAATGTTTAGCGGTCGCCTTTCCTGATCTATCAGAGCTCGACAAAGGATGGATTACTTTAGGAACATCAAGGAGATTGATCACAGCAAATGTTGGAAATTGGAATGGCGCGGTTGGGAACGGCGTCGAGTTTGTGCCGAGTGGAGTTGAAGCGACAGGGTGTAATCAAAAAGAGTCAAAGACCAATGTATTGAAGAGCACTTACATTTCAAAGTGCTCAGAGATGCCTGACAGATGGCAAACCGGCTCCACAGCCGCCTTGGTCGAATACTTTAGACCTCGCCTCACGGGTCCGCCCACGCCGCCTACAGTGAGATCTTAAAACGGGAGTTCAGTCTTGGAGTAGTGGGGCTTGCGCGAGGGCGAGTGCATGCCAATGTCAACGGACACAGCACAGCAGATGGAGTAGGAGTAGGAGCCCAAAGCATTGCGCTGCTTAGTAGGCGAGGGGAGGCACGAGCAGATGGTAGACTCGCGTAGTTTGGAGTTTGCAGCGCATCGGTGGAGGCTGTAGGGCTAGAGACTGGGTTAGTCGGTGTAGACTGTAAGGGTGGATCAACATGCAGAGTAAGACAGCAATGTCGTCATGTATGGGGATGGAGGGAAGGGGTGAATGTATGCATGAGTCAAAGTTTGGCTGAAATCACGTACTTGAAAGGAAGACCCGGTCAGTTTACGCTCTCTCGCGCTACTCCTTGTCACCGGGCTCGAGAGATGGACTACCCATTGTCGACTTCGACGACACGAAGCGCACTTGATTAGGCATGGAGGATGGCTTGCCGACAGGACTGGAAGAGAGCGGGACGGGGAATCTGTTATTATTTCACCACGAGGAGGTGGAGTTGTGGGCACGGGTGTACTGTACCGGGCGGAAGTGGGTACATCGATCTGCAGGCAAGGTCAGCGATGTCAATGAGTGATACGCCTTCAGCGCAAGATCCTGCCATAGATTTCGCAGGGACACGTACATATTTTTGCCTGGAGTCTGTTGCGACACTGGAGGCGCAATAAACTAAGCCAAGATCTGAGTTAGCGGAGCGTTGTGCGAGTCAGTGCAACGTCGTGATCTTGATGGAAGGGGAGGAGGATGAGAATGCAGTCAGAGGTTAGAGTTGACTTTGACTCGGTTCAGGTGCTCGCGCATTCTGCTTGTTTGATTAAGAATTGTTAGCTGTTGCATGTGGGGTTGACCGTTGGCTACCAGAAGGCGCAGCTGGTGAGACCAGGAGAAATGTTTTCCAAGACTTGGAGTTCAGAACTCGTGCATGTTCAAGCTTGATATAAACACGAGGATGTCCTCTTTAGCCCATCGTATCAATACGGTTTTACACAGTCAACAAGCAGCTGGGAATGCAGATGTCGCCAAGTATGGAACAAATGTTGATATTGCAAGATGCTGGAGAGGATGAAAGTGGACCAGAAAGCCGAGGAAGGGTGATGTCAGGGGATGTCATTGCCAGTGTCAATGCGTGCTTACAGCGGCCGTTGCCGCGAGGCGCGCCTCGATGCCAAAGGCCAGCCAAGCTCCGGAGTCGACCAGCCACTGCAGGGTAGCACACTATAAAGCACCTTTGCCTCAAGGTCGACGCGCAAGCCATTCTTCCTCTTATCCATCCACCTTGCCCATCTTTTCTCCGTCTTTCTGCTTCGTTCGAGCTCACGATGTTGTCCGACGCTGCGCTCACTCAGATCCTGGCTCAGTTGAATGCACTCCAGGTGTCGCAACGGACTATCCAGGCGAAGGTACGCGTCATTGTCAGGTCGCTATCATGGTATCGCTTCCTCTGAAGATTTACTTGTCGAGATCGCTGATACGCTGACGTCGCCTGCAGATCGATGCCCTCGCCATTGCCAAGGATAATATCACATTAATACGCCATAAATGTCAACAAAATCGTCAGCCAAGTGACATGTACAAGAGGAGTAGCCGAAGCTTTTCTAATATAATGATAGAATATTTTCAATACCTCGAAAATAAAATCCAACTCTTTGAGGATAACGCAAGACGATGACTTGTACGGCACAGAGCCACAACTGAGGACATTAGTCTTGAGACTTGGTCAGTGTTAAAAAACTCACATTATATAGGATATAAGACCGCCTATCATCTTCTGTAGTTCTTAGAAGTAGTAGGTGCGCTCCGACAAGCATCCCAAGACAAACAAAAGGCCAGCCGACCGGTTTACCCACCTCCAAGAATCCACAGATTATTACAGACCATAAAAAAATGGACCAAAACTCATAGTGACGGCTGCCTTCGGGCCATATTATAGGAATGGTACGTCTTCCGCTAGTCGTGTCCCCTTCAACATCCCGGAAATCTTGAGCGTGAATTGTCGAAAAAACTATAGCAAAAATGGCAACAGAAGCCCCGACAAGTCTTTCTTGAGGCAAACACCGGTAAGCTAGGAAGCATTAGAAGCCGAAGTAACATCTATAAATATCCACATACATGAGCATGCCACCCTTGCAGCGCCTAAATCAAACATCGCGTATCCGTATGCAACCCAGACACCTCTGCCTAGCCAATGGGAGTCGAATCCCAGGTCGTTGTTGAAGAAGAATGCAAGAACAAGGGCTATGCTGAACCAGAAAACCCCGAGGATATACGAATATGCAAGACATAAAGCCAGAACTGGCCATCGTAAGACACGAGCACTTCCGAGGGAAATTAGGCCACACGCAATAGGTCTCCACGGCTTGTTTAGTACGTCTTCTTGTGGATTCATCACCTGATTCCCTATGCAGAACAGGAGTAAATGTATCCATACCCAAAGACAGGAAAGAAGGTGGGGCCTGAAAGATGGTTGACGTTCCGAGAGTATTGTGAACAATGTCTAAAAACACAGGTCAGAAATAAGTTTCGTCTAAGACCTTGGTCTCGCACCACTGGGAGTAGGAGTGTCTTGATGTCGGCTTTTGTGAACAAGTAAATTATCCAAGGACCATGAAATAAGGTCGAAATGAATGCACGTAGACCACGGCCCTGTGACATGATCTCAGTTCGAGGAATAGTGGGGAACGCCTAAGCTACGATAAAGCCCCGCAACATGCGATCAATATATAGGTAATGGAATTTCGTCCCATCAGCTGGCTTATTGGTGTCATATTGGTTCTAATCGATGCAGTAAGCAGAACATCGGGAGTTTGAAAATCTGGAATTTCATATATGAGTTCAATCACAGTAGGTCTGTGCAACGGGTAAGCATGATATAATGTTATGAACTACGATTAGCCACCCCCGCCCGCTATCTTCGCCAATTGTTCATGCATGCATGAGCAAGGGCAGGCCCTATGGCTATGGCTTGTTTTTAGATCCAAATTCCTTGGTAACGCACGAGCCCACAGAATCAGGATAGCCAAGCCTCCCGATGCTGAACTTTGCATGCCTTACTAGATGAGAAGCGCATCTGTGATGGCGGTCTCACCTCATGTAAGTTCCTGACGGATCTTTATCGTAAGCTCCATCAGACAACACGTAATGACGGACACTAGCGTGATGTTTCGATGAACATCTGTCTCCCGGTTAACTGTTACTCGCCGTAGGTACGACCAGGACGGACTTTGTATCCCATAATTACTATGACGGGGAATAGTGGATGCTCACAGGGTAACTTTGAAAAACGTCGAGTAGACAGAAGCCGAGGTTAGCCCCCTATGCATTTGTGTCACACATAAAGAGATTCATTGATGATAACATCAGGAAAGTAAAACATATACGACGGCACCGCCCTGAACTTCTTGTTATTAGGTATCCTCCAGGGAGAACGGTATGTACATCAACGGCGGGCTAGCGCGTTATACACCACAACTCAAAAATGCTGCTGGGATATCACTAACTCAACACCAACTCCATTTCTTACCTTGATTTCGGCTACTATCTACGGCCAAAAAAAGCTTCGCCCAAATGGAGCACTGGATTAAGGAAACAAGGGAACATAGCGCTGACGGCGAATTGGAGTTACACCGACTGCCGATAATACGTATACTAGCGAAACTTGATTTCCTGACCATGTCATCTGCGGTGCCAGCAAAGGCTTGCTCGACGGGAATTATAAATAACATCTCATGTTGGAGATCCATGAGCTGTTGACTGCATTCATTAGATGCTATCAAATTTTAGCGTGCCGTTCTCACCCTTTCTATGTGAGTAAGCTAAGTACTATGCATTACCGGATACAATTAGACTTTATTGAATGACGACCTCCCATGAAGCCAATATCGCTGAGGCTGTGGGTGCTGCCCCGCTGGTCATCACATTAGGCTTTGATAGGTATGGCCGCCCAGTATTTGATCTTTCACTTACTTCCAACACATTGCTTAAACACTACCTGCGTATTTGGGCGAGTGATCCAGCATTTATTATTAATCATGTGGTTATCATCTATGTGCACTGATAGAGCGGATACAAAGATTGATAATGGCGCCACAGCCTATCTAATAATGCTATCCATATCCCTATGTCACAAGTGATCTTGATGCACAGGTACAAGAACTATTTCGAGTGGCATGTACTTACGCCCTGGTTCAAATTTTCGAAGCCGGTTCACCCGATCCGCTTGAAATTGGCTTATTCGGCATCATAAACGTTCAGCCACCGTCAGTAATCCTCCTCGGTCTATCCAGAAAACCAAATAGGTGGACCGAGCCCCTTCATTCTGACTACAATGTCAGCTTTCGAAGGATATCGCATGCCCCTTTTAATGCAATTATGATGGGTTTGTTACAATGTGCTCATGGTGAAACGAGATGGGGTTTCGTTTGTAGAATACTAAGACTATTCCGAAGAGAAGATGTATAGTGATCACATGTCTCACTTGATTCAGGGTACCTATCATGGCATCGCATCAGCATTGCACCGTTTGAGCTCATTACGGGTACTGGATAGATAACCACAGCATCCTCAACAGAGCTGAACAGCATTGCGTGCATTTCATCCATCCACAAGACGTGTGTCATGGCGCTATATACACACAGTACCTGTTAAGTCAGCGGAAGCTGGATTGATGAACCTTATGGAGGTACTTAAAGAAGCTCTGAATGCAAAGTTTGTCGTAGCTTTCTTGCACCTGTCCTTGAAAGAATGACTTCCTCCTCAAGCTCGACGTCATTTAACCTTAATCTGTTCGTTGGACCAGTGTTAGCTGGGGCACTTGCTTCTACTTTCCTCACCGGATGTGTTTGCATTCAAATATATGTCTACTTTACAAGATTCCCCAAGGATAAGGTGGGCTTTAAAGGAGTGGTAAGTCGTACGACATGTCTATTGAGATAATGATAACAAATATCTCCTGTAGGTTTCAGTCATCGGGTAAGATGAAACTTCTATGTCATGGTACATTACGTTGAGCGCAAATAGACTTCTTGAGGTCGCTCATCTCTTCTCAACCGCCGCTTTCCTGTGGGAAATGACTGTGTCTGCCATGCTCAACCCACTAGAGCTGCTTGCACTCAGGAATGACTTTGCCATGACACTCATTACTATCTGGGTTGATTGCATCGCTGAGGAAAGTATATTCCATCAAGCTTCAAATCGACTCATGAGCTAGTACTGATGTATTCTACATCACACAGTCCTTCTTTCTATACCGTTTATGGGTGTTATCCTCTGCGTGGATTCCAACTGCTTTTGGCTTTTCGCTGATGGCAATCAGTCAAGTAACCGCATACGTCGCACTCGCGAAGCTTTGGGTCATTACAGACGCCGTACAGTTCCAGGAGGATGCACGAACATCGCTCATAATCACTTTTTCCACAAAAGCCGCATGCGACTCGTGGATTTCCGCTTGTATTTTGCATTATCTCTGGAAAAAGCGCAAGTTATCGAACTTTGCAGGGTAGAAACTGAACAACATCGTTTATTGTTCCTAAGCTTGCTCATTCGACCAATTTTAGAACTCGCCGAGTAATCGATGCGCTCATTTTGTGGACTGTCGGTAAGCCGCTCGACCTGATAGGAGGATGAAACTTATTCATCAGTATTCAGAAACGGGGGTCTGCACTAGGTCAGATAATTACTTTTGGCATTCGGTATCTGAACTAATTTTAGCCATTTATCAGCATTGTTGTCTTGCTTACACTGTTTTTGGTACGTGATGATTGTCCAGCAGTAGCTATTGATCTTGACTCGGTTATATTAGTATATCGCTGAACCGGACAACTGTAGGTTGAACGTGCCCATTTTGCGCTCACAGCTGATATTCGTATGTAGATCTCTGGATAGGTGTGTTGCTGATTATGGGTTCAGGCAAGTGTGCTTGATTGGAGTCGTGCGTGTTTCTACTCACTCTACATCAGTATATGCAAACGCGCTGGTTGCTGCGTAGGTGTACCTTGAATGTTCACAATGAACGGTTTAATGCTAACCCGCACTTTAAGGATGAATGGCCGCTGGATGATACAACGTCACGAACAACGAGCCTTCCATGTTCGCAGCCGACAAACAGAGTCCGCCACCGATGAATCCGATTCTTTGCCCACTACAAACAAGGTATTTGCTACGTGCTGCATTTTTCAACGTCTTGTTCTCGTGGTTAAATACGAGTCACTTCAGATCCCTTTTGTCAATATTCAACGAGAAATTATTGTAGACGAGAGGCAGTAATTCTAATCTAGTATTCAGTTCATTTCATAACTCATGGATGCTAGTGTGGATTTCCAAGATTAATATAAACGCCAGGATGTCCTTTTTAGCCCATCGTATGTATCGTATCAGTACGGTTTTACGCAGTCAATAAGCAGCTGCGAATGGGATTGTTGTCAAGTACTGAACAAATGTTGATATGGCATGATGGTGGAGAGGATGAAAGCGACGGAAAGCCGAGGAAGGGTGATGTCAGTGGATGTCATTGTCAGTGCGTGCTTACAGCGGCCGTTGCCGCGAGGCGCGCCTCGATGCCAAAGGCCAGCCAAGCTCCGAGCTCCGGAGTCAACCAGCCACTGCAGGGTAGCACACTATAAAGCACCTTTGCCTCAAGGTCGACGCGCAAGCCAATCTTCCTCTTATCCATCCACCTTGCCCATATTTCTCTGTCTTTCCGCTTCGTTCGAGCTCACGATGTCGTCTGACGCTGCGCTCACTCAGATCCTGGCTCAGTTGAATGCGCTCCAGGTGTCGCAGCAGACTCTCCAGGCAAAGGTACGCGTCATTGTCAGATCGCTATCATGGCATCGCTTCCTCTGAAGGTTTACTTGTCGAGATCGCTGACACGCTGACGTCGCCTGCAGATCGATGCCCTCACCGCTGCCAAGGATAATGCGCCCGTGCCCATGACCCCGCCGTCTCACAATGATGCCATTCCAGATTCCCCGTCGCGGTCTCTCTCCAGTTTTGCCGGATCCCCGTCGTCAACACCTAACAAGATTTCTCTTGCGTCTTCGACGCCTGTCGTAGGCACCCCGCCTCTGCAGTCCGATGATAAGGAGCGCGAGAGAGCGCTATACCCCGGACGCGTCCTACTCACCAGTACGTAAATCCATCCAAGAGCTGGACCGTGCATACATCCACCCTTTCATACCATCCACGATGCCGCCATTTGTCCTGCCTACTGACAAACACATTCAGCCTATCCCGATCAACACGGTATCAAGCCCTTCCCCCTCCAATGGGGCGCCGCCGACCCCAAAGTCCGCGGCCCGGTCATCTGCTCGCGCCTGCCGACCTCCATCAAGCAGCGCAACGCCCTCGGCGCACACAGCGGCTCCTACTCCATCTACCGCGCACTGTCCATCGCGATGGGCTCGCTCTCGCCCTCGCACAAGCCCGACTACTCCAAGACCGAACCCCCCGTCGACATCCCGCCGCAGCCGGCGTGGGCGGACCCGACGAAGATCGTGTCGTTCGATCCGTGGGGCCACTTGGTGCCGCAGGTGTACAAGCACGAGGTCGACGAGCTGGGGCTGGATGTGAGGCCGAGTATTGCGGTTACGAAGGCGCATATCAAGTTGAGCGAGATTGATGAGGCTGCGAAGAGGGGCGAGATCGAGGTGGACGGCAAGATTGTGATAAAGACGAATCCGCTGAGGAATGCGGATGGGACGGAGAGTGCTCTGGATCCGGGTGTGGAGATTCATGTGAGCAAGGCGGCGGTCGAGCCGGTGTGGTATCTGCCTGGTGTCGCTGAGCGTTTCGGCATGTGAGTCGTTCGACGTCCTTGGTCTGGCTCTCTTTCTAATACGCCTTGATGCGTGCAGCTCAGAGACTCTTCTGCGTCGTGCGCTCTTCGAGGACACTGGAGGGATGTACCCCGAACTCATCACCCGACCCGAGATCAAGGTCTTCCTCCCGCCCATTGGCAACTTGACCGTTTACATCTGTGAGCTCTCTTGCCCTGTCATACATCAAGCCTGTGGCCTGATCTATTTATTTCAGTCGGTAACCCCGCATTCATGTATGACGAGTCTAAGGAGCTCACCCTGCGTGTCCACGACGAATGTACGTTTCCCCTCCTGAACCCTCTGCCCTCGCGATGTGCTGACGTACACCTTGTCACCGCAAGGCAATGGCTCGGACGTGTTCGGCTCCGACATTTGCACGTGCAAACCCTACCTCGTGTTCGCCATCGAGGAGTGCATCCGCACCGCACAGCGCGGCGGTGTCGGCGTTGTCATCTACTTCCGCAAGGAGGGCCGCGCGCTCGGCGAAGTCACCAAGTGCGTGTCGCGTCCGCCCATCTGTAGTCCTTCTCCTTGTGACTGAACCTTCGCATCTGCAGGTACCTCGTGTACAACCTGCGCAAGCGCGGTGGCGACACGGCGGACAAGTACTTCAAGTCGACGGAGCTCATCGCCGGCGTCAAGGACATGCGGTTCCAGGCGCTTATGCCCGACGCTCTGCACTGGCTCGGGATCAAGAAGATCGACAACATGGTGTCCATGTCGGATATGTGCGCTCTTTCACAACTTTGTCGATCCTTGAAGAGAGATACTAATGGGACTCGTGTTCGCAGGAAATACGACGCCATTGTGCAGTCTGGCATCCCGATCTTGAAGCGGTACGATCTCCCCGGTACGTGTCTCTTGCATTTTTCAGCGCCCGGTGCTGACGTGACCTGGCTCCTGATCAGAGCACCTTATTCCGCCCGACTCGCGCGTCGAGATCGACGCCAAGATCGCAGCGGGATACTTCACGAGCGGCAAGCAGGTCACCGAGGCCGACCTCATCAAGACCGTCGGGCGCACCTGGGAGGAGACCGAGCATTGATTGCTCGATACCCTTGCATGCTGTAAAACTGTTTTCAACTCTTCTCTGTGGGTCTGCTTAGAATATTGTACAACAAATCGACACCAAGTGTACTGTCGTTACTTATATATGCATATCAATACCAATATAAATACAATACAAGTGCTGTTTCCGTTGTATCCGTCCTTGAGGTGTTCCAAGCATAATGGGCATCATAAGCTACTGTCGACCATGGTGACATCCTCGTCCTCATCTCCATCCTCTGGATCGATATCCATCTCTGCATCGCGAATGCCCCAGACCCTGAGTGCCTTATTGGCAGCCAAATACTTGGCCTCGTTCCTCCGCGCGTTCGCACTCCCCCGTTTCTCGCACTCGGCAGCAACACTGCCCAGCTCCTCGACGCCCTCGAGACGCACCGTGCACACCACCTTACCGCGCTCCACCTCGTACTCATAAACGACCTTCCTCGGCGCCGGCTCGCCCGCCTCCGTCTTGCGCTGCGACGCCCACCGATGGAGCGTCGACACCGGATGCTCGACCTCCACATCGCCATCCGACACCCGCTCGAGCATCGTCCACATGCCCATCCTGCCCAGCACCCCACGCACCGCAACCACATCGCCCCGCGCGTCGATGTACACCGCGCCGATAACGCTCTCCACGATATCCGACAGAATCTTGGGCGCCTGCAGACGCGTGAGCTCCGCCCACGGGAACACGCTCGAATGGGAAAGCGAGCGCGCGAGGGGGCCGCCGACACTCGCGAACCGCGCGAACGCGCCTTTTTGCTCGTCGAGCAGCGCGGAGGAGCTGTGCAGCATGCACTGGTACAGATAGATGTGCTCTGTTTTCGCGCGGAGTGTGATCTTGCCGTGCCGGAGCGGATCGGGCGCGGGGACGGACGCGTCGACGGGGGTGCAGCTGCTGAGGCAGGCGTATGAGAGGAAGAGCGCGTTGCCGATCGCGTGTTTGCGGAGCGTGATTTCGCCGGGGCTGAAGTTCTTGGGGTGTTTGTAGAGGTAGTCGGCGATGAGCATGTCGAGCACGGCGTCGCCGAGGAACTCGAGCCGCTCGTAGGAGACTGTGCGCAGGTCGGTCTGGTGCGATGCGTGTGTTAGGGCCTCGACGAGCAGAAGGGGCTTGGTGAACGTGTAGCCGATCATGTTTTGTACGTGGGCCACTTGCGGGGGAGCCTCGAGCGACGGGTCAGCAGCGGCGTACGCGGCTTCGATAGAGGCAGAGAGAGGAGAAAGCGCGAGGTGCACGTCGATGGTGCGGATGAGCGAGATGGCAAGCTCGAACCCGCCGTGCACGTATGCGGCACCGATGAGGGACTCTACAACGTCGGCAAGCACTTTGGTGGAGAGATCTTCCTTGCCTTTGCCGTTGCCGTTCTCGTCGCTGTTCTCTTCTTCGTTCGTTGCTCCTCGATTGTCTGTAAGATACCGAGGCATGAATCTCTTCGGAGCAAAGTGGTCGCGGACGATCCATCTGTAGAGCTTCTTCTGAATTGCAGACTTGGCAAGACGAACGTTGGAGACCGCATGATCTCTTCTCTGCGTCAGGTACCCTTCATGCCAGAGCGGATGTTCGCTATACAGATACGCCCCAACGACAAGCTTGAGAACGGCATCCCCAAGTGACTCGAGCCGCTGATAATTCGTAGGCTCCTGCGATACAGGCGCCGAAATCGCCATCTTGACCAACGAAAGCGGAATCTCCGCAAGCTGTGGATCCGTCAAGAGCGTCGCGCGGAGAGAAGCCGCCGTGTTCGCCACAGAAATGTAGCGCAAGATAGAAGGCACAAGAAGCGCGAACTCGGCTTCAACGGGGGACACCAGCTCCACGAAGGAATACTCCGGAATCAGAAGCTTTCTCGCCTTCTCTGAGCTACGCCGACTGCGCTTCTCGGCCGGATGCAAAAAGTTGACGCGCGGTGCCCGATCTTCGACGACGAGCAGGGGCAGGCTGATCTCGAGCATGTCGAATCTCCGGTACGTCTCTTTGAGCTGTTCTTCTTCCTCGGGCGAAGGCTGGTCATACTTCCATTCCACGAACCGGAACAGCTTCCCGTACGGCACGCTGTCGCGAATCAGGACAATGTCCGACGGATAGTCCAGCATCTGCCCAAACTCCGCCGCGTTCACGAGGCGCGTGGTGCCTAGCGGACTGAGCCCCTGGTTGGCGCTGGCCCAGAGACGAATCTGGTCCCACCGGCCCTGTTCTTCGTCGCCATCGACCTCGAACAGATACGCAAAATCAAGCTTGTCCGCTGGCATCCGCGGTCCGCAGAGTGTGGCAAACAGTCTGTGCGTATACACCTGCATCGACTCCACATCGAACGGCGTAGACGGCTCCTCTTCGGGGGTGATCGTGACCCTCAGCGGCCCATGCACGGGATGATACAGTGTCGGCATCGCCTCTTCCTCCAGCCTTGCCAGCTTCGCCTTCGTCCACATCCGCAGCCGGGGCATATTCTCAATCTCCACATCGCATCCGTACCACTCCTCCCCGAGCGCCTCTAATGTTCCAGAGCCCTCGGGGACCCACACGTCCATCTGCAACTTGACAGCTGCGGTGCCCTCCCGTGCATCGACAGCCGCGAGCAGCGCCTTCACCTCCTCCTCGAGCTCGGGCTCGATGACGCTCGTGAGCGGCATCAGGTGCTCGTTGAGCAGTCCGGCATCATATAGCGTTTTGTAGGCTTTGAACGAGACGTGGCGCCGTGCCGAGAGCTTGCTCGAGTACTTCTGCGGAACGGAGAACGTGCGCAGGAGTGGTGGCAGGACGCGCGGGAGCGTGACGGTGCACCCGAATGGCCCGGGGTAGGGAAGTGTGTTCGTGCGTGGGTCGAGGGCGTGCCAGCCCTCGGGGAATTCGGGCGGGTCGATGTCGTACAGCGCACGATGGGCGGTGTGCCGCGAGTTGGGGAGGACAGAGCAGAAGTGGTTCAGGTGCGGGGGTGCGGATTGGAGCGTAAGGAGCGCGCTGGAGAGCGGTTAGCTTCAACCATTATACATGGGTAAAATGTACGCACCCAGTAGATTCGACCGTAAACCGCACCGCATGGTCGTCGTCTTCCTGGTCTTCATCGTCCTCTTCATCATATCTGGGGAGCGCATTCCCCGCGAGCCGCATCTGATTGTTATACTGCTCCACCATCTGCCTCTCTAGCTGCATCCAGCGCTCCACCCCCGCCGCATCCATATTCCCGCTCTCAAACATCAACACAAACGTGCTCCGCCAGCGCCTCGCCCGCCCGCGGCTCTGCGCCCAACTGACCATATTATTCGGCACATCCCATCTCACCACATTACAGCACGCCTGGATATCCAGCCCCTCCTCCGCAACGCTCGTCGCAACGAGCACATTAAACTCGCCCGTACGAAAGCTGCCGAGCGTCTCCCCGTGCGTATTGCGCATCAGCGCGCGCGTCACATCGAGCAGCGTCTTGCGGTACGCGCTCTCCGACGTGCCCACGATGCGCCCGACGCGGAGCACGCCCGCGGTGCGCGGGTGCACTGCGAGCACCTCCGCGAGCGAGAGCACGGCGTCCCGTCGCGTGACGAACACGAGCCCGCTGTACGCCTCGTTCGCCTCCTCCTCCGCGCCGCGCTTCTCCGCGAGCAGCGTGTCGATGAGCACGCACAGCTTGTCGGACACGCCGGCCTCGATGGCGGCGGGGTCGTATGACGGCGGGGAGACGTGCACGCGCGCGAGGATGCGTAAGAGGTAGGCTTTTTCTTTTTCTTGGACGGAGGTGAATGCGCTCTCGTACGGCATCGGGTTCTCCCGCGCGAGCGAGATCGCCTTGTGGACGTACCAGTCCGCGGCCCAGCGTCCGAGATCGAAGCAGATCTCCGTCGCGGTGCTCACGATGTCCTTCAGGCCCCTGTGCGTATAAGTATCTTCCTTTTTGATTGTCTTGCTTAGCTTCTGGTCAGTGCGCATATAGTCGGGCGATCCGGGCGTCTTGTGTGCGAGCTGCCCGCGCAGGGAGATGATGTACGGGTCGTCTTTGACGTTAAGTGTGGCCAGCACGGAGGAGAGCGCGGTAATATTGGACGCGGTATAGGTTTTGTCGAAGAAGGGGGCCGGACGGTATAGGACATGTTTAAAGATGGGTCGATGGACGAAGGAGATAAGCTGGGAGCGATGAAGGCGGGGACTGCGCACGATGCAATCTAGGTTGCGCTCAAGGATCCTGGGGAAATGTCAAAGAGGGACATGGGGACTGGGCGATACGCACCTCATAGACGCCTCCACGTTCCCTCCGTACACCGGGCTAGCCGTCAGCCCCAGCACCATAGGCCTCTCCTCGCGCGATTCAGCACCCGACGCAGCCCCATGTTCGCGCACCGCCACCCTGAAATAAAACTCCTTCATGATGCAGTTGTACGGGTGATTATCAACCGCATGGTGCGCCTCGTCAAAGACGAGCAGCCCGATGTCCTCGCCGAGCTTGACATACCCATGCCGAAGCGCGTCGAGGAGCACCTGGGGCGTCGAGACGATGATCCGGTGCCGCTGCAGCACGCCGCGCCAGAGCGCGATGTCTTTCCACTGATTGGGCTCGAGAGCGCCCGAGATGAGGCCGACGGAGACGGGTATGTCGAGCGCGATCACGTCGCGCTGCTGCTCGCACAGGGCGACGGTGGGCGCGAAGAACCAGCAGACCTGTCGCTATAGTAAGCAACGTTAGAGTAGAAGAAGAGTGGGAACAGCGCACCTTGCGTGGCTCTCGCTCAACCTCGTGCTTCATGCGCAGGATCGCGATGAGCGTCTTGCCCGAGCCCGTGTCCTGCGCGACGATGATGTTCTCCCGCAGACTGGCGGTAAACATCTCGAGCTGGTAGTCCCGGGTTACCACTGGCGTGCGCGGCGCGGGTGTTTCATCACCGTGATCTGAGGCTTCGAGGTCATCGCTGGTCGGAAAGTCTGCGTCGCGGCTGCAAGATAGATGCAATGCGCGTCAGGGAGATCGTCGGCAGGGATGACGACGGAGCACGCACATATCGCCCATGATCTAAAAAGTAGGTCCTTAGGCCTTGATGGAGCGAGGAGGAAGGGAAGAGGACAAGGAGAGACTGGGGTCAGATGTGTGTGATAAGTATAGGAGCTGGCGAGCGCTTAAGTCCACAGCAAGCTCAGCGCAGCTCTCATCCCGGCCAATTGCTTGCCTCATATGAACACTTGGACTGCGCTCTCGAACATGCTAAAAGCTCGCTCAGACGACGGTGATGTATGCTTTCTCCAGCATCGTTCGTACGCAGGCAGAGTTCACAGACAAGAGGAACCCAGAGACGGAAACATGAGAGGCGGAAGGAAAAAAATCGGCTGACGGGCCGCTATTGTGGCTTATTTGGCGTCTATAACATGCGAAAAGCGCCCGTTATTTTGGCGTCATGGCGCATCTCCTCTTTACAACAGCCTCAACTTGCTGACTCATTGGGCTCATCTCATCTGAATGTTTCACAGTATCTCCCAGTGCTATCCCTTTCGGACAGTGGGGAACAGGTCACTAGCGTCATGGGTGTCCGAAGACGCCTTCCACGCAGCGTAATACACAGCCAGTCCATCCACCAGCGAAGCCTTCTTGGGCTGCCAGCCCAGCAGCGACTTTGCCAGATACGGGCGAGCCAACGTCGTTGACGCTAATGCCTGCTCAAGCACTGATATATTTTCCTTAGCCCGAGCACAGATCGCCGCCCGAGGTAGGACACTCACAATCCGACGGCTCCCGAATCTCGTACCCCTCAGCGCCCGAGACCTCGACCAACTTGTTCAAAAAATCCACCACACCCTCCGTATAATCATTACTCGCATCAAACGCGAGCCCGCCCAATGACTGCGCCCGCTCAGCAGCACGCACATACAGATCCGCAACGTCGTCCACGTGCACGGTCGGAATCCGCGCCTTGCTCACGTCCTCGCCCGCGCGGCCGAACCACACCGCTCTGCCCTCTGCCGCGCTCTGGAACGCGATCGCGAACAGCGACGCCGTGTAGCCGTAGCACAGCGACGGGCGGATTACGATCCCGTTTAGCACGGGATGCTGGAGCACCTGCTGCTCGACGGCGGGGCGCCACGCGACGAGCTCGAGCGGCGAGGTGAGGAGCGTCGTGTCGCTCACGTAGCTCTGTGCGTCGTGTCCGTGGACCCATATCCCGGACGTGTAGATGTAGGTGAGCTTGGGAGCGTGAGCAGGGCGCGATGCTTTCGCGGCGTCGCCGATGTGCTGCAGGAGGCTGGACCCGATAAGTCTGAAGTTGGCGGAGCCGCCGATGGCTTCGATGATGACGTCGAGGGTGGATATGTGGCTGAGAAACGGGGATGCGTCGCCGTCTTCAAGTTCAGCAATGATTGGGATGACTGATCTCGATCAGCGTCAGTGGGTGTACCGCTAGCAGAGGATGATATGAGGCTCACTTTCTTCAGCTAGGAGCCCTATTCCTTTCTCCTTGAATCGAGTTGAGCCGTACACGGTATGGCCCGCACGGAGCAGCGCCTGAGCGACTGGGTGTCCGATGAAACCACAGGCACTGTGAATCTTGTTAGTACTATAACAATGACCATAAAGAGTTCCAACCCAATGACCAGGACCTTCATGCTGAAAAGATATTGATACAAAGGACCTCAGCAGGGTCGGGGGAAAGGCCTTCAAAAGCAGCCAGTTACGAGAGACCGCACTCGGCACTCATAGTCCTAAACTGGATCAACGTTTGTCTGAGAACTTTGGACGCGCACCTGATAGTCACGTTGCTGATGGCGGATGCTCCAGCACATTGGTCATATGCACGATGGCCCGGGGTCGCGTGCTCTTTGGAGTCCATAGCACCAGAAGAACAAGCTCCCAGTTATTCTAGTATGCGTAGAAAAAGATGAATCGATTGGTTTTAATAGGAATAAATGTCTGCCAGGCTCAAGGAAGTTGAATCGTCTGAATTGTTGAAGGCTATGGTGCTAGGACAAGGCACACGAAGCCTACAAAATCATGGCGCACTGTGTGGGAGCGTCGGATGATCCTGGCAATCTTTTGAACGGTCAATTCATTTGTTTTGCTCGCCATATTTTCCGATGATCTTATTTTAGCTGGAAGTGAGCGCATGACGTGCTGTGCAGGAGGCTCCGAAGATATTATTGGCATGTGTAGCCTCATTCCACTTAAGAAGCCTACTCCGAGTAAAACATGCAATTTTCACACTTCTTTAACCCTCCCTACATATTGAACGAATGTCAGAAAAGCGAAGGTAACAGGCTTTATGTTTGCTCACTGTCAGGATTGAAGCATCTACACATTGCTATTTAGGTTGAAGTTGATGAATGCCTTCAACTCGAAGGCAAGGTCCCTCACAAAACGCGCAAGACGACCGTGGAATTCGAGCAATGTTTCAAAGTATAGATCGGGAAGCAATCGAGCTTGTATGGGCCAGGACTATAGCGTAAGTCTACACATCTATTTCTTCCTATTCGTTCATACATACCAACATTTTGTTTTCCTTAGCGCAATATAGCCCTCAATCCAGGAGGCTCAAGCACTCGTGCTCGAAGCGCTCGTAGGCAACTCTCGGATAGTTCGCTGTCAACTTTACCAAACGAAGAACAAGAAACGAATCAAAACACACCGGTTACGGTGGTGTACGATCAAGAAGTGCCAGTTCGGGTTCACATCAGCATGCTAATAGCAAATCACAGAGAGAATGAATTACAAGTAGCACCTGTGCAAGATGGGGGCGCGGTTGAACCTGACGTCGAAGATCGTGGATGGAAAGACACAATATTGTATTGAATGTGTTGTAGATGATAACACCATACATATGGCTCATCGCTGCTTACACTTTTGCGAAGAGACGTTCCTTTGGCTGCTGACTATCCTGAGACGCCTTCCATGCGGCGTAATACACCCCCAGACCATCCACAAGCCCAGCTTTCTTGGGCTGCCACCCTAGAAGCGATTTAGCGAGGTACGGCCGAAGCAGGTTAGTCGCTCCCAATGCCTGCTCGAAGGCTACAGCATCACCGCCGTGAGTAAGCGAAGCAGACAAAGATAACAAACTCCTCACCATTGGACGGCTCTCGGAGCTCATACCCCTGAGCGCCCGACACCTCAGTCAGCTTCATCAGGAAATCAACGACACTCTCCGTCGAGTCGTTTCCCACATCAAACGCGATCCCACCCAGCGTCTGTGCCCTCTCCGCCGCCCTTACATACACATCCGCGAGGTCATCCGGGTGCACGGTTGCCAGTCGCCCGTTGGGGTATCCGTACCACATCGCCTTGCCCTGTGCCGCGCTCTCGAACGCGGTCGCGAGCAGCGACCCGGATCGGCCGTAGCACAGCGAAGGACGAATGACGATGCCGTTCAGCACGGAGTCCGAGAGAACCCGCTGCTCGACGGCGGGGCGCCATGCGACGAGCTCGACGGGTGACGTCAGCGGAGTCGTGTCAGAGACGTATTCGCGGGTGTTATGGCCGTGTACCCATGTGCCGGAGGTGTAGATATACGATAGCTTCGGTCCTTGGGCAGGGCGCGAAGTCTTGGCAGCGTCACTGATCGCCTGCAGCAGATCCACGGAGACCGCGCGGAGGTTGGCGGTACCGCCTATAGCCTCGATAATGACGTCGAGTGTGGGAACAAGGGCCAGCAGCGGTGCGGTCTCGGTGACCTGACCAACGATAGGGATGACTGGGTGGGGAATGTAAGCCAAGCGTCAGCAGAAGACGCCGATACGGAGCATACTTTCATCAGCTGCAAGCTGTTTCGCCTTTTCCGCGGAACGGGTCAGACCATACACAGTATGACCAGCACGGACCAATGCCTGAGCAACGGGAAGTCCAATGAACCCAGACGCTCTATGGATGAATATCAGCACCACGACTGATGCTATCACGACCGCAGGAGACTGACCCGATGACCAGAACCTTCATGCTGAGGGTATCGACGTGGAAGAATCCAGCAAAAGCCAGACTCAGGCTATATGTACTAGAATGATAGTGTGAGACGACTCGCCGAATAAGTTCGCATGGCTAGACTTAATTAGAACATGTCTGAGAAGAATGGGAATCACAGCTTGGAGGGGAGGAATGGAAAAACCAACATCCCAGAGACAGCCAATCGTACCATTGGCGGCAGCCCGCCCATTTGAATCATGGGGAAAGCGCGCACACCTTGGTCAGCACCTCGGCGAATCGTGTAACACTTGCGAATCAGGTTTGTTGACGAAAGTCTCGGACGAACTCATAAGAAGACAGAGTTCAGCCGCTCCAGCGCTCGCGAACTCACGGTTACCATTGAAATCAGTACGAAAACAAAGTGTATACTTGTGTTGGCTTAGAGGTCCACAACGACATTCAATACTCGGGTCAATTCAAGCCTTGGTACAGCAGTCTCCCATAGTGAGGGAGACGAAGCGGACTTGGGGCTATGATGGGGCTGCATCTTGGAAACTTCTAGGCTCACCTTGACCTCGAACTCGGAGGGACTGAGTTTCTGAACGTGTCAGCCATATTACAAACACCCGCTCGAAAGACATACATTTCTCACAAGCAAGATAACATAACAACGTGTTCCTGTAAGCCTGTAGGAACGCTGGACTGTATTAGTCTTATACGCTTCAACGATCCATGCAACTACTGCAGTGCATCGGCGACGAGCAGTAGGATCTCCTTCGTGCTCTTCCCGACGTTTGCGTCGTCCTTCGCAATCGACTGCCAGACCGGCGAATGGTGAGGCTCCGCAGCGACACACTGCTTAATCACCTCCTCGGCGTACTCCTATACAAGTACTCGTCAGCCTATACAAATTACAGACGATAAGGAAAGGAATCGCACCGTTGTTCCATGCTGCCGCTCAAACCTCAACCACCAGCCCCAGTTATCGCCCAAGTCCTTATCCTGCTCCGTACCCACACTTCGCGCAAACCACCTCCGCGCCTGCTCAATCTTGCGCTCCGTCCAGAACAGCCGCGCGACCGTACACGTGACAGTCGGGTTATCCTTGCTCTTCTTGAGCGCGTCGACGCTCCGCGCCTTGCGCGCCGGCCGGGGCTCAGCCCAGATCGCGAGCGACCACAGCACGCCAGACGTGGGGCAGTCTTGCAAAGCACGCGCAAGCACGGCCTTCGCCTGTGCCTGTGCCTGCGAGCCTCCTCCAGACGCGGCGGCCGCGCGTTCTTCAACGCGCACGGCTTCGGCCCAGAGTGACTCGTTCTGTGGGTTTGCGAGCCTTCCCTTCTCGAGCAGTGAGCGGGCCTTGATCGAGCGTCCGTCGGCCTCCTCGAGGCGCGAAGCAAGTATCCAGAGTGTCTCGTCCTTGGGACAAGCCTTGAGCCCGGCTGCGAACGCCGCCCGTGCGGCGGCTCGGTTTCCGCGTTTCTCGTGAATTTGGCCTTGGATCATGTACAGCTTGGCGAACTTGGGGTACTTGCTTAGCGCGGTGCTGACAACTTCGAGAGCTGGGTCGTAGCGACCTTGTTGCCTCTCGAAAACAGCGGACTTCATCCAAATCTAGTGAAGATTGTGGTTAGCATACTGCATATATGCGAGTGTAATGACGATAATGACATACCCGCTCGGTTCCTGCGATAGTACGAGCACGTGTGAGAAGCTCGCGCGCGACGCCCAACTCTCCGTTCTCCGCCTCGAGTTTGACAGCAGCAAGCCAGATCTGTTCGCTTTCGGGGTTTGCGACGAATGCGCGCTCGAGAACCTCTCGGGCGGCAGGAACATCTCCAGCAAGCCACTTCTCTTTGGCTGCCATAAGCCAAAGCACCTCTGCTTGAGGGCAATGATGCACGGCTCGTGCAAGTACCGAGTCCAGCGCCTCCCTGCATCAAAAGAACGGTCAAAGAGGAGGAGAATATAGGGTAGACAAACGCACCTCGTCCCATACGCTTTTTCCAAATCCGCTGCCTTCCTCCACAAGGTCCTCCGATCGGGGAACACCCTGAGCGCATACGCCAGCAGAGCCCTCGCCGTCCCAACCATCCCCTTACCCAGAGCAGCGTCCGCATCGGCCACCCACGTATCGTACCGGTCCTCCTCTTCGATATCCACAGTGGCCGTAGCCTTGACGATCGCAGCGCACGTTCGCAGCGAACCATCCTGCTCGCACTTCTCTGCTTCGCGCAACCACTGTTCGCGCGTGAGAAGCACGCCGTGTCGCCGCAGCTCACGCACACCGGCCTCGATCGTCTTATCGACGAGCTCGAGCGTCTTTTCCTTCTCTTCCTCGGTCTTTTCTTCCACTTTGACTGCCGGCGAATCAGGGTCGACCTTCATCGCGTCGCCGTTTGCTTCTGGCGCCTGCGGGGCGGTTTCCTGTTCGAGCAGGCGTCCGGCGGCTATCCAAATCTCGTGTGAAGTGGGAACAGCCTTGCGAGCCTTGTTAAGCACGGCTTTCGCCTTGGCGGGAGTCTCGAGGCGTGCAAGAGCGAGCCACAGTTCGACAGATAGAGGGATGACTTCGACAGCGCGAGCCAGCAGAACGCGCGCATCTTGAGCGGAGTCTTCGAGGTTGACGGTTTCTTTCCAGAGTCGTACCGAGTTCGGGATGCTTTCGAGAGCTATTACGTCATTAGTACCTCGTAAATACAAGGCAGAAAAATGTGCACCTTTGCGCAGAACACGCTTCTTGGACTTGTTGTCGTGTTCAAGATCAGCAGCAGCAAGCCAAATCTTGACACTCTGCCCCACATGTTGCACGGCATTGGCAAGGATGACCTTTGCATCGCTGTTTTGCTGTCGAACAATAACAATCAATGCCCCGCATACATCCAAAGCAAACGTCACGTACATGAAGTCTAGCTGCCTCCAGCCATACATCCTCGCTCTTCGGACACTGATCACATCCAGCCTTGATAAGCTTACGTGCGGCAACCATCCGCCCCGCGTGTTCCTCTAACCGTGCCGCCGCGATCCATCCGGGAGAATGCTTGGGGTTCGACTTGACCAGGGAGTCGAAGAGCATGCGAGCACGCTTGATGTCGCCAATTTCGGCATCTGACTTGATCACGACGCTGTCGAGCGAGGTGAGATAGCCCTTGGGGTCGACAGACGTGCTCGTCCCGCTCACGTTTGTCGCAGCACCAGAGACCTGTGGGATGGTGAGTCATACGCTCATAATCGTGACACGATAACACGAACCTGGTCGAGTTTGAGGGAAAGAATCTTGTCGCGGGCTTGACCAATTTCGACGAAGTTGGTGAGCGTGCCTGACTCAGCCGGGGTCTCGAATCCACCGCTCTGGGAGGCAAAGGTGGTCAGTAGGCGCAGACACAGACCGGAGACAGCTCACCTCTTGTTGCTGCGCGTCAAGAGCATTCGTATACTCGGTCTTGCTCCGGTCCCCAACCACAACGGAATCGGGAACAGCGAACATCCTATCGTCGCGCTTTCGCTTCTTCCGTGTCAAGTTCCCCACTTCGGGTATACCCTCCCACTCCGCATCCGACACCTGCGACAGCCCGCGTTTCAAGTCCGAGAACTGCTGCTGAATCTTGGGCCGCTCCGCTCTGTGTTTGGCGAGTTCCTCGTCCTCCCGCGCTTCTCGACGCGCCTTGCGTCGTGCATCCATGTTGCGGTCGACGGCGTCGTATATGTTGTCGGCCTCTTCATCGTCCTGTTCATACGTAGTTCCTGCGAAGAGACCGACTTCGTTGTCGGGGTCTTGGAATTGCTCGGGGTCGAATTCTGGTTCCTCCCCGCGTTTTGCTTGAGCCTCACTAATCAGGTCCGAAGGGGATCAGAGTGCCAGTAAAGGGTGGTATAAAGAAGTTAATTTTGAGAGGGGTATAGGAAGGGTTAGTCAGCGTGGCATAGGACAAGACAGGTGTTAAACGTACGCGATGGTTTCCGCCGACGGCCCTTCTCTCGCAGGACCGATATCTGAACGAGTCGTAAAGCCAGATGCGCTGGATTGAGAGTAAACATGAGTATGGACAAGAATTCGACACAATGATATAGCACCCACCCACGACCGAGACCAGCGACATATGACGCCGGCGCGGTCATCGACAGGAAGGCGAGCTTGTTGGGTTTTCCGGAAGCCATAGTCAACTGCTGTCGTCGAGACTTGTAATGTCGCTACAGCGTAGGTGGGGAAGAGTCTGACTGGGTTTGCCCGGCGGACGGCAGAGAATGAGTGGATGTTGCGGTCAACGCCTAACTGAACGCGCAGGACGACAAGCGCAACAGTGGACAAGCTCGGCAATTCCCTGTGGCAGTGCGAAGTCCCGATTAGGATACCGGAGCCCCTGACTGCAGTCGTCCGTTGAATGGTTCGCGAGACACAGCGTCATCTCACGCTCACCGACGACTTCGAGCATAATATACGTACGCCCACAAATTTTCTAGTCATGGAGCTTGCTCTGATTTACACTCAAAGGCTACCTTTTTTCCCGCTCAAAATTGTCGGCTTGTCCAGAGGTCCAACTTCAATTGTGTCAAACAGTAACTACTTTGTTCAAAGACGTGACCGAACTCTCCCTGTTGGACGCAATTCCCCTTTCCCATCGACATCAGGTTCAAATTCCAGCGATTTTGTCCATGTATCTACGCAGACGTATATTATCCGTCCCAGTCAGTTTCTTCCCACTGCTTCACCTTAGGTACAGTGCCAGTGAAGCATTGTAAGCGTGCCTTGGGAGTTGACAGTGTGTGAAACGAGCGCTCCTACCGCTGCACCTACAGTAAATGTCTGTAGCAGTCACGTACCTGGGAGTTTGACAGTACTTGACACTATCTCACCGAGGGGGGCCTCTTGACTCGGTCGTCTCCCAATGCCGATAGGTACCCGGCTACCATCGCAATTTACTGTTCTGACACCTAGGAACAGGCACGTCGAGACGTATCGAACGCTTTTCGCAGACTGAATATAAGTGTGGATATCCATGTCGGTGCACGCGAGTTCGCCATCGTGAACACCAGAGCAAAAGCAACAGCAAACAGCGTTGCCGTCGTACGTCTAGACGTCTGAGCAAGGATGCTTCCAGATAAATGCTGCTTCAAGGAAAGACCTCAGTCAACCCAGCCAAACGTACTCAGCAGCCGGCCGAGGCATAAAACATAGTCTTCATGACGGTGAAAGATACCCAATTTATTTAGCAGCTATCACCACCAAAGCGATCAGATGTATCTTCAAGAAGAAGATAGTGTTTTCTCAATTCTGGAAGTTAGGCATGCTCTCCACTGGTAGTGTCTCGCAGTTTACTCTCCGATATCCCGACCCCGAACACGTTGGCCTTCTCAAATTCGCTGATATAACGCCGGCTGTAAATATCGTCGACTCGCTTGGAGTCCGAGGTGAAAACCAGTGGGTTATCTATGTACCCTTTACAAGACACGCCATCGCGCGGGGCGCTCCGGCATTCAAGTAGATGTTTTACGAGTAGGTTACGACGAACAGATACGGCGCGAAGTAAGCAGAATTTATGTAAGCCAGTTAAGCGAAACTCATGTCGAAAGGCCTTAAGGAAGTCTTTGAAGAGCCGGCCTCGTTCAAGCTGAATGATGCGGTCTAAGGCATCCAATGTTGCCAGGCACTGGGGGCAATTGCCCATGTTTTCTACGAAAACATTCAAAATGTTTTGAGGGTCACCTTCTAAATTTGGCATTTTAAGCAAAACATTTTAAATGTTTTTGACATGTTTCCCCTGGAAACATCGTCTAATGCCCCCAGTGAGGTCAACAGCAGCAAGCGCATCTTACATCGGCATTTGGGCGGCAACGGAGGGGAATACATTATCATTTTGTTACCACAGTACATTAACAGGACGATAGCAATGGCGCAAGGACAGTGTATGCACAATCCCAATGGCGCCGCGAACATACTCTAACGCCGCCAGATCAAAAATATCGGACAGGAGCCGACACGCTGCTCGTAGACGGCTTAAGCAAACGCACTCAATTGCGGATACCATCGATTGATTGAATATTCTGGGTCCATCAGAGCGCCTGGCTATATACTCACGACGAAACTTATCACATATGACGCGCTGGTCAGGCCAGAGAAATAGCGTAACTCTACGTACGGTGCATTGGCAGACTCGCTTGCCCTAATCTGGCGATAATTCTCGTCCTAACGACGAAAATGCCCTCGTGCATAGGGTACTACAACTCGCATGATGATAAGGGGCGAGGAAGGGGAAGTCAAGGTGAAGGGAGATGATGAGGGACTGGAAGATTTGGGCGACAATTGGCCCACTCTTATAGATGAAAGGGCCCGGGGGCTTAGCACTACATCAGGGAATCGTCTGAATACATTTGGACGTTAGGGGATGTAGGGCTCTGGATCCTGAAAATGCATCGACGGAGGGGACACCAACGCACGTTCCGATTGGCCAATGTATTCTACAATTCAATACAATTTGCACTCGAACAATTGTGCTTCAACAAACCGGTCGATCCCGTCGTCTTACGGGCATGAGCTGACGCGGCCCACATTTAACATCTGTTCGTACACGGGTGCGGAAGTGTGATTTGGGGCATTTCTCCGGTCCTGCATTCAGTCTTTCGGAGCAGCGAGCGAGGGTACTGTGAAGACCATAGGAGTCTGCAACCAAGCAACGGCAAACAAAAGCCGACCATCTGCTTGTAGATACGATTAATCTCATGGCTGCCAGGTGGCTACTCAGGATGATACTTAACAGGACCTGCAGGTTACGGGCGACTAAACGCCGAGATCAACAGGTATCCATACCGCAGGTGCAACTTGAAGTGCAGCCTTCCAAGCGGGGATCTGAACTAGGTTCGAAAGCGAAATGAAAGATGTGGTGCAAAACCAGAAGAAAGAGGTAACGATGACCACTGATATCGTAGTATCGGCTCCTACCTTATAACGCCACTACTAACGCGATGGGGGAACGCCACAGGCGCTCCATGGGAAAGAGCACCCACCGACCCTCGGGCAATATGCTCCATGTCCGACTCTTCCTCACTCATGGACACGTTTGATCGATTTGATCCCAGTTTCACGAGTAAATTCCAGAATGCCAGGTGCGTGCGTATTGCGTACTGTTAGCAATCCCGCTGGGAACCCAATAGGATTTATTGAAGCCCGAGGCAGTATTAATTGTTGTCCTACAAAGACTTATATGGCAGGACGTTGTTCGATAAGACGTGGATCAGAGTCATACAGCTTGACTGATCGGCAATCAGATAGCAGATAATGTCAAAAAAACGGATCTGATGGCACTGTATCTACGGGCATGAGGATTAATGGTCTCGTGTATCTTCTGCGATTTGCAGTATATTTGTGCACAGCAACGCTTATTATCTTTCAATACGATTTTTTGGACATGGAGCCGGTGATAATTGTGGATAAATGGAAACGGGCTTAGGCTGCGGATTTTATTTTTGCATGCGAGCATCTTATCAATGCATGCAAACATAGCACCAGGCACGTAAGTTAAGAATACGTTGCTCTTCGACACGAGAAGAGCCTTTGTCTCCTTCGAATGTCGTGACAGAACCTCATGAAACAGGTTCCTGAGACTGAAGACGAGCCGAAGTCCATCGTTGAACCGCATGCACACAGTGCATGCTTAGCCGTCGTTTGCGACATAACTTTTGGCAAGTGTGCGTCTCAACCAACTCAATCAGCATATGCATCACATTTCATCACCTCTTCATCTCGGAGACATTGAAAGTTGCACTAGAAGGGCCGGGAGTTGCCGAACAGCCTCGTGGCACTGTCGGCGAACGGAGTTAGAAGGACTGAGTGAATTTGTCGGAGCCCGAACCCAGCTTCATCCGTCTCCTGACTGCGAGCCAGTCTCGTTGCAGCTTTCAAGTTCCTCCGAATTCTGTCAGAGAAGGATCAGTCAAGCCAAGCTTTTGTTATTTTCTATAAGTCAATGGCCGACCTTACCATGTTCACCCATATGTAGATAAGCAGTGTACGAAGTTGTATAGCTTCTGGGGACAATAAGGTACGACATACTTGCTTCTTCGGGATCCATCTTCTTTTGCAGTAACAGGCCGACTGGGAAGAATATTGAACGCTTCAGGCATCCAGCTGCGTCCTTCTCAGGAAATGAAACGTTCTGCTGAACATCCGTTGTTCCCTTCTCATCGGTCTAGCCATTTTGACGCTGAAGACATGCTGTGAGTTACCATGCGTCCTGTTTGATAGGATCAAGTGGCGTTATTTTGGTCACGCACTCTCGGCTTACTCGTACACATCCGTCCTTTGGAATCTAACTTTCCATTTCTTTGGTCTCCCGTACCTTTAGCGTTTCGGACCGCGGTGGGTTTCGCGGTTGGTCTTGCGCATCTGGACCAGCCATACGTATCCCCAAAGGTACTCCCGATATACGTCTCTTTTCACCAGCGCTGACATCTTGAGTACAGATCGGCAGTGGCATGGATCAGGACGGAAGGCACGGCAATAAGCCGCAGGCGGCTTGTCGTACACATCGGCCACATGAAACCGATCTTCATCTGATTATACATGCCATGTCGTACCTCATTTGGCACGTATATAAGCTCTCGTTAAGAGAGATGAGGTCCTCATCCAGCGTTTGCACCTTTCGACACCCTCCTTCATCATGCCCACTACCTTCAACCAAGATTTCAAGACCCCCACATACTCCGGGAAAGTCGCGTTCAACACCGGAGTCTACATCAATGGCGAGTTCAGAGATGGTTCTGACAGCACTACCATCGAGTGCGTCTGCCGGGTTTTGACGCTTTTCGCTTTTCGATGACTAACCCCTGGTGGCCTCAACCCTAGTATCATCAACCCTAGTACGCTCGATCCCACTACGTTGGCTGGACAACTTACTGACGTGCAATAGCGACTGGCCGAGTCCTCACCAAGATCTCCGAGGCCACGGCCAAGGACGTGGACATTGCAGTGGAGGCAGCCCAGAAGGCGTTCGAGACCTCCTGGGGCCTGAAGTGCCCTGGAGCTCAGCGGTCCATCCTCCTGAACCGCCTTGCTGATCTGATGGAAAAGAATCACGACGAGTTGGCCGCTATCGAGGCCATAGACGTCGGTACGTCTTCCCGATCTATTTCTGTTCTCCGAGCCACTGAATGTACACCTGACCCAGGCAAAACCTTCAACTGGGCCAAAAACGCGGACGTCGCTTCGTCAATTGCCTGCATACGCTACTACGCCGGCTGGGCCGACAAGATCACAGGACAGGTCATCGAAACGACGGAAGCCAAGCTCACCTACACCCGTCACGAGCCAATTGGCGTCGTCGTAAGTTCTAGACCGGTTATTCAATCGCCCTGAACTCCCACGCTGAACCCCTCGCCCAGGGACACATCATCCCGTGGAACTTCCCATGTACGTCAAGCGCCGGAACGTTGGATAGTTCATTATACTGACAGAAGCAGTACTCATCATGTGTTGGAAGCTTGGGCCAGCCCTCGCAACTGGCAACACAATCGTCCTGAAGCCTTCTGAGGTGGCGCCTTTGTCCCCGATCCGGATGTGTGAGCTCATCGCGGAGGCCGGCTTCCCTCCTGGTGTCGTCAACGTCGTCACCGGCTACGGTAACACCGTGGGCAACGCGATCTCCATGCACGAATCTATCGAGAAGATCTCGTTCACTGGCTCGACTGTTGTGGGTCGTAAGGTCATGGAGGCTGCCGCCAAGAGCAACCTCAAGAACGTCACTCTTGAGCTCGGCGGCAAGGGTCCGAACATCATCTTCAACGATGCTGATCTCGATCAGGCTGTCAACTGGGCTGCTTTCGGCGTTTTGTGAGTGACACAAGCTTCTGTTTGCACAATTTTTTTCGGAGCTGACGACGACAATCCTCATAGCTGGAGTGCCGGCCAAGTTTGCTGTTCAGGATCCAGAATCTTCGTCCAGGATGGCATATACGACAAGTTCCTCGAGAAGCTCACAGAGAAGGTCAAGGCGATCAATGCCGGCGACCCCTTCGGCGACACCATATGGCACGGTCCTCAGGTTTCCGAGGGCCACTATAAGGCGAGTAAGCACTCGTACGCGCACCATTCCGAGATTGACGCCTGTCCGATAGCGGATCATGGAGTACATTCAGTCCGGCAAGGACGACGGCGCCAAGGTCCACATCGGCGGCGAGCGGATAGGCACCGAAGGCTTCTTCATCGAACCCACGGTGTTCACAGAGACAACACCGGAGATGAGGATCGTCAAGGACGAGATCTTCGGTCCTGTCGCTGTCCTCATCAAGTTCTCGGACGAGCAGGATGTGATCCGCCAGGCCAACGACACCGTTTACGGTCTCTCTGCTGCAGTGTTCACGACGAACCTCAACCGAGCAATCGAGACCGCGCACCAGATCAAGGCAGGCATGACGTTCATCAACTGCACCAACTCTCCAGAGAGCAATGTGCCATTCGGCGGGTTCAAGCAGAGTGGAGTGGGTCGTGAGCTGGGCGAATATGCCCTCCAACAGTGAGTTCTCTTCCTCCCAATACCGAAGTTTAGCCGTTCTCTAACGCATTGTTTCCAGCTATACCAACGTAAAAGCTGTTCATGTCAACCTTGGCATTTCTATGAGTATCTGATATGCGAAGTATGATAGTGCGGATATGCGGACAATGTACGAGTCGGACGAGATCATAAAGTCGCATGTACTATACATAAATTAACGATTAGATTCGAATAGAAGAGCGCTTTTCAAACAAACACCAGCATCAGAGAAAGCGTCCACTGCCTTTCAATAGCATTTCTGATTTAGCGGAGGCGAGTTTCCTGTGCTCGACTTCCCACTCATCATGGTAAAACCCTAACTTTATTTGAATACGCCACTGTTATCTTTGAAATTCAAAGCGGAAGATCAAAGTTGTACCTTGTATGATTGAATACACCGTGAAGCTTTGAAATCTAAAGCGCTAATGATTAAACTCTCTGCCCTTGGATTCTCAACCCAACAGGTAGCCTATGCATATGGTAAAGAGTCCATCCACCAGAGAAGTAAGATGTAGTGTCTGGCATCTTGACACCAACATGCAACCTGCATCCGCCCGCGCTATCCACCTTTCTGGTTTGCCACATAAAGAGGTATATATCCGTTACAAGCGGAATTCAGGAACGCACAGCCATCCCCAGATATTTGTGATGCGCTGTGTTTGGCCTCGCTGCATCACTGTTCCAGTGCTCAGTATCACCGCCACCGAAACCCTGTGCTGAGCGCTTCCAACGAAGGCACAAGTTCTTATAGACCCGCGATTTCGTAGGTTGTTAAGTTGTCTACTCTCAACACTATCGGTCTTTTAAGCACTCGTGCATCATCGTTCATGCCTGTATTCGACACTGTTACCTCGTTGAACTCCACAGTCATTGCGAACTCCAACACTACTACGCAGGCAATGGACTCCACAGTTTCGTCCATTAGTCTAACCTGGACCGTAGGCCCTATAGAGGCATTTGTGATCATCAATTCCTTCCTTACAGGCTGCTTTACGGTACAAACCTACATTTATTTTACGAGGTTCAACAAAGATCATTGGGGACTGAAAGCGATGGTAACGTCTTCACATTTATCACACAAAAGATAATCTTCTAATCCATTCACGGCAATGATAGGTTCTGCTCATAATGTACGTGAATTGATGTCATTATGGAGCTCGTCACCTTTCCTCGTCAACTTCTTAGCTCGCTGGAGGCTGGACACTTTATTCTCGACGCCGCATATCTTTGGATTGCAACTGTTGCTATCATGGAAAACCCTCTAGCCTCTTCACAATACCTGGGCATCAAAGCCGCACTAGTTGTTGAGACAATGACTATGGAACTTGTAATGCAGGTGAGCGATATGTTCATATTAAGCGTCCACATAAAACACTTATGTAACTCAAGGCGTTCTTCCTCCATCGAATATGGAAATTCTCACACTCGTGGCCTCCTGTCGTATTTGGGGCGTTGTTAGCACTTGGTTCCGATGCTTCCGGATATTACGACTCAAAGGAAATTTACGACATAGCGAATATTGCCCAGTATGAGGTTTTGCCAAGGACAGAGTTCCTTCTCGGATTTTCTCTGAGGCTGGCCTGTGATATGTGGCTATCAATAGTCACAGTGTACTACCTTTGGTCCATGCGTAAATCTGCGAACTTTCCTAGGCGAGTCCAGCCTCTGTCCGCAGGGTTGACTGAGCATTTGATTGACTATGTTCCTTTGTTCCTTAAAGCGCTCGTAATACAATTGGTAGATTTATGCTTTTGACTATCGGTGAGTACGTCGCTAAATATACCGAGCTATTCTTAAGAGACTCTATAGAAACCGGCATGTGTACAGGGCAAGTTCCAATCATATCTCAAATCAAAATCAGGGCATGACCACAGTGTAATAGCTTTCTCGCTGGTCTCGTTCTCATATTCGTGAGTGCTACAATTCCTTGTGGTTCTTTGCTGATTATCATGAAGTATCTGGCTCAAAGAAACACCTGTACGCTATATATCTTCAAAATCCGGAAATGTCTTGGCTGATGGTTCTTGTTAGACGTCTGGATCGGTTTATTCATCATCCTCGCATCTTGTAAGTAGCATCTAAATTGAACAGGTTACTTTACTTACCAAACAACTCTACAGTGGAAGGAAATGCTGTGTTGGCCGCGTAAGCGCATTTTTATGCCATCACTAAACAAGGAGACCTAAGCTTCTACTAGGCTGAACGGACGTTGGATTCTCATGAGCATGAGGCAAAATAAGGTGTATCACATTGGAACTGGAAGGCAGGGGACTGAGAGAGCTGTTGACCCAATTAGACAAGTATGGTCCCATATTTGCTCCTAGGCTGATTATTACTCAAATATTTGTGACAGATCTCTCTCGCCGAGTTCAAGAGTGCCATAGATGATTCAGGGGCCTCGCAAACCCAGTTTGCTTAACGATCAACATCTCACTCCCTTTACGAACTAATGACCAGACCAGTCGAAAGGTACAGTTGGAAGGGAGGAAAACAGGCGGGTTGATTTTGTTGACTTACTGTGGGCGGAGTTCATGCGGGCTACGTGTAAATAGAGAAGAGACCAGGTCCTTCCGGATCTATGTGACTTATTGCATCGCTCCTGATTAAGAGCTCAAGCGCTCAAGTTTCAACGTTCTACATTCACTGCCGCATTCCGAATCAGTGTGACTGCAATATTTGAGGAGATCTGTCATCGATGTTTGCGTTAGATGAGGTAGATCATGAAACGATGACGTTAATTCGTGCTGCAAATTTTAAAGATTGAGTTATAATTCATGAACGCGGATGTATATTATTGACGGCGAACCATTTCATGCATTCGGATTTATCCTCTTCCGAGTGCAGTTTTATGAATGTCGAAAGTTATCCATAATCTCAGGCTAAATCACTCTCAAAGGCCGCTCGGCTTGACGCTTATGGGACTAAGTTGGGAGAACCAACAAGCAACTGCGTGAATAATTTACCAAGCAAACTATTTGAGGAATAAGGAATCTATGTCGTAAGGATGGCAAGGGCACAACAAACCGATCTACAAGAAGGAGTTTGTGGCGGAGACCTAATCTTGTTGGCTCGTAAGAGCTAGTTCATGTCAGTGTAGGTCTCCCGCCGGCATCATATTGTCTTTTCGGAGTCAATTCACATGGAAACGGCTTCGGCATACTGAACGAACGCAACCACAAATTTAGACCTTTAGAAGACCTCAAAGAATATAAATTGATACTCACGAGGTCACACCATCAACCCATTCTACCTTCAGTTCAATAAGCTTGCCGGATTCATCCCTCTGCCTTTGAATGTTGAAAGCTGCGAGAATGCGAGCCATAGCCAACCACAGCGAGTTAACTGCGAAGTGACGGCCAACGCACACGCGACGGCCGAACCCAAAGGCGAAGTCGACAGTATCATTCGTCAAGTTTCCATTCGCGTCGAGAAACCTCTCCGGTCTGAACTCCGAAGGGGAGGGGTATTTTTCCGAGTCGCGAGATAACGCCCTGGGTTTAGGTACAATCAGATTCAAAACGAAGGCATACTGAATAACATGAGGTGCTTACCAGATGTTTGCGATGACTAAGGCACCTAAATTCATCGTCGTTACTTTGGGGCTCCGGAGAGCAAGTAATACAGTAGGCTCACCTGCTGGGATGTCATACCCACGGTATAAGTCGCCATTGGTAGATGCGTGTGGAATGCCTTGAAGGCAAGGCGTCAAAGGCGCTTCAGACTGACCAAACGTCAAGGGGTTTACCTAATGGTACAACTGGATACCACCTCAAAGTCTCGCGGAATATAGCCTCAAGGAAGGGTAAGGCTGACTTGTCCTCAAAATATGGCAACCGATCCACGCCAACGACAGCGTCAATCTCGTCTTGGGCTCGCTTCTGAGCATTGGGATATAGAAGCATTGCCAACAGAAAGACCATGAGCGTCGAGGTGGTCTACATATATAGCGAAGTCAGACGTGAGCCATAATTTGAGTACGAGGAAATGGGGGCGAACAGTTTCAAAACCGGCTGAGATACGTAAGTTATCTCTCATCAGATAATGGCGCGAATGGGCTTACCAACAAACAGAGAGCAACATGCCCCCTTGACCACCTCATCGACATCGGATATCTTACCCGTGGTCCTGAAACGTTCCATGGCATCCAAGGCGACTGAACTGCTTACTTCCCCGGAGGTCTACAATAAGCGTAGTGAGGAAGTATCACGAGAAGGGCGGGCAACGTGGTACTCACAATCTTTTGCTCAAGCTCCTCAAACGGCATGTTCAACGTCCTCTGTACGGAACTTCTACATGACTCCATGTTGAACCAGCCCCACGGTAGCCAAGTGGGCGTATACTTGACTTTGTATGGCAGAAGATTGATACGGTGGAGATGTTCGACAGATCAGGACTTACGGAACGGAAACCATTGCACCAGGACAGAGTTCTGGGGTAGCAGTAGTTTACTGAAAAGAGCCATCATTGTAGTAACGTTCTCTACCATGGGATCATGATCATCGGTAACTTCGTGGTCATACACAGCGGATAAGATCACCGATGCGGAGAACCTGTGCTATAGTCAGTTTTCAGATTTCGTACTAGAATACAACGAAACAACTTTTCGAAGTGGTGAAGATATGCGTGCGGTGTGCTTGCTAGTTCGCGAATGAGATCCAGACTGCAGCGACGCTGGATAGACTGAAACGTTTTGACGGCGTCCGCTCGAAGGCCTTGCTGTGCTACTCTCCGATGTGCTCGCCACGTATCATCATGCTTCCGGAAGATCATGTCCTGCGAGAATCCATAGCTATACCAAGTTATTAACGACCTCTACGCCAGACAAGGCAAGACGTGCGTACGGTTCGCGAATGGGCAGGTGAATCCTATCAGAGTAGTTGTGCGATCGTTTCTCAAGAAGGTCCTGCACCACATCCTCCGAGTTGAGAATGATCATGTCGTTTCCCAGCACACGACAGTACACGATGTCTCCTGCGCGAGCGATGTTCGCGTTGAGCTGTCCAATCTTAAACGGGCATATTCTACGAGCACATACCGTAATCCACTTTCCACTCGGTGAAGGTAAGCCATGACCTGGTCAGACCTATCTGGTGGATATTCCCTAGAAGTGGAAGTGGACGTGGACCAGGCGGATGGCGTTTTGAAGTCGACTTCCCGCCTTGCTTGAAAACCCAGAGGACAGTGACCGCGGCTGCTAACCCTGTTAAAGCGGAGATCGAAATGACGGACATTCGCGTCGGTGGGCGGCCTATGAACCCAAGGTTCGGACGTGATGCATGATGCTCTTTGTCGGTGTGCACTTTATACCCTTTCGCCCAATGTTATGCTAACCTCAAAAAACATCGGCAAACTGCTCATTGACAGACCTTGTGGAAATGTTTATGTGCGACTGGCGGTGGCTAGTGCACTACACATCTGAAAGGGTTCTCCTTCGCCACGGGTGGCTTATCCAGCGGGCGAGTGTTCGCTGGATTGGACATGCTCGTTCGGCTCCAGGTCAGACACATTATCCATACAGACGTTTGCGCGTTCTTACACAATGCAGCTGGCAATTTGGGATCAAGGAGTTGCTATCCGGGCTATAGTTTGTTTCCCGGGGCTAGTACTCATATGTAATGCGCGATGGCTGCGGGGAAAGTTGATGCTATTTTGGGTCCCGTACATGGGCCCAGGAGAGAGTGATGAACTCAACATCATTTCTTCACCATTAGCTATGAAACCCCTCTGCAACGTTTTGTACGTGGACATGATGCTATGCATATACGCCCCGTACAGCGGGGGAGTCAGGCGTGCGTACGGCCACCCGCCTCGATGATTTCACACTGCAGCGTTAAATAACCAATGAAAACAAGGAGAACAAAGGTAAAGTGACGCTATGACAGAAAAGGTCTTCCGATACGGAATTCAGTTCGTACGGTGCTTCTCGAGACAACTACCTGTATGGCGCATAACCAACGCTGTATGGGCAATATTCAGCGACGTTCGGTGGAGCCAGGAATCACGATAAAACTACTCACGTTATACAGTAAGTAAGAAAGTTTATCCTCTTTGGGGCTCTGAAGGAGTACGAAGCGGAATCCAATGAAGGTACCGAACGCTATCGAGGCAAGGGCTACGAGCCCATTCACGTCCCAAAGTATACCGACAAACGCAGACCAGAAGACGAGCAGGCAAAGCTCAGCGCGCCGACTCTCCTTAGGCCTGAGTATAGGAATAGTGTTTCTCCCACTTGCCATATCACCGGCCGTATCTTGGAAATCTTGTGCTTGAACTGTAGAAAAGGTGATGGTGGAGACGATCAAGCATGCCCTGATAAGTAAGTGTCTTGTGCGGAATCATCACTGAGAGGCTATATATAGTCACTGAATGTTCATACTTGAAACCACGGAGACTTACCAGAACAAACTATCTTCATCGCGCCCATATTAAACAGCGCGTATCCACACGCCACCCAGAAGTTCCTACTCAGCCAATGAGAGTCCATCGCCATATCGTTGTTTAAGAATATCGCCAGGCACAGCGAAGCGCTGAGAACAAGCGTGCCGGACAATACTGAGTACCCGAGAGAGATGATGAATACACCACACCGGAGCCAGCATGCCGCTTGATATTTGAAACGAGATAAGGCCACTTGGTATGGGTTGCCACGGCTTGTTATTGCGGTCTTCCTCCGGGTTTCTCACTTGATTTGCTATGCAAAACTGAAGCAAGTGTAGCCACACCCGGACGGTGGAGCGAAACTGAGCCTCGACAGATATTCTGTGGGCTGCAAGTACAGAAAATGCTGTCTGTTAGAAGTTAATGTGATAAACCGTGCATCGGCATCGTAGGCATCGTACTACAGATAACAGTATCGTCTTGATGTCAGATTTAATGAGGATAAATAAAACTAATGCTCCTTCGCGTAGAGGCTGAGGGGGGAAGATGGAAGGAAGTATGCACAAGGAGCTTGAAGCCGTAGCTCATTCCTAGCATTGATTGTAAAGAGGGCAGGGACATGGTGCTCCGATCGTCGGGAGATGCATGGTTCGACGTTCTCATGGTACTTCACTATCCCTGGCCCAACCTTAGCCTCCATATCCCGGTACGAAGCCTCCGCAATGGTTCGGTATCGTGATGATGCAGAAATCGTGCCGATCGCGATGCCGTCGAGTGATCCACTTGGCTCTGGGGTCATGGAATCAGTATGTGCCATGTTAGCTCGCGTTCATAGCCACTATCGAGCACGTACCCTCACAACGTGATTTTATTGTTAACCCGGGTCGCGCCCTGTCCTACATGAAGTAATGCCAGACAGTCGCGCCATACGGACTGAGTCAGAAGGATGGGTCCATGTGTGTCTTTGATCAGCGATAGAAAAATGAGTCAAATCGGGCAGTGCAGACGACGCATGCAGCTGAGGCGAGATGCACAATCCCCTGTACGGTGACAATGATTCAGCGCTACAGATCACAGAGGAACGGTTACTATAAGTAGGCTATTTTTCGCCGTATGCCCCCGTGCCGCCTTGAAATTGGAGTGCCGCTTTGGTACAGCTCAGTAGCACGATAGAGGCAGGGATATCGTAAAACCTTGCTGATAGGAACGCCACTAAGTTAACAGACATGAGCTTCGGAAAACCGGGGGCTCAATTTGCGTTTTCCTGCTATCAACGCGTAACAAACAAAAGACACGGTCAGCACACTGTGCAGGCACTCAACCCATCATGATGGAGTCTGTCTACGACCATCTCGCCTCGTCATTGTGAGGCTGACACGAACAAATGTCGTGACTCGCAAGATCTTCGTCAGCGTGGGTGGGCAAGCGTTCACAGTGATCGGATCGGATCCGCTGCAAATCGGCTCTCACTAGCCTCATAATGCACGTGAATGTTCGCGTTAGTTGAGAGAACGGCATCAGTAAACCATAAGCGTCGAGCAGGCGAGCTTGTCATGCTGATGTTCCAAGTTGGGTTCAAGCGTAGCTTCAGTTGCATTTCAGCAACAATCGAAAGCATAGCGTATTATCACCAACATTAAGCACTAGGTACAGTACCTGTACATCATCCATCATCTCAACAATTTAAAATCCAAGAAAACGAATCCCAAACACCTACCCACTATCCACCCATAACTCATCTCCACATCGAGGGCTAGCTATCCCCTCCGAACCCCCTGCTGCTATTCGACATCGACATCCCCAGTCCATATCCCGCACCCGTCTTCGACGGAGGAACCGGAGACCGCCCCGCAGCCAGATCCCCCGAGCTCGAATTCGGGTCGGCCTTGGCCTTGTGGCCGCTCAGGAGCGCAGCGAGGTCGCGGATGACCTCGCTCTGCGCCTCGACGAGCGCGCGCAGGTCCGCGATCTGGTGCGAGAGCTCGACCTGGTTGTGCGCGAGCTTGCGGTTGCTCAGGTCGCTGCTGCTCCTGCCGCTGCCGCTGCCGTGGCCGTGGCCGTAGTGCGAGAGGCTGGAGATGGTGCCGAGGAACGGGTCAGAGATGGGGTCGCGCTCGCGCGGGGTGTCTGGGACGGAACCTGTTTCGATGTTGCCGACCTGTTCCAGGTTGTATTAGACCGTTGAGCGCTTCACACACATGGTGAGGGATAAGACAAGGGGGCGAACCTGGCGCGTCATCTCGTTCCAGACGATACTGAACTCGCGGCCGAGGACAAAGCTCGGGAGTGCGATGAGCAGCAGGCCAAAGGCGAGCAGGGGGATGGTGATGAGTTTACCGAGGAAGGAGCGGGGCGTGATCTCGCCGTAGCCGACTGTGGTTATTGCTGTTTTATGTCACACACTTAGCTACTTGTTCGCGAATGGGATACAGAGGGGTAACGTACTGACGAGGACAAACCTGCATGAGGTCAAAAGAGATGAGTGAAAGGAAGGAGGTGTGATAAAGTGGTGCGTACCACGCGGCGACAGGTATAGACGAAAACTGCGTCGGATCACCGTCTGAGTTGACGAAGGTCTCGATTGTGTCATCCCATGTCCCTCGCTCGGTGAAATAGCTGGTGTTCTCTAGTGAGCAAGCGGACACACGAACACCATAGCAAAAAACTTACAGGAGAGTACTGAACACAGTGAGCACCATGAAAATGAAGAAGCTCAGAGCGAGAAGCGCATGCTGCGAGCGTCGGATAGCGAGGTACATAACTTCGATAGTGCTTGTACCGACATGAGGATGAGCTATGATATTGGATCAATAGGAGAACGTACAGAAGGAGGGTGCTGTTGTGTCGGAAGGGTCTGAAGACACGAAGAAGACGGAACATGCGAAGGATCGAGAACCGGAAGAGGGCGCTCTGCGATTATATGTCAGAAGCGAATCACATTGGAAGCATGGTTGAAGAGACGAATGAGAGAGAAAAGACGCATGAAAATGGCGACTTACAGTATCCTGCTGCAGGATGAGCTCTATGTAGTACGGCAAGATTGCAAGCATGTCCACAACCCCGTAGAACGCTGATCTCCACCCATGGTCAGTCAGCCATATTCTCTCTCTGATATATCAGTGAGTAAAAGGAGCTCACAGAACATCCATTTAGCCAGCCCCATCCAGGTCGCACTCCATGCAAAGCACCGTGCGACATATTCAATAGTGAACAAGACAACCAAGCTCGTCTCGAGCCCAAACCACACGCGGAAGCTCTTTCCGTGAAAGCTCGGAACTGTCTCGAGAATCGTCACGAGGGCGGATATGACGATTAATGAAGTGGTGAGGACATGCACGAGGAATGCGCCAGGGCTTGACGTGGGCTCTTCGAGCAGGTCGAACAGCGTGCGCTTCCATGGCGACACCGCGGGATCCGGTGGGGCGAGAGTCGTTGATGATGAGGACTGAAAGATGTCTTCGATGTGTGTAGGTGTTGGGGGAGGTATGTCTTCTGTGGTGAACCGGGAGGTGGTACCGTTAGGTGAACGAAGTCGAGAGAGCTGGATGGGGTGGGACATAACGTGTAGCGCCGAGGACCGGGTAGTTTGGAGCTACCGGTCAAGCCGAAGAATCAAGAACGATATTCTGGGCGAATCAATGCCCTCAGGATAAGACAGAGAAGACACGAGTGTAGAGGTCTGGTTTGTGTGGGGAAGCGTTGCGCAGTCACAAGCTCGTCTGCACAAGTCGCGGGAGAGACATCTCTCCATGTCGCCAGGCCCGGAAGCACGGCCCGTATCTCATTGGCCATTTCACCTCAGCACCCAGCACCACCTTCACTCACTCCGCGACAGCCATCCGCCCACCCTGAGTCGTCCGTATCTCAGGCAGCCAAGCTACCAGCAGAGAGGCCCCCTTAATTGTGCAGTATCCAACTGGTTCACTCTATTACCCACTATGACCCCAATAACGCCTCGGCAACACCACGTCTTCCCATGACCATGTTCAGGTCTCTTTTGACTTACTGGCCTTGCCTTTATCATAACGCAAAATGAGATCGCGCCCTATGGATAGAAATTGTGTGCGTGTGGAATCAAGGCATGCGATCCATCTTCCTTCGACCATCCGGTCTCTGTTAACACACCCTAAGATCGATAATGCCCACATAAAACCGCTTAGTGCGCTTCCGATAAGAAGGTGCAACAAGGCGAGCCTGGTGACATACTAAAACACGCATATTACGCGTGTTTCAAGGATGGTCTCGGGGTACTTAAACAGTAACACTCTACGAAGCCATATGGATACTTCCTTTGTCACTGCCCTCGTCTTGTCCAGGTACACGTCTTGTTCACATCTGTCGGTCGAGCGATACTGACAAATGCCATATTTTTAGTCCATAAGCACGCATGTCGACTTACGACTTCGTAATCATTGGAGGCGGAACCGCCGGACTTGTGCTCGCCAAGCGCCTGAGCGAAGACGGCACGTTCTCCGTGCTCGTGCTGGAAGCAGGACACGCACCGACGCCCGAGCAGGCTCCGTTGGTGGACATGACGGTGGGCATCCCCTTGTCAGGTCCTCTGGACCACACGTGCTTATTCGAGAGCGTTACAGGCGATGGCCTTCAAACTGATGGAAACAAACACCCTCATGCGCTCGTACCCCACTCCTCCCCAAGCCGTTCTCGGCGGAAACACCTTCGACATCCAGGCCGGCTGGGGCCTCGGAGGCTCGAGCAACGTCAACTTCGCGATGTGGATGCGTGGCGCCAAGGTCGACTACGATCGCATCGCGGACATCACGGGGGACGCGTCGTGGACGTTCGACGCGCTCATGCCGTACTTTCGCAAGTCGGAGACGTATCACTTTCCGTCGAGCCGGGAACGTACGGTCCAGGCAGAGCTGCATGGAGAAGGCGGCCCCATTCATCTGCATTGCGCACCAGCGACGTCTAGGTGGTCTGATGACAGTCTTCGGGCGTACCAGGAGAGTGGTCTACCGTTCAACGAAGATACGAACGGAGGGCAGACGCTGGGTATTGGACCTGTCGCAGCAAACAACTACTTTCCAGCCGGGGGTCGATCAAGTTCGCGAAAGTATGTCGAGACGCCGAGGCATGCGAACCTCGCTATCAAGGAAGGCGCACAAGTAGCGAGAGTGGTGTTCGAGGGAAAGAAGGCTATTGGCGTCGAGACTGTCTCCGGGGAGGTTTTTCGCGCTGCGAAGGAGGGTACATCGTGCGGTTGGCGTGTCATCACCTCTTGCTCATGCTTCTGTTTTCAGTCATTCTCTCTGCGGGGACTTTCCAATCCCCTGCAATCCTACAACGGTCCGGCGTAGGCCCTGCCAGCCTCTTGAACAGCCTGGGCATTCCCCTCGTACACGATCTACCAGGCGTCGGTGAGAACATGTGGGATCACTTCCTGACTGTCCTGCGATGGCGCCTCAAGGACGAGTATCGCGGCGGCACATTTGACGACCTCGCCAATCCCGAGCTTCTCCAAGCCGCACTTGGGAGATATCAGCAAGACGGCAGCGGGCTTCTTGGCGGTACAGTCTCGGAGTGGGGCATCTGGCGGAACTTCAGTCAAGAGATCGAAGCCGCCGTGAAGGCCGACGACGTAAGTGCTAAATTTATCCGCGACGTATATTGGCGTTACAAATATATATACATCACCATGACGCTGACGGCGCGACAGTCCCTGACCTCGAAATCCCGCGCGCACCTGCTCGCCAGCACCACGCCACACGCACAGCTCTTCCACTTCCACGGATACCTCCTCGACCCGCACCCGTCGGCCTCCCACGCGCACTTCTCCGTTTTCCCTGTCGTCGTCTCTCCGACCTCGCGGGGTACCATCCGGATCACTTCGAGCGATCCCACGCAGGACCCTGTCGTTGATCCAAGGTGGCTCAGCACGGCCACGGATAGAGCGGTGCTCGAGGCCGGGATCAGGTTCGCGAACGAGGTCGCGTCGGGCGAGGTGTGGAGGGATAAGGTGGAGAGGGAGGTGGCGCCGACGGAGGACGCCGTCGGGTTCGATGACACGAACATCGAGGCAAAAATCAGAGGCGGAAGGACGATGTATCACTTTGTGAGCGTGCCAATCTCGATCCTCCCCCTGATTTGTCGTGGCTTATGACGCCCCGTTTGCGCAGTCCGGAACGTGCGCGATGGCATCGCCAGATAGCGAGGAGGTTCTGCCGGTCACGAACTCCGCGTGCGAGGTGTACGGCGTAGAGTGCCTGCGGGTTGTCGGTATGTTTCCTTCGCGTCGTATCATTGCGGATGGGACGAAGCTCACAGCGGATGCAGATGCGAGCGTGTTGCCTGCACCGATCTCAGCGCCCACGCAGGCTGTTACGTACGCGATCGCCGAGAAGATCGCTGATGTTATCAAGCATAAGTATGCAAATTGAGACTAGCGACATGTATCGAATCATGAGGTCGTAGGACTAAAAGCAGTGCATGATGTTTATGGGATCGTATCCTCTACAAAGCGAATGCTCTCAGCCGATTTCGCCGCCGTGACTGCGGGCTAAACATAGTAGTCGTTACAGATGACTGGTAAGCGTGAAATGTTGCTTATCTACTTGAGAACATTACCTTCGGACAGCTGAGCTTCCAAAACTATCCTTCTGCCCTCCAGGATACCCGTCCAGCTGACGGATGGAGCACTCAACCACACTGTGGCGTACTTCGATGGGAAGCCTACATAGTGGTTTGAAACCTTTTGAATCTATATCTCATCATATGCTGAACCTACACCACTCCTGATGATGTTTCCTCCCCATATCTTGTGCTATGTCGCGTTACCACGCGCACTGCAGCACATAGTAGAGAGTGGAACGCCCACAAAATCTCATCCCGATCATCTCGGATTCAACCATCAACCAAGCAGAAGCTGGCAGACATTGGCGCGTGGTTGCTGAACGTACACCAAAATAACTCGAATACCGAAAACGCGTTGCGCGACCGGTCGATGAGGTCGATGAGGCTCTGGGCATTTTTTGCAGAAATGTATGATCGGGTGTCGTGGAGAATAGGTCAAGATGCTATCAATGGACAGATGTCTCGTCAGCAGGAGAACTCTCCTTTAAATTTGTCAGACTCACGATCTGATATGTGGAAGGCCTGTATTTGCATTTTTGCTCTATCCATGGCGAGGTTTTACAAGCTTCATTATGTTTTCCTGAAGCAATTTATTATGGCTGCTTTGTTCAGCAATGCTAGATCTAATCGCGTGGGAATCTACAAGTCTCTGCTTGCCTCTGCTGAGATGATTTTTCATGTTCAGCTGTGCAAATTTGATGCTCACACCATTGGGTCCAGACATCAGCGCTTCGCCCACGCCAATTGCGGAGACGGGATCTGACACTGCGTCAGAGAAAAAAATTGGAGAAGTGTGGCGTCTCATTGTCACAAAAGTGCCTTGTGGTTGGGTCAAACATTTACTGATTCGCATGTTACGCACAGGTTATGATCTTTGCCGGCAAACGATGCAGTCTTTATTTCTATCCAAAAGATACGAGAGGGTCTATAAATGGAGCGGGGAAATTCGTCTGCGTGCGGAGTTACATAGACAGTGAGCGACCCCGCCTGTGTTAATTTGTAACGTAATAACATGCCTATCAAGATAAAATAAGAGCTAGCCTTGGTGAGATGGCTGAGAAATATGTGATAAACACTACAAAACATATTTGAACACTTTGCTCCGTCCCGGGGCAATGGACCATCTCTGACAAATATGAACCTAGCAATCTCACGAAGGACAGCGAGAACTGAAAGCACGACGCTGCAGATGAGCTACACTGACAAGTTACCATCGCGGAAGGCCATCAAATTATCACTTGAGATACTTCTCGATTTCACCTGACTTTCTCATGCGTTCAGATTGAACGCCGGCGACACTGATAATCATTAGGACGACCTGCTAGTGTGGCGGCTCAGCGGCCGTTTAACACATCCGCATAGCCCCTGTGAGGATCCGCATCGTTATCAGCATTATTATTAGCAGAAATGTTATAAACGGAAGTCCGAAACCATCCAGGATCGCTCAAGGCGCTTTACGCGGATTATGGACCGGAAAGGAGTTGAAACATGTCGTGCCGCCACCAAAAGTCTGTCGGACATGGAATCTGAGCCCGATGTAAGCAAGGTATTTTTTTCGGAGTTTCAAAACGTCCGCGTCAACGTCCGCTACGTTTGTCGTCAAAATTTATTTCCACCATTACCTGGTTCTCGTGTGTTCGTATCTTAATGAGATGCCCCCAATCAATCAGAGGTGAGAGTCTTCCATAGCTCATCCACCATCTTCGAATACACGTCAGATTCCGGTCTGACTACGAACGCAGTTTATGTGAAACTGCGGACTGGCGTGTTCGGCACATTCGCGGCTGCATTGGACCCTGGCTGTCAATTTTGGATAGTGACCCCAGATCCCCAGTGCTTTGTGGGCGTTGGTGTTCCACCCCCTGTCTAACGGGGCCCCATGACTTGCCATTTCCCCTTGGCATCCCTCGGTTACTCACTTTCAACACATATACCCTCAGTTCCACGTCGCCTTAGCTGATGGAAGATCTTCATTAAAAAACCAGCAATATTGAACCTGTTGGTTTGTCTCGGGTTATCCTCTCTGATAGGATCAGGTCCCCTATTTTAGTCCTAGTCCCTTTCGCACATCATGTCTCACATCCGAACATTGCGCCAGTTCTGATCGCGATCCCGCGCCCTGCAGCGCCGCCGCCTGCCTGTGTTAGGAAACGTGGACAACCCGACGTTGCAATGGACCCGAGTTCCTGACTCAATATGGGAAAGCGCGAAACCCTAACTTACGCGAGAGGTCAGCGCTCTTGTTCAAGAACGTTTCTAGCAAAGATCACTTCCATCCGACATCCGACAAATTGACATATCGCAGGAGGATGCCGTATACCCAAGGTACCCCCGCTCCCCTTACGCCAAAGGTGCCCCAAGCTGATGCTCCCGTGATTCGGTATCATCGGACCAAGAATGATGTCAAAAGATCTCCCGTGCTCGTATTTAAACAGTCCCCTCCAGCGCGTCCAATTGTGTACTGTTTGCCCCATCGCCATTCTACACCATGCCTTCCACGTTCAGCTACGAATTCAAGACCCCTACCTACTCCGGCAAAACTTCGTTTAACACGGGGATCTACATCAACGGCGAGTTCAGAGACGGTTCTGATAGTACTACCATCGAGTGCGTTCACCCGTTTCCAACATCCGACGCGTGGAGGGCTAATCAGTGCTTGACGGTTATTAGCGTCTTCAACCCCGGTATGCTTCATCTGATTATGGCGGATAATGACCACGACTGATGTCTTCCAGCAACCGGCCAGGTCATCGCGAAGATATCCGAGGGCACGCCCAAGGACATTGATCTCGCGGTAGAGGCAGCTCAGAAGGCGTTCGAGAGCTCTTGGGGGCTGAAATGCCCCGGCGCTCAACGCTCCATCCTCATGAACAAGCTCGCCAACCTCATGGAGAAACACCTCGACGAGCTGGCTGCGATTGAGGCGCTTGACGGTGGTACGTCTTTACGGGCAGTCTACCTAAGGCGCCACTCATGCAGCTGCAGGCAAGACGTTCTTTTGGTCGAAAAATGTGGATATCGTCGCGGCGATAGACTGCATTCGCTACTACGCTGGATGGGCAGACAAGGTTACCGGGCAGGTCCTTGAGACAACCGAGGCGAAGCTCACCTACACTCGCCACGAGCCTATTGGTGTCGTTGTAAGCTTATCTTCCGTAGTATAAAAATGACATACTTGGGCGCTCAATCCGTGTTTCAGGGTCATATCATCGCATGGAACTTCCCATGTGAGCGAAGCGCCGTCTTTTCCAGCCTGTACTCGTGCTGATCGAACCAGTGCTGCTTATGTGCTGGAAACTCGGACCTGCCCTTGCAACGGGTAACACGGTCATCCTCAAGCCGTCCGAAATGACGCCTCTGACGGCACTCCGAATGTGCGAGCTTATCGCGGAGGCCGGCTTCCCTCCTGGTGTCGTCAACGTCGTCCCCGGTTACGGCAACACCGTGGGCGATGCCATCACGCATCATCACGGTATCGAGAAGGTCTCGTTCACCGGGTCGACGCTCGTGGGTCGTAAGATCATGGAGGCGGCTGCTAAGAGCAACCTTAAGAACATCACTCTCGAGCTTGGAGGCAAGAGCCCGAACATCATCTTCGACGATGCAGACCTTGAAAAAGCTGCCAACTGGGCCGCTTTTGGTGTCTTGTAAGTACATTTAAATTCGACTGAAAACGTGGAGGCTAAGGAGGATACGCAGCTGGAACCAAGGTCAGGTGTGCTCTGCGGCAACTCGGCTCTACGTCCAGGCGGGCATATACGACAAATTCCTTGAAAAGTTCACGGAGAAGCTCAAGGCTATCAACGTCGGTGACCCGTTTGGTGAGACGTCATGGCACGGGCCACAAGTCTCGCAAACCCAGTACGACGTAAGCGTCCCTTTTTCTGTGCTTACCGTTGGAAGCTGAGGTCTGGTCGATAGCGTATCATGAACTACATCCAAGCCGGCAAGGACGAGGGCGCGAAAGTGCACATCGGCGGCGAGCGCATTGGCACCGAGGGTTACTTCATGCAGCCTACGCTTTTTACCGACACTAAGCCCGATATGAAGATTGTCAAGGAAGAAATCTTCGGTCCCGTCGGTGTGCTCATCAAGTTCGAGGACGAGGAAGATGCGATCCGACAGGCCAACGACTCAACGTACGGCCTTGCCGCCGCGGTCTTCACAGAGAACATCAATCGCGCAATTGAGACCGTGCACAAGCTCAAGGCGGGTACAACGTGGGTTAACTGCACGAACTCGCTGCACAACAATGTGCCGTTTGGTGGTTTCAAGCAGAGTGGGATTGGGCGTGAGCTAGGCGAATACGCACTTCATCAGTAAGTCGACAATATCCGATATGGGTACTTCAGTTGATGGTGTCTCATCAATCCTCATTAATAGCTACACCAACGTGAAAGCCGTTCACGTCAACCTCGGCATTCCCATGAACATCTGAGATTCACTGGTCAGCAGCTAGGGTTTTTTAAGGAATATGATTCGCAGTACAATAATATCAGTGCGTTCAGTGCGCTTGTAGTTTTAATATATCAACTATATCATTCGATGCTACTGTGTGAATATAGTTCAAATGTTCACAAAATCGATCTTGCGAGCTTGCCACGCCCCGATCTCCTAAGGTTCGGAAAACATCGATATTTGATCAACCAAGCATTTCTCACGGCCTCATTGTTTTCCCATCCCTGCTCGGTGTTCGCGACAACATGCTGGCTTCCCCCTTCTCCTTGGCCTGACCGCAGCGCACCGCCGCGTATCCCTCGTCGAACTACTCGTCGGATGGCCCACGCATTCTGTCTGGGGGAGTACGCAGGACATCCACATGAAGCCCCGAACGCGAATATAAACCCACCAATACTGGTTTCGCGAATTAAAGCAACGCTCGTGCCTCCATTACCTGAAGGCATAACCCGTCATCCATGTCTTCACCAAGGTTCAGAGTAGCTGTCTGGTACGCTCAACCCTTCAGTTTCCACGTCGTTGTGTTCGAATTGAACCCTATAGTGGTGGTGGAGTTGGCGGACTCACGCTTGCAGTTGCTCTCTCGCGATACCCTGACCTTCAAGTCGATATCTATGAGAGAGCTCGTAGCTTCTCTGAGGTGGGCGCGGGTATCGTCTTCATGCTCAGACCTTTCAAGGTACACTATTCTCTCGAATACCCTGCTTTTTACTACGTAGAACCTGACTTAGGCGTCTTCTATATAGGTGATAAGAAAGTTGGGAAAGAAGCTCGAAGAGGCCCTGCTCGGAAAGTTGCCTGTGCCGTTTTCTGAGGAAAGTTGTACGTGCTTCGTTTTTCCATACTGCAGAAGGAGAAGTAGCATGCTGACATCATCCGTCTTTGCAGCAACTGGCTTCAGATTCAGGAAGAGCGATCAACCGGAGGGGGAGACCTTGTTCGATATGGTTATCCGGGGTGAGTTCTGCTCGTCTTTGTCTGCTCCGACCTTTATTTACTCAAACGAATGTTCAGGTAGCCTCATTAATCTTCACCGGGCCGACTTTCAAGGCGTTCTTCTAGACAACCTGGGTCCAAATGTGAAGACGCACACCTCGAAACGCCTCCATTCCTACTCCCAGTCTGACGATGGAACACTTGCCAACACCCTAGCCTTTGAGGACGGGACAACCGCGACATGTGACATCCTCGTCGGTGCGGACGGCGTGAGGTCTGCGGTAAGAGCCAAGATGATGCAAGACCTCGCTCGCGATCCTACCTCCAACTCGAGCGGGGAAATGCGCGCTTTGCAGGAATATCTCGCGTGCATCGAGCCGGTGTTCAGTGGTGTCATTGCTCACCGAGCGCTTATCCCTGCTGAGAAGCTACGAGCCGTTGCGCCGAGTCATCGGGCATTCGGCGGTGTTTATACAGTATGTAATCCGTTCATTCACCAGTGACCGTTTTACCTGAGTTGCGCGATGATAGTGGGTGGCCAAAGGGCGAGTGATAACGACATACCCCGTGTCAATGGGAAAATTTGTCAACCTCGCCGCCAACTCCCTGGACGAAAGCTTGATGCGCTCTGCGCACAGTATCGATGCAAATCATCACCAGAGGTATGACGGTGACTGGGTCAAATCCATCACTAAGGACGATTTTTTGGATAAGTTCGAAGGGATGGAAAAAGAGGTGCAGACTATGCTCGACGTAAGCCTGGAATTTGTCGTTCGTGCTGGGATCACGCGTACTGACACTACCTTCAGCTCATTGAGAGTGGTAACGCATGGGTGATCAACGTCACCAAGAACTTGCCAACTCATGTACATGGACGGGTCGCGCTCCTGGGAGACGCAGCGCACGCCATGACGCCCTTCTTGGGCTCTGGTGCGGGCCAGGCTGTCGAGGTTTGATCATATCCATTCACCAACGCTTAGAAATATTGACAACCATTTCAATAGGACGCATACATGCTCTCAGAACTCCTAGGAGATTATCGCGTAACGCTCGCTACTCTATCTCACGCATTGACAGTGTACGATGAGATCCGTCGCCCGTTCTCAACAAACGTCGCGCGACTGTCTATGGAGAACGGGTTCACTGCTGGTCTACAATCAGGGACACCGATATCTGACATGGAGGAGAGGGTGAATGGTGCATGGTCCTGGGCTTGGGAGACAGAGATCGACGATTCGATGGATGAGGCAAGGAAATTGCTTGGAAAACGGCTTGGAGCTTAGGAGCTTAGAAGGAGTCATTACTAGGGCCGCTCACTCTCAAAGTGACGACTCTTTATACACGTGTTATGGATTTAACGGAACTGCACTATCTGATACTTAACATGGGGCTTGCTATACATGATTGGACTACACCGGCAGCTTTTTTCAGTTGGCAAAACGCTACTAAGGCTTGGCCGCTGGGCCATTGTTCTCGGTATCTCGACATTATTTGTCAAATGAACGAGTACTATCAGCGTGATTTTGACTTAGAGCTCGAGGCTAGTTCCATCATCACTTGAAGCGTGGAAGTAAGATTCGAAAACGAGGCCACGTTTCGGAGTGGCACAAAAGTGTTCTATGAACTTGACCAGCATCAACATTTTGAGCCCACCACTAACTCAAAACCTTCAAGTTGGTACCCCACAGCGTGAAGGCTAATCGACAGAGAATTCAAGGAAGGTCATCTGGACTTCTAGCAACGAAGGAAAGGTACGCTGAGGCGCCAGCGTATCGTCGTGTAGTTCAGGTGCTCTTTTAGATGTGGGGGTGGCATCATCTTGTGAGGATTAATATTCTCAGCATCGTTTGTAGAAAATTGAAGATTGATTTCCTCAAAAACATGACAAACGATTCAAACCCGAACTGCAGTCATCATTTTTGCTTGAGTAGTAGATTCAAAGTAGATTGGCCACCGAGGGCATAAGGTTAAGCACCGATCCACCTCCCGCACTTCTGTTATAATGCTGAAGGAGATCATGGAGTTCGAGTAACGGCGTAAGTCGGCCCGGCCCAAACAAGAAATCGGCTTGAGTCGGCGAAGAGTCAGGGCCCGAAAGGACCGGAGCCTGCCGAGTGCTGAGTAACATGAATGCGATGCCATTTCAGCAACTCAACATCTGACCGCGAGCGCGAACTATCGTCAAGCTGACAAGAAAGCGCGAGTCTACAAGGGCCCGCAGCTTCCCCTATTGCCTCTTTCGCCGCTCTTCCACACACTGTCATAGCGAAGGTCAGATGCAGCACCGAGATCTATAAGCGTCCTCTGAAGCTCGCGACAGAATGTGACGTACAGTGGCGATAACTCGCTATCCGCACCCAATGCAGTGACGACCCTGGTCGGCGTCCACGATGGTCAGCCGTGTATAAAAGGCGGATGCTCTGAACGTCAAACGACGCCTCGAGCTCCCAGACCTTGTGTTTCATATTTCAACAACTTGGCTCATGGCTTCTCCCAAGTTCCGAGTCGCAATCGCGTAAGCTTTCCCTCCACTTCCTCCACACTGCATGCCCTTTCGTAGTGCCTGATCAGTGTCATCAGTGGCGGCGGAGTCGGCGGTCTCATGCTGGCCGTTGCGCTCTCAGCTTACCCCGATATCGGGGTCTACGTTTATGAGAGTGCTCGTACATTCTCCGAGATTGGCGCGGGTGTCGTCATGAAGCTCAGACCTTTCCAGGCGGGTTGTTTATAGCCCACATACGCACTAAGTGATGCTGACCGTCGTGCAGGTGGTTAAGAGGATCAGCGAGAAACTGGCGTCAGAGTTGATTTCGAAGACCCCTTGCGAATACACAGAGGAATACGGTGAGTAAGACCTACGCTTCAGTTCGTCCCGGGGTTCATTATGACTTACCGCGTTATCGCCTTGTAGTCCCGAGCTGGAAGTTCCGACGGAGTGATGGGGACGAAGGCGAATATATTTTCCACCTCAAGACCAGAGGTATGTTCTATCGACGTCATTTTGTCATTGGTGAACCAGCCAACACGGACAAAATCAGGACACGTCCTGTTGCTCCACCGTGCCGATTTCCACGGTGTTCTTCTCGATAACCTAGGAGCCAACGTGAAGACGTACACGTCTAAGCGCCTTGCGACGTACGAGCAGCCGAACGATCGCACCAGCCCTATCTCTCTGACCTTTGCTGACGGAACCACCGAAACGTGCGATCTTCTCGTCGGCGCCGACGGCATAAAGTCTGTCGTCAGGACTAAACTGATGAAGGAACTGGCCCAGGAGCAAGCCGAAAACCCAGCCGAGGGTTCTCCCAGCCCGGAACTGTACCTGTCTTGTGTCGAGCCCGCGTACAGCGGGATGAACTCCCACAGGTCACTCGTTCCAGCTGACAAGCTAGCAGCCGTCGCATCGGGTCATAGATCCCTCACCGAGCCCTTGTTGTGGTTGGCTAAGAGTAGGGTAGTGTTTCCGTTGCAAGCATTCGGGAAGACGTCCTGCTGACATCTTGCGGTCACAGGTGATCACGTCGTACCCCGTGTCTAAAGGCAAATACATCAACATTTCAGCCAACGAACTACATCCGGATATTATGAGGAAAGCTCACAACCCGGACCCATCCGTCAAGCAAGAGGACTACGAAGCCGAATGGATGCGCCCGGTTCCTGGTGCTGAGTGGAGTGCGCCATTCAAACACATGGAGAAGGACCTGCTTACCTTGCTTGACGTGAGTCCAAGTTGCACATTCACTCACCCACAATACTCACGCTCCTGCACACGTCCAGCTCGTCGAATCCGGCAACATATGGGGTGTTCATGTAGTCAAGAACTTGCCTACTTTCGTCCACGGACGCGTCGCGGTCATGGGAGATGCGGCGCACGCCATGACACCCTTCCAGGGATCAGGCGCGGGCCAAGCAGTTGAGGTTTGCCTTTTCGCATCATGTCTACTGGAATGGCGCTGACAAGCTGCAATCAGGACGCATACATCCTCGCGACAGTTCTCGGCCACCAACGCACCACGATTGCCACGCTCCCGACGGCGCTAGCTGTATACGATCAGATTCGCCGTCCGTTTGCACAGGGAATCGCCGCGGCGTCCATGATGAATGGGCTTATCAGTGGTATGGAGGTTGGAGAACCACTTTCCCAGATGGAAGAGTCTATTTCAAAGCAGTGGAGCTGGGGATGGACAACTTCGCTGGACCCCGACGTTGAGAAGGCGGTAAAACTACTAGAGGAGAGGTTGGGGGCGTAGGAAGCCACAATTACATGCACACCTACATAGACGCCGATAAGTTGACATGCCGATTCTGTCTTTCTGGATCTGATCATGTGGGATACAAACGACTTCGACGTTCGTGCAGGATTGCTTTGAACACGTCACCGTGCATCATGCAGGCACTGATAAGCGCGACAGCTCAGAGGGATGTATTCACACTGCTTTATGACAATCAGTGTGAATACATTTCCTTGTCCTGCCGCAAACCGAAATGAAGATGTGGAAGAAACAGGTATCTGGTGGTCGAGAGAAGAATAGATGACGGCGGTTGCGGTGAGAAAGGGCTTACTAAACCCGGGACGGGCCCTTGTCTCGCCTCCAACACAATCTTCACACACACTAGTACGATACCGCATGTTACGATACAGTCTTACATAGGGCGGAGCCCTGCACAAGACAATAATACGGATTTAAAAATAATAATAATAATAAAAAACCCCCCGGGACGACCCCCGATACCGTTTCTTCCCCTCCGGCGCGGGGCCAACTCTGGGCACCCCTTTGTCACCCGACGTTCTTCAACAAACATTGTCAGAGGATACGGCCTCCGAGCCCTTTTCACTACTCAAGCTGTCACATCCACCCTGATCTTGATAATATGTATCATCATTGAAACAACCACTCTGTGGGTACCTACGATGGCTACGAATTAAAGAATTCTATCCGACTAATGGGTCGAGCAATAATAAACTGGTGCACTTCATTTTGAGAGACAATCATGATTCCACCTTGACGATTTCCTTGATTGCATCGGCGGCACCATACCAAGGGAGCGTCTCGTCTGCGTCGGTGGGACGCATGTGCGACAGAAGGTGAAGGTAGCCGGCAGGCGCGTGCTGCACGAACCTGGACAGGCAAGGAACCCAAGATTAATCGGTGAGCAGAAATTATACCATCTAAAAAAGTACTTACCGTCCGATCATCGGGATGTTTTCGGCCATCTTCAGCAGAGGCGGGAGCTCAATGGGGTTGACTACACCAGTGGGGAAGCCATCCTTGTTACTCTGCTTGACGTTGCTGACGATCTGAAAGAGAGACATAAGCCAAACGCTTTAAGGACTGACTGAGAGATATTTACGTACCTGAACAGCAGTGCCTTTGGGAACCAAGGTACCGGGGCCAGTCACAGACAGGTTGTAGTAGTCGCGCATCTTAATCTCTTGGCCCAAGTGACAGAAGTTCGCCTGGGAGGGAAACCGTGATCCGCTGAGTTGATGTTGCCTGACTCCAAGAAAATCATCAGCGCACCTGGCTACGCTCAGAAACGTTCTGGCTGTGCAGCGCCAAATCACCCAGGTCAGGGAGACCGGTAGCAACGGCGCTGACAAATGTTGTGAGTCACTGCAATGAACACGAGAGACCATCGACTTACTCGCGCTTGTTAGTGATACGCCACATGTTACGAGGTCGGTCCGGGTCGCGCTGCATGTCGTTGTTGAACGCCGCGCGGCTCTGAGGGCTCGCCGTGATTGGTGTCGCGAATAGGTAAGCATCCCGCAAGTTGATATCGGCACCAAGGTCTTCGGGACGCTGAAGCGCACGAGCATAGAACATTGTAGCACTCGCAGTACCAAGTGAGTGCCCAGTCACGAAGACGTTGACGGGATCCTGAGCCTGAGAGCCCTGAGTTCCGTTGCGCATCTCCGTAGCGATGTCCTTGAGCGCGCCGCGGATGACCTCGTACGGTGTTCTGCCAGAGGCAGAGACGCGCTCCGGAAACATAGCCTGGTAGAAGCCACGATGCACCGAACCATAGCCACGGAGGTACTCCGAACCCATAGCCCAGTTGCACGAGAAGTCCGTTGCCCATTCGCCAAACTCGTCTGGTTGGGTTCCCTTGAACGCGAGGATGATGAAGTTGTCAGAGCCAGACGTGGAGTAAAACGCGCCGCAAATAGTGCTCCCGCTGTTCATCTCCGTGATAGCGCGGTAGTTGAGCCCTAGCTTCTTGGCGATCTTGCCAATGTACCAGTCGCTGACCTTGACGTTCCCGCGCCCGCGAGCAGTGCCAGCGCGGCGGAGCATGACGCCAGACCATCTGGGCTTCTGGCGTTCGTACATCAGGGCAGATATGACGAGGAGAACCTTGGCAATGTCGAGGTCGAAGACGCGGCGGCACATGCGGGACGGACTCTCAAACTGAGGCTTGTTCATGGTGTCATAGGCAGCCTTGCGGACGCTCTCAGGCATCCATGAGAAAATCTGAGGGTAGGCTGCGAGCAGCAGATCAGACACAGTAATAAGCGTAATCCGTCTAAAAACGCACCAGAGTTCACGACAGTGAGACCATCGTCGTTCTCGCAGACCCTGTCGATGAGGTCCCGAAGCGTAGGAGTCTTGATGGCAATGGACGCAAGGAGAACGATGAGAAGCAAGAACGAAGTGACAAACGAGAAGGTGAAAGAGACCAAGATGACGCTAGGGTCCGTCCAGCTAGAGAAAATAGCCCATACAGAGCTGCCCCAGGTCTCGTAGAGGAAGTATGCATAGGCCAAGAGATCCTCGCGTCTGCGGGTGGCGGGGGTGTACTCGAAGATGGTAGAAGCGTCGGTGGTCTTAAGCTGAGGCTTGTCGTCCTTCTGGTCCTCAGAGGCTAACATGGTTGTCCGCGTGCACCTGGCGGAGCTAGGAGCGGTGAGGTGGAAGGGGGGTTGAAGGGAAAGCGATGGTCGCCAGCAAGAGATTGCGCGGGTATAAATACGTCCAGACGAGTTGGCGCACAAGAATGCCATGCCACAGGATAATCGAAGAGATGCACGAGTCAAGGAAGCCAGAAACTGATGATATCTCCTCCGAAGGTGAATGCCAGACCTTAATTGGGCCGAATACCTGAAGTCACCGGGATTCCAACCAGAATAGAACTATGTCGCGCAGCAATCTGCGACGCCCTGACGAATTCCTCTGGCGCGATATGGACAAAGTGGAGCTGCGTCGAAGGTATGCAGAGCGGACCATCGGACGGAGCGTCTAGCCGATTTTCAATGAAGCAACGAGCAACGATGGGGCGAAAAGGAATGCGAGGCACTCTTCGGCTTATCGACGAAGCACTTGGAAGCATCGAGACAGTTTAAACGCCCACATAAGCGCCGTCACTGCACGGCCAGTAATCCGGTCCATCGGGCCACTTGGCTTTGACAAAGTGTTTAAGCTCAGCGGTCACAATTCTACCGAGTGATTAAGTGTACGTACAGCGGAGGTTATCAAGGAAATCGATCTCAGAGAGAAGTCGATAAAAGCAAGCTGTTTTAGCTCAAAGGTGACGGTAGCCCTGAAGATACATGTCGGGCTCCACACCTCAAATTACTGCGCGAGACGAACCTGCACCAGGGGCGTCAGCTTCGACGCCTAAGCGCACGAGCATTGACAGCGCTTAGACACGGATCATAGACTAGGACATCCCTAGCTTGACCCGTGCCAACAGGCCACAGTCGAGTCAAAGCGGGGAGCACACAAAGGTCCAAGCGGGGGAGCACCAACAAGTATTTCAGCGAGGACCGCTCCGCCATGACCCATCATCGTTCTCTCATCACCGTCCTCCATCCTCCTTCCCCAGTCTCCCTAGCCGGATATGACTTCTCCGACTGAACTCAACGACGACGCTGGGCTAAAGTTGCTTGCTGATTGCTGCACCAATGTAGGCGAGCGCGAAGTGACTATTACTTGCTCACCTACTCCTGACTCGGAGGGGTTCTATGACGCCGTTCTTAGAAATCTTTACAGAAGAGCTTTAGAGTATAACACCGAAAGCCTCTTTCAAGTCTTGCCTCCGGATCTGGAAACTCTTCAGCAATGGGCGTCGCGTCGATTAAAAGCTGACTCTGGACTCACGGTGACGGACGACTTTCCGACCCCTGACATCCACTCTACCTCTGCTGGCGAAGCTTCAGCTGGTAACGCTACTCGTTCTTCCAAAAAGCGCGCTAGGTCAGTCGATGGCGATGGCGAGGACGAGCTGGATGACACTCAGAATCTTGACAAGCCGCCAAAGAGGAAGTCCGCTAGACTTGCCACTCAGCCCTTCATGAAGCCCAAGGCTGCCACCAAGAAGTCTGCTGGCAAAGGACGCGCCGCAGACACTCTCGCAGGCCCTTCAAGAGGCGAGAACTCCGCGCCGAGTAAGTTTGTGAGCGACGAAGACCTTATTAGAGGCCGGGAGACCAAGCCGCGCGGGAACCGCACCGAAGATGAGCGTAAGCAGGAGTTGGAAGACGACGACTGGGTCAAACTCTTCTCTCTCAAATACGTCGTCTGCGATGGATGTAATGTGACGATCAAATGTTGCGGTAAAGGCCATTACTACGACACGAACTGGAGCAGGCACAGGAAATTGTGCGAAAGGATACCGCTAAGTGTATGCATTTTCCTCGCGCCTGTTATAGTTTGCTTTCGAGGCTAACAGACATTTCTATAGGAGAGGCAGTCCAAGAGGACGCCCGGTCCCTCCCGTCCCAAGGGCCAGAAGAAGAAGCATGGCAGTGACTCGGAGGCGAAGGCTTCCAAATGCAGGCCCGACGCAGAGCTTGCCGCCGCTTCATCTGCGCAGCCGCTTGCCCAGAGTAAGAAGCAGAAAAGCAGCAGAGGGAAAGGGAAGGAAAGAACTCGAGATAATGGCGATTCCAACGACGCTGTAAGTGAGGTAGCTAACGGGGATGAACCTCAGAGGCCTGTAACGCCGCCTCACCCAGCCTTCGGGCTTGCCCCCGGGTCGGAGGAAATAGTGCCTGCAGTGAATACCTCGCCAGTCCATTCGGCGGCGATGAATGGCGGGTCGTCTGCTCCTCCGCAACTTCCACCTCGACTGAGGGGGTCAATTTCCTCATACGCAGCAATCAGTCGGCCAAGGTCAATGGACCGCTTCATGGACCCGATTCCGTAAGGGGCGCGATGAGGAACGCTAGAGCTGAGGGGACGTGCCGCACCTGTGAAGTGCCTAGGACATAAACTGTAGATACAAACTTTCTTTTTTCTTCTTTAAGATCATCAAAGCTAGTGTAGAAGCCTTACAATCAATCTCCCTTTGTTCCAATCGTGAAGCGCATATACGCACCTCCCGCTCAAACGCCTGCTCATCCACAGCCGCTTCTTCCATTCGACGCGTTCAGGACTGGATTACTCGCCTCCGCAAGTGCGTACAATGCAGTCGACCTGGGAGGTCTTCGACTTCGATTGCGATGATCTTGTACAAGAAAATAGGACTACGAGGCTTCAAAGGGTGGCCGAGTTGCGAGGGCATATATAGCGTTCAAACGACAGATGACCAGCTCAGGCGTGCGGTTTGAGCGAGACCGGGTGTAAGAGCGTGTTTCATCGCAAGCGTGGATGGATTGGGAGCAAGGCCCATAGCGGCCACGTTCAAGCTCAAGGGCATTCAACGCGTTGACAAGTTGAAGCCGTTGACCGCGCGGGCGTGCGTCGGGTGCTATCGGATAGCTCCGAGAGCCGGATCGCAGTGGCTTCTACCGCCGCTAGCTTCTTTGCTCTTTGTCTCCAGCCTCCACCCTCGTCTGACCTTTCGAAGTTCGAGATTGAAATATTGACGCACCGGTCCCGGCCATTCAGAGGGCAGAAAAGCTCTCGATGTCATCGCACAGCTCTGGCGAGGTCGATCTATGATTTGCCTCTTCGGATGTGTCTCACCACGGGGAGCTGTGTCTTCAATCTTGTGCAAAAATGCAACGGGTATGGTGTGTCTGTAGAAGCGTCGCGTTTTTACGACTGCTTCTGAACTACTGGAAGATCTGCTCAGCCCCCACGCGCATCGCAATCTAGGTGTTTACTTCTCTGGTGCTACGCCATCAAGATTTGTTCCGCGTCTAGTGCTATATAAACGACTCTTGGTTCACCAGCTATCCTCATCACCGAGTTTCGTTCGCTGTCTTGCTCTCCTTGCTCTAAAAATCTCGATCCTTACTCTACACCAAGGATGAAATCCTTCACTATCGCTGCTACCACTCTTTTGTCCCTCAGCGCTGCCGTTCTCGGGCGCCCCGCCGATTCCCCCGCCGAAGTCTGGGCACCGCACATCACCTCTCCCACTGCTGAGACCGTCTGGACCATTAGACAGAAGTACAACGTCACTTGGGACACATCCAACCCGCCCAAGGTCACCAACCCCTTCGGCTTGGTCGTCTTGCGCTCAGGCGGTGACACTCAATGGAGTGTGTCTCTACGTCTTTTGTGTCACTGTCACTCCCGATCATACTTACAAGGTTCGATGCAGACCATATGCTCGCCTACGGTTTCAAGATCCTGGACGGCAGTGTACAAGTCACTGCGCCCGACGTGAACGGAGGCGACTATTCTGTCGTTCGTGAGTTACTGTTTTGTTGACCTCTTTGTCTACGCAGAACTGACATGTCTGTTTAACGCTTCAGTCATGGGTGACTCTAACAACTGGAGCCCTGACTTTTCCATTGTTAGCAGTGCATCTAACAGTATCTGACCTAGTCAATAAGTACATGGGATCCGAGTTGGTCTAGAGTTACCGCCAGAAGCAGCTGATGCAACGTCTCGCTTGTATCCGTTGCTCGCGCAGCTTATTCGCTCTGTTCGTACACCGTTCGAAACTATACGTCGTTGAATATCGAGCTTTATGCCAGCTACGCATGAGTTGGTGTGAAATGTTGAGACGTAAAACTGGGCGACGTAGGGAAAAATCTAACAAGGACGTGGGTGGCGGTAGGGTATCGCTCAAGTATCGCTCTAAGTGTTATTAGCGCGGATGGATCAGCCTAGTGCTGGTGAACCCGCGGACGCAACCGAAGCGTGGGAAATTGATTATCGAGCTGCATGCGTGTCCGTGAACATTGCCATGAGGTGGCAGCATATATAGGAAAAGCTAGTGAGCGACAAGTGAGCGACGAGGGACGCTTGCGGTCAGAACATCCGGAAGCCCCTGTCAGTAGCTGTCAAGCCTGTTGCGGAGCCAGTTGCCGATCTCTGACACGGATGCTCGCCTCGAGGAAGTCTCGGGCGCTATTGAGCTCTCCGTCGGATTCTTTGTGTCCTTGCTGAGACCTTCGAGACGGGCATGCGCTTCGTTCTGCGCTCGTTGGACTTTCTATCCGCGAAAGCGAGCTCATCAACACGCTCACTGAAGGCAGCTGCCCTACCCGGGCCTCGACCATTCAAGGATCTAGTTGGAATCTAGACCCGGATGGCCGACCGAAAAGGTGTCAGTATGTAGTGACCCTTCCGCCCTTCGTTTCTGATTCTGAACTTGGTGACAACCGTTGAAGCGGTCTCTCATTTAGCGGCTTTACGTCGCCGTTCCTGTTTTACGACATGGAGCCATTCCATACAAATACCAAATGTTCAGTTCGAGCCTCTTCCTCACTGCACGACCTTCTCCGTCCATTCTTCCTTCCCCTCTTCTATTCCCCCGCCAGCCTCCCGCCAGCCTCCCGCCAGCTTGCACACTTCAACCAATTTTCGCCTCATCAACCACCCACGCTCACTAGCATTCTCTTCACGATGAAGTCCTTCGCCGCCGTTGCTGCTACTCTCTTCTCCCTCGGCGCGGTCGTCCTTGCGCGCCCCATGGACGTCTATGCTCCGAAGGTCACTTCGCCTGATTCCGATTCCATCTGGAGTGCAGGCAAGAACTACACCATCACATGGGACGCATCCAGCCCTCCCAAGCAGATCACCAACCCCATTGGTCATATCATTCTGCGTGCCAACGGCGTTTCTTGGACCAGTGCGTCGCATCCCTGTTCTTGCTCCAGTATGACTTTCTTACCAACTACTTTATCAGATACCACTCTCGCCAAGGGCTTCAACATTACCGACGGTACCGTTCAGGTCACTGCGCCTGACGTACCCACAGGCACTCACTATTCTGTCGTCCGTAAGTACCATTGACCTTTGTCCTCCGCATGCAATACTAATTACCCTTTGTATATTTCCAGTCTTTGGCGACTCGGGCAACTGGAGCCCCGACTTCACCATCTTCGGCTCAGACAACTCGGATGGTTCGGACGGTAGCGGGCTTGAGCTCTCTGCCGATGCCTCGTCGTAAGCGCAGACATTGTCTTGAACACGGTAACATATAGTCTAGCATATGGCGCGGCAAACTACATAATCTTTTTCGGACACTTATTCGGACTTCGACATAGTACATGACGTAATGCTAGGACTTGGATTTCTCTTCGCATGGTCATTGCCTTGCATGGACTTTGTTCTGCAACAGTAGACAGGGCTGATACGTATCGTTACTTAATGGGCGAAATGGACATTTTGTTGTTGCACACCTTTTACTCCGTGGTCTCACTTAAGAAGGAAGCTGAGGGAAGCGAGCAAATATTGTTACTGCAGCCAGGGAAGTTCAATATGAACTTCGTGCCATGTCGACTTCGACAGACCCAGCATGCCGTGGCCCATCGCTCTGTAACTGCGCATCCTCTCCGTCCATGATGTATGAACCTCCGTCCCAAGGCCAATGCCATCGATCCATCGCTTGGTATAGTATATCCGCAGTTGTTGACTAGGATTGATATTATGGGCTCGTACTTGATATTTGAACATTAAATCGACTGAAAGCTTTTCCGATACAGATACTCGAGTGAGCCACAAAGACTCTACGAACCCTTAAACCCCGTAACTAGTTCATTCATGGTGCAGGTAAATACTTGGGGGCTGTACCCACCAAAACATTGCATCAGGGTCTGGACGGTGCAATGCCGCAGCGTTTCATTACCAGTGTCAAACAATATTAGATTCCATAATTAATAATATAAAGCAGCCACAATATTAATAAACTCTCTTTTTCGGTACTGGGCACTGAGTACCATTATAAGCATACGACTTTTTTCTGTCATCTCCTTCAAGCTTGTCTCTCTTTCCGACGAATAACTAGTTTTCATCGAAGAAATTTCCCAAATTTGAGTCGAGTTCTACTAATTCATCTCCGCATATCATTCAATGATATTGTCTCCGCTGAGAGGCGCTGAATGATCCACCGGCCATTCATTCTGTTGCATGTTAGCTACGTGATTTTCAAGACACGGTTAAAACTCACGCAGCTATCAAAGAATTCGCATACACTACGGAGGGTTGCATGAGTCGTTAGTGACACTCCTTTGGTATTTAATTATGGATAAGAGTACCGGAACCAATTATGGCATACGGGGCCATCCAGACATCTGTTTGACAGTAACATCAGCGAACAATAAGAGCGAACGATAGGAAATCAGCTGCAAAAAGAAACCTCACAGTTTGTGTGTCCGTAGACGAGGTACTAGAGCGATGGGAATCAGTGTGCAAAATCGTCGAAAACTCCTTCAAGTACACATACAGTAATCAACAAAACAACGCTGATAACACTTTGTAATAAGGTTAAGGTGCATAATTTTAGTTATCAGGGTCAATAATGGCTAGGATTCTGACTACCTACCTGGTGCAGGCACCAATTTCTGGTACGAAGTTGGTCCACAGCTTCAGAATTATGGTGCAAGGGCAAGAATATACGTACCGACAGTCCAGAATATCAGTTTGCCAAGGATCAGCCGGTGTCTTACGAAGCACGGAAGATTAGTTCTCTAAAACAAGCGGAGAATTATAAAGGACTCACGACTTATAGCTGTCTGTCTGGCGTATGGACCGGAGATAGACCATAACAAATACTGAGATCCATCCATCGCATAGAACACGTGCGCCTAATGCCACCCCAAATACAGTCCGCATAGATATCTTCGACGCAAGCACAAGCTCGCTAGAGGCACTCAAGACTCGTGCGACGGCCATATAACCACTAGCCTGGCTTGCAAGCAAAAGAAAAAGGGCGATAAATGTGGGGATGAGCACACGTGAGAGCCTCCAGAGCCGAAACACAAAAAACGCCTGGTAACTTTGATTAGGAAATGATTCATCTCTTTGGTCAGTGTTAAAGCGTAAACTCTGACCTGAGCAATCCCGTCTATCAGTGGAGATAGAACCACTACAGCTTTCATAGACGAAGAGGTCTTTGTGAGAACAAATTCTCCTTGCTCTACCGTGACCACCGTTAGGTCCCAGAGTCCATGTGCTTCAGCGCAAAACTTCGTGGATTCGAGCATGCTGCCACACAGCAAAGATGACGAGGATGAAGCGTTAATCAATCCAATGTGTTGAGCCGAATTTTGAAGTGAACGCACACCATCACAACTGCCTATTCAGGATGAATATGATGTCAATCGCTTACTGAAGCACGACTCTTAAAGCGCGAGAAAAACATACTACTGATTTGAACGGCCACCTATCCTTCGCATACTGCGTAAAATACACGTAAGTTTGAACAATAAAGCATCCTGTTAGGAGCGCGTTGGTAACTACACCAATCAATGCGGGACCTATCAGAAGGGTAGGGCTCAGCATGCGGATTGGCTTTCTTGAAAGCGAGGGAGGGCAGATGTCGAGAGGGAGCAATGCTCCTTTGCGTATGTTGCCAGAGGTTTTTGACTTTCCGCGTATAAGTATTCAGCATGCGGCAAACGCGATAGCCGGCTGGTGTGAGAGATGGCGACAATATTAGCTTGAGACGTTATGTCTCAAACAATATCAACAACAACTTCTGGTGCCAGTCACGGATGCATCAAAGAATACGCGTGCGTCCTTGAACGTGGCCAAATCGGAACACAGTTGCGGGAGCCGAGAACTCATGCATAGGTTCACATTGGGTTTGCACTATCACAAATAATCGTGCGCGGCGTCCGACGATTGTCCGGCGATCGTGGTAAAGGGTCTGATATAGGATGAGCGAGGCCAGTCATTTCGGCAGACTATAAACAGCAGCCACAGGTAAGCGCCTTCGTCCGAACAAGGCAGGAGAGGGACTACGGCGCATTCATTTGAATTTACCCTAAAACACGGCGCCTAGAATCAGCTTAATCCCGCTGTACACAGCGCTTGTTCGTGTTCGTATTTTCACAGACGTCTTGTATGATATGTTTTGGTCGAATAATGTTGGTCGAAGAAAACAGGACAAAATTTATATGTACTGACCGTTGTCTGGTCGAAATTGTAATCTAGATCACTGCTCCTGTAGCTGTGCGGAGGGCAGTATCACACACGCTAGAAGCCATTGTGACACAGACAGCCTGGAGCCTCGCGCGTCACCAGCTACTCTTGGAATCGGCAAACCGTCAATGACATTCAACCCACAATTTATCATGAACTGTCAGCTCGCCCATCACGGGTATGTATGCGGCATACAGTACAATACATAGATTTCAAGACATCAAAACACCGATGCTTTGTTTGTAAATCAGGAGCAACGTTATTCTGAGAGCGGGGCTAACAGGCCAAAGCGGAAGGGGACACGAAGTTTCGAAGAACTTTCATAGGACGTACGATTTTCGAGAACAATGGTATATCCATCGTTACGTCTTGACCCAAGCGATGGAAAAACGTCGCTAGTTTAACTATTATACAATTGAGGGCCACGTCGTATGGTATCTTGAAATAATACAAAACTTATCAGGTCAAGCTAACTCCTGCGACCGTAAACAAGCACCGCTGCTAAACTTACATTCGTGAGAGCCGAGATCAATCAACCCACTTCCCATTGTCCTTGTGCCACTGCTCGATAGAGATGTAATCCTCAGGGTCCTTCGGATTGACATTGTAGCCTTCGTTATCCTTCCTTGTCCCTTCAGGAAGGCGCACCCATGAGGGTTTAGAATCCAGCTTGACGACGACCTGAAAAGGGTTATGAGCACTGATGATCTCTACGTGGAAGCGGTTTTTGCATGGAAACATTATTGAAGTTTAAGATTCAGATACTCACCAGCTCTTTCGGATCCTCAAGTTCGTCGTCGATAGCGCTCGCGAACGGATGCAAGTATTCCGGCCAATGCGGGTCCCAAAGCCAGAGCATCGCCGAGCACTTCTTACAGAAGTTGCGCTCAGACGATGCCTTGTATTCGTCCTTCGTTCCTCGGTTCACCACCGGCGTGTACTTCCTATAGATCATAATCGTGCCATTAGGCGGACGTTCTCGTTTCATGTATCTGGATGACACAAAACGGGCGTGCGTACGTGATGTTCTCCTTCCCCTTGATCTTAAGCGTCTTCTCAATCGCGTTCAGGTTGATCGATCCGCCTACGCCGCCGACCTTGCGACAGATGGAACAGACACAGAGTTGGTACGGCACCGGAGTATTGCTCTCAACCGTGAAGCTCACGGCACCGCAGTGGCAGCTACCATGTAGTGTAACGGGCATTTTGGCTTATTGATTAGCTTGGGTGAGCCTCACTATGTGGTTACGCTGGTGAGATGAGGGTTGGAGTCAAGTTGAAAGGTGATCTGTAAGACAAGCGCCTCAACATCTCATAGTGACGTCGTCATCATATGCACTCGGGCCGAGTCGGCATCCGGAATTGTTCGCGGCTGAGAATTTGGTGATCATGACTGGACAGTGATCACCAGTTACCGGCCCCGTTGATGAAAGTGGTAGCAGAGCATAAAACATTGATCCACGTATTGTTGGTTTTGTCTCGCGGCCGATGGCGCCGAGAGAAGGGGAAAGTTCATGAGAGGGAGTGCTGTGACGCTCGGCCAGCAACTTGAACCCGATTGACCAGGGAGCAATTAATGGCACCTGTCCGTTCTAGCGTGTGAATTAAAGCGATCTCCGCTTGAAAATTTATCAGCTTGATTCCGAACATCGATCGATAGCTGGCCTCCTTGTCGCGCTCTGCGTTGTGCTCTTGAACAAGCTAGTCTGTACAGGTGAGCTCTTTTCCTATATGTTTGCGAACTGCTTTCTTGTCTATGATTCCAAATTATACTGATTTTAATGAGTACGACCCGCGTGACAAAGGGAGATGAACTCATCCTTTTATTTCTGAGACTTTTCTTCGTTGATCAAACGATTGAGAGCCCACGCTGACGCTCATTTTTTGCCAGATGCAACGAAGTAGACCACGCAAGGTACTCACTGTATCTCTGTCTGTATATATCTGTTCATCGGCCCACAATACCATACTTTTTGTTGGCTTCTCGATTTCGCTGGCTTTGGAGCGTGTGAAGTGCATCCAGAAGGCGTACCCCTCATCTATCACCAACTACGCTATCTTCAAGCACAACATTAGCATCGTAAACTCCCACCAGTGACCAGTAACTTCCGCTCTCCAAGTAGAGGTACGTTTGTCGAAAAAGCAGTGACCAAATGCGCTGAACTGGAAGCGGCGGGCCTTTTCGGGCGGTACATTACGATTCTGATGGTTGGTGACCTCTGGTGACTCTCCAGCGCGTCCGCGTAAGAGGCATCTGATGTGAGCGATTGTCCGCCACGCATCTGTTGATTGTTTACCGCCGGTTTTATATTTGCATGACGTGCGCCGTCTGATGGATGGGATTCCTCGATAGCTTGCGAGAGGCGCACATTGGGGCTCCTGGACTGCTCCTGTTGCATCTGGCTGGCTGTCATCAACAGGCATCAGCCAAGCGGTCGCGCAACTACTGCCGGTTGATCCTAACATTCTCCCATCATGTCGGGCCCTGACAGCGCGATACAAATACCTGCGGGGCTACCCTTCGTAATGCAACCCCTTCGTCTTCGTCTGTCCCCCATCTCTTTCCGCGACCCTATCCTATTAGCCGTCTTTTCTATCTCTCACAATGAAGTTCCTTGTCGCTGCCGCTGCCGCCGCCTCACTTGCTTCTGCTGTTGTTGCCAAGCAGAAGGTCGTCTACGCTCCTCATATCACGAGCCCGGCCGCCGGCACCATCTGGAATGCCGGCCAAGACTACAACATCACCTGGGACACGTCGGACGCCCCCGTGCACATCACGAACACCCTCGGCGAGGTATTGTTCCGCGTCGATGATGTAACTTGGGACAGTGCGTTGTTTCTTTTGGTTCTTGCTGAGATACAGCTTCACATCACCCTTCTCCTGCAGACACCACGCTTGCCAAGGGCTTCAATATCACTGACGGCTCCGTTAAGGTTACTGCGCCTACCGTTCCTACTGGCATTCATTACTCCATCGTCCGTGAGTGCCTTTCTAACTCTGTGTCTGTACTCGCTCTAACTAGACACTCCCCAGTCCTTGGCGACTCCGGCAACTGGAGCCCCGACTTCGTCATCGTCAACAAAAACCAGACCCTCCTCGGCAGCTTGGGGCTCTGATGGAGGGCTTGACTCCACGTACGGTTCAATATGTCGATATTTGGACTGTCAGAGGCATTCAGATATACTTACACGACGTGCGGGGCTTTCATCGGGACTTTCGAAACGGAATTACTAGGACGGGGTGATCACTACTACCGTTGTTTACGGACCTTACATTCTTTTGACATTCGTGACGCGATACCTTCCTTTTGGACACAAATTTCGATGCTTGATATCAGAGTATTCATTGTTGACTGGTATTCTTTTTGAACCTTCGAGCGTTCAACTGATATCCAACTCTCAAGTTCTTGGCTCATTGTCGGCTGCTGACTTGATACTATGTCTTAGGGGTGAATCCATTTTTGGATAATCCGAGACGTCCACGTCAAGTTTCCCGCGAATCCGGCTCAAGCGCTTGAGCTTGGGCGTGGCTCCCATCCTCCTTGGCCAGTTTCTGTACCCAACATGACCGCTGACGCTTTCCGAAGTTATCTCTCTCTTACGCTGTGCACGCCCTCGCCAGTTCTATGGCTAATCCCTCGCGAGCCGGATGGTGTTACTCCGAAACCTCCCGATCTTCAGCTGACATTCACAGGAGCAGCACAAGACTCGCCAAGTTGTTTCACGATCATACACCCGGATATGGAGAAGTCGCCGTAACTTACACATTGACCGCATGTCCGTTTCCAGTAAATCTGCCTTCAACTGCGAAGCTAATCTCCTAGCAGAATAGCAAAAAGGCCACGATGACATAGTTCGACTTTGCCCGAGTGAGTACATGCCTTGGTACGTGCATCTGTCCTTGTACATTGGTTCCCGGGAGATGTGATAAATCTGACATGGGACAGTCCGCACAGGGAAAAACGGGACTATGCGTCCGAGCGAACATCGTAGAGCAGACACGAGTGCTTCCGGTATCAGGCACCAACTGGTGTTTCCTGCCCTGCACCCAGGCCGCGCACATGGCCATAATATTGATGAAAAGCGACCGATGTTCCTGGCTTCCTCATGACCACGTTGGAATACGAAGAGTGAGTTCAAGCTCTTTCTTGTCGATATTATGGGGTTCGATCTATTCAGGCCGACTTAGAATGTACGACTTGAACGTCACAGGATGATCATCACATCCACGGTTCAACAGGGTGTGGATTGCAGTATCAAACCGACAGTGCCTCCGTCCAAAATCTGGCACTCTAAGATTCGATCAGGAAACACACGTCTTTGACTTTGATCTCGCCTGTTTCCCAGGTGTACAAATGCATAGCTACGGTCACAAGATCCGTGCTGAAGAAGGCGCGGATCATTCGACGTGATCAGGTGCTGGCTGTGCGTGCGTGAACGGTAGCAGGTGCCCAGTATATATAAGATGTCTTGGACATTGTATTGACGCTCAACCCAATCTCGCTTCCAGATAACCAACGCTCGCCACCAGTGCGATGTCTCTCAGGCGCCTCGCTCTAGCTGCCTTCACCCTCTCTGCAGGCGTGTCCGTTCGCGCAGGAACGGTTCAGAAGGCCGGTCTTACCGTGCCAAGTAACTACACCAGCCAGCTTGACACGCTCAAGAGCATCTTCAATGTAACATACTCGGCATACCAGTACGTCGATTTCCTCATATATTCCATCCTATCTCTCCTGGTCCTCGCTCACCAAACCCCTAAAGGCAGTACGCGTGCCCCCATGATGAGCTTCAACCAGACAGCAAGGTCGGCATTGACGATATTATGGGGTGGGGTGCGACTATCGTTGATGCTTTAGACACTATGGTGAGTTATATGTATGCAAGAAATGTCAGTTTTGCTTTTGCTCACGTTAGAGCTCGAATTTGTATGGTGGGACCAGTCACTTCATGTCACACCGTAATTTTTGGTTTTTCGCACTCAAACTCAAAATTTGAGCTCTCAGGATGCATATTTGAATCAAATCTCGCTTTCTAGCAAAATTCGAGAAAACGGGCGCTTAACGGCCAAATTTGGCCTTGAGCAACGGTATTATGACTCTGGTAACTGGAATTTTTAGTCACCGGGACCCGCGAGCACATTTTCTACACCAATCTCATTACTTCTGCTGTTGAAAATAGCTGTAAAAACAATTCTAACATCACATTTAGATTAGGTTCACGGATTAAGCGCCCATAACACGTGACAAAAACGGCCAAATTCATGTGGGAATGATCTAATTTTCTATTAAAATGCCAGCAGTCAAAATCTGGCCCGACAGTCCTTCTTGCAATGTCAAATGGAGCTCAAAAATGCAATCTAGGCCAGTTCCAGCTATATCACACCGAGTTATTGAGGGCCCAAGTCACTCACCTTGGTACTTGTCACGAAGTGACTAATCCCACCATAGTGGATCATGGGTTTCACGGTAACTCCTCGGATGATCTCTGTCGGGGGTAGAAATAGGCGCTTAACGCTTGTAGGACCTGTTTGAACAAGGTGTCAACCAAGTATCCGAGACCAACTTCAACGTCACCACAGACGATGGAAACTTGGCTAGGTGAGCCCAACGTACGAGTTCGTTGTCTATGTGGTCGCTCATACCCATCAACCTTCGCTCCCACAAGCGTCTTTGACGCAACTATCCGCTACATAGGCGGCCTTCTGAGTGCTTACGAGCTCAGTGATCAGAAGTACCCTGTTCTGCTCGAGAAGGCCAAGAACATTGCCGATAACATGGCGTACGCATGGGTTGATGTATGTCTTATTCCTAGGTCGGTGTCGCCTGTGCTGATAGGGTGTTACTACAGGGAAACGCCATACCTTACAACGGGATATTCCTCTCAAATTACTCGATACAAGACGGTTTCGTGAGTGTTCACCGACCATGCCCAGGAATGATATCTGACGGTCCGACAGACCAACGTTGCACAAGCCGGTACCGTAAGCATTCAGCAGTCCGAAGGAGTCCGTCCGCTGAACGTTGTCTTCTAGCTCCTTCTAGAATGGGGAACTCTTACGAAGTACACCAAGAACGATACCTATCAAAAGCTGGCTGAGGAAGCCACTCTCAAACTTGCATCTTTGGTAATGTTCCTATAACAATCGCAGGACGCTTGCTTATTTAGCCGTCCTCAGCCTGCTCCAATCCCCGGCATCCCAGGACAGCTTCTCTATCCTAACGGCAGCAACATTGACGACCTTGTGGTGAGTCCCTCGAAATCATCTATATCTGCCTGCATTGTGAGTAACTTAGGATACACGTAGACCTGGGGTTCCGGAACAGACAGTTACCTTGAGTACTTGCCGAAGTGGGCTCGCCTTTCGAACACTAACGATACCACCTACGCTGACACCTGGCTTATGGCTGTCGATTCTTCCATTGAGGCTCTGCTCAAGGTATAACACGTCACATCAACGAACCATTCTTGGTCTGATAGCTCTCTCATTTTCAGCGTTCAACTGTGGACAACTGGCTCTACCTCGCAGACTACGCAAACAAAACGATACAGCATGTCAGCTCGCATCTGGCGTGTTTCCACGGCGGCAATTGGATTCTCGGCGGGAAGCTGCTCAACAATGACACCATTGTAAATTACGGCTTGGAGCTCGTCGACGCGTGCTTCAACACGTATCGCAGCACCACGTAAGGACTTACATCCCACTCCCTGATGCATTTAACTAAACGTTCACCTTTTTCCATTAGCACCGGCATTGGCCCCGAGAGCTTTGCTTACATCTCTTCTGATGGCAACTACACCGGCTCCAGTGACCCCATAACGTCCAATCAGACAGACTTCTATAATGAGAATGGGTTTTACATCACGAACGCAGCGTACTACCAGCGCCCTGAAGTGCTCGAGTCCAACTTCTACGCATGGCGTGCGACGGGCGACACCAAGTACCTCGACAACGCCGTCTGGGCAATCGAGGCTTTCCAGAAATACCTCCCCGCATCGAGCCTGGGCGGAGTTGGCTGGGCGTGCATCACAGACGTTATGTCTACCGACTCGCCGCAGTGGAACGATCAGGCTGCCTACTTCTTTGCTGAGGTGATGAAGTACTTGTACCTGACGTTCGATGACCCAAACAATATCTCGCTCGACGAATGTAAGTTTCTTCTTCTGATAATGGCACGATATAGCGGATCTAACCGATTTCGTGTCAACAGATGTGTTCAACACCGAGTGTCACCCATTTAAGGCACCACCTGCCAAGTCGCAGTATGGGTCGGGAAAGGTGATAAACATGACTAACTAGACACGCTTCAACTAGCTAAATACTACATACGATCAACGTTAGATAATAATCATGCACATAGACGAATACCCGCGCATCTATGACCGAGCTTTACCAGCCACTCCCTGAGCCGTGCTAGCAACGTGCAGCACAAAAAGTTCTATCTCCTGTGCTGAATGGTAACAAAATCTTGAACATGACAGCGGTGCCCATTTGAAAGGTAATACTCACCAACTTGCTCAGACGCCTCGTGTGTAACTTGTATGCAGCGTGCATTGGCAGTCAGCAGAAAGGACAGTGAAGTGATGGAGCAGCACAACTGAACGTACGAGATGCTCTGCGCCCTTGATGATGGTATTTGATGCATTTGCAGGGCGACGCCACGCACGCTCAGGGAATGCCTTCTCCTCTGGTACCCTAGCATGGATCATCATATGTCACTCTCAGTCCGTTTTTCTCGAATAAAAATACGCACACGCTCGGTACTCCGCTGGCCTCGTGCAGCTCGGGTCTCAAGAACCTCAGCGCGATGCGCTCCGGTAGGGATGGAAGCTCCTGCCACACTTCGTACAGGATGCGAGTGTTCGCATATAGGAGTGCCTCTTGATATGGAGACGTCTTGAGGCCGACTTTTTGATTCTCCGCTCCTTCCAACCCTGCACCGTCTGTGTCGATGAGAGCGTAGGTAATGTACGTCGACACGATGGAAGCATGCCACCTAGGGAAGCTTTTCATGACAACGCTCCTGGCTTCATCTCTGCACGGGACATAGACTTGATCAATCCGACGCGCGTGATACACCAGCGTATAATTATATTCACCTAGATTTCCATTGGTTGCGTCGAACAAGAGCGCCAGCAACAGTTGAAAACCGAAAGCCGAGGTCGTACGTTCCGGGTTGATTTATAGCAGGGTCTATCAGCAGAAGGCCAGAGAAGAGAGCGGGGAATTCAAGCGCAACTTTAGTCCTGAATTGCATGAGATAGGAATGAGATATTGTTCTAAGACGGATTATTGAATACCTCATACATGGCGCATCCACCGTACGAGTGCCCAATACCTATAAATACGCCTGTTCCGTGATCTAAAGCGAAGCCATGTCTGATCCGAGCATCGCTCACAGTCTGTGAGACCCGTTGTAGATGCGTAGGAACGCAGTCGTCTCTGGTGAAGTCGGGAATGAAGTGTAAGAGGAGCTGGGCAAGATCGCGTGCATGATCAACAAGGCCATACGTGCCGCCAAGTATACCTGCGTTCAAGAGTGCCGAGTCGCCATGTTGGATTGGTTCCCAGGACCAGACTTCGTCTATCTCGATTAAAGGATGAGGCTTATCGAGCAGGTTGTGGAGAGTCGTCTCCCAGATCTATCGAGCATCATCAGAGACATCAGTGCGTCAGCACATTTTCGCTGTAGGTATTTCAACGTACCTCCTTCGGAAATACAGCTGGGGGAGCAAAGACAAGCGTCGCGCTTGGCCTGCCACTTCTTTCTTGGGCGTTCTTACGGGCATACCGATTCACAGTGCACCAGTACGTCCTCCTGTCCCTCTCGCCCCGCAACTCGCCAGCTTCATCCGCCTCTCGTATCTCAACGATTTGCTTTGCCGTCGCATTGATAGCAGCCTTCCGCTTAGTTTTGCTCGCGGATTCACTGGGCAATACAAAGGGGTAGACATAGGGAGTAGAGCGTGGATAGGCAGCAGGGAAGACGTGCGTGGTGACGGTGTAGTTCTCATTGAAGCTGGGTGATCGCGAGAGCACAGCACGTGGAAGAGGCGGATAGATGAGCTGGGAAGGGTGGGCTTCGAGAGGCAGCCATGGACGCAGCTCGAGGGTAGCATACTTTGGGCTCGGCGTGTAGTACGCGAAAGTGGACGATAGGCGGCCCAGACCTGTTGAAGACATGGTATCTGCATCAGAGCATGGAGTGGACGGAGACGCCCATGCGTGGAGTGGTTTGGCGTTATTTTGTTGGATTCAGTCGAGCGTTACTAGAAATGACCAAGGACAGACGCTGGAGCCTGATTTTGGTGAGCTGGGGTCTGCTGGGGTGTCAAAGCTAAAGCTAAAGTTCAAGTGGAGGTCACGTTGGAGTGACAAGATGTGGGGGCGTGGGATAACAAATGTCGGCTATTGATCCGATGACATCCCCAAGTTGCGTCTCGCCTTTGATCTCGCCAACTGCCTATAATGCATACAAAGTGCATATGTCCTCGTGTAAGCAGGTTTTATTCAGGTTTGCACATCTATCAGTCAAGAAGGGCGAGAAAACATATACCGCGGCCGTATAGTTGGGCTACTATATCAAGGTATACATTGCAAACCCTACATCTAGATCTGACGCCTTCTCCGTACGTTCTTTATTCTAAGAAATCAGAAGATAATACGTCAACGAGTGTATGAAATGTATTCAATGACAATGCCACAGGCTATATCCAGGCCAACCTAAGCGGACATTCCCCCGTGGCGGTCACTGACATCGAGATGAGACTTGACAATCCATCTTCCATTCATTCTATCTCCGCTCATTTAGCCAAAACTGACATTTGAATAAAGCAAGCACCACTCACGCTGCTAACAATACATTGACATATACTAGAACAATGTCAGATCTTAATTCATATCATCCGCTGTGAATCAGACGCACCCGATCCCAAGTTGACATATGGAGCCAACCAGATATCTTTCGACGGCAGTAAGCTTACAAAATCGATGACATCTGAGATGTTGTGCGTACAGTTGGTGGAGCCAAAGAGCAAGTACTAGTAAACATGAGAAGTTGTACAGCATGTAGATTTTCAATACTCACAAATATTAGCACCAAAAGCATAACAAAGCTAGCTTGGCAGTCAGTAGATGTCACGACCACAGTGGATATATAACCTTACCTCGTGCAAAAACCGGTTTCTGCAAGATCAAGAATTAGATTAAAGCTTAACAGACTTTGGAAGCTGATGAAAAAAGAACAACTTACCGATGGTCCACAGAATGAGCATGTCTACCACGCTGCGGCTTTTAAGGAATAGTTACAGTATATTGGGCAACTATGCTTTAATGAGTGTCTCACAGTTTAGACAGCTTGGTGTGACGCTGCGAGCGAAGATATATCACAACAAGACCTGACGTCCATACATCACATAGTAGGTGTGCACCAAGAGCTGAAGCTACGAAGACACGAGTAGTCGGCTGCGTAGCGGAGACTTGCACATCTCCGACAATGGATGTTCGTACGAGCGCGACGGAGCCAAGAGTGACGGCAATAAGTAGAAGTAGAAGACCTATCAGCGAAGGGACAAGTGCCCTCGAGAATTTCCACAGACGGAAGAGGAAGAACGACTGCCAATGGCCGTTCTTAAGAATGCATAATCAATAGCAAAGCTTACTGAACTGACCTCGATTATGAGTTGCATTATGAGCATTAGATAGCCCACTATTTCTGTCGACGTGGGAGTGGTCGCAAATACAGAGGCACCATCCTCCACGACGTCCACAGTCCACTCCCATAGTGCGACCAGTTCAACACCAAATTTGAGACTTTCTAAAACCCTAGAACCGTATGACGTATAAGGTTAGTGGTATGTCTTAACACGTGAAGGTTGATAGCGTGATGGAAATATACGAGTGTGGTCGACAAAGGAATAGACGTACATCACTACAGTGACCTATTGATCTCAACATTTAGCGAGGGTGTCTCAACATTCAAAGGATAATCAGTCTTACCAAACCTTTGAAGGACCACTTGTCATCAGAATGCCTCGTGAAATACACGTAGGCCTGCACTATAGAGCATCCTGTCAGCAAGGCATTAAATACGATGCCAATCTCCACAGGTCCCATCAGGGTGCTCGTGCTGGCACTTGGAGGCAGATAAACCATAATAATTTGTGTATGTGTATATATGAGAGAGAAGGGGGGGGGACAACAGAATAGACAGAGCTTCAAGGGAAAAACAGAAGGTACTGTAGCTCGCTGAGGTAGTCTTTGTAGATTATGATCAAGGCTTTTAACCTCTTGACTAGACGCTGGTGAGTTAGGCAGTGAACGGTACTGGGTGACATACCTTGCGGCGATTTTGATGTGCATCATGAGCGTACAAAATGCGGGTAGCTGGCACTACAGATGAGCAGCCCGAGTGAGTGCAATCTACTATCTGAGATGTTCACCACCATTCGCAGTTTTGGACGGCGCACGCTGTGTATCACCATGCGACTTGGTATACACTCAAAATAACATTGCGATCCCACCCGACCCTGAGTTAAGTATTGTTGCAGACAGGTGCCACTGGAGACCTACGAAAACAACACTGCTTTTGATGTAGCATCGAGGTGAGACGACACCGCTATCACACAATGTCTTTTTTTTTTCAAGGATATTCTGCCTCCGTGGCTATCCGCGGATACCATAGCTCTGCAGCTTTCTGACGTGATATGGTTTCCCAGAATCACACCCACTCTTTTAGCTTCAATCGGGTGCTGAATTTGAGAGGTGCCCCTCGAAGGACAGTGATTATGTTTTCTGACATTTTAATGTCAATGTTCAAGTTTCAAGCACCATCGACCATCGTCCGTCACAGCCAAGAAGGATGTAACGTTAAGCGGGTCCAAAAAACCTGATGTGTTGATTGCTCTAGTGATGAGCTGATAAGGGTAACTGCAAGGTTACCGTGTGATGTCGCTGCTGTGTATCCAGTTCGGAGTTCGTTTCCGGAACCGCCGCGGTTGAGGCACTGTGGTCCACTAAAAATCCAAGAATGAATCCAAGGATGGATTCCGCTCCTAAATCAGAACATTCGCTTTCTCAAATAATTCTGAGTGCCGGATAAGAAACCACTGGCTGAGTTGATTATGATTACACCGACGTCTACATCGAAGAAGATTTATCAGTAGTATTTGTAAGTGCTTTTTTGCGTCGCAGAAGCTGTGTCATAGCAAATACGACCTATCTATATTTATGCACAGAACTGACGTCGGATCAGACACATCGGTCTATTTGGTCAGCGCAGAAGCAAATCCAACCCTAACATCCCCATCCAAAAGTACTGCCACTTCTCCTCTCCCAGACGCGAGCCTGTGCATCCTCCATTTTCGGGACGAAAGAAGAAGAATCATCTTCCCCGTTTAACTCGCTATCCTGGTACGTAAACATTATCGTGCCCGTTTCTGTCGTACCACTTCCGTTCAAGAGCGAACCCAAACACAGTGGTGTCCCTTCACTAATATTTTACACACCATGCTTGCTTCGCCGCTACATGACTTACGATGCGGAAGCCAGGAGCACCTTTTCTTCCCTCCGTCTATCACTGAGTCACGAGAGATTGGAGCGAAGGTGCATGGATCATTATGTATAAATGCCATGCTTCGACCTAGTCTAAGCTATACATGCACATCACCGTGGCTATCTTGACCATCCAGATGATGTTGAACAATCCAGCGACCATTCATCCTGTATCTGTTAATTTAGTCAACACCAATGGGGAACAAACTGGGGACGTACGCTGCCAGCAACGCATTGGCATAAACTACGCATTTGTGGAAATATGTCAGCTGAATTACATCATCTCGGCACGAGACGTGCGTACCTGATCCAACATTGACATACGGGGCCATCCAGACATCTTCAAGCCATGGTAAACGCGAAGATTATTATCAAACGAAACGGTCGACATACAGTTTGTGGGCCCAAACAGCAGGTACTAAGAAATTTCAGTCGGTGCACGCGGATTCATGATTCTTCAGTACTCACTGTCACTAGCACCATGGTGGTTACAACGCTGTGTTCGGGACTGATATTAGTGTAATCCATTGAGATAACATACGCGTGGGCTCACCTGGTGCAAATACCAGTCTCTGTGGTTCGATAATCAAACTCAGGGGGAAAACGTAGAGGGAAGCTGTTCACACAAGAACATACCGAGAGTCCACAGTATGAGTTTGTCAAATATGCTGCGGCTTTTGAGGTGCTAGTCAGCCGGAGAACTCAAGGATGAGCACGATCAACTCACAATTCAGACCACTTCGTATCGCGCTGAGAACGAAGATAAATAATGACAAATCCAGAAATCCATATGTCGAGTGAAACGTGGGCACTGAAAGCCACGCCTGCAATGGTACGAGTCACTGGCTGCGAGGAGGCGTCCAGCTCGTGTACGCTGGTGAGGATGTGTACAATAACAATGAAGCCTAAAACCGCGGCGATCAATAGAAGCAGGAGGCCTATAAGCGCTGGGATCAGTGCGTTTGAGATCCTCCACAGACGGAACAGGAAGAAAGACTGTCGATGGCGACTGTAAGAACGGGATAAAAACCATGATGGCATTAGTAGAACATGCCTCCACAATGACCGCCATGACAGGCATTACCAAGCCCACCATTTTTGCAGATGCGGACATGGTTCCAAGGACAGACGCGCCTTCTTCTGCAACATTGACGGTCCATTCCCATAGTGCCGTCAACTCAACTCCGAACTTGAGCAATTCCAATATCCTACATGTATTGTAAAAAAAAAAAAAGATGGTCAATGCTACTGGTAAGTTCTTGGCATGCAATGGTTACGAAACGCAAACCTCGATGGGGTAGATAAATCGACAAAAGGGAAGAGGGGATGGGGGCATAGACTCACATCACTACAGTAACCTATCCTCTTTGATTAACGACGGTCGCTCTTGCGCACGAGGACTATGAATCAGCTGGGGCACTTACCAGGGCTTTGAAGAAACACTTGTCGTCAGAAGACCTCGTGAAGTATGTGTATGCTTGCACCACTGAGCACCCTGTCAGTAAGGCGTTGAAGACGACACCAATCTCCACTGGGCCCATCAAAGTGCTTATACTCGGAGGGAGCGATTGCATCGCAGTGAAAAGCCGATGGAGACTTGAAGGGAGTGACCAAGATGGTCCGTTTGAATCAGGGGAAGGCGACTTTTAACTTCGTAATGTGGCGCTAATAGACGGGCAGTCGGCGACAACCCTCATCACCAATCCGATTCCCGTACCCATGAATCAAAAAGAAGGATCATTCTCCTGGACGGGTATGAGTACGGCCACTTGGTGGCGCCTTCTCACCTCGCCGTAACCAGACAGTCAAAGCCCGACTATGGTCATAACGTGCGGTGCCTGTAGCAGTTCGGAACGTTCATCAGTGGCACTCGGATGACTTCAACATTTTAAGGCTCCTGACTCGGCAATTGGAGCGTCAAGTTGGCCACTAGTATCAGAGCTTGTTATCACTCACTGCAGAAGTCTGCTTCTAAGCTGATCCTACATCTTACGAGCTAGCGGAGTTAACCAATGTTTAAACCCACAACCTAACTAAATAAGACCTAAACCCATCCCGCCATCTTCGCCACCGACACCGATCCGTCCCCGGGCGCTATAACAACCTTGGATTGAAGTAGTATCAACTCCCTACATGGATTCTGCACACGTTATGACAGTTCGCCGCTAAAGTTGGCTCACGCAGGTTGGCCACAGCCCCAAACCTTATAGTCAGCGAGTGAGCCCTCCGCGTCCTTGGGTGATATGTACCGCTCAATTTATATTTAGCTCCAGGCTTCAAATCTACAGATTCTATCGCCGTTCTCCAATGTAAAAGGCAGCCTGATATCCCTAGCTAATGCCTCCATTCAAATCGCCCCTCCGCCTCCCCAAGACGAGCACATGCATCCCGTACCTGTGCATCCTCCACATTTGCTACCGAGAAGCGGATCCATCTATCCCACGAACCCGCCTTATCGGCCTCGTCTTGGCCTCTGCCCTTGTCCCCACTCGTCCCTTCCAAATCCGCTTCGGGGACGAACCACGCCGCAGGCATGCTCACCACCCCGCACTCCCGAGCGAGCCTCTCGCACACTGTGCTCGCGTCGACGCCCTCGAACGGATGGCGCACAAACGCAAAGTACCCGCCCTGAGCTCCGATCGCCCACGATGCCGGCAACGAACGTGCAAAGGTCGCATGACGCGCTTCGAGAGACGCGCGTTGGTCTGCGAGCGAGGTCCGCAAAGCGGCGAGCACGGTCTCCGAGCCTGAGGACGAGACTGGCGAGGCAAGCGCAGCCTGAATGGCTCGCGGCGCACCAATCTGGATCGTATCGAGTGCTTTGGCGGCTTCGTGCAAGAACGGAGGAGGGCCGACCAGGGCGCCGAGGCGGGCACCGGGGATGGCGTAAGCTTTGGAGAAAGAGAAGATGTGGAGAAGATACGAGCGCCAGTTCCAGTCCGATGGTAGCGAGTCGGCGTGGACGCTGTTATGGGGGCTAGATGCAGATGCGGAGGCAAAGAGCGTGTGTGGAGGACTAGGGGCGAAGTCGCGATATGTTTCGTCCAGGATGAGTGCAACATTCCGTCGCCGCGCGAGAGCTGCGAAGGAGGCGATAAGAGATGGTGGGTACACTGCGCCTGTCTGGAGGCAAAGACAGTGTCAGTTAGCGGATTAGGGAGGGACGATGATGAACGCACGGGATTGTTTGGTGAGACGAGGACAATCGCACGCGTGCGTGGTGAGATGAGGTGTTCACACTCCTTGGGAGATGGGAGGAACCCGGTGCTGGGCAATGTTTGAAGCGGTACAGCAGCGATGCCGAGCATTGTGAGGGTCATGCTGTCAACAATGTCACTATCAGGGACACGCATTGCTGGGTAAACGCTCACTAGTGGTTGAAGTACCTACGGTTTTGCATGGTTTATGAGTAGGCAAAAATGTGGAATGGAAGAGATACACACCAAGGAACCGGTAGAATAACCTCGTCACCCTTCTGAGCCAACGTCATGACCGCCGCAAAAAACGCAAGGTTGGCGCCAGCGGTGACGGCGATATCCTCTGGACCGACGTTCGTTTCCGACCCATATACACTCTTCATCTCGTCCGCAAGTGCGCCTCTGAGAGCTGGGAGACCTGTCACGGGCGCGTACGCATGGGAGGATGGTTCATGGGTGGTACGGGCTATCGCGTCGCGGAGGATCGGGTGAGGTGGATGGCCAGGTGCGCCTTGCGACATGTCAAGGAGAGGGCGAGCGGGTGTGGGGGCATATCTGGCGGCCCATAGTTTCGCGGTTGGAACGCTATGAACGGACAGAGCCTAGGTGAGTATGTTATGGTTGAATACACTAGTTCGAGGAGAGGACGTACGGAGGAGTAATGGTTCGCCGAATCGCGCCAGACAGCTTGTAGCCTATAGACGACGCCATCATCACGTTGTAGGATGCAAAAACAAGAGAAAAGTGCTGTTAGGTGCTTTGATTAAATTCACATGTTGGTGAGAACTGAAAGATGCTTCAAGGTCGACTTGCAACGCGTTCAACAGACGCTCGTCGTCGGACATCCAACATCGGGGATATGAGCCGATGATCCGAGCGGTGTCTCACACTGTGATGTACATGCTGTAAACATCTGCAAAATATGGAACTCTTAACCACTCTACATTGCTTGATCCCTTCATCGTCTGGTTTCTGGAACTCGTCTTAAAATACGAGGATTTTAGGCTTTTCCCTCCCTAGATTCCCTAGATAACCGATACACTACTGGTATATTTACTGTTTGTTCTCCGTCTGTATTTGCCTCGCAATTTCTTGCCAAGTTTCTTGCTTGCCGGATCTTTCAGAGGCATACATTTAATATGTAACTTCTGCCCTTTTTCCTACCCATATGTTGTAACAACCGCATCTCTCCAGTCTTTTATCCTTAATCATGCATTTAGAAAGTCGACAAGATCCCGTACTCACGCACACCCGTAGCACTTGGATATCACATTTCCGTAGCCCACCCCATTATCTCGCGCCCGCCCTTAGTTCTCTCCACCCATCTCACCCAGCGCCCTCCTCACGACACCCTCGGGCACCCTCTGCACAAACTTGACCTTGAACGACGGCGGCCTCATGACCATGGTATCCGTCCACGCTTCTATATCGTACACCGTGTCCTTGCTCGGGCGCACAACGTCGAACGCCCAAAAGATGAGCGCGAGGTTGAGGAACAGCGAGCGGTTCGCGACGTGCTGCCCGGGGCAGACACGCCGCCCGAAGCCGTATGTGAAGAAGCGGAGGTCCGTGCGGAGCTTTGGGGAAGAGGGCGGAGAAGCAGCGGGGGTTTCGAGCCACCTGGAGGGGAGGAAGGCGTCGGGGTTGGGGTACGCGGCGGGGTCGCGCGAGATGGCCCTATTGTAGATTGAGGGGTAAGTGAAGGAGTTTGAGATACAGGAAGAGGGACAGTGCGGACCAGTGAGAGCCGAGGACCATCGTGCCCTCCGGAATGACGTAGCCGTTCTGTTAGTTGTTGCGTGTTAGCCATAATCAATGTTTCAACGAAGACAAGGCCGACATGAATACATACATAATGGACATCTTTGTTCGCCCTGTGTGCAATACCGATAGGTACAATGGGGCGCCAGCGGAGCACTTCTTCGATGTACGCCTGCAGGAGCGGGAGGCTGCCCATGTCGTCGAAGCTAGGTGCTATACAGGTGTAGTAGGTTAAAGCGCTTGCACATACAAGCAATCCAGATAACACGCACCTCGTTCCCGCCCAATGACCTTATCGAGCTCTTCATGCACCTTCTTGAGCTCTTCGGGGAACTCGGCCGCTGCAAGGATGGCGAAATTAAGGCCAGCAGTGGTCTGTTAAAGACTGTCAGAAACACAACTTACAAGCTATGGTCAGAAAGTCGGGTTATTAGCAAATGGCGCACCGTGTCGCTGCCCGCGCCAAAGAGGACGGACGTGACCTCAGCGAGCTCGTAGTCGGGCAACCTGTGTTCGTCCTGCGTCTCGATCATGTTACGGAGAAAGGACGGTCCGGCGGTGCCCTCAGCCTATAAGCAGTGCGCCAGTCAATACTTCGGGCGTTCATAACCGATCGAATGTTCTGCACCCACCATCTCCTGCTGCACCCTTCCCATCATATCGTCTGCCAAGTCCTGCTCGTTCCGCGCCCACGCGGCTATCTCCCACCCGAACGCGCCGAGCACCCTGCCCAGCCACCAAAGCCCCGGTGTGTTCTCAAGGGCGTCGCAGATATGCTTCATCCCCCCGAGGCGGTGGAATGGCTTCAAGACGGGCAGCGCCTCAATTATGAAGCGCCCCGGGATCAGGGTGTTACCACCGTTTCGCCCGACTGACAAGATTCGCTGCACTTCTGGTGAGCTGGCGGAGACTGGCGTGCACTTGCCGTACATAATTTGGATGGTTACGGAGGAAGCGTAGCTGTGGGACGATAAGAATGCAGCGTGTGGGCTCTAATAAGAAGATGGAAGAAAGAGGCGCACGCACGACTGGAGGTGATCAGCAAACTTGTCTGGGTTATCCATGATGTTTAGGATAACACGGCAAGCATGGTCAATCTGGATTGGCTGGTAGCTCTTCGCCGCTTTAGGCTGCAACGCGGTATGCACCGCCCTTTCGTACTCAGAAATCAGTACTACACTCATCACAAAAGCAATAAAAAGTGTCACGCACTTGCGCACAGTACGGAAATGGTCTCCAACGCCCTCAAATATTAGACGTCCCGACCGCGCCATGAGCTCACCCGCCAAGACCAAACGCGGGCGATCGGCGGTCGAGCCCCCAGCTTTCTCCATGATCTCGAGGGCCGCATCGTAGCTCGCCACAACGACGAAGTTGTTGCTCCCCGCGCTCAAAGTATACGCACCACCGTATTGGTCTGCCAACGCGGCGAGGTTGCGAGCAACACTAGATGCAAGCAGTCGGGTGGGGATGAGGATTATTATATTTGAGAATGGGAAACATGAAAGGCACGTACTCCTTCTTCGGGAAAGGATTCTGCCAAAACCACTTTGTCGGTGGGCCGGGAGGCAGAGGGCTCCTCTTTTGGCTGGACGAAGAGGCGTTCTTGATGGCGTACAGGGCGACGAAAGTGGTAAAGGCGGCGACTGTCCCAGTAACCGGAGTCAGAGCAGTCTGATTCGTGATGGAGGAGGGAAGATGTTCGGCCAGCTGGAGGATGTAACCCATGGGCGATTGTATGTCGATGTTCATATTCTGATGTTGTGCGTCCTTGGTGCTGGTGACGACGTGCATATATAGGAGTCCAGGGTTTATTGCGCCGTAGGGTAAACCTGCTTACTCTAAGTGTGTATCAATCGCCCCTTTTGATAGTAAGTACGCATACGGTTGCCGGCACTCGATGAGAATTGGAAGATCGTCGCGGGTTCTGCGGGCCCAGGGGCCCGCTGCATCTAATGCTCTTCTTGTCATCCATCTCCAGTGGGCGTAGACTCCAGAGAACCGTCGCCAAGAAGGCGCAGCAGCGTAGATAGAGAGTTAGCCCGTTTATTCCGGGGATTGCCCTTCATACGTTTATTGTTGGCGGAATCAATGGGAGATTGGTTCAAAGACCGGTCTGCACGGTAAATGCATGCGAAACTTGAAGCCGAGTAAACGGATGTTTGTCCTTGTTGAATCCTAAAGGTGTCGCACAACGGAGCCAAAAACCACACTCCCGCTCCAGACTCCGACATAAGCCACTTAGCCCAGTCTAGGCCCACGGCCGATGCATCCCTCAGCACCTCGACTTCGTGTAAATTCCCCCAACAATACGATAAATTAGCTGAAACCTCAACTTTTGAGCGACTATAATAGTAGGACAAGTTTGCCAACATGACCACCCTGTCAGGCGTAGTTTTGGCCGTCATCGTTTGGTCCTGAGAAAATCATTGGCTATATGTTACTACTGATGTTTTCCTCCAGTTCTTCTTGGTGCTTGATCAATTGCCTGATATATATTAGGGAAAGCATACCAGACATCGAATCCTCTTGTGTGTATGTAGCTGCTCCGCCTTTGCGAGGGTGCGCCAGTTGACACAATTCAGTGACTCTTCATATATCTGACTCAACTCTAGTTGCGTCTCACCTCCTCATATCTCTGGAACGCGGGGGTGTATCACCAAGTTGTCCAAAATCTGCTAATAAAGTACGTTATAAGAACAAATCACTGCCATGTCACCTTCGTCCCTTCATTCAGATCCACCGTCACGTTCCTAACCACTAACTCCTGCGTCGCATCTAAATAAGTGAAATTGCCCACCGCCTGCCCGCCAACGCTCACGCTGCTCGGCTTCTGCACGCCCAGGATCGTCACGCTCTCAAGCTTCTGCGCGATTCCGTAGCTCCCCTGACTCGAAATTGTCAACGCCCCACCCTGTGTAGCAAAGCTCAAAGTACGGCTGTCGCCCGGCGGATCGCTCTCCCCGTCGTCGACGTACGCTGTCCCGAACGCGTTACCGTCCTTGTCGAGCGAGACAAGCAGCTCGTACGGTCCACTCCGTGTCTCATTGATCGTGTATCCCGGCTCGGCGTGCAAGAGGAGCGCAGAGCCGTCCCGGATGTGCACATTGATGGTGCTCAGTGGCGCTTGCAGCGTCGTGTTTCCGCCCGAGGTGCTCGCGTTCACGACGGCATGCGTCCACCAGTCGCGCCAGGCAACGGTGCCGCGACCAGGGAAGATGCCTAGATATTCATGAGACTGTATAACGAGGTAACCGGGACACGGCGTACCGTCAACTGTCGTGGCGCCCTCATCCAGTACGGGCGTGACCAGGATGTCGCTTCCAATGAGAAACTGGCGGTCGACGCCGAATAGCTCAGGCTCGTTTGGGAACTCGTACCACAGCGCGCGCATGGGAGGCGAGCCTTGAGTCGACGCATTCGCGAAGAGAGTTTGCTACAGTGAGAACGCCCGCATCAATACCCGAGTTCAAAACGTAGAAGAGAAAACGCACCCAGTACGGCAGCAGCGCGTACCGCGCAGCAATTGCAATGCGAGTCGCGTTCGCAACACTAGCCCAACGGTACGGTTCCTGGGGGCTCGATCCGATCGTGTTGTGGTTCCTGTAGAAGGGCACGAAAGCAGAAAGCATTTGCCATCGGTTGCACAGTTCCTCAGTTGTGTTGCCGTCTGAACCAGCTGTGAGCCTCCCGCGCTAAAAGTCAGCAAGGATGAAATGGACCGCGACTCACTGAAACCACAGGTATCCGCTCCGACCATCGGAATTTGATAGATCTGGAACTGCAAGATGCCTTGGATACTGTAATACATCGACTGCCACGTGCTGTAGTTGTCGCCGAGCTGTTGTGGTACGGTTAGCATTCAGATGCCCTCGACTTCGATGTCTGAGTATGATTTACCCAGTGACCAGTCCACTTCCCGGCTGAGAGGAACGTCGATCGTGCGATAGTAAACGCCCGCTTGCCAGCTCGAAGGGCTTGGAGGGCCTTGTGCGTGGTTATCTCCTCCATCATCCCAAACATGTTGTGCGTGTCATAGTGGCTGTACCCGCCAGAGTGCACCGCGTCCGTCGAGACCGTGCTTGCTCCTAACGCGCCGTTGCCTATAGTATGCATTCCAATTAGAGCTGGATACAAGATTTGGTTAACCGAAAAGGAGGAGAAGTACGCACCGTTATGTATTCCATAAGGCGGACTCGTTACGTCCAGTCCAGTCTCGTTCCCGACCCCACGCTTCGCACCTGTCAGGCTAGACTGGGAAAAGCTGCCCGAGCCGCACGAGCCCGTGCAGAACGAGCTCGGCTCGTTCATGTCCAGCCAAATCCCGTCGAACTCGATCCCGGAGTCGCTCCAGTTCTGCAGAGCCTGGGTCCACCAGTCTTGGGTGTTGGGCGCGAACCAATCGGGCCATGCCTAATAGTGTTGCGTCAGCAGCGTCCTGTGCACATTGATCAAGGGGGAAATGGGAAGCGCCAACGCACTGTGAAGCCAGGCCACGCGGAACCAACGAAGACGGTTCCATTCGGATTCATGATCCAGACGTCCCTGCAAAAACGAATCGATGAGTACGAAGAACCTACAATGTAGGAACCGTTCACCTACTTCTCGAATCCATCAATGAAAGGTGCATACTAGCGATGATGATATCAGTCCCTGAGAACGAATATCTTGGTCAGCGAAATCTCAGGCTTACAAGGTCTGATGAGTTCTGCGGTGTCGCGAGAGCGGCGTCTACGATCGGGATATCTGTATATAATGGGCGAACCCATCAGACCGGGCCGAATGGCAACTATTACCAAACTCAACGCACAGTGCTGTCCGTTGGCGTGCTACATATCACTCTCAGCATAGAACTCGGAGCGCCGCAGAGTATATAAGGACGCACCAATTCGTCAATGAATGCCTTCATCTGGTCGGCGGGGTAGTTGACCGGGTCAGTCGTAAAGTCCCTCACACTGTTGTACAGATCGATGTCGTTCCACTGGGCTAAATGCACGTTTAGTTTGGTCACCTCTCAGATATGACTGGTGAGAAGGACGTACTTTCAAGGGGAACACTAGCATTCCGCATGCTCGCCACGTTATCCTTCAGCGCCTGGATACTGTCATAACCCCACTTGCACAGATGATACCCGAAGCCCCATGCGGGGACCCATGCCGGGTAACCGATGGTCTCGCCGTACTGCTCAATGACTGATACGGGCGATGGACCAGAGAAGAAGTAGAAGTCGAGCGTGCCGCCGATGAGTCGGTACTCGATGAGGGAGACATTTGAGTTTTCAGGTGTCGTTAAGAGCACGTCTGCGCCGTTTGAACTGGCTAACAGTCAGCATGTCTGCCGCATATAGACGAAGGGAGAAAAATAACGCACGAGAAAAGGAGGACGCCGTGCGTCGCGGACGTGTTGCTGCCCTCATCGTACCTATGTTCCATGTAGATCGGGTGCGAGCCGTACATGTTCTGGTCAACCGGGTCCGCGACGTCGCGGTTCCACAGTGTCTGGATAGAGCCAGGTCCGCCGCTCCCTCCGACATCGCGCCGAAAGCCGCTACTAGCGATGACCTCGCCGAGGCCGTAGATGTTGGCGCCCTGAGGCAGCGCAGACGCGACCTGCGCGAGTGACACGCTCTCAATGACTGTGTAAACCAAACGAGGACGGGACGTACCTGCAGATACTGGTCTTCAAACACGAGCTCAAAGGTATCCAGCGCGGTCGAGTTGTCCGTTCCGTTCACAGGAGCGATGGGCGTCTTGGGAAGAGACGCCACGCGCGTGTCAAACAGCGGCATCGAGCCCGGGGAGTCGGATCGCCGCGTAATCCAGAACGCGAACGGCGATGTGTCGTAGTTGAACACGAGGTCCGAGCTGTTCGTGTACGACGTCGTGGGTGGATCCGGGACGGGGACGACGGAGGAGGGGATGGTGTATTGCTGCTGCGCCGCGTCAAAGATTTTGACGTGTAGTCTGGGGAGGGCTTAGCACGGGGGAACCGATAAGATGAGAGACTACGCACCTCTGCTGGGTCTCGTAGGTGACTTGAATAGTCAGGTTCTGGATGTCGTTCCCAAAGGCGTTGCATGCTTCCCCAGCGAGGTCGAGCTGCGCGGTGAGCCCGGTGTCGGTCTGCTTGAGCTCCTGAAGCGTATACCCTGTGTTTCTAGTGAGCTGACTTACACGTATGAGCGCATAATATTGCTCACCGGGACAGCTCGTCACATTGTAAGAGTAACTAGCATTAGCAGCAAGTGCCGCGCTCACAGATGCGAGCGTCACAAAACCGAGCGGAAGAGACTTCAGCTTCATGGGAGTTGTAGCGAAGCCGATGCAGCGTTCCTAGGTGCACTGCTGTCGCTCTTCAAGTTTTATACCACAGCAACTTCCTTCAACAATTGCACGATAGCCTTTCTTGCTGTTTGGCGCGATGAACAAGATGCAATAAGACGGAAATAGAGCGACTTGGTCGATGATGGGAAACGCACTGGACTCTCGAGGCTGAGGTGGTTCAACTTGATCAGCCCATGACTAGTGAGTATACAAGGTGTGAGACGGCTGCACGCGTTCAACAGACCAGCTGATTCTACTCTTCAATGGGGCCTCTTGACAGGTGCATGTGGGATGCCTCATAACCCACCTGGGATTCTGCGGAAACAACATCAGATGACATTGTCATGCTCCGATGGATGGGTCGTGGTCACCTTTCATTGGTTCTTGTCAGCTCCGTGAGGCCCGACAAGCGCGTGCCTCGGGAATCCAGCGAGTTAAGAAGTGGCCGAGCTTGCGCATGCCGACGCAGGTGAGAGATTCGCAACCTGTAGGACAAGAAGCTACGAGCGCGACAATGAGGAGTTTCACGTCGTCCTATGTCGTCACCAAATAAACAATTACACAGCCACACCGGCATAACCAAAACACTCGCGGATACTTTCCTTGCTCGTAGAATATGTCATTTGTATGATGAAGCATTACAAAAGATCCGCCATGCCCGCGAATCAGTAGATGGTATTAGGTACCATTATGTGATGCCGGTATAATGTACACTGCAATCCACACACTGCTTAGAAGAAAAACGCCTGACCGACAATCCCAAGTAGAAACACCAAGACCATCCCAGCCATTCCCCGCCAGTCTTTGTCGTCTACCACATCGGCTTCCGCGGAGACTACTAAAGGTGAAACTAGAATGGAGAGGGGCGGACATTCCGGAGCAACAAGCACGTCGCCATACGTCGCTGCGACCCAGAGCAAAACGCCGTTCGTCCATCCAAACCCGGCTTGGACGGTGTATTCGCCGCCGTACCCGGATAGGTCGACGTCGAGGATGGAGAACTTCTCGAACATCTGCTCGACACTTCATTAGCAATGTCATCAGGGATGAGGCTCAAAACGTACGTTTCCCGTGTTATTGATGCTGTTGGTAAGTACCAACTGCTCATCTGGGAGACGATCCAACAGACCAGGTAACGTTCCTCCAGTCGCGTGCCTACAACGGAAATAGCTTTAGTCAAACCGTATCAAGAGAATATAGCCTTAGGACGCACCATGAGCAGAAAACGCTGGTATAATACCGATTCGCTAGCTCCCTCTGCAACTTGTCGGCCCACCCCTCTCCCTCTCTTGCCCTCCCGCCATTGACGACGGTCCCGTCCATCGCACTAATGTCCGCACCTGGCCCCGTGGCGCTCGCATTGCGCGAAGTGCCGAGGATAGGCTGAGACGGAAGATCGGCTTCGGACATGTTGAGTTGGCCCGCGGGGACAAGGGCATATGACGATGAACCAGGAGGCGGTGAGGGTGCAGGCGAAGACGTGATGTTGGATGGAAGGGCGCGAAGAGCTTGAAGGATAATGTACTGGTGTGGCGGCCAGGCATCAGGTGCGTCCCTGTGACGGGTTAATCAACATTAAAAATGCGTGTCGGTATCTAAAAAAATAGAGCGCACCATTGCTGCCCAGTCCAGTCCAGGAAGGTAGCCGGCATGGTCCCGTTGTACCGTTCCATGACCATGTTGATTGCCGCGAAGTGCCCGAACGCCTTGTCTTCGCTTTCCAGCACTTCACTCGGGATGATCCCACACCAGATCGGATAGAACGTCGCCATCGAGAAGACCGAGTTACGTGAATTGGACGTGAGATTGAAGTCATAGAACGCAAGCTTGTCAGCGTCCCAGTGGAGATCGAGGATGGCTTCTCGAAGCTCGGCAGCGGCGCTCTGGTGTGAAGATATCGCGGACATATTGGCGGGGTCGTACAAGTCAGCCAATAGGAGATGTGCTTTGTCTGAAGCGAAGAGTTGGACATCAGAGGCTCTACGCAGATGGTAGAGGGGAGACGTACATAGTATACTGTTAAGGTCCACAGGAATGGTGTTCCGTACGTTCAGCGAGCGCAAACCTGCGCTGCCGTACGCGGGTATCGCCTCGAACCGCCCGCTGTAGTCCCACCCAGTCTCCGCACCACTTGCGAGTTCACTGTATACCTCAGCTGCTTGTTCTGTGGTAAGCGGTATTGGAAGTGCCGGGTCGTGAACGGTTTGATAGTCTATAAAATGGTAGTATATGTTGTGTCACTTATAATAATTGTTAGATAGCATGCATGGATGCGCACCAGTGAGGTACGATTCCGGTCGGGGAGCGGTATTATGGACTGCAAATCGTGCCACGCTATAGGTCTTGTTGGTGAAGGGACTTGTTACCTGAACGCTTCGGTGCGTCTGCCACCATGCGAGCTCGACCTCAGCCAGCGGCAATGCGCGCTCAAGGATGGAATTATCGTTTGTAGTAGTCACGTAGTCGTATAACATCTATGCATTCAAGAAGTGTGAGATTTATCGATTCATTCGTTGCGAGCCACAAACGTACGTGGATGAAGAGAGGTGGCTGTGACCGGTTAAGATCTGAATACGGTGAGCAGTGATACAGTCACTTTGATGGAAATTGTCACGTACAGTACGTCCTTCCGCCATTGGGTATGAATCCGAAGCACTCTAGCTCGCTCATAAAGTTCTGCAACGTGTCGTTAACGGTATCGTAGAGCCCGGATTGGAGCAGGCCTTGTATAATCCAGTAGCTATCCCAGTAATCTACGCACATTCGTCAACATTCGGACTATCGACGAACAAAGATGTTATGACGAAGGATGATAACGTACATTGTTCTCTGAACCGACCGCCTGGGATGACGAATGGGTGCTTGAGGGGTATAAACGTGCTCTCTACCGGGCAAAGGCCGCCTTGGACCGCAGTAACGTTTTCCTCTCGCGCAAGCTGCGTCCAGAAGCCGTTAACCTCGAGCGAAAACGCGCGAACCAGCGGGTCCGAGACGTTATCCACAAACGGAGGGTGTGGGTTGAGTCCGTGGAGCGTAAGGCCCTCCAGCTCCTGACCCTCGCCTCTGAAGTTCGCATTGACAAAGTCAACAAGGTCGGCTTCGGTGAGATGTGGGTAGCGTAGTTTGAGCGCATAGAAGTCAGCGAGGACGTCTAGGTAGGACTTGAGGGTTGGCCTGTCGACGAAGGTCTTCGGGTCGGAGAAGAGATGAGCGACATTGATTGTTTGTAGCAGCTGGATTAGGCAAGCGAACATTGTTAGCTTAGAGCGCGTTGCTTGAGAGATGAAGAGGACTCACTTCGCCCGGACAGAATATCTCGCCGATACACCAGTCCTGTGGCGGAGGAAGAGCTGCCTGTGAAGGCACTGGGGCGTCAAGAGGGGCTGACCGAGGACAGACGCTCTCAGTAGCGTATACCAACACTGGGACACCGGTATGTATGGTGGTGGTGAACGTAGTCGTCGTGACCGAGTCCGCATCGGAAGCAGGCCCGGAGCTGGTTGGAGAGGTGAATGCGAGATGAACAAGATGTGCGGCAGTCAGCAGCGTGAGTGTCCGCATAGATCAGTCTATGCGCTCCACGAGCTGGCGCAAAAGCAGAGTGTTCAAGATGTTGAGGGTATGTAAAGACGCGTACAATGGAAGTAGGGTTGTGGTTGATCATCCTCGTCACCATGATATGTTATTTATACTATCCAGGGGCCAGTATTCCCCCCTCTGTCCGCGGGAGAAATAGGAGAGATGTGAGTGGTTCCACTTTGCAGAACAGCCATGCTCTTGCGATGCATATCGGCCTCATGAAAGTCGAGATTGGATGAACGTGGTAGAAACGAGGGACCCGGACGGCCGGGGAAAGGTGGCTAAGCGTTGAAGCGGGGTCGGCTGACACCGAGGTTTCCGTCTGCACTGTCTTCTCGACGGCGAACTGAGTCTGACTTCACGAGCAGCTCTTCCCAACAATTTCATCTACAGTGGATGTTTGAGTCCGTGGCGCAACATATGCTAGAACGCTGTAGTTCTATGACTCACACAAGTTGCATAACGAAAGCATCGCTATCCCGCTTTAGCTCGGCCGCCCTCTAGCACCCTGACCGGATTCACTGCTGAGGCAATGCAAGTTCGGAACATGATAGTGATACTAGCAAAGGAGTGTTATTTCGTACCTGGGTTGCACAGCCAAGTTAACGAGCGTAGTGCCCGCTAGTAATCACCGTAGAACTCGATTGAGGATAGCGGCGATGTCGGTGAAATGGAGCTGAGTTTGTCGGACACAGCCTGTAGAGCATTGTCATAGACGATGTAGGGTAATGCAGACGTTTGGTAGGAGACGATTGTAGACAGGGAACAAGGATGGCGACGCGTGTCGCGCGCTGAGTGAGACCTCGAGCTCGCAGTGTTGGCGGGAAATATCATTCGCGGGTGTCGCCCCTTTCTTCCTCACCATCAAGACCGGTCTGAGGGTCTTTCACTTTGCACTCGCGTTCCCACCGTCAACAACCGTCAATCATGTCCATGGAGGTAGACTACGAAGGAGAATTGATAGATACGCATGTTCGGCAATCGCAACACCAACCGGCGCGCCTCCCAGTAGACGATGCCCACCCATTCGAGCTGGACGCGTATATCTCCAACTACTCCGGTATGTCCTCTCACACCTGTGGTCTCGTCACGGTGCATTGACACAACCGCTCAGGCAGGACTGTTATCGACAGGCTCGTGCATATCATCTCAAGCTGTCCAACCCTCGCGCCTCAGGCGCTGCAGCTCGCCTTCGTCCACATCCCTCAACTACGCGATCCAGAGCTATATCATGCAGTGATCAGAGCATACGATGGGATTGCTACGGCGCCGGGAGTTCAGCTTCCCCCAGCACAGGAGTTCGTCAGCGTCAATCAGCCATGGATCGAGGAGCAGACGCGCGCGAACCAGGTCGAGAAGACGAAGTTGGAGGTGGAGCTCAAAACGTACTCGAACAACATGATAAAGGAGAGCATTCGGGTGAGTCCTGCGCTACGCTGCGATCCCTTCTTGCTGATATCTTAATGGTGCATCTGCGTTGGATAGATGGGATATAGAGACTTGGGCGACTTCCTCCGTTCAGTCGGCGACTACTCGGCCTCGCTTAGACATTACTCCAAGTCTCGTGAATACTGCACGACGAGCCAGCACGTCCTCGACATGTGTCTCTCTGTGCTCAAGGTGCGCGTCTTTTCGATGCGCTGCTTTCAAATCCTGACCGCGCGTTATAGCTCCTGATCGAGCAGCGCAACTACGCGCATATCCAGTCCTACATCATCAAGGCCGAAGCCGCGCTCGAATCGGCATCTGCGGCCAACACTGGCTCAGCTCCGGGCCAGCCTTCCCGCAAGAACGAGCGTTCGCCCACGCACTCCAAGTTGGACCTCGCCTCTGCGCTTCACAATCTCGGGCAAGGGAACTACGAGCGCGCCGCTACGATGTTCTTGAGGGTCGGGTCTGCAGATCAGCTGGGTGGTTGGGTAGGCAAGGTGCGTAGTACGACAAATGCTCACTACGCTGTTGACCTGATGTCTCCGATGATCGGTTTAGTTGATTTCTGCAGGCGACATCGCCGTGTATGGCACACTCTGCGCACTCGCAACGCTCTCGCGCGGCGCGATCAAGGTACAATTGCTTGAGAACTCTGTGTTCTCGGTGTACATCGAGCAGGAGCCGTACGTTCGTGACCTCGTACATGCGTACATGACGAACGATTTCAAGTCTGTCTTGGAGATCCTGTCACGCTACTCGGTAGGTTCTAGTCCAACTACCAGTGTTCAATCATATCTCTGAAAAGTAGGACTTTCTTCAGACACGTCACGCGCTCGATATCCACCTTGCACCACACATCGCCGCGCTCACGCGCCGCATACGGGAGGTTCTCGTCATCGTCTTCCTGCAGCCATTTGCGACGCTTGCCCTTTCACGTATGGCGACGTCCTTCGGATGGGACGTAGCCGAGGCAGAGCAAGAAGTGGTCACGCTTATCCAGGCAGGCCGGATTCAAGCACGCGTGGATAGTCAGAACAAGGTGAGGTCCCCCCCAAGCGATATCCTCAGCGTTTTCACTAATGCGATTTTCGCATGTAGATCCTGAGGGCGAAGAAGCAAGACCAACGTGCGAAGCTGTTCGCAGACGCGCTCCGTATCAGTGAAGAGATGCAACGCACGAACCGCAAGCTCTTGCTTCGCATGCGTCTGTAAGCTTCACTCGTCCCGTTGCTTCCTCATTTACAATGCTAATTCGCTCTATATTAGACAACAAGCAGACTTGACGATTAAGATGCCCAAGTCCCAGAAACGGGAGATCGAGATCAACACGGAAGGTCCTGCGATCCTCGTCGACTAGAGTTGTCTGCCGTCTCGCTCCTTGCCACTTTGTATCGCATACCGTGTATTTCTAGCACCACATAGCCGGCTTTGTTATATGCATCCTTGATTTCAAAGTTGTGAGCCATATATAATTGCGTGAATATAAGAGGGTATCGTTAACACCGCTTCATCTCGATGGCCTCCTCAGCACATACATCAAATCCCTGGTTATCGCGAGGCAAGCTTCGTGAGTGAACGCGACCTACGCTCGTGTCATCCTTCCGCGCTCTCCTCTCCTCTATCGCTAGACCCCTGCTCCAGCCTGGCTCTCACCCGCTCCAAATCGACAATAGACCTGCTGACGCTGAGCTCTTCGCCCGTCGCGCCCCATGCGATGCCTTGCGAGATACGGAGCAGCACCAGCAAGGGCGCGATGATCTGCACCTGGGGTAGTAGCGTCACCATGATGTACACACCGGGGTGATTCACGAGCGACAGGGCCATGTAGACGAGCGAGGTGGCTGTGAGTAGAGCGCACGACTCGATGAGTATGTGCGCGATGTTGGTGAAGTGGTTTGGGTGGAGGGCGGGATCTGTCGGTTGCGGGGTGCAGACATAGTTAGGCGGGAATTCAGGCATGGGGAGCGGCGAGGGAGACGTACTGAGGATTTTCCTCGAGCGTCGGCGGAAGCGCCATAGTCTGCCCGCCATGAGCGTGGTGGATATGACGTTGAATGCGATTGTTAAGACAAGCGGCGGAATGTTGGACGCCAGCGAATGGGCCGGCAGTATACGCTGATCAGGCACAGTATTTGAAAGCCACGAGATCAACCCAGTGACTACGAACGTGGAGATCATCAGACTAGCCAGGTCTCTTGGGTAACCGAAAGGGACGTACCAACCATTCCCAAGTATAACAAGACCGGAAGGGATATCAAGTAACGAACCCATCTAGAGGTGGAGAAGATGACTTTGAGTCTCCATACCTGGAAATATAAACATTGGTTCCATAAGCCCCATCCATGAACGAGGAAGACAGTAAGGTAGGTCACTTACCACAAGTCCATCCGAGAGTGTCACCAGCACCCAGTACGTCACATTCACTAGTACCCTCAGCGACCTCAGCTGATGTTTGTTCCCCCACACGAAAGGCCCCTCCGCGAATGTCCTATGCGTGACATACGCCTCCTGCACCTCGCAAGCTTGCCCCGCGACAAACACCGTACCGCATAGCCAAACCATGACAACGTAACACAGGAAGAAGGCATAACGCGTGGTAGAAAAGCGCGAGCGCGTCCGGACGAGGGTGCCTAGGCACAAAAAAGCAGTGGCAGTTGAAATGCCGTAGAAAGCACCTGCGATGGTCGTTGCGCCAACAAGGCGAATAGAGTCTAGATAGAGGGCGTCCTGCGTCTCGGGAGGTATGCCTGAGGTGGGATCGAATGACGAGGGTGAGGATGACATGGGCGTCGGTGGCGGCAGCGACACTAAGGGTGCTGGGTGATGGTCATCGTGAAAGAGTTGAAAACCGAAGGATTTACGCAGGGGCGCAGGGGCGCAGGGGCGCGAACAACAGAGAGCGGAATTAAATGCTGTAGCAAGCTTAGCACGTACAGCTCCGCGGGTGGCGGCTAAGCTCTGTCAAGGATTGAATAGATGAGTTGACGTAGTCTGCTTGTGAGTCGGGGAAGATTTTGACTGAGTGTGAGCACCTCGACGCGCTGGCCAACGGCGAAAAGCAACTGCCGGGAACGGGAGGTCAAACAGCGCGCGGTGCCGACTAGCCACGTGGAGTCTGCCCCTGTCCACAAGTCTACCATGTTGCGAAGGTGGAAGAGCAATACTTGTACTCAAGGATCTGGTATGTAGGCATCGGGAATATGGAGCAAGACATGGCACGGCCAATGTTCAACGCCAGTCAAAGCGGCACTGACGAACCAAGTCCACTTTTCGTACGAGAGACATAGTATTAGCTGCTGACCACTTCCGAAAGCTGCGCATACATTACAGTACAGGACCAAGTTATACTTCGCATCGAAGATGCATTGATGTTCCTCCTCCTTTGAAGGGTTGATTCCACGCTCACATTTCCTCCGACAAGCTAGACATAGTGGTAGCATCCCAAGCCACGCCCAACGATATACGCAAAATCACAAGCATCTGTGCGATTGCCTGGAGCTGCGACTGCGCGGGAAACACAACGTCAAAACCAGCGCTGTCGACTGTGTAGAGTATGGCACAGGCAAATGAGCCTGCAGTCGAGAGCGCGCATGATTCGACGAGCATAGACGCGATGGATGTGTAATGTCGTGGGTGAAGAGATTTCCCTGCACAGAGGACATGCCAAGGCAGGGATCGTCAGTGTATGAGAGAGAGAGAGACGAGAAAGAACGCACCGACGGATGCCTCGAACTCTCTCCGGAAAGCGTACAGTCTGCCTGCCATGAGTGCTGTCGTGATAAGGTTGAACGCGGTTGTAATCATGAATGGATGTAGCCGTTCAAGGAACGTGTTCGATGATGAGCAAGTCATGGTGCGTCCCGGGAATGTACCAAGAACGACCGTTATGGCCCCAATGGCTGCGAAGACATACAATAAGACCACATAGGAAGCAGCAGAGAGGGTAGATGCCAACCAATAGAGCCTAGATAGAGAAGAGTGGGAATGGGTAGAAGCCAGCGCTGCCAGCGTGAGCCATGCCATATGGTCTTGAATCGCCAAAGCTTGGTCAAGTCAGCATACACTACACGGATATGAAATCGAGAAACAGGACGCACCACGAGTCCATCCGACAAAGTCGTTCCTACAAGGTAGGCGACATCGCTCCCCTTCCACCACTGTGCGCAGTCAGCACCCATTTGAGGCCCGGGCCCGGGGTGCCGGTGGTATACATAGGCCTGTAGCGCCCAGTACGACGAGCCGCCGACATACACGGTCGCGCACGCCCACGAGAGCAGGACCCACGCGAGGAGCAGAGACAGGCGGACGCGCGAACGAATCCCGCGTGCATATACCAAGACCCAGAAGCTGGACGCGGCTATGATGGTCGTGAACGCGTAGAAAATGCCGAGGATAGAGGTAAAGCCAATGAGGCGGACACTTTCCTCGAGGCCAGACATGGGATTACTGGCAGGAGAAAAGAGGGGATATTCAGATGGAGAAGAGTCGTCCCTCCCTTCCAGTGGCCGGCGTTCGTGCAGTGAGCAGCGAGAAAGGGAGGACGTGAACGTGGGTGATGAGCCATCAGCTTTTGAGATCACTGTTAGGAACGTCAGTGTCAACCCTGTCGCGCTAATAGCCGGCAAGAACTTTTTACGCAGGGAGGACGTAGACGTGTTGTCGAGTTGTCTCCCTGGTGCACATCCTACTTTTCAGCCTCAACTACCTCCGCAGTGATGGACGCTTCGGAGGTAGTGGGTCACACCACCAAGTTTCGGCTACCAGTGTACGGCAACTGGAACCAATATACTTGCATTGGCAAAACCAAGGATGAAGATATGACGTAGATTGGTGGCATAGAACGGTATTGAGAGATGACCACAAGGTCGTATAGGTATCTGGACCCTGCAGCATCCGGCGTGGACTATATCGAACTGTGACCACTACATACCCGCCTTCAGGGACAAGCATTGTCTTTCTTCCGAGTCGACAAGACCACGACCAGCGCGGACCGTATCTTCATTTTGATTATCTACCACAGCGATGTGAGTGATGGTCTCATAGAGCGTGGGGGAACAAGCAACGAGAAACGAGGACAGAAGTGTGGTGCCTAGTACTAGAAGAGCAGTGTCAACGGTGGACGTGGCAAGGACGTGGTAGTGACAGTCCAGAAACCCGTGGTTCGGGACGCGCGGATGGCGCATCGGCTTCGATACGCTCGTCTACGAGGGGGGTCGTTGCCTGCGAGAACGACAGATTCAACGAGCAGATTTTCAGTCTCGCCGTGATGAATATTAGAGCGCGCGCGAACGGCGAGTGGGACAGCTGCGAGTGAGACAACAGCGTCAGGGTTGTTGGTGCTCATCTGCACGTTGAATGGTCGTCGGCGAGATCACCGGTTGAGGCGGTAGTTCTGGCAGAATAACATGCGCGCTAATCAGTGCATTGGGTGTGGAGTAGACGCGAAGAAAACGCATATGTCAGCGTCATGTATTGGCCTCAACAGAGGCTAGCTTGTCGGAGTGGAGATCCGGTCGTCTTTCTGGAGATTTTGGTGTTCTGCTCTATGATAAATTCTGAGGAAGTAGCTAGAATAAATCAAAGAAGAGAAACAAGGTTAGGCGGAAGGGAGGCCTGAGGCCTGAAGTCGAAAGGTGGATAGTGATCAAGACCAAGAGACGGCGCTGCGTCGTCATCGTGTGCGAAAGGCCCGATTTGGGTATATGCGGTCTTCTGCTCGGTACGCCCATCTTTTTTGTCATTCGCATCTACTCTGGTCGCTCTCCAGGTGTTCCAGGAGGGTCATCGGCGTAGTACATTTCAGCCTCTACTCAGTTTTTTTTCGCGGTGATAGATACGTAGGTAGTTGGTCTAACCATCAAACCTTGGCTATCGCGTTCATGCAGAACGTTTGATACTCCGATTGAAGTCCAGACATGAATCTTTCTATAAATGGCTATTACCTTCTGGGTCCGATTCGTCGCCCGCACTCACGCGCTTCATGTTCTTTGTTCTCAATTTTGGCCTGCTTTGCTTAGGTTGAACGTTGACAAGCTGGGAAAGGGATACATACGCTATGACAAAAGATATATGCACACTTTATTTGTCCTGTAAAGGCGGCCTTTGGCTTTTGTGGAACTCACAAACGGAATTGGACACTGACCTTACTGCTGCTGTACTGGAGCTTATCTGAAGATCTGGACTATTTTAGGTGCTTCTGGCTTCTCTTCCTGCGGCAGGCGGGGTTTAGCAAATAGTTCTTTCCTGATTGGATATATCATGAACTTGTGACACAATAGTGTGAGAGTGCATAAATCCTATTATAGTGGAATGTATGGCCTGGTGACCATCATGCTGTGTGAACCTAAACCATTCTTAGGAAGATGATATCATTGATGCATAATAATAGACTGTGCTGAGGGCCTATATAAAGGTGTACACCCAACTTATAAAATTCATGACTGAGAAGAACTTCATCCTATGACAGCTGACTTTGAGGGTGGGATTCCTCTAGGTGAGTAAAATTCAATGCAACAAAACTTAGTGTCTAACACCAAGTTTGTAATACATTTCACTTTCTATGCATTGTGGATCACATACACACTATGGATTTCTGATTTATGGACCGAAGCGTGCGCACGCTTCGTGAATGCTGTAGTGTGTCAACACTATGGTATGGTCAGAAGCATGCACATATGGTAGGTTATTTCAGTTATAGTAAGGGTGGGCAAAGCTGGCTTCCAGAGTGTATACTTGCTTAGTGATCTTTTTCACTGACACAGTCAGATACAGTCCCTAAAATGGTGATTTGCAGGGCATATAATATAGTACTCTTGAAGTGGACAAAGCATAGCTGCTATGTATGGCTATAGTTCTTAGAGAATGACTCTTTACAAAACAGTTTTTAGGCTTCATATCAACAAAAAAAAATACCAAATCTTCCACCACAATCTGATAAACTGTTGTGCTCTTAATTGCAATCAAACAGAATTGTCAGTATTCACTACATCCACTGATTGATTAATTTTACAGCACAGCCACAAAAATATGACTCATTCAGAAATTTGCCTGAGTACAATTGAATTAGAGAAAACTAATTCAAATCTTGTACCACATCAGTAACATTGTCGGCGTCTTGGCGACTTGTGAGTCTTGGCAAAAGATTGCCCAGTCACACAATGTCACACCCATGCGCGAAATCATGTTCTATGTAGCTTTGAGGTCAGCTTTTAGCCACAGTGCGGCTGTGTACACTAACCATTAGTTCTTCCTGCAACGAGGCATTTTTGAACCAGGGAATTGCACGGGAATGTCGATTCGAGTGGACTCGGTTACTCAGTGACATGGGTTATTTATGTGACATGTCACGGATTTAATCACGTTTTGAGAGAAAACTTTTCAAATTTTCTTACTTTCTGGTCGGCTTTCGGCCTGTCCGGACTTTCGGGGCTTGTACAAGCTTGCACAAGCTTGTTCAAGCTCCGACCAGTCGGCTGTAAGGTTCCTGATGCATAGGATTTTAACTTTAATTGATACAGCATAGTAATTGCATAAAAGAAAAACATAATGGCTGAACAAGAATTTACAAGACCCTTTCCTTGCTTACTTCATAGCACCCGGATCCATATGTGCTTTGCTCATGATAACCTTTTCTTCCACCACCTTTTGTATGGAATAAGAAAGACTACAGCTTTTTTGACTCCCACCCTAGCCTTATTTGACCAGGGAGAACTTTTGACTTCTTCTAGATTGATAGGAGGGTTTGATGTATCCTGTAATACATCCACATCAATTTGTGTGGATTTTCCATGCCACTGAATGGTTATCATACCTGCACTGGTGCTTGGTTTCTTTTTCCAGTATCATTACCCCAGTGCTGTGCATCCTATATAAGGTTAGTATGGTTTTGTTAAGAATATTATTTATTTATTACAGTTGATGTGGCTACTTTCATGTTATGTGATTTCTTCTAATTTCAGATTCAATGAACATTTGATGTTGTGTTGAACATGTTGAAAGATCACTATGATAACTTACATTGTTTGTGTTATAAACCATAGCTGATGTCAGTAAGAAGGTGGTTTTTTTTAAAACAGTGCCTTCAGAAAAGTAACTTACAATTGTTTTTTCTGCTACTTTGCCTAGAGGATGATGCGTGCGTTCGCATGTAAGAGCTATTTGCTTTTGTTGTGACTTGTATGCCCATGTTTGTAGCTCAAATTTCTTTTGATGGAGGTGGTGGTGGTTAAGAGGAAAGTTAGTTGAGCATAGAGAGTAAGTTTATATATGATGATATAAACACCAACTAGCTTTGGTAATCAGTGCTTTATAGAGAAATAGAAGAGAAGACTCTTATTTATAGGATTTATGGTGAGAATAATAATGTGAATCACAGTAATTTTTAGAATATAAGAGGGTATTTGTGTCCTGACCAAGTGTGACAGGAATACTCTGGCACTATTATGGCAAGATGAAAAGCTGTCTGGGCATATCAGGTGCTATTTGCCAAGAAGTGTCCTGTAGATAAGCTGAACAACCCACACTTTGACCCATAAGCTTTTGAACAAGAAGCCAAGTGCAACAGCTAATGAGTGTAGCTCAGTGAATCCACTTGAGGGTGTGGGTGTCTTGAGTAATGCCAAAGAGCTCAGAAGTGCCTAGATGAGTAGCTAGGTCCTAGAGAGTTAGAGTTATTGCAAAAACCTTAGCCCAATAAAATGAAGCTAGGAATATGGGTATATTCCCATGTGAGTAGAGTAGAATAAGGAGTTCAAGTGGGTACTTACATGTAATTATAGATGGGTGTACAGTTTGTTTAATTTGGGAGAACAATAGATTCACCATGCCATAGAAAATAATGTGGAGCATTACCAAGTCAGGTCTAAGATCTGAATCCACAGAACCAGATTTTAATATGTCTCTAATAAGTAAGATAGCTAACAAAGTTGCTTGTGGCAATGCTGTGAGAGAAGTGGGCAAACCACAAGGTTGTGGAGAAGAGATGCTGTACACATTTTCAAATTAAGTAACCAGAATCAGCCTTGGGAGTGATATCCTGATTTTAATCTTGGGTTGCAATTGTAAAGTCTATAAATATTTTCAATATCATTGAAGCAAATTGCTAACCTCTTGCAACCCTTCTCATAACCATTACATGGGTTCTACTTGATTGCAGGTCATTTAACTGGGTTGCAACATGTTATGACCCCCTTACAGATTGCTTTAATCATGACTCTTCTCTTCTGCCAGGCTACAAGCAGTTGTAAGGCCTCATAAGCCCTTAGAACTGGGCTAGAACCAATGTACACAAGTTGGAACACAAACTGACCAAAAGTTTGTTCTGAGCCCTCACTGCAAGCATTTCAAGATAAAAACGGACTTAGTATTTGAAAGATATCCAAAAAATATTTTAAATGGGGGTTATCTGGGCTCAAGTAAGTAACTTGTTTTTATCTAAAAGTGTTATCAAAAATGCCCCTGCCAGCTCTCAAGTAACAACAGCCTTAGATATTTGAAATGTTATCAAAAAGATTATCAGGAACTGCCCTATTGGCTTTTGAATAACTGGAGCCTGAAATACTTGAAAGATTACTTAAGCAGTTATTGTAAAGCCACTTTTGGATAATAATCTTGATAACCCTGCCAAGATTATTGTGAAATTATTAAATATGTGCTGGGATGTCAGTACAAATATCTTCTGATAACATTCTTTATAAATAGCTGATGCTTATTTGAGCCCAATTTGGCAGGCTTTGTCTCTGATAATTATCTCGGAATTACCTTGAAGATGTTTTGGTGCACATGATGGTAGTGAGGGCTCAGAACAAACTTTTGGTCAAAAAAGTGCAGTATTTTGCAAGACATTTTGAGGGAGCTGCACCTTTCACACTCTTATCAGCAGTGATTACCTCACCTAACTTTACAGAGAAGAACAGTACTGCAGCAGGCGCTCTTAAAATGGAGTTGCAAAGTCAAGGAGTTGTGTCAAAAGAATTGTGAGGGCCTGTTTTAGGGCCGGCTCGATATCCCGCGTGCCGACGACGCGCGCTTGTCTTCTCCGCCCGATTCAGCAGCTCCCATGTCCACCCGTATTCCCCGTGTTAAACTCGGACGCTCTTATGGTTCCCTCCCTCCGTGGCAGCTCAGAAATGCACTGACACTGACGCGTCGCTGCAACGCGCCCGCGTTCCTCCCCGGCCGCCTCGGAAACCTCCGGTTCTCGTCTTCGAGCAGCGGTGCGCAGACTAAGCCGTACTACGTCACCACACCCATTTTCTATCCGAACGCCGGTGAGCGGTCTCAGCCATTGTCCCTTTCGGCGTCCGACTGACCGACCGACCGACCGACGCCTGATCCTTAGTGCCGCACATCGGACACCTCTACACGCTCGTGACGGGCGACATTCTTGCGCGGCACGCGCGCATCGCGCACCCGGACAGGGTTGTGAAGTTCCTCACGGGCACGGACGAGCACGGGCTGAAGATCCAGAAGGTCGCTGCGGAGCGGGGTGTGCGGCCGATGGCGCTGTGCGATCGGCTGAGCGGGCAGTTCCGTGTGTGTGTTTTCAGTTTTCGCTGGGCGTTTTTTCTTCTTCTTCTCTGATACACTTGCGCGGGGCGGCGGAAGAGGCTGGCGGGGAGCGCGAATGTGAGCGGGACGGTGTTCATGCGCACGACGAGTGCGGAGCATCGGAGGGCCGTTGAGCATGTTTGGGTGTGTGTTTCCTCTCCTCGAATATACGCGTGTTAACAAGGCGCTGTAGAAACAACTCGACGCGAAAGGGCTCATCTACAAAGACGCGTACGAGGGATGGTACTCTGTCTCGGACGAATGCTTCTACACCCACTCCCAAGTCCACAAGACGACCCTCCCCTCGGGCGAAGAAATCACGGTGTCGACGGAGACCGGGTCGACCGTCGAGTGGTCCCAGGAGGAAAACTACAAGTTCCGTCTATCCGCGTTCCGCGAGACGCTGCTCGAGCACTACACGCGCGACAAGGGCTCGATCTTCCCGTCGAGTTATCACGAGTACCTCGTCGACCTGCTTAAGAACAACGACCTGGACGACCTCTCGGTGTCCAGGCCGCGCACGCGGCTCGAGTGGGGTGTGCCGGTGCCAGGGGACCCGGAGCACACGATCTACGTGTGGTTCGACGCGCTGACGGTGTACCTCAGCGGGATCGGGTTTCCGTGGGCGGGCGGGGCGGCGGAGGGCAGCGGGGCGGGGTGGGCGCCGGATGTGCAGGTGATTGGGAAGGATATCCTCCGGTGCGCGCGTTTTGCTCTTGGTTCTGTTCCGAGTGCTCGTGGGCTCATGTGGGGATAAGGTTTCATGCGATCTATCTGCCGGCGATGCTCAAAGCGCTGGAGTTGCCGCTCTCGCGCACGATTCTGACGCATGCGCACTGGACGGTCAATCAGCGCAAGATGTCCAAGTCGGTGGGCAACGTTGTTGATCCGTTTGAGGCGATGGAGATATACGGGGTAGATGTTGTGAGGTTCTACCTCGCGCGTGTGGGGGGACGGTTCAGGGATGATGTCGGTGCGTGTTTCTCCTCTGTTATCGCCGTCTCTACGTTCTAATCAGATGGTTGCGTTGAATTAGACTGGTCAACGGAGCAGCTCGACAAGCACTCGGACGAGCTTCGTAATCTACTTGGGAACCTCTTTATGCGGATCACGTCCAAGGCGATTCGTGCACGCGTGGCGAAAGCCGATGAGAAGCTGGACGTTAAAGCGCTTCTATCAGACACGGAGAAGGCGAAAGCGCTCGGCGTCGACTTGGAGCTGCTGAACAGCGTTGGTGCGCTGGGAGCCACTGTACGGAAGAATTTTGACATGCTCGAGCTCGGAGATGCGCTGGAGGCGATCATGCTTGTGCTTCGCCAGGTACGTCTGTCGTGCGATCTCTTTGGCACTTTCGTGCTCACGATGTGACCAGGCCAATGCGACTATGACCAACAGCGCACCTTGGGCGCAGGATCCCCAGCCCGCGGCTGCGTCGTACGTTTCGGTCCTTGAGACAATCCGAGTCTGTGCGCTGTGCCTGCAGCCGTTCATACCTGAGGCGGCCCAGCGGCTTCTGGACGCGATGGACGTTCGAGAGAGCGAGCGTACATTGGGGTACGCCGAGGTGGGCGTGGGGGCAGTGGGCGAGAAGGTGGAGGGTGTGAAGCTGTTTAATATTCCGCAGGTCAAGGTGTAGACGTACTGCTTATAAGGGCTTCTGGTTTGACAATTCTACTCATGGCCTCGGTTTCTGCACTCGTGAGCTGAACGTTCTTGTATCTGACAGCTCCTAGAGTTGGACAGGTATACAGAGGCCGGGTCGAGGACGTGGAGGGATTGACATGTGACGTGAACGCGTCACGTCGAGCGTCTATGTAACTTTGCGAGACAATATTTCACGTTCCCAGGGTTCAGTTTACTATGCCGTAAAATAAAACATTCTCGCTTCCACCACCACCACCTCAAGACACAAGACACCCAGACATTGTAAATCTGTAATACCACCATGTCCGCTCCCTCCCGCATCTCTCGCGTCCCTCAGACTCCCAGCAAACGTCCCCTCTCCCTCAGCACCACCTCTATCCCCTCCTCCGGTCTCCCTACCCCGATCAGTCTCCTCAACACCGCCAAAAAGTTCAAATCCACTCTCACTTCCGAATCCCGCACCCGCACCACCTCCCACCCGACCTCGCCCTCTGTCCCGCCCACCCCCAGACTCAAACGCGGCTCCTTCAGCTCCGGCTCCACGGGCGTCCCCGTCCCCGCGACGCCCGGTGCCCACCAGCGGCGCAAAACCGTGTCGACGACGTCGTTCTCACTCGACGTTCCCCCCGTGCCGCCCATGCCCCGTCCGCGCACGCCCGGTACGCCGCAAGGCCACTCGCATAGCCCGTTTGGTGGTGTCGTGGAGAGCGAGGTCAGCAAGATGGACGTGAGCCGCGTTGATCCCGAGGAGGCGCTTGTCGATGCGGACACGGTGGACCATGCGGATGTTTCTATGGAGCTCGACGAGCAGGGCACCGGCGGGCCTGCTGAACATGGCAAGGAGGATAAAGTGCTCGTGTCTATTCGGTGCGCTCTACATTCATCGTGGCGTGCATTCCTACGCGCCCTCCACCCGTCTTTCCGTCCCATCCCTCTAGCTGATACTGCACCGGCCATTGCAGCGTCCGCCCGACCGACACCGAGATAGCATGGGACCTCTCCGCCGCACAGACGCTCAAGCTCATCCCCTCGCACGCGCGCTCCGCCTCTGCCCTACCGCAATACCACTTCGACGAAGTCCTCACGGGCACCGCCAACCGCCCCGTGTACACGCGCGTCGCGCGGGGCCACGTGGGCGCCGCGATGGACGGGTACAACGCGGTCGTGTTCGCGTACGGGCAGACGTGCAGCGGCAAGACCTTCACCCTCGTGCGTATCACCCCCCATCCCAGCTCACCCATCGACAGTCCTAACGCATATTGGGACAGTCAGGAACAGATGAGGAGCCGGGGATCATCCCGCTCGCGATGAAAGACGTGTTCGCGCACATCCGGCGCACGCCCGCGCGCGAGTATCTCCTGCGCTGCTCGTACATCGAGATATACAACGAGCAGCTGCACGATCTGCTCGCGGCGCCGTCGACGGCGGCGGCTGCGCCGGTGCAGCTGCTGGCTGGGGGCGTGCTCAGTCCGCTGCGGGAGGAGGTCGTGACGAGTCTCAAGGGCGTGCGCGCGGTGCTTGAGCGCGGGGCGAGGAATAGGCGGACGGCGTGTACGGACTGGAACGAGCGGAGCAGCAGGAGTCATAGTGTGTTTCGGCTGGTCATTGAGAGTCGTGAGCGCGGCGCGACGGGTGAATGCGGGGTAAATGGGAGGACGACGCCCGCGGCGGCTGGTGGGAGGCAGACGCCGAGCAGGCCGCAGACGCCGTATAGTCGGCCGTGTACGCCTGGTGGGACGCGGTTGCAGACGATCGGGGGGCGGAGCGTGCAGACGAGTGTGCTGGTGCGTGCATACGCTGGCTTATCGTCGGGCATGGACGCTGATTCGCGGCCGTGTAGAGTCTGATTGACCTAGCTGGGTCGGAGAAGGCGACGTCGGACAAGGAGCGGACGCGCGAGGGCAAGTTCATCAACACCAGGTGTGCCCCCTCTCTCTGTACCGTCTTATCCTCATCCCGACTTGTTCAGCCTGCTCACCCTCGGCACCGTCATCTCCACGCTCGCCGAGAACGCGTCCAAGGCCAAGGCGGACCACGTCCCGTACCGCAACTCGAAGCTCACGCGGCTGCTGCAGCCCTCTCTCGCCGGCGACGCGCGCATCAGCGTCGTGTGCACGATCAACCCCGAGCCGGCGGCTGTCGGCGAGAGCACGAGCACGCTGGGCTTCGCGTCGCGCATCAAGAAGGTGCAGCTGCACGCGCGCAAGAGGGAGGTGGTGGATGCGGATGCGCTCATTGAGCGGTATAGGAAGGAGATCGAGGGGCTTAGAGCGCAGTTGGCGGCGCGGGAGGCGATGGCTGCGGAGGATCGCGAGGTTGCGCGCGCGGGGGAGCCGGCGGCGGCGGCGGCGGCGGCGGTGGGTGGGAGCGCGAGCAGCAGGCGGAGGGTGAGTAGGCAGGAGAGGGAGGAGGAGAGTGTGGCGATGGGGGATTTGAATGCGCGGATTCAGCAGCTGACGAGGCTGATTCTGACGAGCCAGAGTGTGGGCGATGCGATTGAAGGCGTCGGGGGAGGGAGTGTCAGTGTCCCGGGGAGCCCGAGCAGGCTTGATTTCGACATGAGTCCGTATCAGGTGCGCCGTCTCTTATTCCCGCCTTCGTTGGTGCTGACGCTGGATGAACAGCTGCAGCAGGAGCTCCTCGCCGCGCGCCGGCAGATCGACTCGCAGGCGAACCAGATTCTCTCGCTCGAAGAGGCGCTGCTCGCGCGCCCGCTGATCCCGCCCGACGCGCCCGAGTCGCAGAAGGACAGGCTGCTCGCGGAGCAGGGGCGCACGATCCGCGAGCTCGAGATCGTCGTAAGGGGGTACGAGGAGAATCTCGGCGAGCCGCTGCGCGCTGTCAGGGAGGATGTGGAGCACGAGTGGGAGGGGAAGGTGCAGGAGGAGCGGAGGAAAAGGGAGGAAGGGGAGGTGTGGGCGCGGGAGGTGGTCAGGGAGCTGGAGAGGGAGAAGAGGGTGGGTTTCTTTTTGCTTTTTGTTCGTCGCTGGTGCTGAAGCTGTGCGCAGGCGCGTCAGAAGCTGGAGGAAGAGCGCCGTGCGCTCACGGCGTTTGTGTCCAAGTTTGATTCGATCGGGTCGAGTCTTGGGCTGGGGCTGTCACCCTCTATTTCTACCCCCGCATCCTCTTCTACCATATCTGCGTCCGCGTCGGACACTACGTCCTCCACGACTGCTCAAGCCCGGCTGCGCCCGTTCACGGAACGCACGCTCAACACGATTACCGAGGACGCCGAGTCGCCGCTGAAGTTATCGGCGGAGCTGATGAAGGGCCCGACGCTGCTCGAGGAGGAGTGGAGCCTGATGGACGACGTGAGCATCGATATGAGCGTTGGGGACGGGAGCAGCTTGAAGGGGAGGAAGGAGAATGTGATCAACGCGTAGGTGTCAGTGGGCTGGTGTTGTTTGTTTCTTGTAGAGTGGGCGATTGTTGTAAGTATACCCTGAAGTGGGATGGATACCTTTCTTGCATGGTGTTTCTTGACCTTCTTTCACGTCTCTTGGTGTTTTGTCGCTGTATTGCGAGTAGATGCTGTCTGTGCTCTTATGTCGTTCTTGATCCGCTCCTGACCGGTTGACCTGCTACTGTTTATGAGTAAACGTGCCTGTTGACCATGATAGATATTCGCCGTCTGCAGTCGCTTCGCAGCTTCGAGGATCGTCGCTCAAGCGCTTAAGATGGCCTCGACCAAGCATCCCATCTCCGGAGCAGCATCAAAGTTCCGCGGGCAGAAAAAGTTGTCGAGCCCCGGAACTCTGACCTCCGCCAGATCTTGCATCGCCAAAGATGTTTTCGGGCAGTCACTGGGTTCCACTGCAGTATGTGAGTACCATGATGGTGCTTGATGAGACATACCTCATATGGGCGCCTAATAATGAGAAGTGCACCATTAACAGGCCCCGCATCAGTGGCGCGTTGAGTTAGTCGCTGCCCTCGGAACATAAGGACGTTATTGATGATTGATGAGCGTCTGAGGAGGTTGGCAACCGTCTTTAGAATGTGGGTCGACCCAAGGAAGTACTTCATATGGATCTTCGACATTTCAAGGCGGTGAGCAGGGCATGGCGCTTAGGACTCTGGAATGTCCGTGACGTCTTTCTCGGTTGAAGACATGACTTCGAGGGCTGAACTGGGCTGAATGGGATGCAAAGAATGGATGTCTCGGAGTTAGTTGAAGCAGAGGGGCGACAAATGCATCAATCCATCGTGAGACCGAACGACACGGAGCGACAAAAGGTCACCAGACCTCGGCTAGTCGTTGATCTACATTCATTCCCTTCCCCTGGCAAAGTCTCAGCTTAACGCCCTTGGACAGTATAAATACGACCTCACCATGCCCCGTCTCCACCTCGACTTTGCACCACCGTCGACCACCTCGCCGAACGGCTCGGATCGAACCCTCGGCTCGAAGTATGTGGGCGCTTACCTTGGCCACGGCCGCAGCCCTCGCGCACGTCGCACTCGCTGCACCCGCAGATTCTAGTTCTTCAGTGTCGACTGCCAGTGGGAGTGCGAGCACGGGAACGACAGCTACGGAGCCGTTCAGCATCAGCATCCAGACAGGCGTACCAACCCTCACCTATGTCACTGTCACTGCGACCCCTCAGTCGGCGTCCCTGGGTGCACCGCTGCCCTCCCAGGCTGCCCTTCCGCCTGTTCAGGATTGGTGCATTGGGGAGATCTTCTGTGCAGGAGAGGTATGTCCACTTCACATCCTGACGTTGTATGCGGGGCTAAGTCCGCCCAGATCCTCCAAACCGTCAACGTCGCCCAGCTCTACGCGGACCCAAAGACCTTTGTCGACAAACCCACCTCCAAATCCTCCCAACAAGTCCTCGCCGACTTCGCCGCGCTGCAGAACTCAAGTTCTGCTCTCACGGAGGACGACCTCGTCAAGTTCGTCGACACCGACTTCAACGGCGAGGGCTTCGAGCTCCAGCCCCTCGCCCTCACCGGCTTCAGCGCCGACCCGCCCTTTGCCCAGAACGTGTCCGACGAGCTCCTGCGCGCGTTCGCACTCGAGGTCAACAGCTACTGGACACAGCTCGCGCGCGAAGCGAATGTCACGGCCGAGTGCGATATATACCCCGGCGGCGCGTGCGAGAGCACGTTTATCCCGCTCAACTACTCGTTCGTCGTTCCTGGCGGCCGTTTCAGGGAACAATGTGAGTGCATTTGTGGACGTCGAATGGGCGTGGTCGGCTGATGCGCGTTTGTAGATTACTGGGATAGCTATTGGATCATCCAGGGTCTCCTCAAGTCTGGCTTGTATGACTCTGTCAATGGTACTCTGCAGAACTTTATGAGCGAGCTCGAGGACTTTGGGTTTATTCCCAATGGCGGTCGCAAGTATTGTATGTGCTTTCCTCTTTGAACCATTATTCTCGCTTACTAGGGATACTCAGACCTCAACCGCTCTCAGCCGCCACTCTTCATTCACGTACGCATCTCCTAAATACTACCTTCAGCAATACTCTTCCTAACATGCACCTGCAGATGCTGTACGACTACGTCACGGCCACAAACGACAGCTCGATCCTCCAGCGCGCCCTTCCCCTCGCAGAGGTCGAACTCGCATGGTGGAACACGAACCGCACCGTCCAGGTGACAAGTCCCTACACGAACAAGACCTACAGCCTCGCGCGCTACGCCGTGAACAACACCGCGCCGCGCCCCGAGTCGTACCTCACGGACTACCTCACCGTGCACGACCCGACGCTCCAGACGCCGCTGACGACGGACGAGGCGTCGGCGCTGTACGCCGAGCTCGCGAGCGGCGCCGAGACGGGGTGGGACTACAGCTCGCGGTTCGAGGCTGTGCCGGCGCTGGGGAGCGCAGGGCTGCGGTCGCTGAATGTGCGGAACCATGTTCCTGTGGACCTGAACAGCATCCTCTGTGCGTACTCTCTTTGCTTATCGTATACGGAAAGCGGCGCTGATGTTCCATCAGACAAAGCGCACATCCTCCTCGCCGAGCTGTACGGCACGTCGAACGCCTCGGCCGTCTCGGCGCACCAGCAGACGGCCGCGTCGATCCGCGAGGGCATTCTCGATCTGCACTGGGACGCGGACAAGCTCGCGTTCTACGACTTTAACTTGACCTCTAATGCGCGCAACAGCATTTTTACGATGGCGAACTTTTACCCGCTCTGGAACGGGATCGTGCCGGAGGAGGTCCTCGCGAACGCGAGCAGCGCGTTCGCGCATTTTGCGGCTGTCAACATGGTCATGGAACGGTATAACGGGACTGTGCCGGTGACGTTTTTGGATTATACGGGGCAGCAGTGGTGCGTTTCGTGCTTATAGGAGCTAAGCTAGGGCGGACCAAGCTAATGGGTATATTATGTGCGCCTGTAGGGACGCGCCCAACGCATGGCCGCCGCACCAGTACATCATCCTCCAGGCGCTGCAAGCGCTCCCCGCGAACCTGACCGGCAGCGCGCTCCCCGCCGCGCCCGCGGGCGCGTCGTCGTATGCGCTGATTCCGGCGGGGCAGATCGGCTTTGCGGAGAGCGAGCTGCCGGGGCAGCTTATGCTCGGCTCGAAGCAGAACGCGTCGGCCACGGGTCCGGGTGCGGATGTGAGCGGGATGGACGGGACGGTTGTTAATGGGGGGAATGCGACGGCGGGAGAGGGGTGGGGGGCGAGGTTGCAGCGCGAGCTGGCGAATCGGTATTATACGAGCGTGTTTTGCTCTTGGTGCGTGCCTTTGCTTCTCTGTCCTCTGTTCGATGATCTGATGGCTGACTGCTCCATGTCGACATGACAGGCACGCGACGGGCGGGTCGATTCCCGGGCTTTTGGACAGGCTCCCGGATAGCCAGCTGAATCTGACGGGGAGTGTGAATAACACGGGAAATGTGAGTCTCTCCCGTGCTCGCCACGTGTACTCGTGCTCACCTGCGCTACGCCGAACAGATGTTCGAAAAGTTCTCGAACCTCAACGTCGACTCCTCGGGCTATGGCGGCGAGTACACCGTCCAGGCCGGGTTCGGGTGGACGAACGGTGTTCTGCTCTGGGTCGCCGCGACGTACGGAGATGTGCTCGTCGCGCCGCAGTGCCCGCCGCTGCTCGCGAGCGAGTTCTCGTCCTCGAGCGGCGCCGTGTCCATGTCCGTGGGCAGGGCGGGCGTGATGGGCGCTGTGGCGCTGTTGGGCGGGGTCGTATTGCAGATGTTGATGTAGGGGTGGGAGATGCAATTGTATACCAAGGTCAGGCGATTTGCATCGTCGAATAGTGGTAGTATTAATACCTAATAGTTCATTTTTTGCTGTTTGAACAAGGATTACTCGTATATTCAAGATCATGGTAGACTAATGTTTATCCTGAGCTAAGCCCTCCGGCAAAGTCCCATACGCCGTAGCGGCGCGAGGGCCCCTTCTGTCTTGTTTCCTTTCTCCGTATGTCAAGTAGTTCAGTCAATTTCTCATATGACTAACTTTTCGTACGGTTTTCACAGCCTAGCCATCTGCCGAGCGGCCGTAGAATGGCCACGGCGGTAAGTTTCGAACCGCTGGATAGCAAGATGACCAAGCCACTGCAGCGTATCGGTCTCATACCTGTCTTCTGCCCGAGACTCAGGCGCTCATACTCCCTTGTTCTGACTCAGAGATGTGTAAAACGAGCATAAAAGCTCTCTTCGCAGCGTCAGGGTGGGATATGTGTGCGTGCTCCGTCTTCCTCATCGCGCCAGAAAGCACACCATGAAGCCTGTCATCCTGTACGACCTCCAGTCCGAGCTTCCGGGCAAGTTCTGGAGCCCTAACACGCTCAAAACAAGGTACGCCCTCTACATCCACTGAGTTTATGTCATCCCGCGCGGACCGACGCATTCCGCACTGCAGGCTCGCGCTCGCGTACAAACGCATCCCGTTCGAGACGCGCTGGCTCGAGCTCCCCGAGCTGCACACCGAGCTCAGGCACATAAACGCGCCGACGAATACGTGCGTCAACGGCACGCAGGGATACACCGTGCCGACGATCTTCGACCCCAACACGGGCGCGGTCGTTACTGATTCGTGGACGATCGCGGAGTACATCGAGGACACGTACCCCGACGCAGATGGGGAACGTGTGCTGTTTCCCGGCGAGTCGCGTGCGCTGGTCAAGGCGCTCGCGGGCGCGGCTATTGCTGCGACGTGGGGTGCGCAGCGGTGGGTCGTCACGCGTGTAGCGGAAGTGCACAGCGAGCGGTGCGCGGCCGGGTATCGGCGGGTGCACGGGCAGCGGCACGGGTTGTCGTGGGAGGAGATGTCGCCCGAGGGGAGCGCTTTGAGGGAGGAGCATAAGGCGGCGTTGAAGAAGGGGCTGGGTGAGATAGATGCGTGGTATAAGTGCAGCAAGGGAGAGTGGTTGTGCGGGGAAAGGTTTTCGTATGCGGATATTATTGTGGCGGCGCAGGTTATTAGGTGTCGGCGCGTGTTCAGGCAGGAGGAGTGGGATGAGATGAAAGGGTGGCATGATGGGAGGTGGGAGAAGATGATTAAAAGGGTTCAAGCTACGACAGATTTTCTTGGTACCATCGATGAATTAGTGACATTGTAGGCAAAAGTAGTAAAGCAGTTTGTCATAGTGATAAAAGAACAAGAGATCCAGTTTCAGTGCGAGATAATCTAACGAGTTACTCGTCAATTTATGTTTTAAGCCAAAACCGTCCTCGAAAGAACCACATGAAACACTAACAAGACGCTATAGGAACGTCCCCATGCTGTTTATGCGGATTCTGGTGCATTCTCTACGGGAATATTGGCAGCGATGCCCTGTGGCTCATGCATTAAGTGACAATCAACAGAGAATATGAGGGTGAACATACCTGACTGCCTCTTCTCTGGTTGTAACCCATCTTTTGCCTGGAAACATTACGATTGTTTTGGTAGATTATTACTTCGCTATGATGACGTAGTATCCATCGCCCGTTCATCCTACAAATACATCAGCATGCATCAACATATAACAGAAGCTCATCCTTACGTTGACATCATAACATTGGCGTATACTGTACGAAACGGCGGCTTGAGAATCAGGGAATCAAACCTAAAACAGTATGAGCGCACCTGATCCAAAGAGGATGTAGATAGAAAGCCATATATCTATTTCATATGTGAGCACAAATCATAAAAAATAAAAACGGTACAATTTACAAGTGTGAGGGTGCGTCAAAAACTGGTCAAGCGCTTATACATCAGCATCGAGTCTCGCTTGTTCGAGAAAACGTACTGTAGCTAGAACGAGCGCTGAAATCAAGCTAAGAAACACAATGAGGGGATATGCGTTCACAGCTATTAAGATGCCGGACTTACCAAGTGCACAAGCCGCTCTCTGCATGTCAATGGGTTAGGAGGGATGTGATACGTGAAACAACCAAATTATAACTGTCCAACTGTCCAGCGAATCAATTTATCAACAGTATGATTCACTGGCGATCCACTAGGATCATTATTACTGACATGTAAGTTTTGCACCTCAAGTCGGACGCACCTTTCCGAGTTCATATCTTTTTGCTTCCGCCAAAGGTAGTAGACAACAATAAATGTCATCCAGGCATCGGATATGAGTGCAGACGTGAATGCAAGGACGAGTAAGGTTTGTCTGTCCCGATAAGCCAGGACGTCTTCGACTGTGCTTGTGTCAAATAGAACATATGCAGGTATTTGTCGAAGACATATGAGGAACATTCCGATTATCGCTGGTATCCAGGCCTTTTCCGATAACTTCCACATACGGTAAGCCAAGAAGAGCTTTTATAGCGCAACTCGGTCAAAAGCTATGAAGTGATGCTTTACGGAGACACATACCTGCACCACGAACGCTAAGAGCATAGTCAAGAGAGTTACCACACTTATTGGGACTGTTACATCCCATAGCAGAGACAGTGGATCCTCCACAGCAGAAACGGTCATGTTCCACGAGAGGAAGCATCCACTAGCAAAATGCGCAAGCTGAAGCAGACTCGATATTTTACTCCGATATCAGAGCTGAGTGTATGTCCTCAATCGAAATTTGTAACTTACAGGAGGATTAATGCCTAAAGGACATAGCTCAGCTTAGTCAACGCTCATGTCCGTGGTGATTAGAACATACCATTGCCTTGAAGCTTCGTTTATCCGCAGAGAACCTAGTGAAGTATATGTACGCCTGCACACAGAACGCCCCGGTCAAGAACCCGTTTCCAAGTGCTCCTGCTTCAATAGGCCCGACTATCAGGCTTGGGATAAACGACTGGGTGGAGGACATTGGTTATGAATGCTACTCTTTGGAGAGGAAAGGAATACAGCAATGATGGTGGCAGAGATACCTCAACGTGAGGCTCATGATGTGAGGGAGTCCGACTTAAGTAGTAGAAAAGACCACAGTAACTTACTGTAACACCGGATCTTTAAATAACCAAAAGAAGCATTATCAAAAGATCCGAGAAAGCGTCCTTCGTAACCATCTGCACGCTTGCGCATCAAGTGCTATATCCGGATGATGATGAAATAAAAGCTATGCCCCTGGAGGTGATAGCGGGAAGGATGGAAAGAATTCAAGATCATGTCGGAAACAGCCTTCATTACGCGCATCTCTCACGTTTTAATAAGACGAGACGCCATGAGAATTACCCGGGCCATCTAACCGAATTGTGACAGTACAAATCTGCTCAATCAAGAAAAGATGGACAGGAAAGATGTAAAACAAGAAGCTTGCAAGAGGCTATACTATGTGAACAAACGTACACTAATGTACAGGACAAAAGACAGAACAGTATATATCTGGTTACTTATTTTGGCTCGGAGAAGTCAGTACCTCCGTCGTCTGGACGCCAACGGAGCGTACTCCCAGTCTCAGAACTTGATGGGATTCGGAGGTCTGGTCCACCCTCCAATCTTGGGCTGAGGGCGGGTATGTTCGGCCACTAGGAACGGATGCTGACTCTATTTTCAGCTGAGTAGGTGTCGTGTGCACTTGCCCTGAATCCGAGATTGATCTCGCTTGTGTGCGACCTAATGATGGCTGAGTACCGCCTGATGAAGGAGCTAGTACCTGTGTGTGTTTGGGTGCTGACTCCGTCTGATGCCCACGGTCAGGATGAAATTTTCTATGCTGGTGTCTAGACAGTGAAGGCCACAAGCAGCAGCAAATCAGACCGTTAGCCTGATGGAGGCTCGCCTCCGAACTCGCTGCTTGGTAATGGGTGTCATATCCATCATGGCTGTAGCCTTCTGGTGGTGTGCTGGTCGAGCTTGTCGAATTCTCCCCCGAGTTTGTCGAGTCCGATTCTGTGTCAGACACATCTTTATCTTTGCAGCCATCTCTGTCGCGTCGTTTCCTACCAACGTCTTCTTGTGCAGCCACGTTTCGCTGATAATTGTCCGCATTATAATAAATACAGTATACGTTAGACTTTTACTACGTACCGGGGAGCCATATGCCGGAAAAACGACCCCCAATATGCGCCGACATTTATTCGTTGTATACTTTGCCACCGATGGTATTTTTCCTGGGATTTCCTGGTGACCCATGTTGTCGGTGCCTCCCGATGTACAGATCTGTGCGAGTCGTATAAAAATATGTGTTTGAGAATCGTTAGACAGCATGCACTTGAATGGATCTACGCAACAAGAATGTTACGCACTTCCATGGGCCGGAACCATCGCGTTGTCCTACCCGAGCGGTCGCGGAGAACGACGTTGCAATTATATCCCGATGTATCTGCCTATCATGACGCCGAATGGATAATTAAGATGAATGCACAGGTATGTCACAGGGGGCACACACCTCTTTTCTCTTGCTCCCACTCCATCTCGCACGTTCCAGAAACAGGTTAAAGTTCTGGGATAGAGATGTTCGGCCTTGTACCCGAGCCTGTGTACCGTGCTGTGGTGTCAAAGGAGGCTTTGTTTCTCTCCCAGAAGTGTACCTTGAGAACGTGTGTGGTGCACTCTGAGTCAAAGTTACGTCTTTAGCGTTGACTCCAGCAAAGAATCCATCCGCCTTATGCTTGTTGAAGATGACGGCTGGTCTCTACCGGTACGAATTTACGATTTAATTTTTTCGTGGGATTGGACGAGGCTGACGTACGTTCATGAAGCTTCCAAGACTATCGCTAGACTCAGATACCTGTTCGGTGAGGTGGACTTCAGGTTTGGGCTCGATTTTCAACGCTGGGCGCGTATAACCATGGCCGCCAAGTCGCTGTGTAATGATCAGTTAATTCTGTTCAACACTATGCATCAAGAATATCGATGTGGGTGCTGACCTTCGGAAGAATGAGCTTTCCGGTGCCAACGTCCCACATGTATAGATCTCCATTTCTACATCCGCCGACAACTCTCTCGCCATCGGGAGAAAGCGCCGCCGCCACAACTCCCCCGTCTTGTAGCCAAGCCCGGATCAGCTTTCCTGCTCTAGCTTCACGTACACATATTTTCTTGTCATCAGAGGCACTCATGAATTTGGTTCCATCCGCCGAGAATTGTACGCATCTGACGAAATCTGCATGCTGGAAACGCACAATCCTTTCCCCTCGAGAGACATCCCAGATGTGTAACGTGTTATCCGCACACCCAGTCAGCACTTGTAAGCCATCCGGAGAGAAGTAGACAGAAGACACCGCGCGTTTGTGTCTGAGAACGCTGCCTAGTATTTCATATGAGTGGATATCGAAGAATCGGACAGTATCATCCTGGGATCCACTTGCTATCCAAGAGCCGTCAGGTGAAATTCCAAGCGTTCGAACGAAACCAGTGTGCGACCTGATGATATGCACCTGGCCACCGGACTGCACATCCCATACGCGAATGGTGTTGTCATACCCTCCGCTAAATAGGCGCTCATCGGAAGGAATCAGTTTGACCGCCCACACGGAACCGTCGTGACCGGAAAGAGGATCCAGGGCAAGACGGTGGGTTCTGAGATCCCAGACGCAAACCAAAGCGTCATCTGCGGCGCTAGCTAAGAGCTCTTCACTCTTTGATATATCTATCCCGTTCACAGCCCCTTCGTGCCTCAAGAGAGGGTTTGAAGACTGTTGACCTGTAATCGCATTCCATATCCTGATAGCGCAATCGTCTCCTGCAGTCGCAAAGTGTTCGCCGTCAGAGAACCACGATATGGCTCTGATTGTACTGTATGCATTCATTCTGTATGTTTTAGACCTCAATCGTAAGAAAACTGCATGATGCAACATACTGCTGTGTCTCCGTGACATCCGAGTCTATGGCGCTTTCCGCCGAAAGTTTGAACTAGGCTGCATTAAGGACAGAGATATATAATGGCGTGCACACTGCTCACTGGTGGAAGAACCGGGGCCCCATCGGGTATATTCCAAATACACACGTTGTTGTCACTGCACGAAGCAACACACTCTTCATACGCCGAGCAGGCTACTGAAGTAACTGGATGTTTGTGCCTGTATATAGGCCCCAACGTCGACTCCGCTGTTGTGATGTTCCAGATTCGAATAGTCTGATCCTCAGAGGAGCTGACCAACTGCTGACCATTGTGAGAAAACGATACGGCGTAGACAACGGATCTATGACCACAAAGAGGACTTCTGATGATTTCTCCTGTCTTAGCGTCCCAAAGTTGGATGGTATGATCGTCCGAAGCGCTTGCGATGAGGGATCCTCCTGGAGAGTATTGAACACATCGAACACTGGCGCGATGACCAGCGAGCGTCCAAACCAGAACCCCTTCGTCGACGTCATATATGCGAACAAGCCTATCATCACATGCAGTCGCAATATGCTTGCCATTGGGTGAGAACGAGATGGAACCCACGTTATTGGGATGTTTCAGTGTCGTTGTGCAGTCACCCACACGGGCATTCCAGAGCTTCAGACATCCGTCGCTACCGGAACTTGCAATGATCGTGCCATTCGGAGAATATTGCACAGCTTGAACCCAGCCCTTGTGGCCCTCAGCAAGCTTCATGGCCGTATGGTGCGTGTTCGTGTCCCATACTCGAATGGTCTTGTCATCAGAACCGCTGACAAGGCTCTGCCCATCTGGAGAATAAGCAATGGTACGAACGGGTCTCTGGTGCCCTTCCAACTCTTTGCCTATTTGAAACCCTGTGAACGCCTCCCATATTCGTATCGTCTTGTCCATCGATGCTGTAGCTAACCATGCCCCACCGGGCGAATAAACTAGCGCGAGGATGCGCCCTGTATGGCCCTTGAATGGTTCGGCTTGGAAGACGTTGTCATGCATGATATGGTGTGGTACAGGAGGGCTGCATGACTTCGCTGGCGATGGTTTGTTATAAGACAGCCGGAAGCCAGACTCAGCGATGCTGTAAGTGCACGCGCTAGTCCAGCACGTAAAACATCGCGGTTGCCTTGTTTCCAAAGTCTTGTATTCCAAAAGAGAAGTATCGCAGAATCGGCCTGCGAAAAATATAACAACGTTAATAATTGTACTGCAATTAAAGCGGAGCTTGAAATGTGGCTCCAAACATAGCACATTCGGACATGACCAGCTTGCTCGTTCGAGCTCTACCTTTTCGTCTCTCCCGCATCTCGTTGCGTTCAAGCCCTACTAGGAAAAGTACATGATGAAGCTATCCAGCCTCAGGCCTCAGTCTCCCATCTCTCTCCGCAGAAGGGCCCTCCATGTCTGAACATGGCTTCCGTTCCACCGACCTTGAAGACAGCATCCGCCTCCATCAGTTGGGTATTTTCTACTCATTCACAGCCGGTACAGCTTAACCCAGAGTCCGTGTCCTAACCTATGCACGCAGACTCCGCTCGCGCTTGTATTTTCTCCTCGCTTGGGTTCTGCTCTCGTAGGCGTGCACGACCGTGTATGTCGCCGAGTCATCGTTTTAGATTGTACAGGTCGTGTACGTGTACCACCGGCACACCGAGTATAGTGCCAAATGAATGCTAATTACTCAAATGATTTCAACGAATGAGCACATGGCTCGTCCAATTTCTCGCCTTCACATATGGGTAGCACATGCTGACTTGCACAAGCTTTGGAGATTCGAAACCATCTAGTATAGCTCACGTCCACAGCGCTGGCTCCTGTCCTTCCCCTCTCTTCTCCATCTAGGTTCAATCGGTAAGTTTACGCGCTATCTATTCCTTCCTTTGTGGTCTCATTATGCGCGTTCGCAGACATCGGGGTCATCACAGTCGTTCTCAGCACATTCCTGGAAAACACCAGGACTCGCTCATCACCGAACATCTCCTTGAGCGCCTACATCCATCTGCGATTACGACTGCATCAAACCTCATAATGAAAGCGCTCATGATTAAACAACATACACCTTCCAGAGAAGTTTGAGGCGGGTGTCTGTATGCCCTTTCATTTCATCTTCCTCATTTCCCATATACTGACGCTGCCTGCCTCTTTAAGTCCTCATGCTGTAGGTAAATCTGTTCATTTCCACCACGACACGCCCGTCGCGTCTACACTCGACGACCCCTGAGCGCTCTCAATGCTAGTCATGGCGCTATGTCTCTCGCCTCGTTGCAGTTACAGATAATTGCACAGCCGCTCGTGATTTTGCGTGTAACGTTGAGCAAGGCTTAGGCCATACAACCATGTCCAGCTTGTCGGGTGAAATATGAGCGTGTATTAAAGGTAGAGAGGCGAAAGAACAGCAATACATCTCCAGTGTAAGGTACTGTATGTGAAAATATCCGCAACATTCATGCAAAAGAATGCTACGCGCCTCGCGAAGCCCTCTTTGTTTTCGATAAGCTCACGTACCCGCTTCCCTCTAAGGTTTCCCATGCGCTGAGTACATCCCTGTATCATTCACTCAAAATCGAGAGAGATTCCCGGGACGTTTTCTCACTGGACGCGATCACGCTTATGCACATATCTACACAATACATTGAGGGGAGACGTCAGTTGAGTTGGAGGAAGGGAAACATCTCAGGACACTGTCGGGCGTTACAGCAATGCACACGTAACTCATTAGCATGACCCATCCTTGATGTCCCATAGGCCGTAAGTGCCCTCGCCCTGTAGCAAAAGCGAATAAGCTGCGAGCAAACAAGATCATCGACAGACGGCACTAACCCATTTAACGCAGTAATGAGGGTGTGAAAATGTCATACCCATAAAACTGGCAGGTGTCGAAGAGCACATAATCTGCCAGTCATCGCCAGGGCGCAAGTTCTCCATGTACATCTCGTATCGCTATTCCGAGTCAAAGTCAGTCTGGATGGCCCCAATGGGCTATATAATCAATGACCTACTTTGTAGCCTGACCAGCGAGCTCTACAACCCTGCAATCGTGCATCAGTAAGCTATGCGCGTCGAGATATATCAACATGAATCACTTTGTCTTTGAACCAGTTGAAGTAGGTGCCACATTCAGCCTCGCCTTCCACATCCCAGAAGCCATATAGACTCCTCGCACCCTTTGCATGCGTTGAACCAACAAATGAGGTAGGACACGATACACAGCGCACCTTATCCTCACACCGAGTGGGCTTCCTCATAACCCCGTTGACGCTCATCTCCGTCTCCCTGCACGCCTCAATGCGGTGCTCGAAGCCGCTGGGCACGTTCTCAAGCCGCGCACTATACTCTCGCGTCTCATGGCGCACGCAGTTCAGCGGCTCAAAGTCCGCCCAAAAGAACCCCATCCTTTGCCTCTCCTCGTCCTCCCGCCTCCACCGTTCCAGCTTGTCCGCATGCGCCACATCTTCGAGCCTCCATCTGTGACGGTCTGCCTCGCGCTCGGCTGCCTCTGTATCGTGGCGCAGCCTTTCGAGCTCCCAGCCAGCGCGGATGTGTTCCATCCTATCCACATCGACACAGTAGTTGCATTTTGTAGCTGTATAAGTGACAATAGACCCGGTGATGATACCAACCACGAGCGTCACTACGAGGATCCACGTGAACCCTCCAGACGCATTGAAGTCGCCGCTTGGTAAAAGGGGTTCCGTCTCCCTGCGTCTGGATGGGACTGATGCGTAGTCACACCCAGTATTAACAGTGGGACGAGACCTTCTTCCTCCAAGCGGCGGGTGTTCTGGTTGCGGGGAGTATGGGGGAGGTGCTCTGATACAGTGATAGTGAGCGCCCGAGGCTGATAGGAGAAACAACGCAGCTCGCTCACCCGCTCTGCCTCGGTTGACGGTTCAGATACATTCGTCAGACTATTTGATCAAAGATTGGATTTGCAGATGGGAAGTACTGGCGGGTACCGCTATCGATGCAAGCGAGTGGTGGTGGGCGGTGAGAAGAAAGGGTGCATCCCATTGCGTGTTTTCAATAGAATCGGTAAGCGCCCAAACTTGCTGTGCACGGCCCGCGTCTCTCTGTGGAACTTGGGATGCGACAAATAGATTACTTTTCGGCTTATGACCCTAGCTTATCCATTTTGAGTTCAAATATTATTTCTTGTACGAGACATAGATGTACTTATTTTACATGTACAAAAAGGCATTTTATCAGTTTAGTAAGAACAAAAACAGCAAAAGTGAACGCCAGCCTCGGCTTCTGAGTACCCCTTTACCAGCAAGATGCATTTTTGACGTTCCAAAAGCCGTATGTTCCTTGGTTCTGCGCTCATGTGAACCTGTTATCAGCACCTGTTCCTCCCACGGGGATAAGCTTATTAGCAGGGAGTTAAGGCTGCTCCGCCCGGCTAGTTAGCTGCTGATATCACGTATCCTCGATACCGCAGGTGTATGCTATGGTGATTCCCATAACCAGTAAATACCATGTCTTTCCCTTTTTTGTGTTTCTCCCATTCCCTGTTCCTGTCGGCAATGTCCGGTCAGCAGAACCACGTACATTACATAGTTCCCGCCTTCCCGCCTTCCACCCGCCGCCCCGACTACCCCCGCCGGGCTCTCACGACGTCTTATACGCTTCCCGCCCTCCTCCGCCCGCTGGGAGGGACGATGACAGTGTATATCTCCCCTTCCCGTGGTCGTATCAAGGTCGGGTTTTCTTCTACGTACTATATATTACAATTAGAATAGTTTTTACTTATATATGCTGGTAATACACTCTATTATAAGGGGTGCATGGCGAGAAAGGGACCACGTGGCTAGGGGACTTGTGCAAATTTTGAGCGACGTCGGCAAAAGGGCCGGATGGCTGTGTTTGACACGTAGGGG